GGTGTAAGAGAGGGACACCTAGAGTGTGCTTAGCTGCACGCTCCTCTGCACTCCTAGTATTCACAGCTACGTGTACATAGTATGTCTCGTACGCGTGCACAACCCCGAGTCTTCTTGTATCGAGCCAGCAGTACCCTACAGTAAATATCACATACACGCTGACAAATCAAGGAGCCAATTGTTCACAGAGCCTTAGTTAAATATACCTAGCGTAGTAGAATGCGCTGAAGAGTAGCATTTCCCTGCGCACGCCATACTAGGCTCAATGTGAGAAACGAAGGAAAATTCGCGAACGTGCCGAGGTACATCTATGCACTCTAAGTATTCAGCCCTACGACTTTTATTGTATTCCTTGGCAAGAGAGCAAGTGGGGAGGTTTCTATTCGCCAGTGATAGATTATCAAGGTCTGAGCAAATGCATATGTTCGACAATGTTTAATGTGTGCTGCGGCAATATTTCGCTGCTCAAACGTATTCAGATTACTAAACGATGCTATTTGAACAATGTACGTTTAGTGTGCACTAACCAATTTCATGAGAATTCGATGCTGCGAGGCCATAAAATGTCTAGTAGTAGGAGGGCGGTGCAACAGAGTGGGTAACTAGGGACCCGAATATGTCTATAATAAGCTAGCATTATAATCGCGTTTCAAGCCTATTTCTTCGCAGTCTTAGATGCAGCGCTCCACCAGAAATCGTCAAAGTGCTTGGATGGCTTAAATTGTTGTGGAGAAGGTTAATTTACAGTCGGTGCTGCATATTTTTACACATTCTTGTCCACAGCGAAGCGTAAGTATGGGGAGGGTTTGACGAAAGAAGAAGTACCAAAGCCTATGTGTGAGTCAAAATTTACTTAACGCAGCACCAGTTTCCACTGGAACTGTGGGAAAGCCCTTACCTCCAGCCCCCGACTTGGTTTGCATGTACCAGTGCACGCAGAGGCCCCGTACTCCGCTAGAACTGTCTATACGCTCGACTGCTCTTGGGGTCGGTTTCTCCGGGGATGCATTGGTTTGCTAGCAGTGGTGTGGTAGCTTTCAAAGAAAGTTGCTCGGGGGTGTGACTCGCAGGCGTACTACCGCCAGTCTTATGAACATGGAAGTGTGGAATCTTCGAGCAGTCCCTGGGGTGTCTGCGGGCTTCCGCGCTGCTCAACACGATCGGGTAGACAAATCTTGTTTTGGGGGGATAGGAGCTTGCAAGGCTATCTACGGGCTTGCGCAGAGTGATAATCATATCAAGGGTTCGCCCACAGGTACTCTTACCCCCACTGGGAGCCCTGGTTGCACCATCGTGCTGAACAGGCTCAGGGGGAGGACGAACAGGCATCTGCCGGCAGCAACCGGAGGGTGGGCTATCATTAGACTTCCTGGTCAGTGGTAGAATACGCAAAGCTTTGGATTTTTGTACGTTCAATATTTTAAATGAAGAAAGAAGCTCTATTCAAGGCTGGCCTTTTAAATATCTTTCATTAGCTTAATAAGGGAAGAAGACATGTTGTGTGCGTATGCACTAGCTGCTGATTGCGGCTAGCCGGGAGCAATCAAGTAGCAAAACGGGCGCAGCAACGTGTGCCGTTGCTGCACCTCTCCCCCCGTTCTCGAAGCCTGATTTCGGAGGCAGGCCTACGGGAAACGCTGCTGCAAGAGCACTTAATAATTTTTTACCCGGAGTGAGCCGGTGAGCTGTGGAGGCCATCAAGGGGGCATTCGAGGATATGTCAAAACGGGTACATAGTGTAGCGGAGTAAAAAGCTGGCCTACGCCAGCGGCCACTGTAGGGGATACACTCCAGTTCCCTGAAGCTTTTCTGTTATAGTCCCAGTTCCCAGAGCCATATGCTAGAGTATACTTGTTGGTATTCTTACACTGCCGTAAAAATGTGCCATAAGACCCCTCGGAAACGGAGTGCTGCTGAAACGCTGGTAAGGAGGCACTCTATGGCTAGGAGTCTTGCGGAAAGCGTAAGAATAGATGCACCCTTATGGTGTATGTATGGCTGCATTGCACCCTTTCGCTGGCAACCTACAGGTCACGGTGAAGTTTCGCATACCTCTACACGCCTGTGAGTACAGAGCGGATCATCTTGTCGAGCATCAACTAGGTAGATGCCCTTGTTAGTTGGCTTACTTTGCCTGAGTGTATTTTCGTGCATGCTGGGGGCGTCCTCTGAGATTGTACTTACCCATACACGCATTGCCGTTCAGCTTACACTGACTTCAGGATAGCACAACTGTGCATTACCACCGCATGGCCTTACGAAATTAATTCCTACACACCTCCCTGAGCCATGCCTTATCCTGTTACTGCTAAGTTACTAAGCAATTGACCCCTTGAGAAAATTCTGGGTGACTGGTGAGGCGGCCTCCCCGAAACTGCTCGCCTTAAACAATACTTATTTGCCAGGCGGGCACATACAACTGGGCTGTCCTAAAGTCAGTGTAAGCTGGACGTCAATGCATACGCGGGTAAGTATAAGTTCGCAGGACGCCTCGCAATCAAGAGAATACACTAAGGCAAAGTATTCCAACTGGCAAGGGCATCTGCCTAGTTGATGTGGAAGCCTCCTGTTTTGGTGAGCGAACAGCACTGAGACCTTCTTGAACACCGTTCCAGTACCCAATCTCCTTGGTTACTCGCGATAACCCGTGGGTGTGCCACATTTTGATGTGCCTGCATAGTCTCAACAGCATTCTGCTAGGCCTTGTCCTCTGGATGGTCCTGTGGCCAGCTCTGATTAGACTTGTTTGAATTTGTTTGCATCGTTTCAGTTGGCTTTTGCAATACAGTATGGGTATTTTAAAAGGTCGCCAAGCTGCGTCTCAGGATGATGTATACGAATATAAGTAAAAAAAGTATACATAAATATCTATAAGCTTGAAAGCACATTCGAGGTACATGGTTCGTAGTTATGCAGCAGTGCGCAACCTTCTGCTACCCCTGGAATATCGCCTGAATTGGTGTCTTGTGCGAGGAGGGCTGCACCAATGGAGCGCACCCACATACAGGACTTGCAGATACTGTTTTTCCGTTTTCCAACAAGGCAGTACAAGCGGTTGCAGCCATGCGTCCACTTAAAAGAGTTTCCAGACCGGAACTGTTAGCACAATGCAGTGTCGGCACATCCCGATGTGGTGGGCTGTCTGGTCTCACTCCTTGGGGGGAGTTGTTCTAAGGACAGTGTAGGGGCACTGAGTCTAGGAATGCTCAGACAATTTATGCTCTTAGGAACCCACACATTTACCCAAACCGATAACTCTCCGTGTTTGCCCCCTAGTGGAATTTCTACCCCCCTCTGTGGTTTCATTCTGCGTGCTTTCTATTAGCGACCTTTGTGCCTTGTCCTTGTGGAAGTATACTTTTACAGGAATAGCGTAGCTGCCTGTTCGCCAGTGTGGCGACTTTTCGCTGTCGCGCACGGTGTGTAAGCCCCCCAAGTCTGCTTCTCCGAAGAAGGCAGCGCGAAAAACCTTCTCCTTCTGTCTCGAAAACGGGATTGGGAGGTACGGCATGTCGTGGTCGCCAGCATAAACCGTTTGTCCTCGAGCGGAAGATAAAAGTGCCGGCTGCGACTGGGGTCAGTGCATTCGAAGTCTAGTGGGGGAAAGCAGAGAACCCACCGCGTCTCTACCCCCTCTAATTCTAAAGCTTCAGTGGCTCAGTCGCAGGGTGCTAACACGTCACACCTGGAAACTGCGAGATGCATGGCTACCATAGCTTCTACTGCTTCCGCCAGAGGAGAGCCCACGGAGATGAAACTCAACACACGGAGTGTGGTAGCTCTAAAGGCTCTCTGAAACACCTCAGCACCCCCTACCTATACGAGACATCAGGAGGGGGGCACGAGACGCTCTCACGGTCTCTGCTTTCTCTACCTGCTGTGCACTGCTATTAGCCCTCGAACACGGGCAGGAACGTGTGGCGGTTCCCATAAGCCTTGTTCACCACACTCGCCTACACGCTGTCTGCCAAATGATCCGCTCTCGCGTTTTTGCAGTTCTGCTAAGCGCCCATTTCCGTCGGGTTGCCTAGACAGGGAAACCGACGGCGGGAGTCCGAGAGACAGAGCTGCCAACTGCCTCTTTGGGAACTTACTAGCCTTCGTCAATCTGCGGCACAGGCACAGGCAAAGAGCAAGCGCCGAGAGAGAGCTATGTACGCAAGCCTGCGGTTCAAGGAGACAGACAGAGAAATCCAAGAGCACGGCCACACGCGATGAAAAAGAATTTCCCAGGTCTTGTAGGCGCTCCCATAATGCCTCAAGACCGACTAGAGGAATCTCCCTGCTCCCGGCAGTCAACGAGAGAGAGGGAAAAAGAAAGAAAAAGACAGAGAGAGAAAGAAAAAAAAAGACAGAGGGAGAAAGAGAAAAAAGACAGAGAAAGAAAGAAAAAGAGAGAGAGAAAGAAAAAGACAGAGAGAGAAAAAAAGACAGAGAGAGAAAGAAAAAGACAGAGAGAGAAAGAAAAATACAGGAAGAGAAAAAAATACAGAGAGAGAAAGAAGACAGAGAGAGAAAAAAGACAGAGAGAGAAAGAGCGCATACAGACAGGAGGACAGGCGGTCCCCGTACCAGTTCATCGGGAGACATGTACTTCTGCTTCTGCCTGAAAGCTCCTCGATCCTGTATCTGCATGCCTACACCCTGTTCCCTGCAAAAGTGGCAAGAAGAGACAGAGGCAACAATTTCTTGCACTTTGATCACACGTAGGGCTCTCAAGCTGCCGAGACGCTGTACGCCTCGCTATTCTTCTTCTTCTTCTGCCTCTTCATTCCTTTAAATTCCCCGTTGCTAAACCTGTTTCCATAGCTGCCTCGCTCCCCTCCTGTCACCGATAGTACTCCCCCCTTGTGCCTCCGTCTCTCCGTATTGCGATTCCCCTGCCAGCTGCAGCGCCATCTGCGCGTATCTATCTGCCTGGTGGGCACCATCAGCATATCTACACAGCCTAGGCCATACACCCCCCAACCCCCTCAAAAAAATCCCAAGCTAGAGATCTCTCACAAGGCAAAGACTTCATCTGGGTTCTCTTCATCAGCGGTTGCCTTGAACATGTTCGTGTAGAGCATCTTGGCGTCATACTTAGGATCTGCGACACAAGAAAAAATAGTACTCGACCCCCTTGTGCCGCGAAGCCTTGACTCAAAACGCAAGAAAGCTAGGAAATAAAAACACAAAAGCTGCTCATTGTCAATCTGCGCACCAAACCCCCCGCATACGACGTCGCTCACCTTTCTCCCTAAGATCTTGAAGCTTCGCAAGAACTGCACAACAAACAGAATCACATCGATTCAGAGCTTCTTACACTCCCTACTCTCCTCGAGCAGATTCACGGCAAGTGCTAAACTGGAGACTGCATGAGGAGCACACAGCTTGCAGCCCTCCTTCAAACACTGCGGTCTAAACGTGGCTGTCACAGCGCACCATCGGCTCGGCTCTGCGGAAACAGAAAACAACAGAGAAAACAACACACAGAGAAAACAAGCGATTTTTGCCTGCACTTGCATGCGTCCCGCCTCATTCTCTCCTTCCCTGCCACAACCCCTCCCCCCCTCTTCTCCGAGCATCTTTGTCACTGAAAAGGCAACTTTATCTCACTTCTCGCTCTGCAGTATAGTCAGCCCTTTCGGGAGCGGCAGTATGCCTGCGCGAAAAAAGCACTCGCACAGGAAATTCGAATTCACCCTCCCACAAAACTTGGACCCCTACGACAGAGCAAGGTGTCAAAGAAGCCGCTTTACAACACATCTTCGTCTTACAAAGTTCGTGATTTGAAGAGCAAAGCGGAGACACCACTTGCGCGCTTCACCTGCAATGCGAACGGACAGAAAAGCAGTGCAACGCCCTCGAAGTAAATCCATGGCCAGCTGTTTTTCCATTACGTGGAGCCCTTTGTCTCGTTCAAAAAATGCACCCCTACGTCTCATTTCCCACACTCGTAGGTACATATATGCATGCATGCATGGACGTGTTCGCGCATTAATGCATGCAGGCATGTGGGTATGGAAGGATGGATGTAGGTGTACATGTGTGTATGTGTGTGTGTTAATGGATGCATGTATATTAATGGATGTATGTGTGTATTGATGCACATATGTGCACATATATATGTATGTATCTATGCATGCATGGATATATAGATATACGGATGCATGCATGCATAAAAAGATATATATGCGTCAATAGTAGCCGCCCTGGTCCCCCCCTCCCCGTTTGCTGCTGCGCTCTGTCGAGAGTCGAATGCAACAACAGCTTGAAGTTAGCCCCTCGCTGTCATCGGCAGCTGTATGGTGCTCTTTCTTTAAGGTGCAAATACCCTGAAGTCTCTCTTGAAAAGCTCCAGTACGTATTCCTGCATATCCTCCAACCTGCGCAGTGTTGTTGCCATCAACGAAGCACCACCAGCATGCACCCATGGACCCTTAATGGCAGATGGCTCACTCGCGGCTTCTCTACACGCGCCTCCCACGCAGCTCCGGTATATATATATTTATCTATACATACATAGATGCAGCTATCCCTCTTCTGCAGCCTCTAAAGTGACGTGTAGCATGCGAAAACACAAAGCAGGCGGCAAAGATGCGCCACAGCACGGATCCGCGTAGGGGGCTTTTGTCTGCTTACGTCTTGAATCCGAGGAAGGAAGGAGGGAAGAGCTCCTTCTCGTTTGGAGTCACGTTAAAGGCTGCGTACTCCGTCAGTTCTCCATGTCTTCTGACGTACATGCCCACAATCCTGATAGCCTGAAGGACTGCGTATATGGCTACCCCAGCGGCACCACGGGAGGGTTCCTTCCCCCCGCCTCCCCCCTTCGCGAGGCTTGCTGGCTGTTCAATCTCCTCGAGATACATCCCATTGAAGTCACCCATAACGTCCTCTATGTTCGGCCCGTCGATCCGTCTGGAAAAATGGAGGGTTTGAAACTGCGACGATTCTTTGACTGCATGCGCAACGTCCACAGAGGCCCTTTGAGACTCCGCTGCCAGGAAGAGCTCTCCGATCATTCTGCCGCTCATCCGCTCATTATTCTCGAGACGCACGCACCACGCGCATGCTGCCCAACCCGCCTGGTTAGGCGTAAGAGTAGGAGGCTCAGCAGAGAGAGCCCCCTCGCCACGCATGGGTGCTCTGAGGCTCCCCGCGGGCTGCCCTAAGACGATTCTCCAGGTTACCATGTACGCTTTGTCGCCTATGTACTTGTCTGCCAAGTCGCTGCGTGTGGCTGTGCTGCTGCTGCTGCCGCTGTGGCTCCCCGTGACAGAGCCAGAGTATGTCCTCGCTCTAGGAGGCCCCTTGGCAACTGCGGCGGCGAATCCGTCTGCGGCAGCTGTCGCGACTCCTGAATAGGCTCCTTCCCCGTAAGCAAGGCGGCTCTTCTTCCTCCCTGCGCAGCAGTGCCGAAACTGCCGCAAGAGGTCGTGGAAAAATCCGCCACTATCCTCGTCGCTGTCGGTCAGCTCCTTCTCTAGCTCGAGCCGCTTTCGCTCTCTCCTGTCGTGAATGTCTCTAATAAACAGAGAATCTGCGGACCCCCCTTCAGACACGGAGTCGCTCCTACTCGACCCTCCAGGCAGGACTGCTGCGGCTCCGAGGCTTGACACCGACATCCTACTGCGCGGAAAGCGAGTTCTCCAGTACTCGTGCAGGGTAATAGTTGCTGCTGCGCGTGCTGCCTGCGCATCCCTCCTCTTCTTTCGCGGATGGTGAAGCTACACAAACCTAGTGGTAGGACGAAAGCCCAGTACAGCCGAGATCCAAGGCGACAGGCGCCTCGGAGATAGCAGCGCGATGGGCGCCCTCGAAAGCTGCATGCGCTGCCTGCTGGTGCTGCTGATGCAAGAGACAACGCAAGCTACGAGTTATACGGCGTGTGTGGCCTGGCGGCTTTCCCAGAGGCAAACGCGCAGAGATGAGCGTCCAAGGGATGCGTGAAAAGGGGTGCCAAATGTCAGTCCTCTTCCACAGACGCCACACTGGAGAGGCCCTTCTCATTCGTTGAATATCAGAGGCCACGGTGTAATTCGGCAGTGTAAGGCGGCAGACAAACTGCAACACGGGCCGGAGAGGTTCCCCAGCGGGCGCTGATGTCGCAAGTGTCAATGCGGTCTTTCTGGAATAAAACGATCACAGCAAAAAACCCTCCATTCAAGAAAACGGTTCATTTTGGTGTCAAATACGAAGGTGTAGCCATAAAAGCAAGAGCAACAACTGCTGAAACTCGACGACGGGTTTCCGGGTGTCCTTACACTGGCGGCTCGCAGCAGCAGCGGCGCACGAGAAGCAGCACCAGACACGACCGTAAGAAGCGCAGAAACAACCCATGCCGCATGGACTGCACACTAAAAAGGATATTATAAGCACGTTGAAAGAGACACGCGTCTACAACAGGAAACCACGAGGGCCCCTCTACAGCTCAAGCCACCCTTCAGTGTCCAGTTAGGTAGGGGGCTGCTGCTGTTGCAGCGGAGGCTACGCCTTCAGCTTTGCAGACGTGTGGCAGCAGCAGCGAGAGAAGCTGGCTGCGAAAAGGCGACGAGACGCACATGGCGCTCATGCCCACGCGCGTACACCTGGCCAGCCACATGCGCATTGCCCTACGGCAGGACGGAAGACGAAGCAGCTGCGGGGGGGGAGCTAGCGACAACATCAGCAGCACGAGAGCGACACGAAACACCATCTCCGCGTCTTTATAGGCTTCCCGAGGGATCGTGGGCAGGCTGCTGGAGGGGGCCTCTTGCAAGAAGGGAGTGGGCACCGCATCCACGACGACAGCAGCTGCAAAAATAACCGAGGAGATGGCACGCACGGCGTCGCAGCCAGCAGTCGCACTTCTGAATCTCATGCAGCAGCCCTCGAAGTAGCCTAGGCGTGTGTGTGGTGTGAGGCGAGTGGTGTGTATGTATGTGTATGTGTGTGTATACATACATATATGTCTGTGTATATTTACATGTGTGTGTTAGTCCCTATGGTGAGAGAGAAACAGCAGCCACCCCCTCACTTAGCAGGAAGGGGCAGGAGCTTTTGAGAGGGCGTGCTGGCGGCTCATGCAGGAGCATGGCATCTTGCTTTCTGTCCGAACCCTCCTCAAGGCGTTTTCGCTCGACTCAGAACGACCTCTGCTTCTTCCCCTCTTTTTCCTCACTCGATGGAGATGCCAAATGATGGTGTTGCGCTTGAGGGGCGTCTTGTTGAGGCCGAAGATGACGGCGGCAAGAGCTTCAAAGGCTCAGATCGCATGCCTTCCAGCCTGCATCTGTCTACGCAGGCAGCTTCCTCCTCGGTTTTCGAGGAGGACGGAGACGCGAGAGAGGGGCAGCAAAACAAAGAGCTCAAGAAATTCGAAGACGTTCAAGTCTATTTGGTGTGCCCCTCCACGGCTGCATGGGCAGCAGCAGCGGCTTGCATCCACCACAGCGACAACAGCTGCAGCACCTCCACGTCAGCCGCATCAGCTGCGTCAGCAGGCGGAGGAGCAACAAGCGATGACACTCTGCTGCAAGCGTGTCAGTGGCTAGTCAAGTCAGGCTGCATCCGCACCGTTGAGTGGAAGAGTCCGCTTGTGCTCCAGGGTGAACTCCTGCACTTTGGCGTCGTGCTGATTCCGCAAGATGGATCTGCAGCTGCTGCAGGATCTCCCACCGCTGCCAGAGCTTGGCTCAGGAAGTATGCATCTCTGTCTGCTGCACTCGATTTGGTGCTGAGAGACGGCAGCAGCCGCATCAAGGCAGCAGGGCAATCGGCGCTGTCTTGCCAATTCTGGGAGGCTCAGGCTTTTCCGATAGACTCTCAGGAGGCAGTATCCGTCAGAATCATGCACTTCATGTACTCCCCGGAAACCGCGACAGAAACACGGGCAGAAGCAGCAGCAGAAGCAGCAACAATAACAGCTGCTGCTGCAGCAACAGCGCCGACATGCCAGGGGATAAGGAACGGCGGCAAACTACCACGGGCAAGCGGCGCAACGCACTCCTGCATCATCTGCGATGTGAAGATTCCAATGAGTCAGTGTGATGGGTGTTGGTTGTATGTTGCCTTTTCTGCCTCGGCTTCCCTCTGTGTTCCTAGTGCAGCTGCCGCTGTTGCTGGTGCATCTACACTCGTGGCGAGACACTGCTGTGGCTTCGCATCTTCTGGCTCCAGTGGCATATGTCCTTCTCTCTCCCCCATTCTCCTGCAAATGCTCACTTTTTTGCTTTCACGAAAAATCGAAACAGCCCTTCTGCCAAAACCTGCAAAACTGCGGACTCTGTAGTGTGCTGGAATCGCGCGTGTACTTCTGTGTGTATTTATCTGCACACATGTTTAGATCCCTGTCAAACTGTGGTAAGAACGTGTCAGTATTCGGCGCATGTTTACATGGATGCTGACGTTTGTAGGATTGTCTTTATGCACACATAAATATGGGTGTATGTGGACGTGTAGATGTATGTATATATATATATATATATATATATATATATATATATATATGTATATCCAGCCGTTGATTCTTTCTCTCTGGGCACCTAAGTATGTAGATGTACCTGTAGGTATGTCTACACATATATCTATATGTGTATATGCACACAGCTGTCAACCCTTTTTTATACGCGCATGAATGTGTATATATAGGTGTATATGTAAGTGTATATATAGGTGTATATGTAAGTGTATATGTAGGTGTATAGGTACGTGTATAGGTACGTGTATATATATGTGTATATGTAAGAGTATAGGTAGGTATACGTGTATATGTAGCTGTACATGTATACATATATGTATATATGTATATATGTATGTGTAAGTGTACATGTAGGTGTATATATATGTGTATATGTAAGTGCCTATCAAAGTGTATATGTAAGGGTATATGTAGGTATATATGTACATGTAGCTGTATATGTATGTATGTATGTATGTGAATATGTTTGTGTATACGTATACGTATATATGTGCATACATATCTATATGTATGTGTGTGCAGCCGTAAATCCCCAATGTTTGGGAATACCCTTGTCCCTCGAGTGCACGTTTCGAGTGATTCATCGGGAGAGCGAGCAGATGAGCAGACTGGATTGCATTCGAGGAAATATACATGTTCCTGTAGCCGCGTGGGCTGCTGCTGCAGGTGTGTGGATAGGAGTAAGGATGTACTACCGGGCACTGCTGCTGAGCGTAGTGTTGCGTGCTGCTGAGCGTAGTGTTGCGTGCTGTTGGAGCTGTCACGGGATACACCCGTAAAGATTGCTGTTGCTGGTATGACGCTTGGTGGAACGGCATTTTATGCTTCCCGAGACACAGTGCCCTACAAGCGTTACCGTAGAGACACATGAATGCACGGATCCATTCATGGATGCAAGTAAATAGAGGTGTTCACGCGCGTGTACAGCTCGGTGCAACACTCGTAGGTGCTACAGAAGCGGCGGCATCCACTGTTGATGCAGCTGCAGCAGCAGCATCTGAGTATAGTACGTAGATATAGATTATTGTCAAGTACACGGTGAGTGGTCGCAAGCGGTGTTTCTCAGGGATCAGCGCTGCAATGACCAACTCCGTAGAGTTGCAGTCTTCGCCAGGAGCCCTTTTTGGAGTATCCCCTCTGTTGCCTCCTCGAGCAAGTGCTGCGGATGGCAGCAGCAGTGTGTCCAGCGGTAGCAGCACGACTGCACCGTCTGCTGCAGCATCCGATGCAACAACAGCAGCCGGAGCAGCTGGAGCGTGCCATCAGTCCTCGCCAGCTGCGCCGAGCAGCAACAGCAACAGCAGCAGCAGCAGCAACAGCAGCAACAGCAACAGCAACAGCAGCACCACTGGCAGAGGAGGGGGTTCCCCTGGAGCATGTCAGTCTTCGCCATTATCCTTTTCTCGTGATCGAGTCTCTCTGTCTATGGAGCTCATGATGCAGGCTCTCGGAGCTGCTGCAACAATGGTGAGTCGTGTTGGCAGAAGGCGTATCCATGCATGCGAACATGTATATGTGTGTTGTTATTACGTACATGTGTTTCTACATTGGAACGTATTTGCTGTCGTGAAGGCCGCTTTTTCAGCTCCCCGTTTTCCCCATCGCGCATACAAGCAGACCTCATCCAGCTGGAGGATCGCACGTTGTGCAAGTCTGTCCGTTGTGCGTTTCAGCCCGACTCAGGATCCCTCCTTACCCCCGCTCCTGGCAGTGCTGCTGCTGCACAGGATCTGGAGGAAGATAGAGTTTTGCACATTTCCACACGGCTAACAGTGCAGAGGCCGCTTCAGGTTACAACGGCTTTGATGGACTCCTTCATGTATGTTCAGATCGAGAATTCAACAGGTTGGCTGGCACTGGGGGTTTCATGGTGGGGTGTTTGGGGAGACTGTTGAGGTTGTGGCTACACCCACAATACGTGTCTCGTCTGTCCTTCTTGCCCTTTTGCCGACTCGCGACCTCTAGGCGGTTCCCTGCTGCTGATGCAGTCATTGCAGTTATTGCAGTTATTGCAGCTGTTGCAGCGTTTGCCGCTGCGCTCGCTTGTGGACCGACAGCACTCGCCAGTAGGCTCTAGCGTGTTGGGACTGATGTTAGGTGATGCCTTTTACGGGATGCCGCAGACTCCATCCCCGTCGTTGTTGAGAATGCTATTCTAAGAAGCGTCAACTCGAATGCACAGGTGAAGTCTCCAGATCTGGAGTTTGCAGCCCTAGAGGCACTGCCAGGTGTTTCAATCGGTGAAAGCAGCCACAAGGTGATGGTGGCCGATGGTCGCTTCGCGTTTACTTGTAAATGCTTAGTGCCTGCGAGGACGCCTTTCATGCCTTCCAAAGAAAGCTCGCACAGCGCAGATGCTGGTGCTGACGGTGATCGTGATGGCACTACTAGGGTGCTAACTATTGTGGTGGTTCATGGTGATGGCACTCCTAGGGTGCTAACTATTGTGGTGGTTCATGGTGATGGCACTCCTAGGGTGCCAACTATTGTGGTGGTTCATGATGATGGTACTCCTAGGGTTCTAACTATTGTGGTGGTTCATGGTGATGGTACTCCTAGGGTGCTAACTATTGTGGTGGTTCATGGTGATGGCACTCCTAGGGTTCTAACTATTGTGGTGGTTCATGGTGATGGCACTCCTAGGGTGCTAACTATTGTGGTGGTTCATGATGATGGTACTACTAGGGTGCTAACTATTGTGGTGGTTCATGGTGATGGCACTACTGGGGTGCTAACTATTGTGGTGGTTCATGGTGATGGCACTCCCAGGGTGCTAACTATTGTGGTGGTTCACGGTGATGGCACTCCTAGGGTGCTTACTATTGTGGTGGTTCATGATGATGGTACTCCTAGGGTGCTAACTATTGTGGTGGTTCATGGTGATCGCGCTTTGGCAATGGTGAGTGTAGTGCTGCCTTTGCCACTGCAGCTTAAGGTATTTGCTGGCTCTGATGGGTGCTTTGCTGCACTTTGTTTCAGGGTGATTTACCCGTGACGCTGTATCCTCAGGAGCAGCACAGCGTTCTGTTGCGGCTCGATGAATCTTTTCTCTCCTACGGGGTTCCCCAGTGGGGGGGAGGCTCTGGAACTGAATGCAGCCGAGGAAGTGTAGGACCATCTGGAGGGGGAAAGGCGGTGCTGCCTCTTTGCCTCAAGTGGTGAGGAGAATCTGGCATTTTGCGGAGCGAGGCATGCAGGAGATGCCTGACTGCTGCTGCTGCTGCTGCTCTCTCTCGCTCTGTCTCTCTCTCTTCGCTGCGTGGTGGGCGCTGCTGGTGGGGTCGCGCTGCGGATTTTTTGCCTTCGTCAGCGCATGCAGCTGTGCCTCACTCCCTCTTGCGTGTAGCTGTAGCCTTCCTGCTGCTGCAGGCACGTTGCAGGATCTAAGGGTCCAGCAGTGTGGTCTCAATTCGGCGCCGAATGTCAGCTGCCGCTTCGATCACCATTGCAGGTGTGTGCATGCTGCTGCCTCTCTCCTCTAGTATCTGCCGCGCTTGTGTCTGCATGCTGCTGCCTCTCTCCTCTAGTATCTGCCGCGCTTGTGTCTGCATGCTGCTGCCTCTCTCCTCTATTATCTGCCGCGCTTGCCTCGGCAGGGGTGTAACCTGTCTGTAGCCATGTTAGCCTGGGATTCCTTCTTTCTTGCTCTTTCTTTTTTTCTTTGTTTCTTTCTCTTCTTCCCTCTCTTTTTCCCCCTCCCTTCCTCCTTCTCTCTTTCTTTCTTTCCCTTCTTCTCTCTCTCTCTCTTTCTTTCCCTTCTTCCCTATCTCTCTCTCGTTCCCCTCCCTTCCTCCTTCTCTCTCTCTTTCTTTCCCTCCCTCTCTCTTTTTCCCCCTCCCTTCTTCTCTCCCTCTTTCTTTCTTTCCCTCCCTCCCTTCTCTCTCTCTCTCTTTCTTTCCCTCCCTCTCTCTCTCTCTCTCCTCCCCCGCGATGGCTCCCGCTTTCCGAATACACAGAGGCCCCTCCTCTGGCCGGTCGTTGCGTTGTGATGACTCGCCCTCGGAGCCGCTGCTAGTGCGTGCTACATACTGACAAACAGTGGAGACTGCTGACTGCTGCCGCTGCTGATGGGCACGTCTGTCTCATCCAAGTGCATCTCTGCGAATGATCCTTTGCCTTGCGTCGCATGCCCTCTGCTGGGTCGTAGGTAACAGTGACTTGCCTTAGCGACGGCTGTGAAGGAGGTCTTTTAACGGCTGTACTCTGCATTGCAAACCACGGATCCGCGGAAGTTGACTTGCTCGCGCTGCTCCCGAGAGACCTCCATTACCACCTGCAACCCCACTCGGCTGCTTCCACTGCCGGCACCAGTGGCAGAAAGCACGCCGCTGCACGAAGTGGACACGAGACTCCCGCCCTCATTCCTCTTAATTCGAAGAAAGATCTGGGGTGAGCTCCAAAAGGGCGATTCGCAAGTTCTTGGGGTTCTTTTCTAGGGTGTGTTTTGTCGGCTTTCCCTTACTGAGTGTGTCAGTCCCTTCTCCGCCATGAGCGCTGTAAGATTTCGATAGCCCTATAGTCGCCTGTCCCCTATGGCTGCTGCCTGTGCGACTGCTGCGATCTGCTGGTTCTTCTCCCTCTGCCGCAGACGAATCATCCCCGGCGGCAGCCACTCAGTGTACCTGCAATTTCTAGCAACCCGCAGCGGGCTTCATCCGCTGCCCCCTGTGCTTCTTGTGGATCGTCGCACAAACAGGAAGGTTCTTGCGCGGGGGGGGCAGGTGCTTGTTACGCAGTGAGGGAGAGCGATCAATTGCAGCCAGCTGATGCGCGCGAGGGAGTGCTACGTCCCCGCAGCCAGTAATAAAAGCAGGCAGGCAGGCAGGCACGATTGGCATGAATAGCCATACTAGAGGAACGTAGCTCCTTATCACAAACGGCTGTTTCTCTAGTGCTCTAGCCCTGTGTGCAGAGTTTCCTGCACCTCGCTCTAGAGACAGCGCCAGCAACGTCGCTCTGTATCTGCAGTATCCTCCCGGCGCTTGTCGCGTCTCTGACACTGACACACTCTCTGGGCAAAGTCCCTTCCCGCTCTAGAATCTGCCATGGAGGCAGGCAAGAAGCCTCACATGCATTGCGTTGGGAACGCACAAAAGCCGCAGCCAGCCGACGACTTTCGAGCTACGTCTGCGTCACTGCTCGTAGAGAGCCACACCCGATGCCGCCGCTTTGTCGCACGGTCCTGTTAGCAGCCGTACCGAGGGCTTCTCTTTGCATCCCTATACCAAGACTTTTCCCCTCCCCTACCAGTGCACTCCTACTAAACAGACGGTTGCCGCAGGAGACCAGTGGCAAGCAGCAGCAGCAGCCACCAAGTGTAACTTCATAGCCCGTCCTCGCACCGTGGCAGGAATAATGTGTGTTCCTTGTTGCTGTGGAGCCAGCTCCTTCACAGCAGCCCAAGTGTCTCCGCGAGAAGAGATGCGTTTATAATACGGCTGATTCTTGCAGAGCTCTTCTTCTGCGGGGATACTCAGTGGAGCCTCTGTTTGTGCCCGACGAAAATGCGGATTCACTAAGTGCACGAAGGACCAGCCGTGTTTCTGCACCCTAATGCAGGAAGGCCTAACCGAGGCTCGTGCGTCCACCAGCCTGCGCAAGCAGAAATGTTTGTCGCCGGTGCCTCCAGGTACAGCGTAGCCATGCACAAGACACACTCCTGTCTAGCACGTAGACCAGCCAGCGTGCAACAACCCATGGTTGCAGCCAGCCAAAACGCACATTCCAGCTCAGTCTTATCGCACAGCGATTCGGCATCTAACTACATTGTAGGCTGCCCCCCGTGCGAGTGACTCTGTAAGTCGGAAACCAGTGGACAAACGCACCCAGGCTGCTGCTGACGTAGCAGCACCGACCAGCACGCAGGCAGACGAATTTAGGAGATAAAGACATGATTCTGCTATTTGAGAACGAGCAGCCACCGCAAAAGCTGCACAGCGACAGGGTACAGCAGCTGCCGGGGGGGGCCCCCCTGGTCTTCCTGTATGCATGGGGCCCCTCCGGCCGAAGGCTTCCCCACTCTGCGAGCAGACCCCCTAAAAGCACGCACAAAACGCGGAAGTCGAAGTTTAGTTGTATAATAAGCTCATAAGAAGGAGAGAACTAGTGCACGACGCACTGTGCCGCAGTCCTGGCTGAGCCAAAATCCGCCTCCCCTGCAATGGGCGCTGCTGCCGTCCTTGCGGTGTCTGCACATACACCGGAGCTGCAGTTCTTCCTGCTGCCACGGCAGCACCTTATGCGCGGTCTATTTCCGGTTTTCTTAGGCTTTCTGCATTTCGTAGCGAGTGCAGTCTCGGGAACACACTCTTGACAGTTGGGGTGCTCGCTCGTGAATGTGCCAGCGAGAGGTCTCAAGCCTCCGAAGATTACATTGAAGGATCAGCACTGGAGACGCCGTCTGCCTCAGCAGAAGCTTCCGCAAGCGCTAAACAGGATCTCCCACGCAGCGCCCCCAGTCGCCACGCTGCAGCAGTTGCCGTCCGAAGCGCTTGCAGCACAAACAGCCAGCGGCGCTCGCTGCAGCTGCTGCACACTCACTCAGCGAACGTCGGCGCATGCAGCAGCAGGTGGGGCGACCAGAGCCTCGAATCGCTTTCTCCAGGCTCCGTCCGTGGTAGCCTCATGCGCTGCAGTTCATGTAGAGGCAAGCCTGGTTCAGTCACCGTTGCAGCACCTGCTTGCCGCAGCAGCGCCAAGCGTTCTGCATGCAGAAAACGCAGCAGCGCCAAGCGTTCTGCATGCAGAAAACGCAGCAGCGACAGCCAGACACTACAAAGCCAAGATGGACTGCGAGGGCACAGTCAGGGGAACTCTCCTGCCTCTTCCAGACAGCTCAAGCAACAGTCCAAGGAAAGCTGCATGCTACCGAGCTATTCGTGTATCCCTCTTCTTGCTAGCTTCCCTTTCAGCGCACAGCCTGCTCTGCTGCTTCGAGCTCCTGCCCTTCGTCTCGGTGCTTCCTGCTTTGCCAGTCCAGCAACAGCAACGACAGCAACAGTTGCAACAACAACAACAGAAGCAGTTGCCTTCGCCAGCGCGCCTTCTCACCGGAGCTGCACACCCCACAGGCATTTATAAAGCACGTCAGCAGCACGAGCAGCAGCATGAATCGCCAGATACTGCTTTGCTGCGGAGACACCTAACGCCACAGGAACCCTCTCCGCGAACACACGCCATCTCCAGAAGTGCTGTAGCCTCCCCCCCCATGATTTCTCGTGGCGAAGCTGCTCTCGGCTCGAAGGTGCCTCTGGCAACTCCTGCTTCGTCGGCAGATGCTGCAGCGAGAGCTCCTGCGTCGGCAGACACAGCGGAAAAAGCTGCACTCGCAGCACTGCCTCCCCACTGGCTGCCATGGCCGTGGCTTCTACAGCAGCATCCAGATGCATGCGTTGCTGCTGTCTTGACAGCTCAAGGCTTTGGGGCGGTGTGGGGTGGCATCAAAGCCGATGGACCTCTCGGGAGAACGAAGACACTCAGGCGAGGCTTGACGCTGCTCGCAACTGCAAGTGCCGCTGCAGCCGCCATCTTCCTAGTCATTCTTCGCCATGCACGACAGACAAGCGATCTCACACAAGCAGCAGCAGGAGAAGGTGGCTATCTTACAGCAGCAGGAGGTGATCTTACAGCAGGAGCAGCAGCAGGAGGTGATCTTACAGCAGGAGCAGAGGGAGGTGATCTTACAGCAGGAGCAGGAGGTGATCTTACAGCAGGAGCAGCAGCAGGAGGTGGTCTTACAGGAGCAGCAGCAGCAGCAGGAGGTGATCTTACAGCAGCGGCAGGAGGTGATCTTACAGCAGGAGCAGCAGCATTAGGAGGTGATCTTACAGCAGGAGCAGCAGCAGCAGGAGGTGATCTTACAGGAGCAGCAGGAGGTGATCTTACAGCAGGAGCAGGAGGTGATCTTACAGCAGGAGCAGCAGCAGCAGGAGGTGATCTTACAGGAGCAGCAGGAGGTGATCTTACAGCAGGAGCAGCAGCAGCAGGAGGTGATCTTACAGCAGGAGCAGCAGCAGGAGGTGATCTTACAGCAGCAGCAGCAGGAGAAGGTGGCTATCTTACAGCAGCAGGAGGTGATCTTACAGGAGCAGCATTAGGAAATGATCTTACAGCAGGAGCAGCAGCATTAGGAGGTGATCTTACAGCAGGAGCAGCAGCTAGAGCAGGTGATTGGGTGTTTCAGGATTCTGTGGCTGGTGGCTTCGTAGACGAGGCAACAGGAGCTATAAAAGCGTGGTTATATCGGTTTGCTGTTTCTCCGTATGCAAGTGTGGCCGTCCTGTGTGTGCTGCTGGCTGCGGCTGTGGGTAGCGGCTGCACTATCCTATCCACTCTTTGTCTCTGCTTCGAGGAGCCTGAGCTGTCGGGAGGAACGCGCAGAGCACTTCTCGCTCGAGGCTTTCTCTTAGGGCAGCGCCGTCCAGCTGCAGCTGGAGCAGGGGGGGGGCCCCCCTCTCCGCGTTTTGAGGGAGAAGGGGCCCCCCAGTTGGAGGCAGTGGGACGGATGCGGATGTCTCGCAGGCGCAGGCAGAAGAAGGGGCAGCAGCAGCAGCAGCAACAGCAGCACCGTGAGCGTGAGGAGTCTTCTTCCCGTCCGAGGAGGAGTCTGGCTGCTCGGGGAGCCTCTGCTGCTGCTGCTCGCCACGGCTCTATCCCCGAGACAGCGGCAGCGCCTTTGCCCACACCCCGCTTTTCGTGGATTGCAGTGCGACCTTTCGTGTTGCTGGTCGCTGCAGAAGCAGCAGCCAGGCTGCTGCTGCACAGCTTGGCGTTGTTGCTGCTGCAGCGGGGATTTGGGGGAGGCCTTCCAGCAGTTTTTTGCTGCTGCCTGCTGCTGGCGAGTGTTTTGGCAGGTGTCGTGAGTGTTGTGTCGCTCGCGGTGCTTGCAGAGAACCCCTTCGTGCTGAGGCAGAAGCTGAGGGCCCTTTTGAGACTCCGTCAGAAGCTCGCGGAAGAGGGGATGCATCCGAGGGAGCTCAGCGAGCTGCTGCAAGAACCTCTCAAGGGATGGCAGCGGAGGGCAGAGCTCCCCCCCGCGCAGGAGGAGAAGGAGGCCGCTGCTGCTGCTGCTGCTGCTGCTGCTGCTGCTGCGAAACACCCCACCGAAAGGGGCCGTAGGCGTGGGCTAGGAGGAAGCAGCAGCAGCGGCGCAGTGTCGCGAATCCAGCAGCCCTCTTCCGCCTTCCTGCTGCCCTCGTCGGCAGCTGCGGCACGACGCCAGAGCAGCACTGAAGACGAAGACGATGCGTTCTCTGTCGTGGCAGCAGCGGACGTTCCTTCGGTGCACAGCGGGGAGGGGGGCCCCCCAATTCTGAGCCGTCTTGGACCCTTGACTGTCGTTCGCAGAGGCAGCAGCAGCAGCAGTGGCGACGGCTGCAGCGAGATGCACAAGCTCTCGGAGGGCAGCCTGTCGAGCCGCCTGTTGGAGAGCAGCAGCAGATGCAGCAGCACGGCTTCTATTGGGCACGCAGGCTGGCAAGGGGGGGGGCCCCCCCCTTGCCAGGCTGCAGCCTCCTCCCTCGCTGCTGGTAGTGCTGCCCAAGCGCGAGACTCCCCCCCCCTCCCCGTGGCTCCTCCTTCTTCCAGCGGGATGCGCGTTCCTCAGCATGAGGCGGAGGTGCTGCAGCCACTGCAGCCACTGCAGCGCGCAGCTGCAGTGCGACTTTCTCTTGCTTCTGCGCAGTCGTCCTTTCGCAGCGAGGCTTCTAGTCTGTTGGACCCTCTGTTGCAGCAGACGCCTCCCGCGCAGACACCACGTGCCTTCCGCCGTGGCAGCCACGAGAAGCTTGCCCACTGCGCCCTGACTGTGTGCGCCTCCCCGACTTCAGCGACGCGGCTTCCCGCAGCAAGCGCTCAGCAGCAACGGCAGCAGCTGCTGCTCGAAAGACTTTGGAAGGCCGTCGGAGAAAGCCATTGGTGGCTTTCGGGAGCTGCACCCTGCTACAAAGCGTTTCTGCTTCACTCCCCACGTGCTCTTGCGGGGATCTGCATACCTGCTGCATGCATTGCTGTGGCCATCTACTCGCGAGGCATCTACAGGCTGCTCCTAGTAGACGCAGCGGTTGCACAGAAGGCACCCGCGGCAGCGGCTGCAAGCACCTTGCAGCGCATGGTGTGCATCAAAAGCAGCATCAGTCTCTTCCTCGCAATGGTGCCCGTGCTGATGGGGCGCTACTTTGCTCCCCAGCCTTTGCAGCTCTTCTCGTGCACTGTGGCGGCTTTCATTGCCTTTGGGATTTTTCTGTCTCTAGAGACGGTTGCAGCACTTTTCCCGACCGCGCCGCCCCTCTCCGCTTCTGTCTCAGCGTCTCTCCTGTACGAGATAACGTATGCCTCCCCCAATTTCGCGCTCCATTTAACGGCCTCCTTCCTCCCGCTGCAAGCGTTTCACACTGCAGCAAGGGGCACTGCGGCAGCGGCCGCTTTCGCTGGCGGCAGAGGAGCCGCTGCCATGGCGATCCTGCTGCTAAGGTTCTCCTCCTTGCGCGCATGCAGCGACGACGTCTGCTGCACTGCAAGACTTGCCAGCTTCGTGAGCTGCTGCTGCCTCGTCGCGGCTGCAGCGAGCACGCTCCTCCTCACGCCTCACGTTCGGGTGTCTGCTGCGACCGCTGCAACTGCTGCTGCCGAAGCTGAAGCCGCTGCAGGCACGCTTGCCGTGATAGCGGCTCAGCAGGAAGAGGAGCGTGGCAAGCCACTGCCTCTCGCGGAGAAAGCGGTCGAACGGCAGCGGGGGGGGAGCCTCAAGGCCAAGACACACAGAGAGACAGAGCCCATGCTGCACGAGCAGCAGCGGGCAGTCTTGCAGCAGCAGCAGCAAAAAGAGCAGCACCTGTACTGGCAGAGTGGCGCTCCTTCCAACGCACCGGCTGCTCAGGAGCGTTGGAGTGCGCGGCCAAGTTTCAGCGAGCTCCATGCATTCGAGGAAAGCGCAAGCTTGACTGCGGTGTTGCAGCAGCAAGAGCAGCCCCTCACGGATCCACATGTGCTGCAGCAGCAGCTGCTACGGGGAGAAACCACAAAGGGAATGATTGGGGTACTCGACAGGCTGCACGAGGCAACTATCTCTCCTGTCGGCTCCTCTTCGTGCCCTAGTCCTCGGCAGCAAGCATCCAAAGAGCCGTAGCAGCAGCATGAGGGAAGGCAGCATTCGCACAGGCACCATCAGCGGCCAGTCACCGCATAATGTAAAGGGCTGTATGCGACAGCCTCCTAGTACATAAGTAAAAAATATAGATATATATGTATCCCCCTCCTTGAGAGACGCCGTTGCGCAGCGGCAACAAACAAGCCCTCGCTCGCCTTTAGCTAAACGGCGGCAGCAGCTTTCATCTCGGATACTTCTGCCCCAGAGTGCTCTAGCAAAGAGGCTGCTGCAGCCTCGTACAGTAACGAATACACAGGGAGTTTGCAAAGGCCTTTGGGCTGAGCAGCCACGCCGTGACTAGCTGCATGCGCTGAAATACCTGCTGGTGGTGCTGCGACCTCTCTAACTTACACAGCACCAATATATTTAGGGCAGCAGCACAACCGCAAGCAGTAGAAACAGCAGCAGCAGCAGGTACACGCTTGCACTTTCCTCAGCCCCTCCCCTCCTACAAGGCCGGAGGCGAGGAGCGAGCTTCTCTAAAAATAGCAACAAAGCACACGCCGCCACGGCAGCAAATGCTGCTAGAGCTGCAGCGAAAGCTGCTGCTGCTGCTGCAGCTGAACCGCGCATTCAGTAACTGCATGCTGCAAGAACTCCAGCAGTTCCTGGAGTATATATATATATATATGTCAACTCAAATAGCCTCGCTACGCTAGCAGCTTTAGGTCGATCCTGCACTGCGTTTGTTGCATTCTATTCGCGAAATCCCCGTCCCTCAAGTGAGGCATTAGATGCGGACTCTGCGGGGGGTACAGACATCGGCTACCACTATTTAGATTTCTTCGCGCCACAGCACGACAGATCGATTTTCGCTCTATGTCTAGACCTTCCCAAGACAGGCCGCTGCTCCTCCTGCTGCAGCTGGGTGCGCCGTTTCTGCTGCTGCTGCTGCTGCTGCTCGGGAGGCTTGGGAACGGTGATAGGACGTGTTGAGCGAGACACTACGATGTGGCGATCGTCTGCAGCAATAATAGGCACAGAGAGAGGTCGCTGGGAAGGTGCTGCATGCAGGTCGTCTTGGGTGTATGCATGTGCGCGCATGCATGCACCCATGCACCCGCACTTCCTGACAAGCTCTCCCTTCGTGCACGGTTCAAGCCTTATTGTTCACGTGGAAGCAAGGCATCAGAACTAGGGCTGAACGTGAACGTTCTTTTCATACCGAGGAGAGAGCCGTTGAGCATGAGGGCTGCCATGACGGCGCAGTCATCCCGGAGTTTCACAAAGCCAAAGCCTTTGGATTTGCCGTCGGGGTGTCTGAACAGCAGCAAGCGCCCAGCAAACGGCGCACCACCACTACCACTGCCGACCCCTTGTCTTACGAGGTGAGGGTGTGCCACGCGCGGGAGCAGAGGCAACATGCGCGGACGGTGGCTGAAGGGGACGAAGGAGATACTATTCATGCAGAAGAAACAGTTATGGGAAGCGGATGGAGGAGTTCGCAAAGGACAGCCTCCGGGATAAGCCGCCTTCTTAAACAGCGGCAGCAACATGCATCGATGCACTCGCAGCAACACTGCGCAGCCTACCTGCAAATAGTTATCTCCTCTGGGTGCCCTGTCACAGGCGCAAAGTGCTGGGCAAGGGCAGTCTCAGTGGTGGAGAAACTCAAATTCTTGACGAATAAGACACCTGCCTCGGCGTGCTGCTCCGCTGCTGTATTTTTCTGGCGTCGCTTATCCACCTGAAAATCCGCAGGCAGAGCATATCGCACGGTTCACACATACAGATACACATATACACATATACACATGTACACCTACACAGACATACAGATACACAAACACACACATATATATACAGATACATACACATACAGATACATACACATACAGATACACATACACATATACACCTACACAGACATACAGATACACATACACACACATATATATACAGCAACCACGTGCACTCGCATATATATATACATATATATATATATGTACAAGCAGTAGCTGGGAACGAAATATCCAATGGCAACAGATGAAAGCCGTGCACCGCCACAGGGGCTTTTTTACGACACACACAGAAACGCAGCGAGACGGCGCTAGAAAAGCACCCAACTGCCATATAGATATATATATATCTATATAGATGTATATCTACATGTATTTATATATATCTATGTATGTACTGTGTGCAAGCCAATGGCGTGGGATTAAACGCAGCACAGGAGGCGGTCCAGAGAGGCACTCCAACGGAGAGGCCTCCCAGCTGCGCTACAGAGAGCAGCTGCCGCGAGGCTAAACTTGCAAGAACCACCAAGAAGAGAAGGAGAGACAAGCCGCCGACAAGCGAGACTGCTGAGACATGAGGCTTGAATGGGGGAGACACCCCAGAGGCAGGGGGGGTGGGTATGGAGGGGATTTGGATTTAAGAAAAGACGGGGGTGCTATCAGAGGAAGGGAAGGGTGGATGTGAAAGGCACAGCAGCCAGCGCTGCGTAAGCGCGAGAAATTAAAGCGTGATGTTGGCAAAAGAGGAACATGACGCAACACTCATTCATACAGAGCCGCGCAACTCACTTGTGCGAAAAGGCGGCAAGGCAACCGATAAAAACATGGCGATGAAGCCTGGGGAAAGGATGAATGGATAGGAGGGAAAAGCGGGGGTTTTCTTGAACTCACTTTGTTGATCGGCGCAACAACCCATCGATGACTTTTCATGGGGATGGAGGGAGCGAGGAGAAAAGGATACCCTAACACCTTCATGGGGGGAAGGCGGGGGGAGGCTTCTGCAGGAGCATCTTCATTCGCTGCTTCCACTTGCTCGTGTTGCGCTTCATGAAATCTCTTCAAGGCTGCTACCGCTGCTTCATGGCTCTCGAAATCTAGATATCCATACCTACAAAACAGCCCGCAAAGCGCAGCTGCACAGGCATGCGGCAGCTGCCATCCTGCCTCTGCTCGGGTAGGCAGACAAGTGCTTTTAGTGCGAAACACGCATGGACGGAAGAAGAGAGACATGCAGATACAGACACCCCGTGCAAGCCAAAAAAGAACGAGCGAGAAAGCACAGGAGGGGGGAGAAAAACAAGAAGCGGCCTGCCCGACAAAAAGAAGAGCTTCGACAGAGGTGCATTTCAGCTGCAGGAGGAACCCACAACACATACCCCTTGCTTTCAGTGGGGTTGTTGGTGGCCGCTTTAACTAATCGCACGGCTGTAATGCCTTGAAATCCCAGTGTGTCTCTCAGCTGTGTCTCCACGTAGGTTTCGGAAACATCGTGTCGCGGCAAATTGCTAATAAACAGCGTCTTTTCCTCATACACAGCTTTGGTTGGCTGCGAAGGAAGCGCCTTTAAAGGACGCTCATTCACGTGATATCCGTGAAGCGCAGCAGCTGCAGCTACCGCAGCCTCGGGGGAGCAAAAGTCTGCATAGGCAAAGCCTTTGGAGTGGCCCCTAAAGTCTTTCACTAAGCGAAGCTGCACAAATAGATAGACAGACATTCATAGACAGAAAGGTACACATAAATACATACATATGTATACAGACATACACATATATATAGAGATACATTTATACATACACACAGAAATACACTTGCTCGCACTCACGGGAATCTATAGATATATATATATATATAGATACATATGCATATCTATATAAATACATAAAGTGCACTTAGAGGCTGCAGGTGGATGTACACCTGCGACGCATCTGCTGCCACAATGTCTAGTTAGAAACAACGGCAGCATCCAGATGTGCAGCTTCTCGAAAGACATTTACAAGAGCAGCAGCGCCATCATGAGGAGGCGCAGGAGCAGACTTCTTGCCTGAGTCAGTCCTTGCGTAAGCTTGTTGATGAGTTGCTCCAGCTGCGCTTCTGTGACAGAGACGTCAATGTTAGAAAGCCACAGCGTCTTCGTCTCTGGCACGTGAGGCACAAAATCGAGCTGTCCTTCTTCAAGTGAGACAAGGGCCTCTCGCCTGACTCCAAAGGCAAGGATGCGCAGACAACACCTTGAAAGCGACACACTGTCGATCTCAGCATGCACGCAATATATACGTATATGCACGAAGACAGCTGCCAAGCAAGCAGACTTCCACTCACGCCGCAGAGAAGGCAGTGTTTTTTTCGTTTGACTGCAGGTACAGAGAGAGAGACAGAGACAAAGAGCTACGAGAAAGCCGTGGGTATAAATACTCCTCAGAGGCAGCAAATGGCCACTGCTCGAGAAAGCACCAGGCGTGACAACATACGTGAGCTGCCTATGATGTTTTCCCATCTGTGGCGTTGGTGTGTGTCTGTTTTCTGCTGCTTCTGGGGATGACGAGGGGCCCCCATCAACAGCCATTCCGTCCAAATCTTTCGACTGCTCGGTTGCGATTTCGGAAGCCACGCAAGACTCTGGAATCGCTGCAGGCGCTGTGGGAGAATCCGTTTCTGAGCTCTGCATCACCTCTGGCGTAGTGTTACATTCCTGCAGGGGATGCTGTTGCGCCTGCTGTAGGTGGGCGTAGTTCTCCTCTTCTGGAGTATCCGCACTCGCCGCGAAAGTTCCCCCTCTGCCGCTCTGCTGCTGCTGCTGCTGCTGCTGTTGCAGCCGACGAAGCTGCCGTCGGGGGGTGAAGGGCGGCGGTGGCATGTCTGTGGTGTGCGTGTCTTCCTGCTGCTGTTGTTGCTGCTGCTGTTGCTGCTGCTGCTGCCTGCTGTTGCGCCGTTTCTCTGGTGCTCCTCCAACGAGCGGCGCAGCCGATGCAGGCAGCGACAAGGCAGGGAGGAGGAGAGCGAGGTGGGGGGTGTTACTGCCGCTGCTGGTGTTACTGCCGCTGCTGCCGCTGCTGCTGCTCTCGACGGGGGAAGGCAGAGAAGAAGCAGCAGCAGGGACGGCAGAGGGCAGCGCAGCGGTGCTATGCGGCGAGAGAGCATGTGGAGAAGGCAGCGGGGAGGGAAGCTGCTGGTTTGGAGACAACAAAGCCGTAAGCGAAGGCGAAGATGAGGGAGATGAAGGAGGCACTGGGGGTGCAAGGGAAGGATCAGCGGACTCATGACCGTTCCACGTTGCGCGTGTTGCTCTCTCGATGTCTGCCGCTGCTGCTGCTACTGCTGCTGCTGCTGCTGCTGCGGGAGACTGCCCCTCTCCAGCGGCTGCAGGCTGCTGCTGCTGCGACTGCGGAAGAACTATGGCGGGAGAAGGCGAGCGACTGCGGATCATTGGACTCCTCCTGCTGCTAGGCGAGGGAGAACGCGAAAATGACGGGGAGGAAATGTCTCCTGCAGCAGCAGAAGCAAATGCAGCAGCGGCTGCATCTTGCTGCTGCTGCTGCAGCATCGCAGCTGCTAGCCGCAGCCGCTTCGACAGTCCACTCCCTGAACCTTGCAACGCTCCTGACGCCAAGTCGGAGGAAGAGGCGCCTCCTTGCTGCTGCCCGCCTTCTGTGCTGCAGTCTGACGCTGTATCCCACTCTGTATCTCCCTGGAGCCGCTGGCGCTTCTGACGAAGTCGCCGAATGCTGCTTAGGCATTCCACCTGGTGCAACTTCGTCACGACACAACAGCACAAAAACACAGCAAAAATAACTCAAAAAACCATCGCACTCCACAGCACGATCCACACCACTCCACAACACCTGCACACTCCACCGCCTTCCCATCCCTTCAAGAAGCCCTCTCAACACTATTTCCTAATCTTCCTAACTCTCCTAATCCTCACTACCAATCTCAACTCTCCCTATTCGTCCTCCTAAGCCTCTCAATTCTCGCAATCCTCGCTCCGAATCTCAACTCGCCCTATTCGTCCTCCTAAGCCTCTCAGTCCTCCCTCCTAATCCGCCTAATGCTCTCAATCCACCCTCCTAATCCTCTAAATTCTCTCAATCCTCACTCCTAATCTCAGCTCTCCCTATTCATCCTCCTAAGCCTCTCAGTCCCGATCCTCCTAATTCTCTCAATCCTCCCTCCTAACTCTCCTGATTCTCTCAATCCACCCTCCTAATCCTCCAAATTCTCTCAATCCACCTTCCACGACATCCCCACTCCCTCTCTTCCTCCCTCTTGCTCAGTGCCTCTTCTACCATTCTTTCCCCCATCACGCACCCTGAGACCATGCATCTCTCGCGTTGGAACGTCCATGTATTCGCACTCTCCGTCTTCCTCGATCTCTTCTTCCGCTGCTGTGCTGCTTTCTGCTGCTGATGCTACCACAGCGCTACTTGCCGCTGCTGGCGCTGCCGTTGCACCGCCTGCTAGTGCCTCCAGCAGATGAGCGAATCTGGCAGCTAAGCTTGTGCGCTGCAGAAGGACAGACAATAACCCAAAAAACGCAGAGAGGGGGAGGGTTGGAGACTCTTAGCGAGAAAAGCTGCCAGGCATGCCTTTAGCCATGCCCGAAAGCGGTGCATACAAAAAGCCGGAAGGAGGAGGGTGTGTGCATGCATTCATGCATGCACGAACAAAGCGGGAAAATGCAAAACAAGAAAACCACAGAAACAGACGATTTGATGAAATGAGGAGAAGAAGGAGAAGAAAAAGAAAAGCTACAGAAATAGACGCTTTGACAAAATGAGAAGAAGAAGAGAAGCCACATAAACAGCAAGCACGAGGAGTGGCAGCAACATGAAGCGCGAACCTCTCCAGGGGATTGCAGATACACCGCCGCTCGTGTCGTCCATGTCTGCAACAATGTGGCGAGTCTACGCTGTTGACGCTGCCGTGGCATTTGCCTCCGCTGAGACGTTTTCTGTTTCGGCCCGATATATGAAAGCAGCGTCTCTAAAAGAGCACCCACATCCAGGAGAAGGTTCTCATCACATGTTTTGCACATGCGCTCACAGACTGAGAGGGCTTCTTCCTGCACGGACTGCAGCAGCAAAAGCATCAGACACACACAGACACACACACCACAGCAGCAGCCACACCATGCAGCATTATTATCCGCTGTCGCTGCGGTGGCTCTATGGGCGCCACAAATGCAACAGAAAAGGCGAGCAATTAAAGCCCGTGAGAATTCATGGAGCGTGTGTGAACACCTGAAGATGTGCAAACTCCCGGAGTAACTGTAAGCGCTGCCGATGAATGCGCAGCACCAGTGAGGACTGCTGCTGTTGTTGCTGCTGCTGTTGCTGTTGCTGCTGTTGCTGCTGATCGGCGTGCTGCTGATTGATGTCTGTGGCACTTGCATCCGCGAGACTTTGATCTGCTAGCTGCTCTGCGCGTGAGAGGGCCTTAAGGGCTTCCTCAATAGCCGCTTCTTGTTGATTCTGCCGCTGGATGCTGTCAGTTTCCTCCTTTGCAGCTTTCCCCCCCCTCCCTGCCCACAGCGCCAGAGCCTTCGCGCCTTCAGCGCAGGCCAGGTGTATGTACACCCCAGCCTTAGGCCGTGCGCTACACGCAGCCACCGCTGAATCTCTGGCCTTGCAGATAGCTGCCAAGGAAGCACCTCCACTGCCCTGTAGTATTAAAAAAAACAGAAAACGAAACGGCGAAGAGAGGCAGTAATAAAGGCGAGCTTTTGCCACGGTGAAAAAAAAAGATCTTTCAAGATTCAAGATGGATGCCACACAGCCAGACATCAACAACAGAACTCACGAGAGAAGCGACGTATTTGCACCAGAGCTGCGAGTCTTGCGGAAAATGGCGGATCGCACGCTGCAGCACCTGCCGCAGTGTATGCTGCAGATAGGATGGTGATAACGCCTTTCGGCTTGCTGCTTCTGCCGCTGCTGCTGCTGCTCTCGCTGCTGCAATCGCTGCATGCTCAGACGCGGCTGGATCGGGGGCATCTTCACCCGCATCCCCTGCAGCAGAAGGGGCACTAGCGGCAGCAGAAACTGCCAACGCTTCTGCTCCCAGAGTTTCTGCGTCCACGTCTTCTTCTTCCTGTAAATCGGTTGGCATTGCCGCAGCAGCAGCAGCCGTGGCAATGTATTCTGCACAGTCTCTCCACAGCTCAGGGCCTAACGCCCCCAACTCTTCCAAAGCTCTGCTGAAAGTTACAATTACTCGCGCAGGAAGCCGAGTCTGCTTCTCGCTTTCTATGTATTCAGCCCACACGCGAGATATCGACTGCGCGCGCATCAAATACACCCCGGGCAGCACACACATACACACACACGTGGACATATAGGTACATATATATATGTACAGATATATATATGTATATATATATAAACACATACTAATACATATACTCATGTATGTATATATACATACATACATACACATACATACGTATATGCACAACCAACCAAAACAAAAGCAGCAGCGAACGAGCACACCTTTGACAGCAATCATCACGCCCCTCTCTCAAGCTACAGCATGGAATTGATGGCCAAAATTCATTTCCCTCAGAAAAACACTAGCACCAACACGATCGTGCATCTTCACTCCATTCCTCTCCCCCCCTCATATCTCCCTCTGTCTGTCTCTCTCGCTCTCTCTCGCTGCATCCTCATTGCCAGCGCACGTGTATCTGCCGATTTGCCTGGTCTTCATCCAAGGCATTTTGTATGTTCATCTCTAGAGCCTTTCGACTTCTGTGCCACTCTGCACTGCCCTTTGCATGCAGTGCCGCGCCGATTGAGAAGGCCGCCTCGCTGCCGGTATGCTCAAGCTCCCAGACTCTAAGAGCACGCAGCACACTTCAGAACAAGCCTAGTTCAGTGACAGAGGCACCAATTGAGTAAATTCACATGCATACATACACATACAGTACACAAAAATACGCTCGTTTCTAAGTACATACACATTTATACACACATCTATGCATATTTATGCGCATACATATATACACATATTTGTATACACAGATATACCTCTTTATACATATATGCACTTACATTTGTATACATACATACACATGCGTATAATAGATATATATATATGCATACATAGACATACAGACAGCCCCACGGGGATTGAGACACAACGTGGCGCCGCAGCAGCCGCAGCAGGCGTGTGCATGCGGCTCGAGCTTCCCCCCGCTGTTTCTTTTCACGCTTTAGGGATCCTTCTTCCTCAGAGCAAGCTGTCCAAAGCAACACGACCCTCATGACAGAGAGAGGAAAAAAAAGGCAGAAAGGAAGGAACAAGAGCAAGAGACACAAGCAAGGGAGCAGGATATGCAGAATTGGTGACAAAGACGCATCGAGAGAACGTTTTGTGGGGAGCAGACGAAATACCGATATTCATCCAAGAGATCCCCCAGGCCCCCGAGGGGCAGCTGTAGCTGTCTGTAGAAAAGCGATCTGATCCGTGCGATCTGCATGCGTTCTTGCAGCTGCTGTCTGTTGCTGCAACTCTGCCTGTGACGAAGCAGCTGCGCTTCGAAGTGTCTGTACGCCGCCCAAAGGCAGGGGCCCTCGAGCGCATGCAGTGCGAAGCTGCGAAGGGCACGTTCGAAGGCGCAGCGGATTTCCGCCTCCTTTTCTGCAGCTCCTCCCGCCTCAAGATGTCGGATATAAAGCAGCCACAGAGACACCGAGGGTTGGAGCCTCAAGCCAAGCTCGAGGATCGCCTTGACTTCGTCCGCACTGCCGCTGCTGCTGTTGGTGAGACTGCTACTGCTCAAGGGGTTGCCAGTGACACCGCTGCTGCCAGTGACGCCGCTGCTGCCAGTGACACCGCTGCCGCTGCTGCCTCCATTGCTGCCGCTGCTTGCACTGCCGCTGCTGCCGCTAAGGCGCCGCTCAGCCTCAATCCACTGCAGCAGCAGCTCCTCGTCGATTGGGCAATGCTCTGCGTATGCTCTCTGAACTTCTCGTGTCTGAAAATAAAAGCAACAGAAGCAATAAACGGCTCGCCTCGCGCATGCGACTCTGGCAATGCGACACTAGAGGCAGAAGCACAGGCAAGCACAGCCACACCAGCAAAACGATCGGCGACAACACCATCTAAGCCACCAACTTGCCTTTGCTGTGTTGCCCAAAGTGGCGAGGACTCTCAGCGCCGCCTCGTAGTGACTCGCCTTCCATGGATCTCTCTTGATCTGCTGCAACAGGTGTTCAGCCTGTTGCTGTAGCTGTTGTTGTTGCTGTAGCTGTTGTTGCTGTAGCTGTTGTTGCTGTTGCTGCTGTTGTTGATCAGAAGTGCCGTCGGGGGGGGCCCTTAGCTCCGTCGCGCAGTCTCCCATCGCGCCTTGCTGAAGGATCGCCTTGGTGGACTGGTGCGGCTCTGCAGTGCGTGAATTACAAACCTGCGGCAAGAAAGATGCCGTTCCCTGCGTTCGAAGCAGACTTTTTGCCGTTGTTCTCTGCTGCTGCACACGGTGTTTCTGCGCCACCAGCCCTGCAGCCGCCGCATGCGCTCTGATGCACTCGCATGGAAGCCTTGCATGCCCTTCACAAGGAGCACAAACGTCGCTGCGGGGGCACCACTCCAAAAGGCAGCAGCGGCAGCCGCGCTGGGCAGCAGCAGCAGCGCAGCAGCCGTAGGTTTCGTTTTCTGCGGGAGCCACCGACAAAGCAAGGTACTCCCGTAAATGAAACACGCACAAAAAAACATTCACATTGAGAGAGCAGCTTGCTGCTGCCTTGAAAGAGGGCCAGCAAGTGCAGCACCCGCTTCTGCTCCTGCGGCAGCACCGGTGTCACGCAGCCACCCCCTAAACTTCTGGTAATAATGATGTTAGCTCATGTCCTCATATCCTTTCTCTCGAATTAAATCAGACACAGAAAATTCCTTTTAGGAGCGACGCGAAGCTGTCTTCTCTATTTCTTTTAAAACCTCTCCTCGAACTCTGGTCACACGGGGGGGGGCCCCCAACCCGGAGGGGCCCCTCCGCCATCATGGCCTCCACACGCCTCTCCCTGAACATGAGGGTTGTAAGCGACAATCCGAAAGTGTGTGGTCGTAAATGGGCTGTTGTTTGTACGAACTTTGCCAGCTCAAGTACTGCAGTACAAGCGCTGGACAGCGCGTTGCACCTGGTAGACTGTAGCATGAACTCTGCAGCTGTCACACACACACACACACATATATATATATATATATATACCTAGCAGCAAGCACGTCTGGAGACTTCGTTGGTGAGATATCGGACTGTTCATTTCCACACGGAGGAGTCTCGGGTACAAGAAGTGCAAACCGGGTGTCTCTTAGGCGTGGTGTGTGCGTTTAATGCAAGCGCGTAGCCCCCCTCTCCTGCCTGCGAACTGGGGTGTCTGTACACCATTAGGCTCGTTCTATTGCTGCCCCCGTGTTGGCAGCGCGCACGCTTGCCGCATTGCTGTGAAGGATGATTGCCGGGTAGCTTCGCATCCATAGGACACGCTACACAGACGCCATGACTCCTGCACCGGGTGTTTGAAATTAAGAATTAACGGAGCATCGACTATAGGGTTCAGCTGCCCGTCATGTGTCTTATTACTGCAACGTGGCGCTAGCTCGATACAAGAAAAAGCCGTGTTGGGACGTTGTGCAGGCTAGATGCTCTTTGGGCTACTGACGGAGTTCGATCGAAGTGCGTAGAGAGTGCAACTGCGCCCCTTAAAACCGACCCCTTCCCCTCATCGCGGAGGGAGAAACTCCGAGGGATGTAAACAACGGGAGGCAAGAATTATTTTGAGAAGCACTCAATAATTTTCTATCGGGCCTGCACTGAGTCGCGTGAATGAAGCCTGTCTTTGTATGTCTCTCTGTATCAATATATATATATATATATATATATATATATATATATATCACAAAGGTGGCGCCATGCGAAGCGTTGCAATCAGCATCATACAAAGAACAAAGAGAACTCGGATCCAAGAGGGGGCGGCGAGTGGCGGCATGAGGCAATGTATGTCGATTTTGTTCTAAGAACGAAACTGGCAAGCCTCCGATTCACTGCACATCAGTGCGACGCCCCCAGAGTGCCCGCAGAAGGTGGGCCCCCTGAGGCCTTTAGGGAACTCATGAAGATTACTTTTCTTACGTAGGCAAGCCGCAGTCACGAAGCGTGTGCCGAAGGAAGGGCGGAGGATAGCATGTGAACTAGGCAGAAAAAGGATACAGTGGGCGGATGCACACCGACATTCTGTGTACGGACAGTTTAAAAAACCTTTGGCATGTGTTGCTGCATGCAAATTCGTCCTGACTCGCGTACTACAAGCGCCTAGGTTGGCGGGGACATACGCGCATGCATGCACGCACGTCTTGCCAGTCAATGCGCAATGTCGACCTCATTATCAGACTCCCAGATCGCGTGCTCACGCTGAGCCTGCGCATGAAACTCGCAGAGGACTGACGCCTAGACTGAACAATAGCTGTGCACTTCACGCTTGACTGGCCATAGGCACTGACTATTCTCCTTCCTCCTTCCCACACATAAACCCCCACGCAGAAGGCACTACCTCCAGCAGCTCCCCCGCGTGTCTGGAGATGCCCTTGTTTCCGCCTGCCACACACGATACGAGTTTGCACAACTCCCCATCCTACCCCCCGTGTCTCACTTCTTTGGCCCTTTTCGTTCTGTAAAACGAGTCCATGACGTCAGGCCTCTCCTCCCAGTCCATCGCGCAAAGCTTGAGCACCGGCATTTCCTCGTAAGCCTAAGGGCACATGCATTTCCACGTGAAGGCCTCTATTGAGCAACATTCATGCCTCTATTCGCGAGCAGCGCTTCCGCCTGCGTCATTACACCTGGAAGGCTTCAGCACGCAGGCGAAACTTGAACTGAATGCCTGCTCTTACTTCCTAATACCCGTCTGTCTGAATAAACGGACCCCGAGGGAGTATACACCCTGCAGCGCATTGGCTCATATCTCCCTCTCAACAAAGCCTCTTGAAGGGCCTTGAGTGCTTCTCTGCCCGCGAAAACACCCCTTGCTTGCATCCACAGTTTGCTTGCCTTTGTGCCGAAGCTTGGCTTTTCGTCTGCCTCGTCGTAGAGTGCCGCCTCGCATAGCGGCTGCAGATGCCCTAGACGGAAGAGGGGGCCGCAGTTGACAAGGCATTCTTCCATGTGCAGCAGCTCTTGCCCCTGTTTCTTCAAGAGCACCAGATAGGGGAATCCCTCGAAATGAACCTACGTCAGAGAAAAAAGGCGAAAGCACTGCTGCCTCTCTCCTGCATTTTCCGGCTGCCACTTCTCGCCTTCGAGCTCCTCCCCTCTGTGCGTTGGCGTCGCTTACGCGCGACATCTCCGGCTCCCGTGGGAGTGCGTGCAGGACTGCGCATCCCCGACACTTACTTCGTGGAAAATAAAGGTATCCTTGAGTCGCCTAACATCCAGGATAGACCGCGAGTCATTCATCAGCGAGGTTATGTTGAAATAGTGCTCTGCATCGATGCACATCCAATCTCTTCCCGGCAATACGATGGTTCCATCCGGCTGCAAGCCGAGCTCTGTGAGAAGAAAAACACAAAACTCGTCTTGCACAACAACCGCGGGATCAACGGGGAAGCTATAAGAGATCCTTCAGAACCCCTCTGCAAAGGCATGCGAGCCGCATATACATCTGCGCACTTATCAGCGGACGAAGCAGCGTTCAGGGCAGCCGCAGTAGCAGAAGAAGCAACGCCAGCAGCAGCAAAAAGCCAGCAGCAACAAAACGGCAACAACAAATAGGCAGCAACAAAAAGGCAGCAGCAACAATAAGCCAGCAACAAAAAGGCAGCAACAACAAAAAGGCAGCAGCAAAAAGACAGCAACAAAAAGCAGCAACAAAAAGGCAGCAACAAAAAGGCAGCAACAACAAAAAGGCAGCAACAACAAAAAGGCAGCAACAGCAAAAAGGCAGCAACAGCAAAAAGGCAGCATTTCTCGGTGCAGTCTGTTTGTCTCTCTGCCTGCCTGCCTGTACCGTGTGCTCTGAAAGTGTTACCTTCGCTAGGAATGCTTTTATGCTGATCCTCACTGTCTTCACTGCCCTGCCCTTGCTGCTCTTTATCGCGCTTTCGACTCGCCAACGGGTGAAAAGCGATGTATCGCTGTGCCTTAGCCTGCACAAACGCCTTCGAGTTTGAATCCCATCCGCAGCTCATTCCGTAATCCATGGATATGCTTTTCAAGGGAGACAAGCAAATGCTTTCTTCCAGAATGCTTCCACCTGCATATACACCATAGGCCTCTCCATCAGGGTACCCCGTCTTGCCGCTGTCGGCAGTCTTTGAAGGCCAGAAATCACTGACTGCATGCACGAAGCCGTTGCTGCTGCTGCAGTTGCTGCTGCTGCTGAACTTGCTGCTGCAGTTGCTGCTCCTGCTCTCCATGGCACTTGCTTGCACAATGTCGTATCGCACTTCTCCAAGATAGGCGCCAGCAACAATGAGCTCCTCGCGTCTCAAGTGGGGCCCTGCGCCGGATCAACAAAGAAGAAGACGAGCTTGTTTTCTGAGCACACACTTCCCCCTGCGCTGCGTTTCGTTCTCTCTCTCTTCCCGCTCCCCTCCTCATCTTCCCTCTGCCCCCGCTTCCTTCATCCTAGCCACCTGCCCACTGATGCGTCTTCATACCGAAGCCCAAAATCTGCAACTGCCGCAGCACCACTCTGCCCTCCTATCAGCAGCCGTGCGTCGCCCATATACACCTCCTTCCTTCCCTCCCTCCCCCTCCACTCTCCGTACCACTCTCCCTCCCTCCCCCCTCCACCTACTCTCCCTTCCCTATCAAGAACAAGAACAATAACAAGAACAACAAGCTGCACACTTCTACGCGTCTCTCAAATATCGAACGAGCCCTATCGACCTCTCCATCTCCCCTCCCCCTATCAACGCACGCATACTCGACGCTGCCGTCCACACGACAGCAGCAACAAAAGCGTTCAAGCCACCATCGACAACAGCACGCGAGAGACACCTAACCTGTCCAGAAACACCCCACAACGTCTGCGCGATCTTTTTTTCGCAGCCCTGGCATCCCCCGAATATGGTGATCTGTGCGCTCAATCCGCGCAGGACGTAGCAAGTCATGAGTTATGCCTTCGGTGATGGCGAGAAGAATCTCTTCTTTGAGGCTTCGCGGAGGTGCGAGAGGCCCTCTATCGGCTGACCGCATGGGAATAGCTACCGCGCGGCGAAGATCTATCGGGCATCTTCCCCCCAGCGTAATGGAAGTTGCACTCAGATAGCCTGTGCTGCCTTCGAGCTGCGACAGAGCTAGCCACAGCTCCCTTGGCTTCGATCCCCTCAAACGTCTTGGAACGCAGGCGGGGGAGACAGCCGCTGCAGGGGGTGTCTTAGCGACTTCTGCCAGTGTTGTCTGCGGCACTGCTGTTGCTGGAGTCGGTGTTGTGGGTGAAGATCGTGGCAGAACTGTGGGAGACAGCGGGGAGCAAGGCGGGGTAGGGGGTGTTGGTGAATAAGCACACGGGGGAGAAGGAGGAAAGCTCGCGGAAAAAGACTCCGGAGGGGGAGATGGCGGAGGCACTTCATCGGAAATAAAGACGTAGCTTGTCGTTACCACACGGCCTCGATCAGCGGCAACTTGCTCCACTGTCTGAATCTGAAAAAGCGAAAAGCGACACACAGTGTGAGCCTGCGTACAATAGACGGGCAGAGCGCTTCCGACCGAAGACAGGACGGCTGGGCATGCATGCATGCATGCCCTTGGGTGTTGACTTCGTGAGCTCTCGGGAATGTATTGTCACGATGCATGCGGGCATGCATGCAAATGGAAGGAGGGGAGGAGTATGCAGGCAGTGGGAGGAGGATTCTACTGTGTGTATGTGTGTATGTGAATGGGTGTGGACAGTGCGAAGGGCCTTTTTGCTGTGTGTGGTCTTATCAACAATAGCGCCTGAAGGGTGGGAAGGATGATGGGGGTGGGTAGGAGTAGTAGGAGTAGTAGTAGTATGTGCAAAAGGTGTGTACGTATGTATGTATGTGTGTATGTGAGTGACCATTGGGGGCCCCCTTTAGGCCCGTTATCCCTTTTTTTTAAAAAAAGAAGAAAGGCTTTCCGTTTCCTCCCCTATCCCCCTCTCCTTTCCTGGATGCCTCGTCTCCATGACTCTAGGAAAGGAGTCGGGGGGAGCGAAGGGAACGAGGGAGATAGGGATGTCAAGGAGAGGGGATATTGGGGGAGAGTGGGGAGGGGCCTTATCGGCGTGAGACTCGTCAGCGCACCTGAACGCCCTCATGGTTTTTGCATGTGCAACCGACAACAGCGCCAGACGGTTCAAAGAGGGCCTTGCGATCAGGATATCCGTCTATCCATGTCTCCTGTCGCTTGCTGGAGGGAGGCGCACGGTGAGCTGGACGGGAGAGGAGGCAGTCTTTCGAGGCAATGCACAAGGCAGGGGCACAATGGGCCCCCCCCCGAATGCCAGAGCTACAAGAATTCGACCCTCCCCTGGAGATATTTCCCCCTGGCCTCTTCCCCCGGCTCATGGCACCTAGGGATGCATGCATGCATGCACAAGGCAAACAGCACGACCCTCTGTTGCACGCAACTGTGTCTTCGTGGAGCACAGGGCCCCTTCCCTTGGAAAAAATTCACTCCTCCAAACGAGCAAGCGCTAGGAGCTCCTACACGTCAAGCAGTGAGGGAAAACGCAGAAGGGGGTGGCACTCCCGCGTGAAGGCAAGTGTTTTCTGCACCAACTGGGGAAACACACCGTTGAGCCTGCCGAGCAATCTGACCCTCAAAAGGCATGCCACACAGCCAAAGAAGGAAGCAGGAGGGAGAGCATGCGGCCGATACAGGGCCGGCAGCTGTACTTTGAGCTTTTCAGAAACGCGAGGAGCTTGTTCTCTTCGCTCGTGGTGGCAGGAAGAGGTGCCAGGGGGAAGCGTTCACAACGCAGGAAACCAGTGCAAACGACAGCGGGTAAAAACCCTGAACTGCAAAAACGATGTGTGTGTGTGTCTTAAAAATAAAGTGCTTCAAAAGGAGGATGGCAATTGTCGTTTCTCGGAAGATCCTTTGATGGTCTCCCCCCTGCCGGGGGCCCCAGACGCCGATTGCATTGGGGGGCCCCCCAATGCAATCGGCGTCTGGGGCCCCCGTCTCCCGATGGGTTCCCCGCCGAGTGTCTGTGTCTCGTGTCCACCTTTTTCAGTGTGTGTACATACACCTGAGATGTGGAGTTGCGAGGGCGATTCTGTTTGCGCCAATGTCAACCCCTTCTGTCAGAAGACGGGCAAGGGCCCTTAGGCTTCTGTGAGACCGTGAAGATTAGAAGCCTCTCTCGCGCTTTTCCTGCAACTCTCCCTCGCTGCCTTGTCTCACTGGCGCCTTTCTCACTCAACAGACGCCTCCTCAAAGCGCTCAGAGGCCGACACCTCTGGGGGATGCCGCCCCTTCCTGTCGCTAACCGTTCGCCTTCCGCTTCGATGTGCAGAAACGAGACGCACAATTCTATCCCCAGATACACGGTCTCAAGTTCCCTCCGTATCTACAGGAATATGTGTTGATGCATGCATAATCGTACGTGCATACGTGCCTGCCTGCCTGCATGCCTGCCTTCCTTCCTTTTCCTGTGTGTGCGTGTTTGGGCTCGGAGTTCAGATACCCTATCAGCACACAATTCACGTCTCTCGACAGCTTCAAGCCCCCTGCCCTAGAGGGCTCTCAGGGAAGCTCTGCTGGCGCGCCTTCTCTCGCACAGTCGCGGGAAGACAGGCTTAGAGACTCTTTCAGCGAGTGCTACTGTCTGTCCCCCTCTCTAGGGGCCCTCAGCTGCAAGGCGAATGCTTGGATTTGGGTGGGGCCCCTTGGGGAGGGGGCTTCAGAACCCCCAAGGCGGCGGCTCTTGCGGCTACTCGCTCTCTCTAACGAGCAAGAGAAACCTCCAGGGGCCTCTTGTCAGTGCTGGATGGAGGCTCTAGCCGTGCCGCATCCAGGGGGGAGAGCCTCGCCTCAAGAGGGCCTCCCAAACCCGGAGGCGGCGCGAGAGGCTCCAGATACTGCAACGTCTCCGCACTCTGAGAGGCCCCCCCACGATGGGGCCCCCTTTTCCGAGCCCGTGCTGTTTCTGCCCCCCCACGTGCTCTCCGCCTTGGGCTTGACTCCTGGAGAAGGATTCGTGGAGATCTGGCAGGCTTCCGAGTTTGACTCCAGTAAGTCCATTAGACCACTGCGGGGGAGGGAGGAGGGGGAAGAAGGCAGGAAAGAAGGCCGCTTCATCTGGTGAACGCACCGACTCCCTCCCTGCCAGCGCCAGCAGCTGCCACCTTTTGCGCACAACGTGGTGGTGGTGCAGTTTCCATGCGTCGCCTTCATCACAGGGCCCCCCTTGTCAACCCCTGCCCTTCCAGAGGCCTTCCGAAGGCTGCCCATGGCGTCGCACTGCCAGCTGCAACAGCTCGCCGCTCCGCCGAACGACAGCTGGAATCTCCTGGGGGCCTCTCTAGGGGGCCCCCCAGAGGGCCAGGCTTCTCCCCAGGAAATCCACGAGCTTCTGAATGACTTTTTTTGCGTCCCCCGCCTCCTTACCGTAGGCGACGTCTTCGGGGTGCTCCGAAAGCCATACCGATACGGGGCCCCCTGCTGCAGGGCCCCCTGCAACGCAGGGGCCCCTGCGGGCACGAGGCCCTTTTCAGGGGGCTGCCCTTGCTGCCTCTCTCTGCATGAGATAGAGCATGCAGAGGCCTTCGGTTTGGGGCCCTTTCGGTGCGAACGTCTGGCCTCCAAGGTGCTCTTTGAGGCAGGCACAAGCGTGAACGGGGGCCCCCTGTTTTGTGTATGCGCCTCCGAGGCTTCTGAGAGGCCTCTTGGCACAGAGGAGGCTCAAGGGAAGGGGCAGACGGACTCCTCAAGAAACTCCCCAGGGGGCCCCTCCGCTCCGCACGAGCCATCACCGGAGGAAGCAAAGGCGGGGGCCCCCACGCTCCGGCGTCGGAGGAGGGCTTTTGGTTGCAGGGGGGGTAAAGGGGGCCCCCTCTGTCACTGGGAAGCAGCAGATCCTCTCTTCGGCTGCGGCTGCGGAGAGACGCTGCATCAAGTGGCAGTACTCTTCAGAGTTGCGGCGTTGGAGGGCCCCCAGGAGCGGCTTTCATGTGCTGTTGTCGTCCGGAGAGGGACGGACTTGTTGCTGCAGGAGGCCCTTGCCAAGGAAGGGCCCCCCCCGTTTGGAGTGAGTATTTTTTGCGGAGGGGGCAGCCGCGGTGCATGCAGAGCAGTGCAGGATAGACCAGACGCACAACTCTGCTTGAGAAACGTCTGAGAGAGTTTACAGAAGTGTTGCAGCGTTTCTACCTCTGCATGCGTGTCAGATATACTATCTGTTGAGGCGGCCTCCCCTGCCGGTTCTTCCTTCTCTGCTGGAGCCCCTAAACAGGTGTCGCTCTCCCTCTCTAGCTTTCTCGCTCGTTCGCTTTCTTGGGGCCCCCCTTCCATGCCTTAGCGCCAGATATACCCCCCGAGAGCACGCATGCTTGCACGCGCTAGAGGGCATGAAGTGTGCATGCGCGCGAAAGGCCACTGAGCCTCGTGCAAGGATTTTTGTCGGGTGTCTCTCGCACAGGCTGACCCGCTATGTTCTATCCAGGATGGTGATGGGGACGCGTACGGGAAGCCGCGGCAGCGTGCTGCTTTGTGGGGCCCCTGGGTAAGCGAGGGGCTTATGGCTCTCTCGCCGCTTTTTGCTGTGCACCACACCTCTGAGGGGATGCAGTGTTGCAGGAGAGAGACGAGCGAGCGAGCGAGCGAGCTCTCAGACTTGCGACGGCTCGGATATGCATCGAGGCGGAGAGAGGGGGGCACGCAGACTGGAGGAGACAGGGGGGGATACCGGGCGTTTTGGAACGAGAGACTTGTATCTGTGCGTGTGTACCTGCTCAGGTGTGGGGCCCCCTTCCTCGTGCAGCGCATCTGCAACGCACTAGGCTTTCACTACGTGTCTATGAACTGCCATGCGCTGGCGCCTTCTGTGGCCGAAGCTGCAGCTGCAAGTCAGCTCTTAGAGGGGGTTGACAAGCGGGAGAGTCTTAGCGTCGGAGAGGAATTCCGATGCTGGGGGCTGGCCTTGCACATGCATGCATTCGCCTTGCTGCTGCGCTTCTCTCTCCCGAGACTCCTGCGGACGTTGCGGGTGCTGTTGCTGCAGAAGGTATTACCCATTCGGACGGAACCACCGCTCCTGGAGGAAACAGTCTGCTCTCCGCGGCTCTCGTGGAGGGGTCCTCTGGGGGGGCCCCTTGCATCATTCTGCTGCAGCACGTCTCCGCTCTGATGTGCGACCCAGGGGCCCCAGCTTCGCGCCTTGACAGACTTGATGTAAGGCTGGCCACCCCTCTTCAATGCAGCTCGCAACTGTACGCAGCAGTGCTGGGGAGCCTTTAGCTTTTCAGGGAGGCTCAGGGTAATCCTTGAAGCGAAAGAGCCGGCGGAGAGGACTCTGTGGAGGCGCACGCACTCCAGGAGCCTTTGCAAAAACCTCTAGGACGACTGCCCTTGTTGTGAAGCGCCCTGTCTATGGGCATCACGGTTGGTGTGGGATGTGCGTTTAGAGTCTCCTCGCTGCCCACCTCCGTTGGTTTCTGCGATCGCATGAGCAACAAGGCCCTCCGGGTTTGTTGAGGGCCCCTGTGTTAGTTGTTGGAGTCTGCGATAGCGAGAGCGAAGGCGTGACTGATGGTCTTGGGCCCGAGCTAAGGAGCGCCTTCGAGCTGACTGTACAGGTACAGCGGCCAGACAGAGAGACTCGAGAGGAGGTGAGGCTTCAGACTTTTTCCCCCTATCCCCTGTGATTTTCTAACCAGCGACCCCACAGATCCCCCTCCTTCGTCTTCTCTCGCTCTCTCTCCTCCCCCTGTCCTCTTTTTGGTACCCCTCCCTTATCGCTCCCCAGGCCCCTGCAGTGCGTAAGTTTGGCGCTGCTTGGGAACGCCTTGTCTAAGCAGAGGCACAGCATAGGTCCACTCAATCCTGTGCATCTGCCGATCCTTTCGGGTGCCGATTTCCTGAACTTCTTATAAGCCCCGCACGCATCTGTCCGCGCTGCTACCTGCGGACAGAAGCAGGGGGTCTGTTTCGATCCCCTCTCGCCTAACCCCGTGCATGCGTTGCTGCAAGCCCACCGACCGCGCCTTTGCAGATACGCGCATGCGTGTGCGCTGTGTTGTACGTCTTCTGCGGATTCGCGTGCGCCATTTCTTCCGGCCACGTATCCTTTAGGTATTTAGACGCCTCAATGAGGCCTCACACGCATTCAGATTTCCTGATCAAGAAGAAGCGGCTTCCCGCGGAGCTCAGGAATTCGCAGAGTGAGTTCCTGGTCTGGATACTTCGCCGGTGTCTTGCAGCGCTACTTCCTCTCTCACGCCCCTCTTCTTGTGCACGCGCCAGTCAGCCGTCGGCCCCTTGAAACTCGGCGTGCGTGCTCCTTCACAGGCTGGCTGTCGGCCTCACAATTCAAGAGATGAAACGCCTCTTCTGCTGCCTCCTGGAAGCTGCAGCAGACGCCCCTCTCAACCGGAACGCCCAGGGAAGCCTCACGTTTGAGCCGAAGGCGGAAGAAGGTCTTCACTGCACCGACAAGGATTCGAAGGCTGGCCCTCCCTCCGTCCTCGGGAAACTCCTTAACCTCTCGCTGAAGGGTACTTCCTTGAGGCTTTCGCTAATTGGCGCTACCCAAACCCCATATTGTCGCTGCAGAGCCTTAGATGTGCGAACACTCGGTCTGTGTGCACTCGATGGGCGCTGCAGAACTTCGTACTGCGGTGAAGCCCTTCCAATCCGGTGAGCAGCGTGCGTACTATCTGCACCTACGTGACAGCAAGGCTCAGGTCTAGTGGCTTGCACAACTCATGGGTGGGAGTTCGCCCAGTCGTGGCAGAACCTGGTCATGGTCATTCCTGTGTACCCCTTCTGCATGCACATGCACACCCCGCCCTAAGACAAGGGGCCCCCTCGGCGGAGCCTTCCTCACAGGCGCTTCCTACTCTTTAATTTCCCGCAAAAGATCTGCAGCTGCCACAGCGTGACTGCGGCACGAAGCGATCTTCGCCACAGAGGCCTTACGGTGTGGTGGTCTTACACAGACGCGGACGCGGCAGCCGCGAATATAGCAGAAGTGCACTGGGGAGAGGTCGGAGGCATGGAGGATGCAAAAGAACAAATCAGGCAGCTCATTACGCTACCGCTGCAGCATCCCAAGCTCTTTTCTGGTCAGTCTCGAAATCCTTTCAACAGTGGCGGCGTTTTATATGCGCCTCTGCACTGTGCCTCACCTCACGAACGTGTGCAGCAGCGCTAGAGGGGTTCCCACAGTGTGTGTGTCTCCCTCTGCGCCCGCATACAGCTTGGCCTATTAACCCTCTGTATATGGACATAAGCACATGTATATGTTCAAATAGGTAGAGATGTATGGATTCTTACCCTCTTTATGAGAACATAAGCACTGTGTACGTGCAATTATATGTAGAGCTGTATGGATTCCTTTCTCTGTAGATGTGCGCATAAGCATATGTATATGTACAAATAGGTATAGGCATGTGGCTTCTTCTCCTCCAAGTGTCTTTCTTCCCCCGCGTAGTCAAATTTCGGGGCCTCCGCTACAAATTGCGTATCGGCTTTGGGGGGGCTCTCTCCGTGGTATCTCTTTTTTCTTCTTTTCCTTCCTCCTTGATGCACGCGCGCCGCCTTTCGTGCTTGCTGAGAAAGACTGTCTGGTGTATCTAGTGCTTGCACCTACTGCTCCCGAATCTATTGCAGGGGTGCAGCTGCGCGGCGGATGTCTTCTCTTCGGTCCCCCCGGCACTGGGAAAACGCTCATAGCGAAGGCCATCGCCACTGAATGCGACGTGAATTTTATAGCTGTGAAGGGCCCTGAGCTTCTCAACAAGTCAGTCTGCGCGACACTCAATCTTTCTCTCCCCGGTGTTGATCGCTCGACCCCATATTTGACGCCGACCATTTGCATTGCCGGCGGCCAAAAGAGAGAAAGCGAGAAAAAAAGCCTCTTGCGGCTAGACGCCGAGGTGTATGTACGTCCATCGCAGATATATAGGGGAGAGCGAGAAGAATGTTCGCGACCTTTTCGCGAAGGCTCGCGCCTGCCAGCCGTGTGTCTTATTCTTTGACGAGATTGATGCGCTGGTAAGTTTTCGGTTGACCCACACAACTATTGCAGCTTTACGCCTTCAAGAAATATCTTGGCACGAACCGTATGCGAGCTGCTCCGGGATACCCTTGAGCTGCGGGCGTGTCTCTTCAAGCATCCCCATCGAGCCTTTCAACACCTTTGATTTGTAGATGGTTTGCGAACTTGATCCGTGTGGCTCCGTGCGCAGCTGCCGAGACGAGGCCGTGCCTCGGACTCTGGGGGAGTTCTTGACCGCGTTGTGTCTCAGGTGCTCGCAGAAATCGATGATTTACCTCCTAAGGTCAGATTTAGACTCCTTTTGGGAGAGGAGGCAGTGTGTGCGCACAGGACGGCATGCAGGGCCGCATACGGGCTGCCGTCTTGGTGCTGCGTCGCTCTCTGCGCAGAGATGTGGGGAGAATCCAGCGCTCCTAGGGCTTTATGGCGCTGCCTTCAGGTGTTTATCATAGGAGCCACGAATCGAATCGAGCTCCTGGATGGAGCAGCCCTTCGTGCAGGCCGTATGGACCGCTGCGTCTACGTTGGGATACAGCAAGACAAGGGGCCCATTCTCCGGGCGCTCTTGATGCATCTGGTGGTGCGGCAGAGAGCTCCCAGCTGCCTGTCCTCGCTTCACAAGGGAGAGGTCGAGGTAGAGGCGGTGATCGAGGAACTCACTAAGGCCATACCTCCTGGGTGCACAGGGGCAGATTGCAAGGCCCTCTGCAATGCCGCTTCTCTCTTGGCCACGAGAGAGAGGATCTACTTTGCACAGACACTCGAGAGTCAGTTGAAGAAGTGCAGTTGCAAGCTATGATAACCAATGCGCCAAACGCGCCAGAAGACTTCACCTGTGTACTAACATGCCCTATCCGAAGGCAGAGTCTCCGCGAAGTATGCTACGTAAAGCAGACAAATGCATGGACCGGCATGCATGCATGCACTGCGGCTCGGCCACTTCTGAGTTGTGATTTTTGTAACCTCGTGTATTTACCTTTGCTTCTGTTTTAGGAGCCCTGGGCCTTAGTCCCACCGAATTGCAAGAGGCAGCCCTTCAAAGTTGGCGCTCTATAGACCACTCGTCGCCTCTGCTAGGAGACTTCACGTGCATCGCAACTCTGTGGAGGCACTGTGGGGGTGTGGAGCCTACAAAGGCCCCCCAAATGACTCTCGGCCTACTCGCCAATACGCAGCTGCCCGATGGAAACAATGCTGAAGGCCTGCAGGTGTGGCGCGGCTGTATCGACAGCTGGACGGGGGAAGAAGCAGCAGACCCTCGGGCAGTAGAAGGTGCAGCAGACAATGCATGCGTCCTCTGGGTTATTAGTACACTACCAACATCAGCAGTGGCTTCATCGGCTGCTAAGGAGGCTCAGTGCACGCGAGGTGCAGGGACACTTCAATTGCTCTGCCTCCAGAACGACAGACGAACTGAATCGCTTCAACGACTAGCAGAGACTGCATACTCTGGAGGGAATCACGGCGCACACCCCGCACTGCTCAATGGGAAAAAGGCTGCAGTCTGGATTACTAGGCGCCAAGGCCATGCCTCTCAACCGGGATGCCTCAAAGAAGGTCTAGATGCCCAAAAAGTAGAGCCTCTGTCGATATTAGGAGACCTCATAATGCATGAGGGCCCCCCGCCGTGTTTTGTGTTTGCCATACATGTGCTGGAGAGGCACCTGCGGGCGGCCCTTGAGGAGTTGCACCCCTCAGTGACTGCCCAAGACTTGCGCCGGTATGAACACATGCGAGACCAATATGCGGTCAAGACTTAACGGCAACGAAAACTCGTTTGTGTGTATTGACTAATCAATGCGCCTACCCATCAACCCGCCTATCAATTAGTGCCTCTATTTGTGTACCCCTTAGTTCCTTTGCAAACAGGTGAATGACGACCCAGTGAGTGAAAAGTTACAAACAAAAAAGATTACAACCAAAAGTTAACAAGGCGCCTGGCGACCCCGCCTGATCCGCCCTCTGTAACCTGTTTTCCTTCGGATATACTCGGTGCCATTCAAGATCTTGCGCTTTCTGTCCGACACTACATGGGGCAAAGGGCCCTCAACAGCTGCGCCGAAGAAGGTGCTGCCTTCAACCCCGGTGGCGGCTGTTTCGTTCGGTCCCTGCATCCTGAAGACGGGCATAAGAGGGGGCCCCTGGCGGGGGTCAATTGAGCTCCCGAAGCCCTTTGTTGTGTACATCCGGCAGGCTGATGAGAGCTTGGCACCGAGAGTGGGCGAGAGATTAGCAGAAAGGAACTTTGGAGAGCTCGGGGCACAGAAGGCGCACGCAGGAGAACTGAGAGCTTTCCCATGCCGCAGCACTAGAGGAGGCAGGCCGATTGTACATCGGCGGAACCAGATCGGTTTAAATGCCATGGGATAAATGGGCGCGCAAGCAAGGGCATGAGACGGTTTGCAGAAAGACGCCATTTTTGGCGCGCGCCTCCTTTCCGTCTACAGTTGCCTGCGAACCGTTCACATGCATGCAAATCGATAATGTGCATAAACTGATGATGTTGAAGGGTACGCGGGCAGCAAGGTGTCTCAAATAAGGCAAAAAAATCCGCTTACTTGATAACTTCAGTCATTTACCTTGCCGTGCAGTAACCTCTCTGGGGTGCTCCTTGCTGCGCTGGCATTCAAAGGTGGTTTGGGGCCTCCAAGGCTCCTCATGAGGGAGAGTGAATCTACTAGAAAATAGCAGCAGAAATCCCCGTCCAAGTTCATCGAAGCCATCAAAAAAGCGGAGGACTAAGCTAATTATCTGTCTATTTGTTGCAACGCTGGTTTTATTGCAGAATACACGGCGTAGAGCTTAGAGTTGTATGTGAACGGTACCATTGTTTAGTACTTGAAAGAAGGAAAGCATAGCCCTCGTAGCTAAGAGGAATGCTTGAAATCATCATGCAACGCATAAATCGGGATATTGCGTGCTTTTAGACAATCGGCCTTTCCCCGCAGAAGGCGGAATGTCCACAGCTTAACGAACCCTTTGGCGCAAGAGGAAGCAACATATCGCTGCTTCTCCTCTCTATGCTCATAAGAAGAAGCAGCGGTGGCATGCTCTTTGTCCGTTAATTCCTGTCTAGGATATGTGCTGCTTCTACTTTGTTGTGTGCCCCTGCCTCCGATGTTCCTTCCGCATGAGTGGTCGTCCACGTATCGTTTTACACATGGCCTGCCCGATTCACTTTTGGCCAAAATATACCAAAGGAGGAGATCAGATGTGCAATATCTTGCTTAGTCACATGATAGACACTGTTTAGCCCCTGTTAGGGATTTCACGGAAGCATCGTAACTCGCCCCCGGTGACGTTAATTGCGATTTGCAATTGCAGAGCACATGTAACTAGAGCTACCTACCTCCAGTCTGACGCAGAAAGTTTCAGGAATGTGCAATCAATTGCATTCACCTTAAAACAGGTGAAAACACCAAAGCACATGCCCTTTCATTACCAATAGGGGCTGCGAAGGAAATGCGGAGCGCCTTACAGTGACTGCGTTATTATGTCCAAACACGGACACAGCTAATATGTGTAAGCTCTATAAAACTGTGGATCAATAGATAACGAAGGAAAGCCGGATGACTCCTCAAAGACTATGAGTGTCACGTCTGCAAATCGACCTGCAGGCCTGAATCTACAGCAGCCGAAAATGCTATTTACTGGCTCTGCATGATGCTGTTCGCACTGTTTATGGGACATATATCTTCAGCTATCACAATAGTGCGAACGTTATTTTAAACAGAGGGAGGATATAAGCGCAAGTCACCCCCTCTTGGAGACCTTCAGCATATTTTGAATCTGCCCACCATTTCATGGTGGCTTCTCCCTTCTGAGCCTCTTCCGATTCGTTGAAAGCGAGAGAACGGCTAGTGCAATGGACAGCCCTCATAGCGTTGGTGTGCATGGATTAGTACCCCACTGCTTTTTCGTGCTACGGAAGAGCCGAAATGTTCGAGCAGCTTCCTCTTTGAAGCTTTTGCATTCCATTTCCGAATGTTCAATTTTGTTCTAGAGTGGGCAACATGCTCCTTTCCATCGTTTTTATGCCTTCTGCCTCTCTGTTCGTGCTTTTGTTCGTGACTCTATGCATTTTGTTGCAATCCTGATGCCTACGTTCGTGCCCACGCTTGTTTCTGCGCTTTTTGTTCTTGTATCCCTCTCGATAGAAAATGAATAGGTTGGGGCATCACCACTCAGTCACCTCGTTCTCGTTGCACAAACTATAATTAAGTTGCCTGACTCCTATTATGATTTTGGTTCAAAACGCATGCATGTCTCTTCTTTGGTTCCTCCACTGCCATATTTTGGCCCCCTCCAATGGTAGCATGGGGAAAGTTATAGCGCTTCACATGCCGACTGTTGTTTGCACCACTGTTACTTTGGTGTTGCCGAAAGTACCTGTTCTGATAGCTCACGCCTCTACGGGCCAGCAATTTCCTGGGTTTTCTTTCGTCAACAGGAGACATATGGCGAACGGAACAAGCAACACCATTGTTCGACCCACTTGCTGTATCACTCTTGAAGTGCGGATACGCATACATCATTTTGACAAACCCATATGGATACCTAAAAAGAGGCATTGAGTTATGCAGAACCACAGGGATTGCCTGTCTACTATATATCTAAAAAGAGGTATTGAGTTATGCAGAACCACAGGGATTGCCTGTCTACACAACAATGTGAATGAAATTAAAAGGATCGAGGAACAAAAAAGACTCTGTTTCTTCAAGAAAGCAGAAGTGAATTGTGAATGGAGAGCTAACATTTTGCTGAAGGGTGTAAAGGATTTCTCATCCACCTATACAAATAGCGACACGTAACCACTGGGCTGCAGCATGCGACCATTCGCTTGGACAAGTACTTTGTGGTCAGCATGCTGCTTAATCCCCCTAGTCTCCAGGTTTCTCTCTATCAGAAACTTGCAGATATAGCCTGAAGAAACATGGCTTGCGGTGGAGTTATAGCTTTGTTACTCTAAGTACAGCATCGACACTGAACCCGCGCCCTGCCCAGGGCAGGCTAGCACGCTTCTCTGCTAGCTCATCACTTGCATCGGCACGCGTTCTTTCATTGAATCGAGCTCCAAATCCATTACCCGTAGCACCCTGAGTATTATTAGGTTCTTTGGAAGCCGTTTGTGCGCAGCACAGGTGGTGGGTCCGGCAGCTCGACACCAGAGGCATGCAGGGGAGTCCTGGGTGCCTTACTGCCATTTCCCTTACTCTGCCCGAGCAAAATTGTCTGGTTGACACTGGCATTCCATTTATATTATTGTATGAAGGCGGATCGTAAGCTGGTTCCGTCCTATCTCCCAACAATCGCCCTCAGGATGGTCAGCTGGCTAATCCTCCATAGGTACGGCTTGCACGACTTCGCGGAATACTGTGACTCGGCTAAGCAGCAGTAGCCCCAAACGATCATCCTTTACGTATCTCAGCAGTAGGGGACCCAAGCCGCGATTGACATTCCTCAACAGCAAAAGTGTAAGTACACCCAGAATCACGAGTGTGCTGCGTCTAGTCGTTAATGGTGGATTCGGCAGAATTAGCACTCCACAGGCCTAGAATACGTCCTCCGGCAGTTCATATTCTTTGTGGGTGGAGTCTTCTTGCTGGAGTGCTTCGTGGCTGCCCGGGAAAGAAGATCGACCCAAGAAGACCTGCGTAGAGCCGTCTTTTCGGAGCAACCGTTGCACACACACCTGCGCGCACACCCCAGCAATATGGTCAGCCGTCAGCAAAGCCGCGTAATCCCTTCGGGGGGACCACAGGAAAGATATTTCCGTCGGCATTCCTCCGTGGTTCCCGTTGGGTTGGGAACAGATCGTCAGCAAGTGAGTGCTCTATGCCACCGACAGAGTATTTGTCTTCCTGCCATCAGCTTAACTTTTGGATTTCAACTAGCTTGTTTCGGCCTGCTATCACGTTAATTTGCTCTATCCTCAGATACTTAGAGGCTAATTTCAAAAATGTACAGACACATCCCTGGGCCTCCGCAACAAGCAGTGCAGTTTCTGATGTAGTTTAGTAACCTTTAGACGCAGGCTTACCGAGGGGTTGCTTCGGCTTCTTTGACCTTTCGTTCTGTGTGTAAAAGGCCTTACAAAAGCCGTCTTTCCCGCTATGCATGTGTTTATGCCCTCAGCGCATGCAATGTTGGACTCCAGAGGGTCCTGCAGTTGCGGCAAATCCTTCGCTTTTGTTCTCTCGTTGCGTGATTTGTCCTGGCTCAACATCGGACAAGTACATTTTAGAACAGATTAATCCTCCTTCAAGGGATGTATTTGAGGTGGATCCTTCCTCTGTTTTTAATGCAAATTCAGAAGAAGATGAGCTCGCAATGCCCGATATTGGAATGTTGTCTCACAAGAATGTGGCCTGTGTCCTATCCATGCTGAAGACTCGCTATCAAGCAAGAAAGATATATACCTTGGCGGAACCTTTGTTGGTAGCGATCAATCCCTTTGAAGACCTTGGAAATACAACTCAGAAATGGATAGACTACTATAGAACAGCGCCGAACTGCTTGGAGACTGAGCCACACGTTTTCAGGACTGCAAGGCAAGCGCTTTCTAATATGGAGGAATACAACAGGAGCCAGACTATTGTTGTTTCAGGAGAGTCTGGAGCTGGCAAAACTGAGGCTACTAAGCAAGTCATGCGATATTTCGCGGCTTGTAGCACTGGGGACAACCGCATTCAGGAAGCGATCATGGCCGGCAATCCCCTTCTTGAGGCATTTGGAAACGCGAAGACCATTAGAAATAACAATTCAAGCCGGTTTGGTAGATTTATGCAGCTTTCTATCTCCAGCTCTGAGGGCATCATGCACGGTGCCATTTCAAACTTTCTGCTGGAGAAAGTGCGCCTCGTATCGCAGGAACCAAATGAACGGTCATTCCATATTTTCTATCAGCTTCTTAAAGGTGCTGATGCAGGTATGCGCCAACAGTACCACTTAAGAAACTTGGAAGATTACGCGTTCTTGACAGCAAGAAGCGGCGGTTGCTTCGATATTCCTGGCGTGGATGACCGAGAGGATTTTCAAGAACTAAGGCAGTCATTCGCTTCCATGGGGCTTTCCCAAGAAGACGAATCCACTGTTTTTTCCATATTGTCTGGGTGTTTACTTATTGGAAACGCAAAGGTTACATCGCACGAAATGCAAGGAGTCCCAGACGCAGCGTTTGTTTCGGCAGAATCGCTGGCGGCCATCAAGGAGGCTGCCGATCTTCTGTTCGTGAACTCGAGTGCCTTGGTCGAGCACATTTTACAGAAACAAACAAAAATCGGAAACCAAGTGCTTCAGGGCCCTCGCACATTTAGAGAGGCCGACATGATGATCAAGTCTGTCGCGAAGCACGTTTACGACCAGCTGTTTGCCTGGTTAGTTCGCTTCTTGAATAAAGCTATAGCTCCTGATGGCGAGTTCGGAGTCTTTATGGGAATGTTGGACATTTTTGGCTTCGAGGTATTTGAGCAGAACTCATTGGAGCAACTGCTTATTAACATCACCAATGAGCACCTCCAGAAACATTTCATTGACATAGTGTTTGAAATTGAGACAAAACTTTATCAAAGTGAAGGCGTTCCAACGGAGGCGCTTGTCTGGACAGATAACGTCCGGATAATGGAGACGCTCTGTGGAAGCAGAGATTCGGTTTTTGCCATTATTGAAGATACCTGCCTTGGGCTTCGCGCCACTGATGAGGTATGATGCAACAATTAGTCAAGCTCGAAATCCTTTTCCCTACTTCAAGTGCGGCTCAGTGTGGAGCTGTGGGTTATCTCTAGACATGCAACAGTGTATGTTTAGCGATTGTGTGCTCAAGTGGATATGGAAGCCTTCGAAATCCTCAATTGTTCACGGTTTGGTATTCAGTATGCATGCAAGTGCAGAGTTGTTCGCAACATTTTTCGTGCTACTAATATCCGCCTTTGCTTATGCTACTCCTATTGCTGTACCTTGAAATATTTGGTACACGCTGACGCAACTTGCATTTTTCGCGATTACATCCTTCTTGTTTCTTCAGGCTCTTTGCAGCATGATTGTTCGTAAATTAGCAAACAGAGGCATCGTTCTGCCTTCGAGGAAAGACCAGCGGATGAAATTCGTAGTTCGGCACACGATTGCGGACATCGAATATTCTTGTGACGGTTTCCTAGAGAAGAACCAAGATTTTTTGAAACGGGAATTGCTAGACACCTTGAAGGCGTCACATAATCCAATCATGGCTCAAATGTTTGAAGGGGTTATAGTAGAAGCAGGAAAAATAGGAAAAGGGTCTCTTATTGCATCTCAGTTCCTGCGGTCTCTTAACTCGATGATCGGCATTATACGGGTGCGGTGCCCGTAAAAGTTGAAGGGCAATCTGTGTCGTACACTGTTTTACGGTTTACGAGGGGCCTCTTATGCACTTGGAGCACACTTACGTCCTAGTTGTGAAGAACCATACGCAGATCTAATAGTGCATTCATGGCTTGAGAACGTACTGAGCAGCAATACACCCTTAGCCTCGTCTCAAACTACCTGCTCTTGGGGCTTTTTGTGCTCAGGAAACGGAGCCCCATTTCATTCGTTGTTTGAAGCCCAATGAGACGAAACGGCCATTGGAATGGGACGCCCCAAAGGTGCTGAATCAGTTATTTTCGCTTTCGATCTTGGAAGCGCTGCAGCTACGGCAAGTCGGATATTCATACAGGAGGCGCTTCGACGAATTTGTCAAGCGGTTCCGCTGGTTGGACCTCGGGGCGGCTAAATCGGATGCCGACAGAAGAGATGTTGCGGAGAAGATTTTGGAAGAATGCGGTCTTTCACGAGAAGGATGGGTGGTAAGGCAGAGAAGAAAACGAATCCGAACTTCTCTTTGTTGTACTACGCTTCTCAATGATCAGCCAGCCCTTGTTCCTTCTGCTAACAGACTCCGCTTTTTACATTTCGTTTCTTGAGGAACTTAGCAGTAAGCAGTGCCTACGTGTGTTTCGATTCTTGTTTAGATCGGGAAGACCATGGTATTCTTGAAAGCAGAAACTGCTCGAGCACTCGAAATCTTGCAAATCGAAAAGATGGTATCGTTTCGCCCGATTGTGGATTTTGTGCAATCCGCATGGAAACGCATTCTCTTGAAGAGAAATCTACAGGCCATAATGCCGCTTCTCATTAGGGCAGAGTCCCACTGTCGGCGGTAAGGTTTTTGGAAATTTCTTGGAAATCCGTTATTCATGGCGAATTATGTCGTATGGTTGCAAGATGTGGCACTGGACAACGGTGGAGCGACAGCCGCAACTTCTATTTGTTTGTCGGCCTGTATATATTTGTTCAGCAGTCTTCCCCTCTGCATGCTAACCTCTCCTTTCATGTCTGAATGCATGCAGGCATCTAGCTGTACGTGAGCACGGGGAGCTCGATCTAAGCCCTGGTTTTACTGAAGCGTTGTTGCAGGGGATCGACAGTGTTCAGCAGCTTAAAGATGAACGGCAGCGGCAGAGGGAGGCGCAACTACAGCAGCAGCAAGAGAAGCGCCCAAGCAAGAAACTGACTAAGGAAGAGCGGCTTGCACAGAAGGTCTTACAAATGTACAAATCATGGGACAGCATGAGGGGTGTTCAAATGACTCATGGTGGCTTCTTTCCTTCAGAACTGGACTATATGAAACAAAAACAGAGCAGACCCTCCACAGAAGGACACCTCAGAGAAACTGGTGGGGCTGAGGCTGTTTTCACAGAGATTTTTGATCTGAGGACGTAGCGTATTGTACAAGAGCAGCAAAATGCATTGACACGTTTATTCACTAGGTTTTGCACGTAGGTCCTTGGCGGTTTAGTCATTATTGGTGCTTCTTCCTGGCGCTGTCTGTAGCGTAGGGTTGTTGATAGCGATAGAGATGCCGCGGGTGTCATTCTATGTTTCAGCGGTTATACATGATGTACACCTGCCTACTCTACGTGCCTCAGTGCGGCAATCATAGTCCACTCTTTACTTCGTGCTCATGTCTTCAGTTGGGCATTTTCGTTGAAGAGTCGTGTTCCTGCTTATGCACTTTGCGTATTTGCTCTGCTGCAGCTCTTTCCCACGTATCTCCCCAGGATTCGTTCCAGGATCCTGGGATCTCTTACCATATTTGGCGAAATATTGAGTCGCTGTACCAAGCTCCGTTAACCGATCATCGGCTTCAAAACATTTGCACATGTGTGCGAGATGATATGGACAGGCTTTATGGGCACTTTTGGCAAGTGTTAGTGAACAGGACCGACAGATTTGGACTCGCAACGGCACACGTAAAAGGAAAGAGATACCTGGCTAAACAGCATGGGGTGTGCAAAGACGGCAGAGTCTTCAGCTTCAACAATATTATTTTCACATGCACAAAGCCTTCACGAAAAGGCAAGCACCCATTCTGTCTAGTCCGCATTAATATGCGTGCTGCCCAGCTTAAGACCTAGTAGATGGTGCCGATTGCCTTGGTTTTCGTGTTCTTACTGAGCATGCACTGCACAGTGCAATGTAGTCGATCCCGTTTGGTGATGTGTCTAGAAGCAACCAAAACTTGTTACTCTGGTGCTCGTGTGGGTGCTTCACATTTCTTGGACCACAGAGGGGGCCGAGGCAAATGAGGTCATTTGTCGAGCACATGGCCTCCTCGACTTTGCAGTGTGCACATTTACCCCTTCCGCTGCGTGCCTTTGACTTGCTGCGGATGGCTTATGAACATTTTTCTGTCGTGCCCCACCGTGTTATAGCTCTTTTCACTTGTGTTTATTTAAGCATTCTTCTGTGCTTGGCCTTCAGAAATAAGACTGCACGAAGAGGCAGCAGAGAAGTCGTACCTCTGTTGCAGGAAGCAAGATTTCTCTGGTGAGGCGCCCGTGTTTGCCTTTTGCTCATCCAACCTCGTGTGGCATTTCAGATTACATCGTTTGATAATAATAAGGCACTCAGCGCAACAGGGCATGCTGCATTAATGCATTTGCTGTATTTGGCTTGACCTTTTTTGTCTGCATGGGTGCAGGTTTGGTTCGCGCTAGGAAAAGCTTAGTGCCTCCTTACATGCTTCAAGATGTCTCATACGTAATCGGCTATCTGTTCCATCGATTTAGGGACAGAAAAGATTGGACGGGATTTGCAGAGAGGCTTCAGTCTTATCTCCTGGGTCGTTATTCGGATCCTCACGGAGGCTCGTGGAATGTCTTGGTACAGGAAGGATCATTCTTGGTGACTCGTTTGTGGGCTAAACACAACCGATTTTTCAGAGTAGAAGTGGAGGATCCACAGGAGGAAGACATCGACAGCTCCAGGAGGTGCTGCATCACGGTTATGTGCTTTGAAGCTTGCACTGTATCTCAATCGTAACTGCCTCTTCCCTAGCGTTGCAGCGGTGCAGAATACTTTATACAGTGGTAGTAATATGCTGCTGAAGCTGTCAGTACCCCGCGGCCAAGCGATTTATTTCACGGTCCTCATTCGATTTACAAGGGAGGTCTGCTGAGACTGACAAGGGATTGCTTTATGGCCATCCCGCTGGTTATGTACCCAGAAGGAGCGTTGCGCAGCTAATTATGTATCATTGGGTCTAGGCACAATGCTATTCCAAGTTGCTTGGCAGCATCCTTCCATACCAGGCTGATACCGGTGTGGTAATATACACCGAACAGGATTGGGAGGGTGCGCTCTTTAGATAACTTAGTTCACCCTGTAGTGTTCCTTTGGTGTAGTAGCAAAGCAAGATGGGGCCATTCATGGAGGCTGCAACAATACGTTTGTTCACTGTAAATGTAATTGACACCATCTTGGTGAATAATGATAGGTGCATTACATCCATCCTTCTTGCAGCACCAGAGGCGTGCGCCGCTCCTTCATGCATGCTTTGGGGAAGTTACGGCAAAATTAGCATGCAGTGTTTCACCCAGCCAGAGGCTAAGGACCCTGACCTGGCACACTTACAACTTCTAGAGCCGCGCTTGGCAGTCCGTTAGATCCAGTGCTACGATCAGTTACCAACCATGAACAATCATTTTCAAGGCAGCGCTAGATACCAGATCATGAGCGTTGCTACCGTTTTCCCACGTTGATTCCTATTGTACAATCGTTTTTCATGTTCTCTGAGCGGATAGGTCTTTTTTTATTGCAATGGCCAGAATAAATTGCATTTAAAGCTATGAAGTAGATTCATGGCATAATCCCTCTAGCTGCCCGTGATCGGTATAAATTACAGGACAGGGGAGTTAATAATCTGCAGCACCATCAGGTAAACACCTAGTGGAACTTAAGGGATATAGCCGCCATATTGGCGTCAGCTTGCTTAAAAGAAACAAACACGTATTGTTCTCAAGCCACGCCTCATGGGCATCACCGGATCTAGTTTTCAAGAGGAAAGCAAAACAGATTAATACATAATTCGATTGTTGGTGCTGAAACCGGGGGCGAGACACGACGTGAAAAAATAATGCGTCCATGCACTGTTCGCGTAGTAGACAGTCTACAGTGCGATGCCTGCAAGTATTTTGTTTGCCTTGGCTCTTTCAACAAATTGACTTCTTACTGTGCATCTGATTGCTTGACAATGAAAGAGCACCATCCTCCTTTACCGGGGCCATCAAAATTGGCCTTCGCTTTCTCCAGCTCTAGTTCAAATACACTTGTCCATTTTATTGGTTTCACGAAGTCATCCTCTTTTGCTGCCTGTTTGCAGGAGGATGAGAAGGACAGGGGAGATACACAAGATGCAAAAGAAACACCAGGAGTGCCCGATGCTTGCGATTCGTCCAAGTCCCCTTGAAGCGCAGACTGCAACGAGCGGAGACTAAAATACCTGCAGGAGTACCAAGAAGAGAAAGAAGCAACTGAACAGTCGCAAAAATGCACAGAAGCGTGATGCAAAACTACTAGCCTAACTAGTGCGCAAAAGGAGGACGGTTCGAGGTCCATGCAGCGGGGCTCTCTTATATTTCCCCGCTCACCTATGAGCGTCTCCGCATGGGGAAACAACAAGGAGAAGATCCTGTGGCTTGAGGGATGCAGCGAGGTCATCCAGGAGTTGATCGATTAGATAAATCACAAACAGCGCCTCGTTTTGATCAACCGGGGGAAAGAGAGTTTTAGGGCAGGGAATCAATCCGCTTGCATCAGCTGAGTAGGAAGGCATTAGAAGAGAGAAGCAGACTGAGTGACTCCTTTTGACACGGCACTCGAATAGGCATGTACACATGGTAGCAGGTCACACGGAGGAAACAAAAAGATACTTCCGATTTGGGGTCTGGGTGCAAGGGAAAGCGCTTTATGAGTGGCGTACGGCGAAGACAGTCCTTAATCCGGTGATCGTCCTGTGCTCATCGCATGATCAGCAGAAAGCAACAGCAATGCTTCAGAGATGCAGCAAACAAGCTGCCTCGCATAGGCAGGGCCCTCAGGATAGGGGCAAAGAGCCTGACAAATTCAACCTACTAAGCAATCGCAGCAAACACCCTCTTCCGCCTGAAGGCCGTCACTGCGTGTCATCAGCTCCTCACTATCCAGTGCTTCGTTCGCCGATACAGGCATGCAGTCCACCGCAGCTGGCGCAGAGCCTTCCTCGCCAGTCTGGCCCCCTTTGCGTTGCTGCCTCAGCTGTGCCTCAGCAGCCAAAAGGAGACGCGTTCTGTCCTGGAAGTCATAGAGCTGATCAGTAGACGCATGCAGCGCACGGCAGCACAGCCGCTGATACCCACGCAGCACGCATACACCCCACGAGGCCACCCCGTGAGCGTCAGAAGCTCGAGGGTTGCTCGTGGCTTCAGAGGACGGCTGAGCCATTGGTGCCACTGGCAAGGCGTCCCCAGAGCAAGCTTCTTGTGCGGTATTCGACCCTCCTGTATTGAAACTTTTGCGTTGGAGGAGCTCCTTGCAAACGCGGATAATCTCCGAATCATTTGCCAGCCCATCCCTGACGCGGGCGCCCTAAAACATTGAACAGAAATATGCAGTTCGCGCGTGTGGAAGGCGGAGAGCTGCCGTGTGTGAAAGCGCCTTGTATAAGCTGGAGCGGTGTTTTCTACTGCTGTTGGGAATCAACAGTGCAGAAACATGCGTCGCACACTATGGAATTTCGTGCAAGCACTCAACACCGGCGATGGATTAGGCTGTATGCTATGTATGTCACGCGCATCACGGGCCAAGGATATGCAACTGCAGTGCCGTCTGGCGTTATTTGGCATTCATACAGTGTTGCCTACCTTGAGAGGAGCAGGAGAATTGTGTGCGAAGGAATCTAACAGAAACAGTACCGCCTCGTCCTGCGCGTCCACACTGCTGTCTGACCCCTCTACTGTCTGACGACTCGAGTCGTGCAAGAGCGGCTGCTCTTGCTCTTTCGGATATTCTTTCCGCTCTTGGCTCAACTCCTCACAGAGCTCCTCGGGATGCCTCTGCAGCTGCCGTAATGCAGAAGCGAGGGGTGTCAGCTGCATCAAGGGCGCAGCAAATCCTGGCCCGTTTCTAATTTTCTTCTGGGCAAGCAACATAGCAGTTTGTGCATCTTCCTTTGGGTCGTGGCCGTGCTTCCGCGCCATCTGTTTGTTCAGATACAATTGCGCCAGCCGTTTCAAAGAGAGCTTAAGACCCATTCGGTTGTGAGGGTAAAGAACGGTGGTGTCTATACACCGCGAGTGTACGAGCTTCAAAGCTCGTAGATCGTACTCCAGAGAATGGCCAACAAGAATAGCCCCTGGGGGTAGCACTTGTCGCAAATGGGCATGAACGTCTGAAAGCGTTAGTGTGGCCGCGTCCAGCATCTCCTTCGTAAGCCCAGAATATCGCGTCAAGTAATCTAGCACGGTTATAGAAGGTTTCACAAGAAGATCTACAACTACCTTGCAGTTGCAGTCGACGATGCACACGCGGCCTAGCTGCTTTCCTAGCGCGGTTTCCACCATCTCACAGTCTACCCCGTACAACAGATCGAAACGAGCCTGAAGTTAAATAGACAAACCAGACAGCCTTTGCAATATACATGCCTTTGGAAGGCATGTTTCTTTTATTTTAACCGTAGATCTCCTCATCCTTCAGTTGTGCCTCCATGAAAACATTGCAGCTCTCTGTAGGTGCCCCCAGTGCTGCACTGTGCTAACGCTGCTAGTCACCCGGCGCACCAAAACTAACGGTAAAGAAAATGCACACAGAAGTGCAAACCAAAATGAAAAACAAAGTGGGCAGAAGTAACCCACCTACTACTTGTTACGTCCCGTCCCTCGTAACGTCATGTTGTCTGCCAAATTCTCTAAGCAAAAAAGTAGAACCTCGGATCTCCAGGCCCAACGGCCCCCTACCTCGTCATTGTTTCCAAGCCAAAGCGGGTCGAGAACAGCGTGGTTGGGGGGGATATCGCACCATGGTCCGAACCCTGGGGAAAAAGCAGCAAATGGAAATTCACGAGCAATAGCAGCAGGAAGCTGCCATCGAGCTATTCGAAGTGGCCAGAAAGAAAACGTTTGGAGGCCGTTTATATGTATGTATATATACAGAGGCGGCCTTATGGCCGAATGTAGCTGCAGACGGCAACAGACCATAACCAGGGAATCCTCGATCATGCATCTCCTCCGGGGTGAGAAAGTATTTCGAAAGGCAAACACTCCCTGCAGCGCCGTGCAACGCAGACACAGTGAAAGTGCCAGAAAGGCGATTCCTCGATTCATGCTAGGGTCAGCACACTTGCATACGAGTGCGCGTTCCAGGGCATAAGGGGAGGAGAGGGAGAAAGGGAGCCTGAAGCGTGAGGTGGTGTCACAGACACACATACACAGACAAACACACACACACAGAAAGAGAGAGAGAGGAGGCCGAGCGATGGCGACAATAAGGATAGAGATATGAAGAAAGAGCGGCTGACTGAGGACGCAGTAACGTTGGATGCATGCAGAGTTTCACATGACTGAAGATAAGCACCAGTGAGGCAGAGGGAGGGGGCGTCTTCTACCTGTAGCCTCAGCTGGGTCTTCTATGGGAATTCTCCCGGAGGTCGTTGCAGTGGTTGCGACAGAGAAAATGTTCTGCATCACCCAACTCGCGAAAAGCGAAGGCGTTCAAATTGGTGTCTGGACGCCTCTTCCCGGGATACACGTTCGAACTGCGCACTGTCGACGATGGAAGTCGCGCGGAAAAGAGGCGCTTCCAACACGGGAATTGACACATGGCCGCATGCAGTGCGAAAAGGGGAGGTCTACAAGGTAAAAGCCACATTCTTGCACCTCAATGAAGGAGCAGTGGTGGGGGGACTGCATCATTCTGGGAGCCCGAAGAAGCATTTTGCTGTGCACCGCCTTCCTTAAGGGGGTTCGCGCTTCTGCACACGCTGGGTGTGGAGAATAACGCGTCTGTACGCCGACCAACGTCTCCAATGCGTTTTTGGTTTCTTGGGGCACAGCCGCGAGGATTTTGTCATCGCTGCAGTTTCCGTAGATCCTCAGCAGGTTGCTGTCTACATACGGCACGACCACCATCACGACAGACCCCACATTATGACAGTTTTGCACGGTTAGCCAGGGAGGCCTGGAGGGTTCCTGAACAGCCCCTGCAGAGTTCGATTCTCCCCTGGGAAAGCGGTGCAGCTGCTGGCGGTAGTACATCCTGAGCCGAATACGGGGGAGAGCGCATGCAGGCAGCTGCACGACGCGAGTAAGAAAAGGGAAAGAAAGGCGGGGCCAGGGTTAGCTGCACTCCCTATAAGGCCTATTACACCCCACAACAACCTGTGGCAAGACGTCTGCAAGGCAGCGTCAATCCAGAGGCCAGGTAAGCCAGGCTCCCTGGTGTGCAGCAGCTGTTCCTATATATATATATATATATGGCGTCTTCTCTCTCGGGGGTGAGACGGCCTCGCCACTTTCCATCAACGTACCACAGTAGGGCGTTTTGCAAGTCGCGCAGCGCTGCACGCTGATTGCCTCGAGACCCCTGCTTGATCCAGACCGCCAAGGAACTCGAGACTGAAAAGGCAGAAGCAAGCAGCAGGGTGCAGAAACGCGCATTCAGGTAGCTTCTATCGTGCTCTAAGAAAGAATCGAGAGAGAGAGAGAGAGAGAAAGCGTCTGGTACCACGGAAGCTGCCTCTCAAAAAGCAGAGTAGACTGAAAGGCGGCAACTCGCTGCCCGCAAATGCATGGCTTACCTTTGCGGGGCGCTGAGCCTGACTTGCTAGGAGCCAGCTTCTTCATCATCAAGCCGTACAGCGGGCAGACCGATCACCTTGTGCATCGAAAGCCTATGCCCCCGTCAAGCGTACGGGTGAGCTGGCCTCCGCCTCTGAAGGCTCTTTGCTGGGAATTTCCGCAGAAACCATGCAAGTGCTAGCGGAACATGCCCCCGAAACACACAGCAGCAAGTCTAAGACTTGAGGAGAACACGCAAGAATCGCAGGGGTCCCCACAACTCAATGGTGGCGCGCGCTGGCTAACCAGAAGGGAGAGGGGCGATACCAGAAAATAAAGGCATGACGTGTTCGAAGCACGTCATGGGCCAGGGTTGCCTTCTTCCTGCTCTTGCTGTGAAGGAAGAAAGCCAAGGAAATAATGGAGCAGTCAAGTAGCGCACCTCTGTGAGGTGTTTGAAGGAAAGCAATTAAAACCGTCCGAAAAATTCATGGACAAGAGGCGCAAGCAGCGCGTCAACTGTGCTGCTTCATACGCTGCTGCATGCAGTGGGATTCAAATTCATTGCCCTCATGTCGGCTTGCCTGTACTGAACAGCAACTCCGCCCTATAAATATGATGAAATAACAATTAAGAATGCCTTTTCAATTGCTATCCAAGCGAGTTTCGCATAGACCTTGATCATTTCTTATCGTTTGATACAGCTCTGGAAGTCTCGTGGTCTTCTGAGGAGGTCTAGCGGGACCAAGCTCTAATTAGTGCGCAAAACACAGGCTTTTTCTGGTTTTCCCCAACCTTCTGTGTGTTCGCGCCCTGCCCAAGTGTCTTGCCAGTGGCTCTGCCTCAACTTCGCTCCAGGAAGAGCGCCACTACAACACCGCAATACAGGACAAACCGCGCACATTACGATGGTGGGCTGCGGTTCCCTGAGCATCGCCTTTCTGTATTCTAGTAGCAGAGTTGCCTGCCGGTGCTGCGCTGACGGTAGTCCACATGCTCGCTTGAGCCCTCCTGCTCATCTATCTTGTGCTCTTCCCGCGTTGGCTGCATTCTCTTCGTTCTGTGGGGGGCTTGTGTGCAGAGTGGTCGCGGCGCCTACTACAAGGCAAAATATGGGAGTGCGCTTCGCTGTTTCCGTTCTTTTGGAATTCTACGTTTGTGCTGCTAGCGTTTCCACGTTTCTTTTGCCATAGGGGCTAGCTGCGCCAAGCCACAAATAGCGCTATCAAGATAGAGATATTTGAGGAATATTCCGTTGTGTGCCACTTCCCGATGATGCTGGACAGGATATCCTACGATATTTATTTACTCGTTTCAAAAATTTTGTTTGCTTCCGTGTGCAGGAGGGGGGCGTGGAGGAGGGCATCCGCACACAGGGGATGGCGGACAGTGGCACCCGTACGGGCGAAATCCGCCTCCTTCTGAAGCTCCAGAGACACCTGGAGCCTTTGGTGTGCGTATTAGGGGAATATGGGGGAGGGAAACGTGTAAAGCCAGTACGCCTAAATGATGGACAGCGAGGGGAAGGCGAAATATGCGCACTCAGAAGCTGCAGGTCAAAAGCACGTGAACCACCCAGCAACACGCGCCTGCATGCGGCTGGCATTTTATGCGACGTACAGAGAGGAGCACCGCAGTCAGCGGAAATGCACAAACGCGATTTGGCTGGAAGCCTAATCTCACTAGAGGGTGAGGCTGCTGAAGCTATGTCTTCCGGTGCTCGGCAGCAGTCTCTCTCGAGAGCACTTTTAGCGGATATGAGGATGTATCCATCATGCGCTCTTTTCTGGTGTACATCGCTGTTGTGCTTCCTGAAACACCAGGACAAAGCTACGGCGCTTACAAGTCTCTCATCGGATGCTGGGCAGTTGGCGAATTCTCTCTGTTCCTTGATAAGTACGTTGACATGGCAAAGCAGCGCGTGGCGCATGTGTGCATGCGTGCAAGCAGGGGTCCACTAGGGGGTGTCCAAACTGGGGGTGGGAGCGTTCGCGTTTGAATAGTGGCTTTTTCATAGGTGAAACGCTGAGGCGCGCGAATCTATTATTTTTAAGCTGCCTGCTTTGTCCGCAGAGTCCAGTCAGATCCGTTCGCGCCTCCAAGTTGCTTTCGCCTGCGCCTGCCACAGGCCTACGCACAGTGCGTATTTTGGAAGTTGCACTTTTCGTGCTTTCCTTCCTTTGCGATGATGCGCAGCTTTACAATCTTTGCAAGCTGCTCCTTGTGCGTGCTCTCCTTTTGTTCCTCTCAAGGTTTCCACCACATCTTTTTGCATCATTCATCCGCAACGTGGCGCTCTGCGATTTCCTCACGCGAAAGTTCTTTGAGGCTATCGCCAGGGGAGGCGTTCTTGGAGTGGACGATGCGGGGGTCCAGGGAGGATGGCATGACAGCAAGGTGGCCCACGAAATTGCTTTTTGGAGCTGCCCTATCATCGGGAGAAACATTAGTAGCAGCTGCAGCTACAGCACCGTATTCCTCTGTTACCAATGCGCCTAGTTCGGGCCTGCTTTTGTGCATGCATCAGCCGGACAACATTCGGATAGACAAGCCGGGACAGTACGTCTTGCCGAGGAGTTCAATGGTTGTCACCCCAGAATACGTAGAGGCGAGGTGTACCATAGGGCTCCCTGTAAGTTGCACTTTCCCGCTTGCTGAGCGCTCCCACTTGAAGTGTACGTTTCCCTCCTCTCTGCCAAGCCGCCCGAAGCCTCACCCGCACACGCACCGTGGCGATGATTTCGCCCTCACATTTCATGAGTACTATACGATGGGGAGGAGCTTACCTCCGAGGAAACACTGCACTTCATGCCGGGCCGTATATTTGCGTGCCCGCGTGCATGCGCGATGATTTAAGCGCGTTTTTTCTGCATATGCGTCTTCCACTGTCAACAGTAGAATCGCCTCAAGTTGCGGCTGTCATGCAGGCTCGCGGTCGAAGAATTGAGGGGCGCAGAGCGGCGCAGCTGCTCTGCCACAGGCTACCCGAGCTGGTTCGGCGCGTCATGAAGTACAGTAGCCTGGATCCCGTAGCACTTCAGCGTCATGTTGAATGCGTAGAAGACCAGGAATGTAAGCAGAGAGCTTGCAGGGTGCAGAGATCACCCGATGCAACGACTGCCTGCAGCTGCTCGTTGGTGGGGGCTCTACAGAACACTTTAGCTTACTGCCCCAGGCTCCCGCTAGAATGTCCAACGCCGAGTTGAGTCATGTGGTTTTACCATCTGCATCCTGCAGTTTTACGGTCCAAATTGAAAGAAAAGGGACTAACTTCCTTCGTGGCGAACGGCGCCTGTCTGCCTCGGAGATCGGGGGTTGACGATGCACCAATGACCAGAGAACAGGTAAACCGCGCGTGCAAGTTTCTACTGAGGCTTTTGAATCGGGCCTTAGCCGCATTTAAGGACTACCTTTTCTTCTTTCCGATTTTTCTGGCCTTCTCATGATGCTGATAACCATTCAAATGGTAGTGTAATGCTACCGCGGCTCGTCACGGACGCCGCTTCTTACCTACGCGTTCATTCTCGCATGACAGCTGGATAGGCGCGAACAGTTTGCCCATGCGGCGAACTGATATCTCCAGCCCCGTGTAGGCGTGTCAAGACTGTGCTGCCTCTGCAATATGATGCCCGATTTGCCAGCCTTGTATATAGAGCACGCTGCTTTTTGTCTCTTCCTACATCGATCGGTGCTCAAGTTTTTGATAAAGCATTTGTTTGGGGGCTTTGACGGGGTCAAGCTTTCAGCATTCATGGTCAGACTGACGTGCGTGCTTTATCGTGTGGTTTGGCAGTTCTCAGTTGTGCCGTTGTACGTCGTTGCAGGACCCCAATTTGGTGCTTTTCCAGTCACCTCCGAACTTGGAGTGCGAGTTCACCCTTCCAAACACCGGCAAGGGTAGGATGAGCGCTTGATGAAGAGTCCGTATTTGTATGCATCCAACTTTCTAAGTCATTTAGAAATGAGGCGTTTCCGTAGCGTACCTGATTTCTTATCCTAGAAACCAGAAACACTAAATGTCCTGCGGCAGAAGTGCACTGCGGACCCCGCCGCGTGTGGGGTGCAGGCACACCACTTGTATTCTTCGTAGCATCTTATTTGCGTCCTTATAGAATCGCTTTCTCTGTGTATATGCGCTTCCTCATTCTATTCCGATTTTCATCTGGTGGGAAGGAGGATGTCTTGCTTTTCCTGTGAATTCAGTCCGTGGGATGGGCATCCCTAGAGGAATAACTCTCATCGTTGGCGGGGGTTTCCACGGGAAATCGACAATGCTGGAGGCGCTTCAGGTTGGAGTGTACAACAAGGTCCCAGGAGATGGACGAGAGTTTGTTGTTACGGAACCCCAGGCAGTGAAAGTGAGAACGATGATTCACGAATATCAGAGATTAGCGGGTAATCAAAAAGCCAATAGATTTGCTTCAGGATCCCTTTCGTCATTTTGCTTCCTTATTTCCGTCTGCGTAAAGCTCCGTGCCTGTTTTCTGTGGGGAATGCTACCACACAGATTCGGGCGGAAGACGGCAGAATGGTGACTTCTGTAGGTGAGTTAGTCAGCAGCCAGTCATCTGTGGCCCTTGCTCCTCTGATGTCCGCTTGGATTGCCATTTCCCTTCCACTGCTTTGTATGTTGTCCTTCTCGCTGCCTTTTTGTATTTTTGCAGACATCTCCCCCTTTATAAGCAACTTGCCGTTCGGGAAGAGCACCTCCTATTTTTCATCAGCGGACGCCTCGGGCAGCACCTCCCAGGCCGCCAATATAATGGAGGCGCTCGAGTTCGGGGCATCTGCACTTCTGATTGATGAAGACACATGCGCCACTAACTTCATGATTCGAGACGCACGAATGCAAGCCCTTGTTGGTAAATTCGCATAGCTCAACAACACGAAACTTCACAATTTTACCTCTCTACTTGAAACAGAATATGAAATGAAATATGCCTGTCTACGTTTTTGTGCACAAACTTGCAAGTGGAATGCTTTAAGTATGCTGCACAGAAGTAATGCTCCAAATATCTCTCCCACTTTTATGAACTCTACTAAGTGGCTCAAGTGGCAATATTCATATGGAGCGGTAGTTTGACGTATGTGTGTCCAGCAAAAGAAAAGGAACCCATAACTCCATTTCTTTTTCGGGTGAAACGTCTCTTCACGGAATTGAATGTGTCGACGGTCATGGTCATTGGAGGCAGTGGCGACTTCTTTGAGGTGGCGGACGTTGTGCTGCAATTTGATAAATACCAGGCGTACAACGTCACACAAAAAGCTAAGGAAATCGTCAAGCAATTCGCATCTAAAGAAGCGGGGCAGGTAAGTAATCAGAAGACGAAACAAGTAAAGGTGTGACCTTGGCTATGGAAAGTGAAGCTGTCGCTTGTAGCTAGGGAAAGTGACTGCAAGGTGATAAGTTATGCGCTTGCCTCCTTCCGTACCTCTGAGGCACACAACATTGTCATGCCAATTGCTTGATTTATAATATATGGGCATATGTCGTTATTCGATCTCACTATTCGGTTGCACCTTCGTGCCTCTTGTCTCGAAGCACTTTTATCCCCTTTATTATGTTGTCCGCGACAGAAAGTTCCTCACATGCTTGCCTTTGCTCATTTTAAACCACACTCTCCTCCATTTTGCATTCTAACTTTTGAAGTTACAACGTCATCATTTGGTGTGCTGTGCTTTTGATTCAAGCTTGCTCTGCAAACGCCTCTGAGCCATGCGAACGTTCCCTTTGGGCCAATTAGGCAGCGAGTGGCAGTGGAAGGTGCGTTGGCTTTGTATTCCTGAAGCTTAACTGTATTTTTGAACCCAAGGTTCCGTTATGACTACATGACTGGATTCAGCTCCTTATTTAACTCTACATTTGAAAAATGAGGAAGGAGCAACGTGCCCGTGCTGCTCCTGACACCCAATACTACTGCGAAGTTTTAGTGAAGTCTTCCAGGAAGAAATGCCCATTGATGGCCTTTTGCGATATGAATACGATGTAGCTTTACGCCTTTTGCGGGAATGCAAGTCAACTGTGGTCATGTGTGCCGCTCCATCCACCGATTTCCCCTCGCGTCATGCTCCTGCTGTGTTGCTTCTGGTTGTTATACATGCTTGGCGCTTCACTCTGTTTTTGGATTGGTTTACCTCTTGCACAGAGAGTTTGCATCCAAAGGGGAAAGTGAAAGTTGGGGGCACACGCGCGATTGCCTATGGCGGTACTTCCATCGACGTGACTGGCGTGGAGCAACTGGTAGACAACTCGCAAACAAGAGGGATTGCCTGTTTTATCCAGAAGATCGCAGAGAACTACGAACAAATGAAAAGAGGCGGGAAGCGGTAAGTAACACTTTTGGAGGCCGGGAAAGCACTTAGAGGATGATTTTATCCGTACCCGGAACTTCAAAACCGTTAAAGGAAAATTCAGTCAATCGGCAATACAAAAATATGTATGTATGTGATCTGTGGCATATTTATCCCCAAGAACACTGCATTTTGTCTGTTCGTATGCTTTCGAATACAACGAAGGTAGATTACATATTTGTATTCGTATATAAGTGTGTCGTGCGATTCAGAAGCCTTAGAAGCATGATTGAGGCTCAGTATGAGAAAGTTGTACATGGGTCACCTGCCGGTACGCTGCGAACACAGCTTATCAGATTCAGTGGCCAACTATAAAATGAGCACGTACATAACAGTATTTTAGGCTTCATGCAGCACAGTTGATGCCCTACTGATGCGGAACAAATGAGTCACACCAACGAATTTTGCTCTTTCCTCTGCCGTCCCTGATCAGTTGGGCAGCAAAGGCTCAGCATATCCAGCAGGAGCTCATGTTTCTGGCTTAATTCCACATGTAATGTATGTATCTCTATCTTATGAGCCACTTGTTCTGCAGGCTGCACGCATCCGCTCTTGGATTGCCTAAGCACGTGGCACTACCCAGTCGTAGGTCGTCATTAGCTTTGGGAGCTGTTTTTTTCAGTATCCGCTGGTGCATTCCTTTAACTATTATCTCCTCGTTGAGTTCACAGACTAAGGTCGTACACCAACTTCAATATTTTTGTGAGTATTTTCTGCAGGGCGATCTTGCTTTACCACGCGCACTTGAGGTACGGGTCCATGGTTCCCTATTAAGGGTAATATTCTACCCTGCGTGATACTTACGTTTCCTTTGGTTCTTTTGATTCCGTTGCCAGAATGTGGCTCATTTGAATGGTGGTGATGAGGGAGAAATCTATGAGCAGTAACCAGTGTCAACGTTGGATTGTGGGACAGCCGTATCTGCAAGGGATTGTCCCTAATTAATGCAGCTCTAGTCGTAGTGGAAAATGCAATATTTTCTAGAGTAGGATATTCATCGCCAATTTTATGACACAAACGTATCTGCCGTACGAATCGCAGTTATTAGTCATTCTTTCATCGGTACATGTTAATTTGCGGGATTCATCGCTTTTTTGTATCCAGATTGGATGTGCAATAAGTCGGCTTCGCGGTTTGAAGATCTCTGAGGTGATTTAAATAAAACTCTAATGAAGGTATCGAAGTTATAAGGGCAACATTTGGGGAGTTCTTTGTCGCAATGTTCTCGTTCGAGTGAACTTGGCTTAGGGTAGTTGCTTGTTATATGATGCAAATTGAGGAAATCGTCGTATCCTTTTCCCGTGCTTGACAAGCTTCTAGGCTAGCTCGTCTTTTGCGATGCCTTTTTCCTTAAGATTTTAAGTTTTGTTAACATGTTACTTCTGTAAATTGTGTGGGATGGAACTTACGCTATAAGCGCCCTGGCCCTCTCGACGGTTTTTCGTTGGGTTCTTATTTCATGTCTGAGTTGCGCAATCCTTTGTCGGTCATAGTTCATCCTTTCCTGAGGGAAACGATAAATAAATGCCATATGATTATCATTCAGGCATATATTTTAACTGGTTTCTTGTAGGCCCGTGATGTTTACTAAACTAGCTTTAAAGTGACCTTCTTCCCAAGTTTCACCTGTGGTGACATTGTCCTTTCTAGATCCTCTTGGTTCTGGGGGCTCATCAATGCATGTAGTTCGCTCTCCGCTTCCTATGTTCTGCGCTTTGGGTCCAACTGTAGCGTAGTCACATGAAAATTCACTCCTGACCTTCTCGTTCTTTCGTTGAAGGTCAGCTGATGTATTTTCTTGCATAGCTCTTCCCCGATAATTGATATCGTAGCAAGACTAACCTGCAGGGCTGTCTATGCCCATAGCTATATCCAGAACACCTTGAGCAGCCGCTTTCTTCTCGGGGTCACTGTTGTAATCACAATGGACCAGTTTCAGAAGCACAAGGGTTTCGTGGGTATACTCACTCTTCTTCCTCAGGTTTTGGGGCGTAAATGGCATAAACTCCCGCGCCTTTTAGCGCTTCTGAAAAAAAATGTTTCATAATTGCACCAGCAACGCTTTTACCCAGAGAACACCGCGAAAACGCAGGCAGAAAACAAGGGAAGCGAGAGCCAAGGCCGCGAGAAACTTGCACAACGAGTACCTACCTGGATTCGCCGTTGCTAGTTCCCTTATTTCCATTGTTAGCCCTGCGAGCTTGAAAAAAGGGTTCATCTCCAACGCATTTTTGAGATCTGGATGTGTCATGAGTTGGGTGATCTAGTAGTGTGCCTCTCGACAAGTAGGCTGTACCCTTGGACACTTTTTCCAGCTTTGTGGCTGCAGGAAGTCAAATCTAGGGTTGTCAGTAAACATAGCTCTTAAGATAAACGTATTTACCAGCAGAATCGGCCAGTGGGTTGCTCTCATTTCCTGTAGGTCATGATGAGGTGCTTTGACCCACGCAAACATCGGGATTAAAGAACCGTACCCGCCTGTTGTTGCGGTACTGGCGGCGCAGCTTCAGCTGGGGCTGCTCCTGTTGACACTGGAGGTGCTTGTTTTTCTGCTACTGCAGAGAACCGTCCTGCTAAGTCATGTCGCTTGAGATTTGGGGACGGTTGAACTCTGTACCCAGCGCTTGCATTCAGTCCCAAAGTGCAGATTGCAACAACTAGACGTAAGAAACCCGTCATTTCTAAGCATTTGGTGATCATTAATAAAACAAACAGGGATAAATTTATCGCATATCCTGAGGTCGAAACAAACTAAGGTACACCTGAGCATACACCTGAAATGTTGTATGGCCAGTGGACACCATCAAAAACGGTGCTTAACATTGCCCGATGCATCCCGGCTGCGAAAAAGGAGCAGTAGATGCCGACATATTTGCAAACTTGAACTTTTGCAGGGTCGTGTGAAATGCAACCAGCTGGTTGCCTTGTAATTCGTGGCGCAATGGTGCTGAACACTGTGAGAGGTCATGATCATGGTGGAAACGGAGGACAAGGGCATTCTACTGATGAATAAGAATATGCGCAGCAATGAAATCAAAGACTTTTAATGCAGAAAACGCTCCCGTATGCATTTTGTCCCGACGCAGAGGCATAATCCAGCGACAACTCAGAAGGCATTTCGGGGCATGTTCCTGCATGGAGTGGTCTGAATTATCTTGGAAACCGGGCCACCCGATATGCACCATTTCACATCCGAATGGGCTACTGCCGCATTTGGAAAAAAACAGCGAACGAATGGAACTGGGAAAGCATGAACTAACCGGTTCATTCTTGCTGCCCGTCGGCTCGTCTGAGAGCACCGAATGGTAGCTATAGTGACTCCCCTCTTTCACTGCCTCTTATCGATTTGAACCCCAGTCCCCGATGTTGATGCACCTCCAGATTCTTTGCAGACAGCCTGCATCGAAGATATGGATGGTGTTTACTTTTCCCTTCAGGTGACCGAGGGGCCACTGGATCAAAGGATTAATACACACATTAATGCATAAAGTGGGCGGGTTGGCCGTCTTCAATTGAGAGGAGATACTTGGTCCAACTAAAGCTCACGCGGACGAACTAGGTCCGCACTGAACTCGCAGGAATGCAGGCATGGCATTCTCCGTTTCCCACACATAACTGAGTTCGCAGTACTCGAGTGTAAAACAGACTTATCCAAACTTACTGCAGCCTTCATTCGATTGCAGTCAGAGAGCGCAGCTTTGGTTCGGAAAGCCGCAACATAACAGGGCAGTGGTCTGACCCAAAGAAGCGTCTCTGCATTACACAGGAACACGAAGCGCGTTAAAACTGCCTGGACCTGTATAATCTTCCATGCCTGTACTTATGCACACCATGTAACGTAACTGACAAAAAGTACTAGCACACCTCTGGCAGCAAAAAATGGCCGCCTACTCTTGAACACCGCTATCTGAATCGATGGTTTAAAAGGCTAATCCATTCTACAGAACCTGATCTCACCCTGGGGAAAGCCTGGCCCACGATTTCCACCGAAGAGACACATGAAAGCAGCTCCTCGCTGGCGAACTGCAAACGTATGACGCCGACAGCACTAGAGAAAGCCATTAAGGGCGCGTGTTCTAGGATAATATCCCTGAATCGGTGTATCGCATGGGCGTGCAGCAAAGACCATACCGCGTGGTCTAGACGCATTCCCCGAGCAGATGACAGGCTTCTATCTTCCTTGTATCCTGAGATTGAACCAGTAAAAAAGAAACTCGTCATACAGGCCTTAATATGCCACAGGCCCCTTTACCACCCCTCATGCGCTTGGCTGAAGTGCCCACCCTCCCAAACGGGGCACGATTTCACAATATCGGACGCATAAAATTCACAGTACTACTCATGGCAACGTAACAAATTGACACAGTACGAGCACTGAGGCGTAGCCATACGGGACTTCCAGAATGGCATCTGCAGACCGGATGCCCACCCACGCACCGCGCCAGGTGTACGCCGAGTCCTGGACTGGCGGGGGTGTGCTTCTTGGGTTTTGATGTCGATAAACGTCAACAAGCTTGCTGCGGTAACATAGAAGCGATTGCAGAAAGCCGTTTTGTGCCACATCAGCAAGCACTCAAAAGGTAGCAGCACTCTGTGGCCTCGATTTTGCTGGTGAATATACTGCTGTAGTTTCTGTCCGCAACTGCAGTGACACATAAACCTTAGGATTTACGCACCCCGCATGCAAAATCTCTTGGAGTCGCGCCCTCTCCGCGTCCGTACACCCTGGTTGCCCCACATTCTCCTGCGGCGCAAACGGTTCAACGAAATTGTTCGCTTCCTCCCTTTCTACCCCAGATATTGCAACAAGGGAGGAAGCAAAGGTGGCGGCTGGTTACCCCCGCCTGTTGGCAAGCGCCCTACTGGCTTTAGTTTTGGATCAGGCGAATGCGCGCTTCTAAATATCTTCGGATGAGAGAGGTCCAAGTCTGTTGGTGCGCTGCAGAACAACATAGCGGACTACCACCTCTCAGTCACAGAAGTTCTGACTGTACAGCATATATAAGTGGACACAAAAGGTGCTTTACGGGGTAGTGCGGCTGTACTTATACATCACACCATTATCTCTGAGACTCAATGCCCTAGTGTCAATGAGTGTCATACGAGATACTCCTGGAGGCATATATATACATATATATATATATATATATATATATATATATATATATATGGGTTGGGTAGTTGTTCATTTGCTGCGGCCCTAAGCATTGGGACAGATGGATGTGCTAAGCTTGAAATTCCATATATCATATAAATCTGGTGTTCCTCGGTGTGCTGGTATCAGGGAGAAAATAACCGCTTCATAGTGCCGGCTGAGGGGCCTCACCAGTTCGCATCTCCCATCCAGATGAGGGGCTTCTGTTCTGACCGATGCAGAAACGGCACATAAACGGGCAGTGAAACCGACCAGAGGTTGGCTGGATGCCACTGTCTGTGTTGCGGAAAGCACAGTCTTTGAGCCCGTCACCTGTAAACTGGGCATTGCTGGTGCGGTTTGGCGTACGTCGTTTCACGAAAGCGAGGAGTTCTTCATCCCATTTCTTTCGCCTTTGGAAGCTCTGCTCCGCCCATCCATTGTTTGGGGAATACCTAACAATCATTGGTCGGCGTAAATGCACGAAGGGGCAAGGAGGCTGGCTGCATGACTGTACGCAGCAACCCCGATCCAAGCTCCCAGGCAAAGCACGGCGGACCAGGGACCCCTAGAACTAGCTTGCGTTCACATGAAGGAAGGAAGACGGTCACATAAAAGCACGGGCGAGGCGGCTAAGAGGGTAGCAGGGGTGTCGATGCGGCGCAACAGTTAGAGACTCACGTCGTGAGAAACGCAAGCCGCCCAAAATCCGCTATGATCACTCTCCCTTCCTGCAAACCGCATTTTGCTAGAACCAGCGACGACGCTTTTTTGCGCATCCCGATCATTAGAAGCGTGGGTTTCTTGTGTCATGGCAAACAGCAGATGAGTGCAAAATGCACCGCTTTCACGGCCCCGACTGTCAATTTTCGTATCAAATGTACGAATTCGTGTTACAGAAGCTCTGTAGCCGCAGAGAGGCAGAAAGGTGGCTAAGACACAAATTGCAAAGCAGCGCACCGCATGGTGAACATTAGGGTCCGTTTCGTTCAAATTGTACCTCAGCGCCTCTACCTGAGGCACACGCGAAACCGCCTGCCAAGTGGGGTACACTGCAACACGAAGTTGGACCGGGTGCGAATGCAGACAGCTTTACGCGCACGACGAGGAGCCCCAATGTGGATGCGAAATCGAGTCTCAGCTGCTAAGTGGCAGAGCCCTATACACCGCGGGTCGCTCGTGGCAAAAGCACATCAATTTACGCGCCCGACCTTGAGATGTCGTCGTAGCAGCAAAAACTGTCCTGCAAAACAAGCACTTACAGACACCCTGTTGGAGTGCGTCAGAGCCCTCTCCTATAAAACATCCATGAGAACAACACATTTCTGGGATTAACTGCCCCACGACATGCAGTCTGCTCAGACATACCGCTGTACTTCCAGTCTGCGAGGGACATGAGCACTTTGTAATCCGGGAGGGTCTTTAACGCCTCGCGCAAAGCAGCAGCAATCTGCTCAATCTCTCGACGCTCGGCAGCAGAGGCAGTCGGGTCCGCTTCAATTCTGACAGCGCCTCTGTGCCGCGGCAATCCATCTCCCTTGCGACAGCCTATACACCCTAGCACCTGCCACACTCAAGGAATGCTGAGTAGCACGTCTGCCGCAGGCGCGAGGTTGTGCGCAAGCATGAGGAGCTTTGTGAAATGCAGAATATGGCGGAAAGGAAGGCAACAGCCTGCCCGCTTTCTCACCTGGAGGACCCAGCGCGGGGAGCCGGATCTCCTGAAGACAAATCACGTCCTTCGCGAAAAGGGTCCGCAGAAGCATAATAAACACAGAGCTCCGTGGGCTAGAATGTCATAGAAAAGATGCGTGTTTTTTTCCACGCGCGTAATGTAATACGCGAGCACATGGAGCTCGCCAGTCGCTGGCGCCTAGGTGCGGGCACTCGCAAGCTACGCCCCTTGAGGCCGGCTGGTTGTCGGCAAATGGTGCTGCAAACACGGGATGTGTCTTCTCACTGGCTTTGCTTCTTCGATATAGGCTGCGAACTGCCGCCACTGAGACGCCCTTACTCTTGGCAGCAAGCCGTTCAAGTTCCAGGTGAGGAAAGAGAGGGGTAGCGGGTCGTCCACTGTGACGAGCCCGACCTCTGGCACAGAGCTCCAAATGGCTGGGGATCCTTGTGAAGCACAGCAGGTAGCAGGGGGCTGTCTTAGTCGAGGCGAGGGAATGACGCGAGGTGTCTTTGCGGCCCGGCCTGTTTGTGTGTGCGAGTGACCCAGAGTGCGCTTGGTTGCTGCACCGCGCTTCGTGGATTTGGCTGGTTCCTCGCTGTCTGTCGGAGAGGTTGCAATGCAAATGGGATCTTCAGGAGCATTGCCACTATTCACGCGCAGCGGAGACGCTGCGGTGTCTGCGGATGGTCGCCCCGGTGTCGTGGCGACCCCCTTCGCTGTGGCGGCCATCGGGTCGGAGGAGTGCCAGCCTTCTGGTATGCGAGAAAGTGTGGTCGGTGATGTTTGCATCCAGAGAATACGAACGCGGAGGGGCCTTATGATGGGGAGTGTGCGTACAGATGAGCATGCAGCCGACCCCAGCGACCGAGGTCTCACTCCACTGCGCGTGGTCTGATGACTGGAAGCGGGCTCCCTGCGTACGGCAGAGTTCTTGGTCAAAAAAGTGCTTAGTGCTGGCTGCGTTCTTGAAAGTGGTAAGAAGAAGCTAGAAGCTCCTGCAAGACAAGCTCGGAAACACATGGACTCGGGAGCACAGAGCATCGAGTGGAGGATTTACGAACCACATTCGCCGCAGAAAGGGGGCAAAGCCAGCAAAAACTTGTGCGAAGCGGTTCAAGTTTCTGGAATTTAGAGAGAAAATGAAACTTCTACGAAAGCTGTGTTGCATGAGCGCCTCCTTTCAATTGGGTGTGTTTCCGTGGGGGGCCCCCTCCATCTGCAGTTTATGCGGGAGCAACTCTCCTAGAAAGTCCTTCAAGGGGTTATATAAACGTTTTCTACCTGCAGAAACAGTGTCTGCTACTTAAATACCACTGGTTTCTCAGCCACAGTTTCTTTCAATGGCATCCTCGGAAGCCATAATTACGGCACTGGCACCACCCATTGATCTCCCTCCATGCCCTCAAAGCCGTTTCATAGCAGACCCAAAACCGCAGGCAGCACACACATATTGGCAAGCCGTAACTTTACACATCTAAACATGCGCTAGAGAACATAAAACCCGCAGAAAGTAGTCGGCCTCGCTGGGGTGCAAAAATGACACCGAAGGAAACAGACACTGCAAGTCAAAAGGCAACAAGAAGTAAATAAAAATCTTGCGGTACAGTTTGCATCCTTCACGCCTTTCGGCACAAAACAATCTTTCATGTGCATTGGCACGATTCGGGGAACCGATATAGATGTTGCATTTCTACGGCGCCCTTGTAGTCCGTGGAATTTAGGAATGCGTGAGACGTGTAGCGGGTGTCGGCTCGCCTGCACGTGGATGGATGGTGTCTGGGCAGCTATAAGAGGAAACCGCACCAGCACCGATCACTAACACTTTCCCAATACGAACACGAGCAAAGCGTCATGTTGCTACGTATACCTGGGCTAGCTGTGGTCTAGCCAAGCTGGCTGAGAACTCGAAGGGGTCTGCCTATCTTCCTCTATATATAAACGCCACGATCGCACTTTCAAACCCTGAACCGAGCCCTGTATCCGAAATGAGAATAAGACAGAGAGAATGATATGCGGGTAGGGAAGTGAGCGCCAACTATAGTGCCTACATGCATACATCAACCCAGTGGATGTCAGGTGACACCGTAAGCACGCCAGGCGCAGCCTGACCACACTCGGGCCGTTCAAAGCGCATGCAAGCTTGAAATGCACAACAAATGTACCGGGCATTTAACCCGCGGTTGCGCTGGATATCACTGCGATGCGTCCTTAAGGGGAAAGCAGCACCAGCCACGACCACAAACAATGGAGGCCCTATGTAAAGAAGCATCCATAGACCCCACCCCCTCAGCACTGTCCACAACAGCCTGCCCTTCCCCACGCCTTCGCCAAAAATTGCAATTTTGATAGCAAACTTCCAGGAAGGGCTGCAGAATTCAGTTGTTGAAGACACGCCGATGGTGGCACTTGGTGCACTCGTACATAACCGTCATGCCTTCATCTGCACTTCGGGCCTGGAACGTCGAGAAGAAAGCCTCGTGATGCCCACATTTTTCGCATGTTTCTTTGCACACAGCCTTGCCCCCACCCCCTTCTCCTGCCGCCAACATAATCTTGAGGTGATGCTGCAGCCGCTGCTGCTCGAACTCGGCTCCCAAGAAGCGTTGCTGCCAGCTCTTCTTGCCAATCGTTCCAAAATTATAGCATCGCCTACTGCCAAAGAGGTATACCCCTCCCGCCGCTAAGCCGGGCCGGCACGCTGGCTGGTCGTCCATCCTGTCAACCAGCGATTCGCTTTCCTCTGACGAATGAAGTGGCGCGATGTCGTGCCCACAGTGTCTGCACTTCAGCACTGCCTTCTCTGCAGCGGCTAGGAGGGCCTCCTGGCTACCTTTTTCGGAAGCTCCCACTTTTGCCGCTGCTGCCGCTCCCTCGGCTGCTCCCACCAAATCCCGACGCAGAGAGATGGGTGCTCCACAGTTCAAACAGCCCAACGCTACCAACCAGTCAAAACTCACGCCGTTTTTTGAAACAAGTGTGCAGCCTCCAGCAACCGCAGGAGGCAGCGAAGACCCCTCTGCCTCTTCCCGCCCTAACTGCAAGTGGCTAGCTGCCTGTGATTCCGCTGCTGCTGCCTTGCCCGGAGCTTCGTATTTCAATCGTGGGGGCCCTGAAGAATCTGTAGAATCTCCCTTCACTTTGTGCCCCAGCACGAGGAACTCCACGCAGTCGTCAAGCTGTTGCAAGTCTTGCATCACCAGAGAGCGGCAAGCCTCAGCGTCACCCAGCGGCAGACAGAGGCCCTCGGCACACTGTGCCAGACGCACAGCCTTGGCGCTAGGCACGGGCATTTGGAGCGCAGCAGAATCATATGACCACCTAGGGGATTCGCTTCCTACTGCCCTGCCGTCCCAAACACAAAAATGGAGGCTCAAGAAAGCATAGACGGCCAGTTACAGGAAACGCCCAAGGAGCCAGGACGCAGATATCAGCAGAAAGGGGGTTCTACGAAAACATCCGAGGGAAAGTGTGGCAGAAGCGACCCTAGGGGGCCCAGAATGGTGTAAAGCTAGTAAGGTGTTTTCGGACCGCCGCCACTGACAAAGTCCACTTGGCTTCCTCCCGCCTAAGGAACATAATTTTACGTTTTCGCAAGAACCTTAGGGGCGGCAACGAACGCGAGGTAGTTGCAAGCCCATCGTTAGTGCCGTAGTGGAGGCCCCTTGCTTGGCAGAGAACGGCCGGCCCCACAGTATCGAGGCGGGGGAGCCCTACGGGTGTGCTGCGATCGTCAATAAAGGAGAAAATAAAGGGGCTTTGCACTTAACGGAAAGTTTAAAATGCAAAACATGTATTGAATCCAGATAAGGTAAATTTTTTCGGTGGCTCGAGCTATTGGTTGCTGCGTAGTAACGGCTGCGGAGTCGGCGATCGCTCGGATTTAGGCGGGACCAGCAGCAAAATCGCCTCCTCTTCTCACTAACACACCGAAGGATCGGATACTAGTTAGAATACGTACGCTTGCTTCTCTCTTCGCCGAATGACAGCTGGCTTCACTCTTTCCACTCATTAAACAACAGCAGTGCTCAGTATCCCTTGTGAGCCTTCGAACTTCCACTTACTACTATCTTTGCTTTTCCATCTGCTCAAGCCGCTTGTGCCGAACGCCCCATGGCAACGTGGCCTTTAATGTATCGGTAGCCTCTCTAGAGAGCGAGCGCGCAAACGCCACTCCTAGCGACTGCCTCGGTGGTCCAGCAGTGACTGGCTGTGAACTCTTCTAGTGAAGGCTGTGCATCCCATTCCTCGATGCACCACAAAGGCATATTACTCCCACTTTCAGAAGGCAATGGCTGAGTCCCGGGTTAGGAGACACGCAGTGACTCGCGGATTCCAATGCCACACGCACGATATTAGGCGCTGGGCGCCACATATCAATTTTCAGTGTAGCCAGTGCAAAAGCACTCTGTTCTTCTGTTGGAAGAAGAATTGGTGCAATTCTTATCAACGTTGCCCGACCGTAGTCAATTCGTCTACCGGCGAAGCGGAATCCCCGCATGCCCACCCAATTAGTAGCGTAGTCTTTCCCGTCCGACAGCTGTATTGCACTTGGTACTCGTGGATTCTCGAGAGAGCCCATGAGCTCGTATGGCCATACATATTTGCCTTCAGAGAAACGTTGACTCCTAGAGACTTATTATCTAGTAATCCGCCAACATGCAAATTGAAGTGTTTTTCTTCATGCCACTCAAGACTCTACACAATCCCAACCAGAAATTAGGCGGCCCAGCTTCTGCACTTTGACTTATGTCCTATTCTTGCGGGCGCCGATTACGGTGCGTGCTGCTTCTCCTGCACATTGTGGCTGCTGCTCAAGCACGTGCTGAGGGCACTGCCTAGAATGTCTTTGCACCTAGCTGCCCAAGAAGGGAGGCGTCGCGCGCCACTACACAAACAGGAACTCTCAGCTTCCGCGCACGGATGTAAATAGGTTTGCATACAAGTGACAAATGTATGGCTGATGAGTTGCCATCAAGGCTAGTAGCGCAGTCATCCAACTGGCGCCGTGATGCTCGAACGAAACCATATCCTCTGGGGAACGCCTCAAGCTTTACTTTAGACTAAAGAATAAACCGAAACGCGCGTGACCAATGGCACTCGCCCCCAGCGTACGAACTCCATCCCTCCGCCTGCAGGCGCTTAAGCGACCTGCGTCTCTGTCTGCCTGTAGCGCTAGTGGCGCGGCTCACGGTTCTGCCTCGGTTTCTGCTCGTGGACATGGGCGCAGTACATTTGGCCTGCTCTCCGCCAGTTGTTGTGCACGTAGATACGAAGAGCTACGTGAACATAACATCCGCGCGTAGGTAGTATACCTTCACACGCTTGGAGGACTGACTGCCTAGATTCCAACGCAGACTCCCACGCCACGACGCTGCGGGTGGCGTCCCTTCCTCTATTGTCGATTTATCCCCCGAACTTCTCTCGGAATGAAATGGGGAAAGCCTGCTAGTGGATCCTCTGGCGCCGGTGTGCGCGCAGTAGCAACCACTGGGGCCGCATGCCCTACGCCCATCTATTTCAGTGGTGTGGTACCGCTCGATGAACCCTGGCCACTTATTTAGCGTGGCGCACTAAAAACGTGCAGCCTTCATGAGCGGCCGACTCCAGGCGAAAGTCCTTTTGGGCAGCACTGGCGCAGACTGCGCCTTTTTCTACGTTGTACAAGGCCTTATTCTAACAGCACAGTGCGCAGCAGGGCGGCTGTGTGCCCTGATGCGTATTTGCTAGATATACGGTGCGCGTTTCCCCAGCCGTAGCATAGACCAACAAAGCATGGCATACCATGAGACTAGACGGCAAGGAAAGGCGACGTGCAAAGAAATCAGGCAGACCAATACTTGCTCTTGACCGCTCGCCCGCCAGCTCTTCGCCTCCACCTGCCATCCCATGGGGAGCTCGCTCTGTCATGCAGTGGTAGTGTGAGCCTCTTTCGAGGATTGCAGACTTCTGTGTTTAGTGAAAATCAGACACAGTAAAAGTCTTACAGCCACACCGCAATCGCTCAGCGGTCACCACTCAGAACAAAGTCGGCCTCTTCATCATCGTCTGCAAACACAGCAGTGACACAAACCGACAGGAGTCAACGCAGAAGGACAACCCGTGTTCCCAAAGCCTCGCATGCAGCTTCAAGAAGAAAAAAGGGAGGGTGTGGCATACGCTTTTGCAGTGGATGTACAGAGCTGCGTTGTTTCTGGTTCGCACGCGTGTATGGCAATGCGTGTACACCGTATCTCTTCTTTATGCATGGGCACACGAATACACGCCCATGTATGAAGCACAAGTGCTTTTTCCGGTTTGCATACATGTATGTACGTGCCTAGCGATTCGTGCTTATCAAGAATTTTCGTTTGTGTGTATTATTGCAGAGCCGGAGTCCAACAAAGTACCTTCAATGGCCATTCCCTTCGCTTCGACTCCCTGCGCAGCCTCCAGCTGCTTTGTGAGATACTCATTGGCGGTGCGCAGCCCCTCGATTTCCCTTTCCACTGTCTCTAGTCGCTTCATCAGGGCGTCCACCTTGCGGATAGCCCTCCCGACGCCTTCGCTCTGCGAGTCGAAGCTCAGGTTGATGACTTCGTTCATGCTCTCCACTTGGTTGCGCAGGGAGGCAAAGCTGACGTATGTAATCAACGGAGACAAGCGATACACGTCCGAGGAAACAGGACCGGTGCCTGTCTCGGTGTCTTGCGCGCCAAAAGAAAACACTGTTCGGGTGGGGACATGCAACACGAGATGCATTAGGCAGGTGTTGGACTTCATCCCGCACATCTCCAAGGTGAACCAACAGTTTGCTTGCAGGTCGTAAGTGTACATGTCTGCAGCATGCAGAAGACGAGACAGCGTGCGCAGAAAGCGGTTCCAGCCACGCAGATATAAGTTACAGGTGTACGTCCGTACTCAGGCAGACAGACAAGCTGACCGACACACAAACCCAAGCACACGCCAGAACATGCACAGAAAGGGGCAGCAGTTGAGCAGCACTAAAGACGACGCACCACGACCAAGGTCGCATGCACACACTGCAGACCCAAGGATGTTGCATGCGCTGCGGGAACTGGGTAGACAAGGGTATTTCGTGGGGAGAAGCAAGACGTGGAAGCGCGCGCCTAATTACACCGCGAGATAGAAAAACTATCTCTACGAGCGAGGCCAGTATGGCGCACACCAGCGTCTCAATGCCACCCCTCCTACCCCCTCCCTCCCAAGACCCCTGATCTCCCTCAGAGAAGCACCCGAAAATCCTCAGCTCACCGGATAGCACATAGTTGGATATCCAGCCTCCGCTGTAACCCCCGCTGATGATAACCCAATTCGAGTCGAATACGCAAGAGTTGTGCCTGCGCATAAGGCGACGCCGCGCTTCAAACGCAAAAACATCCTACACCGCCGCTAGGCTAAATCGCCATTGTCTCATGCACGCCCCGTGCGTGCTTATCTTACCATCGTGTCAGCAGCGGGGTCAGTGCCTGATCGGCCTTCAGATTCCCTCAGCCTAACTTGCGAAAAGCCTACCCGAAGCGCGCTGGCGGCGCGTTGCCCGCATACGCCGTAACTTGCTTCCACTTGTGCGTCTTGATTGAAAAAATCCACACGTCATTCGTCGCAAGGCCCCGTCCTGAAGCAGACGCACCCGAGACACAATAGCGGCAAGCGCGCAGCGCAGGCTGCAAGAAACATGTTAAAACCTCAAGTACAAACTCGCATAAACCCCCTACCTACACCTATGGACATGTAAATATATATGTATATGTATACATATATATATACATATACGTATATGCATATAGATGTATATATAATGTAAATATATGCTATATATGCATATATACGTACATGTGCATACATATATACAAGCGTATACGGATGTATACGCGTAAATCTCCATCTCGACACACTCGCCCAAAAAAGAGGCGACAATAAAATTGCATTTTTCTCTAACGCTTTTAGTACAGACACCGGAAAGGAGCGAATCACGAGGCGATGGGCTGCGGGAGCGTTCTCTGGCTATCTGCCTGGCTGGCTGTCGCCCTGCCACACCGCATGCCGCTACACGCCGCTATCCCCCCGGCAGACACCGTGCAAGAATTTGCATTACCCGTCGAGTCTCCGCCGAAGAAGAAAATACACGGTTCCTTGTGCTTCTTGTGAACCCATGCGGAGGCAGAATGCCCGCAGCGTGCAGGCATGCTTTCTGTGTCTTTGTCGTACTGCACTTCACTCCATTCCTCGCCGTCCCATACCCACATGTCATCCAGGACGCTTTCGCCGCTTTGACCTGCACCGCCGTGCACGACGAATACTCCAACATAGAAATAGCGCCCCCCCAGCTCGCCAAGAAAATCTTTCTTGTTACAACCCTGCGAACCCTCCCTCTCCCTCCGCGCGGCAGCCCACCCACGCCACCTCACGCAGAGCCGTGCCTACAGACGCCTCTTCGCAGCTTCTGCCGAGGGGGCAGATGCGGTCCCGAATGAAGAAGCGCGCGTGTGCATGCATGCATGCAGGGAAAGGAAGCGGGAACGGTAGAGAAGGTGGCAGGAGACAGTGCTTTTTGCGTCAACCGCTCACCCCCATGCACAAACACTTTGTCGAAAACAACTGAAATGTGGAAAGCCCTCTTTGGCGGCTTCTTGGTCGAGGCGACGATAGTCCACGTCCGAGCACCCGGATCATAAAGGCTGCCCGTTGCCAGTTCCCCTCCTGGGCCCTTGCCACCAAACAGAAAGACGTGCTCTCTATCTGCAGGGGCAGCAAACACCGGAGGGAAGGAGAAAAATAAACCCCCACACAGCTCACGCTGAACTCCGCACTCAAAGGAATTCTGATGCAATGGCGAAACGCCTAACAGCCCCCTAAGGTCTGTGTCAAATCCAGCAGGGCCTCCGCCGTCTCGCGCTTGCTGTCTCTAAGTGAGTGCACCATCTCACCACGCAAAAAGACAAACCCCACCACGCAAAAAGACAAACTCCACCACGCAAAAAGACAAACCCCACCACGCAAAAGGAAAAACCCCACCACGCAAAAAAACGACCCCACCATGCAAAAGGAAAAACCCCACCACGCAAAAAGACAAACTCCACCACGCAAAAAGACAAACCCCACCACGCAAAATGAAAAACCCCACCACGCAAAAAAACGACCCCACCACGCAAAAAGACAAACCCCACCACGCAAAAAGACAAACCCCACCACGCAAAAAGACAAACCCCACCACGCAAAAGGAAACACACCAGAACTTCTTTTGCGCCAGACAAAGCCTGACTTTGAGGTGTCTGGGCAGCATGTTGCGCTGCAACGCACCCTGCAGCAGCCCTGCCCTCACCCGCCTGAGAGGTGCTCGCCACTGCTAGCCTGGTGATGCTATCTCGGCAGACGCCATTCACAGAGAGGAAGAAACAAGGGCATGCGATACACCAAAAGAACAGCCAGTTGACTCTCAGGAAGGCGGAAACGGGGGATGCGTCGCTCAAGAGTTGCATGCAGGCATGCACACCCTTCAATAAAGACGCCAAAACGTACTCGTCTTTGGGTTCACCCAGGTGACCATCGTGGCACCCATTCGGGGAACAGGTGTCTGGCCTCTAACTTTCTGCACCAACCACCAACGCACAAGGAGGTGTAAGAAGCGACACTGGCAGAGCGCGTTTTATGAGGAAGGCCCAAGCCAAGACAAGGCGCGAATATACAGTACACCTGGCATCGCTGCTGAAGATCGACATGTTTACCACCACGCTCTAAATGACGCCTCATCGACCGCCCTATCCCCTTGCGCCATCCCTGATGAGTCGCCTTCTCGCCAACCGTGGCGTATCCCTCTTCCCCACTGCTCCCTGCCCCTTGGTGAATGCGGCGCTTCTCCTGCCCGCAACTGTGAATGCTAAGAAGAACTCTATCCGAGGACGTGACGCAGTACCTTCATAGGCTCAAAAGCGTTGATACCAGGAATGTAGCGTATAAAATCATTGAGGAGCTCTCCTTCTGCGTCTTTACCCCCGAAAATGAGGAAATCGCCGCCTCCAGCGACGCAGCAGTGGCCCTGTCTGGGAATAAAGCAGTGGCTGTCGTGTATAATTTGAGTTAGCTGAAAGGATGGAGGAGAGAAAAAAGCCGTGTTAGGGCCTGTTCTGTCCGCGCTGTCCTCCTCGTCGCCCTCCACCCGGCGGGGATGTGCTTTGGTCTTTTTCGAGCCACTCAGCGAGTGGATGATGCGTTCCTTCCCAATCTTCAGCTGCTGCTTCGCTCTCTGCATGCGGCTGCCGGAGCGGCGAGAAGACGGTTCCTCTGATGCGACGGCCTCCTCATCCGCCATCTTGGGCATGTCCTCTTGGCTGTCTGCCGAGAAGGAGCCGGAAATCGCCTCTGAAGTCAAGGTCTCATCTATTTTAGACATTTTTTCCGACTGTCAAGGCTCAGGTCAAACGGTTAAAAGACAAGCAGGCAGCCAGAGTTTCGTCCAGCACGCGCCAAACAGCAAACAGCCCAACAACCCAACACGCGGGTGGCAGAGAGGCCAAAAACGTGGCAAAGACGGAGCAAAGGCCTCACAAAAAGACGGCGGCGCTGAAGGTTACAAACGGAGGGACAAAGAAATACGCCAAATGGGTGCTAGGGCCAAAGACGGGCTCCAAGCGCACTCCGAAGGGAAGGGAATGGGGGAAATGCAGCCTTTTAGATGCGAGTAAAGACGCGCAACAAGAACTTGTTGCACGGGAGGGAAGCAGCACAGGCAGGTTCAGCCGAGGGAGCAGTGCCGACCACTGCACGTCCCCTGCAGCTGCTCCAGCAGTGCAGTGTTTTCACGTCCACCACGTTATACCTGAAGATGCCGTTCTTGCTGATTTTAACGGCTAGGGAGAACCCCACGGAGCAGGGGGTAGCCGCCACTGCCTTTGTTCATGTGCCAAAGAAAGCGGAAGGCCCTTCCCTCCACATGCTCTCAGCACCACGCCGCACGCGAGGCGTCAGATCCTCGAGTCACCGCAGAACAGGACGGCGTCTTGCTCAAGTAGGAAACAGGAAATGCCGAATTTTCGTAAGGAAGCAAAATAAAGTGCATGCGCGCGGAGCCCTGGCTGCTGCTCCTGCTGCCGAAGTGGCCAGTGCCGCTAATGCTCGTGTTACCGCAGCTTCGTCCGAATCGCTGCTATTGAACGACCACGGCTGCTTCCCACAAGATGTCTTGACCCCGGATACGGTGAATTTGAGAGCAGAAGGGAGCTGTGCAGTTTCCCTCGCAATGGAACCCACTCTTCTGAACTATGGAGCGCGATGGAAGCACCGGGCATATTGGTGGCTTCCTGCCTCTCAGCTTCTGGAAGATGGAGCTATATGTCTTCAGAACAGCAAAGTAGGCTGCAATAGGGAGGCTGCTGGGGGCGTATACGAGGCGCTCCCAGGCGGTGGGAACCTACTTCGTCTCTGAAAGATGCAGCTCAGCAGGCTGCCTTGCAAACCTAGTGAGAGGCGATAGATGCGTCGAGGGCTGCAGTTCGTATCTGGCTGTTTAACAGTGTTTTTCTGTGTTGTGTTGTGCCTCCCCCCCTACGCCCTGCTGGCTGCAGAGATACTGCACCGGGCATGAAATACAGAAAACGGCGGCAACTTCAAGAGCACCGGAGATGCTGGATCTTTGTGGCCTTCATCTTTCAGTGGCCGGGAGTAGACTCTCAACCCCGAATTCAGAGCAGAAGGCAAACAAGCGCTGGAGAGTTGCTCTGGCTCGCTGGGAACGCTGCCTCCTGCAGCGACTCTGAAACTTCCCGCAGGTAAGTTCGCATGAAATACAAAAGCCCAAGGTTCCAGGATACAGACAAAAAGGTCGTGCTGGGGAATCTGCAACAAGGGAGGCCCATAGGTGACAGCCGAACTGTGGCTCGGGCCTGCGAAGGCATCTGCCTGCTGCATGCAAGGATTCTTGAATGGCTGGGCTATATGCACACATGAAAATATAATGCCGCGCGTGAAATGCTCAGAATGCATAATCAATGGGAAATTTATCAAGGATTATCCCAACGCAGAATGCAAAGGGCAGCTGCCACACACCACCGTCCTACAGCGCTTCATGCGCCCAGCTGGACTTCCCAACCTACCAATGTACAGTTCTCCTCACCAGAAAAATACCTGGAAAACTTATTCTATTTTTCTTTATGGCACCGAAATGCCGGTGAATGAATGTGGAGCCTCTCATGGTGGCCACGCGGCATTGAATTTTGCAAATAAAAACCAAACCGTACAATGAATTCAGTGAAAGCCGGAGGCCTCAACGGCAAAAAGGTGGTGGAATCAATGCATGTACCTTCATAGCTCACTACGCCGCATCAGCGGTGAATATAGCTAAACAGGGTATCCTCCGTTTAAGTGTCTCTGCGCCTCCCTGGAACTTATTTTAATTGAGCCTCGACGAAAAAGGCACATTTCATGTACGCTTGTATATGTATGTGTGCGTGTTCCGCGGAATGTTTGGCTAGTGCGGTACATGGTGAGGACCCATTATAAGGTCGGAGGGAATGCGCGGGGCTTGCTTGATAAATTAAAGCCCAATACAAAACCCTTAGAGTATAGCCGAATTCAGTGCGACATTCTACAACGCATTAAATTTTTGAATGGATAGCGCATGTACCATGCATTTCCCGTCTTCTTTTACTACCCATGAAGGCGCCATGCAAAGTCGATAGAAGTAGTTGGGACGGTGTTGCTGTAATGTGCGACTTTCTTCCCCAAAACTTGTAAAATGTTTGAGAGAAAGTCAAGCAAGTGAACGTTCAGAGCACACTTGACCGCGAAAACTACTCAGCCGGCTTAGCCCTCACATGCGCCTACAGCTTATCGGAATCACGCGGTCGGCTGATCACCGCTAGTAGCTGGCTTAGGTTTGGCTTGCCAATTCATATGCTCGTTGCCTTGGCGTACGTAATGTGGTACGGATGTTTGCGTTGTGGCCTGCGCCTTTAGCTAAGAGGTCAGCTGCTTAATATCATCAAGGTTGGAAATTTAGGACATTTAGAATATCAGATAATAAATGGGGAAGTGCTAATTGGCCGATCCACAACATTGGTAGATGTGCGAATATAAAGCAGACTCACCTGAGCTGCCTCTGAAGAATATTTTCGACCCGCTAGTTTCTCTTTCATGCGGATGTAGCGACAGGTGCTGAAGATTAAGTAAACAGATTTCCAGGGTCTGAATTCTCTAGCCTAATTGCTATTCGGGCGCAAGTGCAACCATTCTGAATGCTTGCCCACAAGCTGTACTACCAAACGGCCCCTTTGCTCACCCGGAGACGCTGATCGTTTCGTCCCAGTGTCCTTGTAGATATAGGTCTGTTTTCCACACTTTACGTGTGGGACATGTAACACTGAAGACGGCACCTTTTACCTGAACTGACTACACAGGTAGCAAGGCTTTCACAAATTTCACTGGCACAGAAGGTAAAACGTGGTTTTTTTTCGCAAAGAATTGTCTTATTCATGTAGAATTTTCTACAGAGCTTGGGAAATGCACTGTCAGCAGCCACTTCACTGCTTGTTTTATGTAGCCTTCCTGCTGCCGTCTTTGCTTGTAATCGAATGCTTCCCCAACTGCACACTGCGTCTTGCGCTGCCAAAAAATTTCCGCGGTCGATTTGCCGTGTAGCCACATTTTCTACAATGACTCTAAACCGGATCAAATACTCGGTTCACCCGCTGAAACATGTGCGGCAATAAAACTTTTCACCCCTCCAGCTGCAAGACAGTACTGTGTAAAAATCTTTTCCCGCCTTGGCTGCTGCGCCTGCGCTTTCACTTTTGCGCATAATGTGCTATGATCGCTGCGCATCCCATGAATCGCCGACGCATCCTAGTAAGACAGACCAAAGCCTCCTCTCAGCGTGGAGAGGCTTCAGATGAGGCATACACGTTGCACATTTGCCAAAGTGGCTAGTGGTTTCATCATCTTCGTGCCCCGCTACTGCAGCTTCTCCGTTCCCACCTATACCTCACACGGAATTTGGCTTTTCAAATCTTGCTGCTTTCTGTCCATTCAGAAAGGCACCCTGCGCTTCTTCAGGCTTTGCATCATTGCTCTGCATCAAAGGCTGCAAGGACAGCCTCCTCCCATCCCTCGTCTTCAGAAAAGGGCATGCTGCCGCTGCGTGATAATGTTTTTGGCACTATCCTGTGCGTACAGCAGCCAACAAAACAAAAAATGCGCTAAGGCAATTCGTGAAAATAATCGCTTTCTGCTAATGCATGCAGATAATCAGCAGTGTGTCTGTTTGGTTTTCCAGCACTGCGTGGGCAATAAGCGTATCCTAAATTGAAGTCCTTTAGCCAGAGTGATCCTTCCTACACAAGAAGATTAAAGTAAGCCGTCCTTCCCGCTTACCAGAGTGGAAAGAGCATAATGCAATTCGCTTTTGCAACTAGCATTAAAGGCAGTGTTCTGCTGATTCCCAGAAGCTGGAAAAGCGCGATCTGCGTTGCCTGTTTGCAAGGTAACGCAAAGACTCTAGAGTCCCATAATTACATGACGCATGAAAGCACAGTATGCTTCGTGCCAGAGCACGCAGCAGGCTCAGAATGCAGCGGTACAGCGGCTCGCAGGCAAAAGTCTCACATAGGCAAAGAAATATGCCAGGGCGTCACAAATATACACGATTGACGCTGGCGCCTGCAGAGCAGAGCATCTTGCTAAGCATTTCACAGCTTCATTGAGCTCCTGCATTACACAGCAAAGCAGACGCTACAGAATTTGCTGATTCTCAGTAAAAGTGAACCAAAAAACTAGACCCGAGGGGCTTCGTAGGGGTAGAGACCAGAAGAATGCGAAGACGTGGAGAGCGGTGCAAGTTTGCATTTTCAGTTGTAGTTAGATCACACATTTTAATGTATGTCTCTTCAGTCATCCATCGAACTGAGAGGTCTCTGCTATGGCAGAGGCAACTGTAATGATTCGGCTGGGTTTTAGTCCACAGCATTTCAGATCCTCGGGAAGCCCGCTGTTTGTCCAGGGGCCCTCACATCAGAGTGGTTGAGTAAAAGAAACTACAGGGCAACTTTTGCAGGTTGGTTTAGGTATTCACATATTTGGCTCCGTGGTTGACGTCTGGCACGCGCTTGGTTTCGTTCCTTGCGTCCGTCTTAGGCGTGTGAGGGAAAGTACCTCCTCACGTCGATATCTGCGCAGTGAGGGGGCACTTCCGTGCGTGCCTTGAAACAATGCTTTGTTCGAAATTATATATCAGTTGTACTGTCCGCAAAGCATGGCAGTAGGTACATTTAGAGCAATGCAAACGAGATACTGGTGCAGGTTTACTCAGTTTGCCTCTGACGCTATTTCTAAAGGCCCTCCACCCTGTGGCCAACAATAAGACCTTACCCGTCCCGTTGGGGGGGACGTCGATGGCATCGAACTTTTGAAAAGATCATGCCTGAGAACAAAAATGCTATCCCCATCACATGCATTCCGCTTACGAAGGCCAACACCGACTGTTGTGTGGTGGAGGTATTTAAAGTTCACCTAAAATCACAATCAAAAAGGGCAAAGAGGAGCGCCATAAGGAGAGTGTGAAGAGATGCATGCCTACAGGGGAAAGCAAGGAGCAACCAGCTACGACAGGGGCGGCATAAAACAAAGTTTCTTTAAAATAGGTTGTTCATTCCGTATACTATCCGACACAGAGGAAACATGTAAAATTTGCCTTATGTGCGTCTGGTCGTTCACAAATTCATTTAGGCGGATAGTGATGCAGTGACCCTCTTGCGTGGACACAGGGAAAAAGAGACTCAAGAATTGAGCGTACCTAAGACTTTTCCTAATTTTTTCCCGTCATAATAACACTACGGAGTCCAGGTTTCAATATGGGAGAGACGGAAGCAAAGGGCCCTCACTATGGAGACGCCCAGACCAGTGGTCCCGTTGATTTTCACCACACTGAAGCCCCTTTTCCTTATTGTCAGCATTTCTTAATGGCTTTTAAAGGAAAAATTCAGCACAATCCTTCCCCACTTGTCGCTCATGATGCACATGATGCCTTAAGGGCTTTTCGATGCTTTGCAAACTGAAATCTGCCCCAGACCAGACAGAGTGCGTTGCAATGTTCAGAAAAAAATGATATACCTACTAGAACCCAAGCGAAATTCTTTGTCGGGTAAGTTCGACCAGCACAAAAGGTGATACGACCTGAATGCTGTCATAGAAAAAGATTCGGTGCGGAATGTCTGGAACGATCGGGTAAGTTCGACCAGCACGAAAGGTGATACGACCTGAATGCCGTCATAGAAAAAGATTCGGTGCGGAATGTCTGGAACGATACGGACTAGCAAGTTTCATTAGTACGCGCATCATACGATGACAGTAGGTCTAGAGACCCAGATGATAGAGCATGATTCTCTGCTCCTTAAATGATAATTTCTAACCCTAGTGGTGCCAAAATTTTCAATTGGTCACATAGTTTTATGGGAAATCTATCTTGAAGTCGAGAGATTTCACTACTCATCTTTGGAATCATGGACAATTCTTTGCCTGGATGTTGTAATCGTCCATACAGTATTAAGTAGGAGCAATAATTAGATATTTTGCATGCATCAATCTTCTTGTTTACATTAGGAGTTAATACTGAAGTAGTTTTAAGTAACTCTGCACTAGATGTTGCTGTGCACGATCTCGTGAATATGCGATCTCACTTGAACAATGAAACATATTACTCGTTAGAAAACTCAAATTTTCTTCATATAAGCTATACACTGAGCCAAATACAATTGAATCTACTGAAGCTGGAGATCATGAAGCTAATAATGTACTTAATGGAGGGTAGTGTGTCCAACCAATACCTGAACCAAATTCAGAAAATAATGATGCATTGGCTAAAACTGAAGGATCATATACACAATGGCCACCAAGGTACGCACGCATCTACATCTATAAGACGGTACTTGGTGTTGCTTTGGGTAAGTATTTTCAGTGACAGGTATTTCACACGAACCCGGCAAATTCTGCACCTGCCGATTTGGGCTGGTAGCGAAGCTGACAAGTTCACGGCGGGTCCTGTCCTCCCTTGGTACAGTAAAGATTACTCTGAATCTTGTGTAAAAATTTTCGGTTTCTCCGAAGAGAGGAAGATTAGAATTGGCAATAATTCCGCAGCCACTTATGGCAGGTTTCATCATTAAAGAGTTCACTGTAGGACCACCACCGGTGGTCTAGCGGCTCAGCGTGAATCCCATGGTTCAAGGAAGAACCAATATACCTTTGTCTACCATGAGTTCAAGAAAAGCCTTATACCTAGAAGAGCTGCAAGCACGAGTTTTATTAACTCCATCCATTTCATCACCTGCCTCCGTCTCTGGTAACTCTGCTCCATGACATAAATTTTTGTGTAGAGTTCTATGGTGGCCTGTTTATAGCTTCTACTTTTCTATGAGCAGTGCTCGTCGCACATACTTACAATGTTTCCTGCGCTTGTGTGGGCTGATGGTACATGGACACCTTTCACTTGCCCAGTTGCTAGTGCACTAGCTGTGCTGCATACACATTCTTGTTTAGTACTGAGCCTACTTTTCGGCTGCATCTGCATTGACCCTGCTACGAACCACTTCCCGCTCAAAAGTATATTATAAGAGGCTTGAAACTCGTGGGGCGGTAGCAAGGAGGGAAAGGGCTTCTCCATGAAAGACAGGTGATGATGTTCTTCTATCGCTGAAAGGGTTTCTGCGCCCTCTTCCGCATTCTCAACAGCCCAGAATCGCACCAGACCCGGCCCCAAACCCGTTATACCTGCATTATCTTGAGCAAAATTATTTCTTTGCCGCTGTTGTTTCTTTATAGCAAGTCAGTGCAGCATATAATTTCTCCCTTCTTTTTGACTGCCTCCGTTGGCTGCGGCCTACACAACAGAATGGCGAATCGCCAACTTGATACAGTGTGAGCTGGCAGAGCCTAGTGGTCGCTTTGTAGCTCTTCCGCCCTTATCCTAGCAGGAATATCGCCTGTCAGCCCATTATTATTTTATGTGTTTTCTTAAACGTTTGCCCACCAGGGGCGAGGAAACCTTGTTGCTGCCAATCAAACCCAGGACTACAGACTCATCACCTAGAAACCTAAAGGCAATCCAGATCACCCTCTCTTGCCTTGTGCCGAGCTGTTTAGAGGATCCTTGTTCCAGAACTGACAGGGGGGGTCTGTATGTGGGGTGATCGTTTGCAGTGCATCAGTGACTAAACCGGTCGTGAAGAGGACCAGCAGGAGTGTCGCCGACTTCTACTGTCGCTGCACTGGTCGCCTGTAGGGTGCTCAGTAAAACGAACAAACTACCTGTCCAAATAAATATCCATTTTGACAATTGGCAGTCTCTATGAGGCCGCGAGAGCTGCGTAAGTAATGCAAGACCTAAGACAACTACTGGGTGTACAGCGTGGTACTGCACTAGCAGCAACTGAGGGAAGAATTCAAAAAGACAATAGCAACGACAAGAAGCAATAGTTTCAGACCTCTGGTCGCAGAACAAAAAGTAGCAAGGCGTTGCTACGTCACAACTGGTAGTGTCAGAGCCCAGCTTTGTCCAGAAGCTCAAGGAGCTCCTGCAGTTGCACCCTGCAGGACACCAGACACGCACCCCAAAACCCGGAGGGTGGTTCGCGTGAAAACTCTATAGTACAAGGAGGATATGCAGAGACTGAGGAAAGACAGACGAACAAACATACACAGAGGAGTCTGTCGCACGGACGTAGACTGACTTGTTCGCACGAATCGCAACTGCTTCCTGGCCATTCTTCTTAGCGTGTACAGCGGCTCCGTGACTTGTAACCTCGACAAGAAGCTCCTTAAGCTTGAGTCTGCTTGGAAAGAGGGAGACGCCGCTTGTCTCTGTCCCCAAATCTGCGAGGCTGACGATAGGGGACTCGTTTCTGAGCACCACGCATAAATGCAGCAGTGCTCCGCACTTAGCTTGCGCAGCCCCCACCTTACAGCTTCCTTCATCTACACCGCGCTGACGCACACACTACCAGCACCACGCTTCAACAGACGACTTCAATCGCCTTGGGGGATGTCCCAAGCGCTGTTACCCTCATCAAGTTGCACAGTTGTTCCCTTGAATGCCCGCAATCTGTGATCAGTTACCGTTCAATCTGTGCAAGCTGGAGCTCTGCAATGCCACGAAGAAGGCGTTTGTGATTGGTTGTCAGGCCACGCAACACCACCTCAAAGTTCACGCTGCTGCCGCCCATGCCACTCCCGTGCCTTCGGCTAGCCGTCCAGAGCCACCCAGGTACGAAGCCGCACATGGAACCCCAACGGCTAAGCACTTCATCGCTGCAAGTAAGCAGATCACAAACGCAAAGACTTATTCATTCGTTGTTAGCTTCCCGTTTGAAGCGTCAAATCAAGAAATGCACACACACAAACACACACACACATAAACACACACACACACACAAACATTCACGCTTCACGCAGAAGACAGAATTGCTAGCACTTCGTAAGTCTGCGGGAAAAGCGCTAAACACCGTTTGCTGACTTTCAAGAGGGCATCTGGAAAGCCCGCAGGATGTCATTTGTCGGCAAGTAGGGGTGCGGAAGGGAGAGCGTCCGAAATCGATGCGACCCCAGTGCATATCCGCATAGAGCATGCGAACGCACCAGCACTCTCGGATGCCTCTTACCGGTAGTCTCGCCGCGTGTGTGCCGTCTCGAATACGAAGCGAAAGTCGCGTAGCTCTGCAGCATCGAGGAGCAGCGCGTGCTGGATGTGGTCAGCGGTGCAGATAAGGCGAACCTGAATAGAAGAGCGCAGCGGAGGACCAAATGTGGGAAAAAGGAAATGATCAGGATAATACCGTAAGGCTGGTCAGCATCTTGTAGGAAAGAGAGCGGCACACTCGAAAGGGATACATACACCGCAAAAAGGAGGGGAAAGCCCGGAAGCCTTGACTTGCCTCATCGCAAGCGGCGAGGGCTGCAAGGTGGCGCCTGGAATCCGTGAGGGTCGAGCTGTCGAGGCCAAGAACTACCAAGTAGAGGGGGTGTGCGCTCTGTTTCAGCAAGGCCTTCAGCTCCTATGAGTCGTAACAGCCTTACGAAGAAGCTTGTACCTCCAGCAAATGCACCCACTTCGACCCCACGTTGCCCAGCACAGACAAAGGCAGGCAGAAGCAAGCACTTCTCCACAGGGGCTTCAGGGCCTTTTTCCTACCTTTACGAGGCGCTCGCACGAAGCACTCGCTCCACCAATAGCTGCTGCTTGGGTGTCTGGGATGGTGGCAGCAGCAGCGGCGCTGTACTTGTTGTGCGTCCGTAGGTGGTAGCGCACAACTTGACACGTGGCTAGCAGCGCCTGATGCAGCTTAAACTCGCGTTGGTACACGTTGAGAATGCAGCAAAACCCGTCGCTGCGTCAAATGCATGCACAAAGCACAAATGAGGAAGGATGTGCAGTGCGGGCAGAGGTGCAAGTGACAATGAGAGAAGAGCGTAGCGTTGAGCCACCTTCAGGGCCTCTTTAGCTGCCGCCGCAAAGACAAGGATGTCGAAGAAAGAGTCGCGCTTTTGTTGCTCAGTTAGCGTGTGTATACGATATATCACACAGCGCAAGGCCTAATAAGCAAGATTTTTGTGTAAACTTCGATTTGAGAGGGGAGGGAGGCAGGGCGAGCAGGCGCACGACGACGCTCAGCGTTCCAGTAGGGACCGCTGAGCGTTGCTTCTTACGTGAGCATCATGCGGCTAAAGTTGCGCATGAGGCGGCCCTTGCTGCCGCAGCCGGCGACAAGGATATTCCATCCGCTGAGCAGGAGGCACTTCCAACGGATGGCCAGTAGGCGCAGCTGCATGCGCAGGATCAGGGAGGCAGCAAAGAGCGATGCGCCAGGCACACGTAGAAACTCAAGCCGACTACATTTAGGGAGACAGCAAGAACACAGCGGCATGACCTTAGCACACTCGAGTGCCCCAAAGCCAAAGGCGCGTGCGGTGGAAGCAGAATGCGTGCGGCAGACTTGAATTTTAGCCCTTTCTCCCGGCACTACCAAGCCTCGAGTCTGCAGGTCAAGCCTCAAGATCCTAACAACGCATGCACCGAGAAGGAAAACGCACATACCTGCTCCCTCATGAGGCGTTCTTTGGTGGTCCGATTTTGTTCGGGGAGGCTTAAGACGCTTTCTTGGAGCTGCCGAATCGGGTGTAACTCTGCGACAAAGCATGTGCTCGGGTGAGAAAAAACGTGTCGCAGTACGACAAGGCAAGGGAGTGACTGCATCGGCGCGAGCCCAGGGTGTAATTAATTAATGCATGGGGAAGCACGCCGCCGCAAAAGCAGGTGAGAGGCATCCTAAAGACCGACCAACCTTCATCGCCAGGAACTCCTTGCCGCTCTCCGTCATTCTCAATTCGAGCTGAGTCTGCAGAGCTACTCTCGGGCGTCGCTTGTGGGTGCCCTGTTGCCTCTCTGCCACCTCTTGTCTGCAGCCTCTTAGAGCGGCCCCCTGAGGTGCCTCCCCCTCCGACAGGCTGAGCAGGCCGTGTCTTCCTCTGCTCAAGGGAACTCATGAATTCCAAAAGCGACTTGGGGAGAGACTCTGACCCTCCACTGGTAGAACCGGAGGTGCTGGTCAGCAAGTCATATGCAGCCAGCAGCAGAGGATTCGCCTCTTCCTGCACTGAGGTGGAGGCCTCTGCAGCAACAGAGCCGTCAGGACCTCTGAGAACCCATCTCAGCACATCCCAGACGAGACGTACTATATGTACATGCATGGATATATGTGTATATGTATATACACGCTGCAGCCTAAACCCCTACGCCCTACTAGCCCTGCAGCTGGGCGGGCTCAAGAGCTCACAGACACCCAATACTCCACCCCTGATGCTCGCAAGGGACAGCTTTTCAAGAAACGTGAGCTTCTACGACTCAAAGTCAGCTCTAGAAGGAGAGGGCAACATGAAGCAGGTACGCTCGCGACAGTCTCCCTGACCTGACGAGGCCGCGCTTGTCCTCTTGCGCTGTCGCTGCCTCTGCCTCCTCCTCGGCTCGCTCCTCGTCACTGCTACTGCTGCTGCTCTCATCCCCAAACTCACAGCCACGCGTTCGCTGCCTCTTCTGGCCGCGGCCCCTTGCACTGATCAGTGAACACACGCACCCACTACACCGGACACGACAATGCAAACCTCGCAAGTATTTGTGGACTAGCAAGTGCATCAGTGCTACTAGGTAGATGCAGCAGACACCCAAGCAAAGACCTATGCAGAAGAAGGGAGGTTTACCACCCCCACACCGCATGCGACATGCACAGCAACACCAACCCCAAACGCTCCTTCTGGTGCTTCAGAAGCTGTATATTGAACTGGCTACTGGGTAGACGGAGAACACTACATATGCACAGCCGTCCGTCCAGATTCTAGAGAGTGCGGTGCGCTACCCGTGGCGCATGAGTCGCGCATGCGCGGATGAAAGTTGCTGCATGCTTTGCAGTCGTTCTTGATGCTGTCGATTCGATAGTTGCAGCAGTCGCCTGGCCCGGACGGAATGCTGCGCGGGCAGTGTCTTGACACTTCCTGACGAAGCTGTGGTAGCGACATCGAAGTCGTCCCCGAAATTGAACTCCGCAGGGACAGCAAGGCCTGCCCCGTGGGCTGCCTCAGTCTGCAACAGATGCCTGTAGCGGCCGAACTGGCGCACCAGCCACTCGGCGTCACCTTCTTCCAAGACGCTGCATGTGAGGTCTTCGGATTTGTCAGCAGCTGAGGGGGCCATGGCTACGAGAAGGTGGAACTCGAGTAAATTGTGTAGGGTCACCAAACGGCACTAAAGTAGCGCTGGGGGCAGTTATCTTAGAAAGCATCTGCCTGAAGTAGCTGCAGATCTGGAGGAATGAAAAGAAGCTGAATCTGCTTCTGAGATACGGCAAGAAGCGAATTTTACAATTTTCGGGTCTTCAAGCGGAAGGTCCGAACTCGGCGGACGATGAGTAAAGCTAGGGAAAGAGAACTTCAGTGGACAGTAGCTCTTCATGAATGTTATTTTTAAAAACAGTATCAGAACAATGGCTGGGAGGGCCAGCCCCATTTCTCAAAGGAGCAATGTGATCATATCTGATCAACCAGAAGTGGTGGGGTCGTTCGCATGCAGCCCCGGTCACGTGGGCTGCGCAGATCTTCACCAAAATTGTTGATAGAAAATAATGCACTCGAGATTAAATGTTCTCCCAGCGCATTTTCTGTGCGAAGGTCACTGCAGTGCATGGCGCTGCTACTCACTGCTTGACAAATTGCCTGAGGCACAAGAATACGAATGTTTTACAGAACACTTGTATTATGGGCTGACACCTGAGGCGTGCAATTTTTCAAGGAACTCGGCGTTCATGCCTTGCATATGATGTTGCCGTATCCTGCGTCACTGCGCGCATTGAATGCATTGTGGGAGAACAGGAACAGCATAAGTGTAGCGCACCTGCGGTGGTGTCCTGAAGGTACCCTTACCACAAAAAAAAGCTTCTGAAAAAAAAACTGTAACGTGCCTCTCCAGAAGAGCACCACCCTCGCCTTGCCCTGATTCCTCGGGGTTTCGGCCTGACAGGAGTGAGCACAGCTAAGTTACTTTGAGCGGGCTAATATACTGAGGCCATTCTCTACTACTCGTTATATTCAACGAAGATTTATCAAAAAACACTAGTTGCATGTATTTTCGCAAATCTTATTCATTGCATAGTACTCTTAGCTTGATGCAAGAAGACGCAGTGCTGTGTGCATGTGCGCTACAGGGTATGTGCATATAGCTGTAAATGCTTGGATTGTTCAAAGAATGCAGCTAAAGGCACTCTAGTAGTCGGTTTACTTTACTGCCGAAAGCTCTGAGAGGATCAGGCGAGAGAGGGCCGAGAATCTTATGAGAAACTCTGAAAGGCCTTTCGTTCAATTTGCATCGTGTGTGGAGTTAAATGTCTCCCTACGGAGACTTTTCATTGACCTTTAAAGTGCTGTTTGTGGCACCCGCAGAGCCATTTAAACCTTTGGACTGCAACACTTCATCTAAGGCAAGGTCTTCATATGGAAACCCCTACAGCCAGACTCGAAACAACCTCAGCACAACGTTAATGGAGGTGCTTCCAAAAGAGCTCTACACACTCCCCGCAGCCCTTAAGCTAAGGTGTGTGTTGCCGTATTCTGTAGTCATCATGAGCTTCCACAGCTAGTGTACTTAAGTTTTTAGTGCACAGGCCCACATGATTGCATCTTCTTGTCTCGAGCTAAAGGTAATCTGCAATAAACAATAGATGCGAACAGACCACCCCAAGACTAGATTTCTTTGTAATTTGTAGTTAGGTGTAACTATATAGTATTTCGCGCCAAACCGTCGCTCAGGCTGCTTCTTCTCCCCACTTTCCCCTCCTCCCGCCGCCCCCTCTCTCGCCCTTATGGGGATTCTGAAAGCTCACCCTCGTTTTACCAGCTTGTACGTCGAGACCAACTACATACAGGAGAACGGAAGAATTCCTGCCCTATCTTCACTCCCCCAGCACGCATTAACGCAAAAAGTGCGAGCAACAAACCTTAGGTGGCCATCAGCTCGCAAAACGAAACTCAATGCATCAAAGGCACACAAACTTCCCAGTAATGAATGAGAGATCAAACAAACACGACCGTGGAGGCCCATTGGCTTGCTATAGTCATAGCCGCAGCCTAACAGTCTTTTAGATGTAAGCGCATCGGCTCTCTTTCTGAGGACTGCCGTGGGCAAAGAATTTGAATCTTGTTTGTAGACAACGAGGTACTAAAAGGAGCAAGAGCATGGGGCAAGCATGCATTACCTGAGGGCAGACGCGTGAGGCGCGTACCATCATTTTCCATGTACTGAGCACGAACGCTTCTCAAAAATTCTTGTGTACACGAGCAGAAGCTTTTGCTGGTTCATATCGATAACTGAGCAATATCAGCAAGGAAACCTTCCAGTGAAAAGCCACACGGCTAAAGCAAGTGCCCACGGGCTAAATGTATAAGCAAATGTGCATCGTAGAACAACCGAAACAACTGCAATGCCACTGGATCAGGAGCGTTTGCTTTTTCATGGCGCATGTGACCTTTATGGATCTTAGCTGTGCACAACACTTTGTTGCTCTCAAGTGGGATTGGCATTCCTGGGGCTCTGTGTATCGCGTCGTTTCCAAGACGGCCGCAAAAAGGACGTTATTCTGAAGCAAATAAGCTTTCGACAGTTGCGATTGGCCAAGTTTTAAGTGGATTTGGTTAGAGGTACCGTAGCTATGTCAGGTTATTGGGTGTAGAGCAAAATATCCTGGAAAGGGGTCAAAAGAGATGTTGGGTTTCACTTCCTCGTTTAAGAGGCGACATGTATGCATGTTCAAACACTAAAAAATCTTGGCATAGCATGGGGTGGTCGCCGGAAGATCCCTTTTCGGGTCTCTTTGCGGGTTTTCAGCTCCAAAGTGTACTAAAACTGAAGTGGAATGTACTGCTTCCTCTCATAAAGAGATCCTTCGTCCCTTTTACCTTCGACCCCAGGGCTCCGGCTTTAACGAACAAGGAAGAACCGGGGATGCAACTAAGAGTACTTCTCAGCAATCAAAATATTTAGGGTTTAATTTCTTAGCTCCTCATCTAGTGTCTCGGCAATGAATCATCGCCTTCATTCAATACCAGATCCAGTAGAAAACTAGTGAGATACCTTTCAAAGCGTTCCCACCTTTCCGTGCTCCTGCTTGCAAGCATTCCGGCAAGAGAAGAGAGTGCCAGCTAGGGCGCATGTCGCTACGCTTCTAGGCGTTTGAAGCATGCACGCATCATTTAATGCACAGGCACACAATAGGCATTCTCAGTATAGTGCAGTAGCTATACTTTGCGACCAATAAGACATACGAGCGGATAAAACAAGTGATTAATTCTTTAGAAATTCTTAATCTAATATACCTAGTGTATTGGAGACTAGTTGCTAGGGGTAGTTTTGCTTGCAGTACACGTATTATTTAGCGGTGCAGCGCACAGCATTCATTGGTATCGTCCGGCGCTCAGTCAGCCATACAGTGAATAGAAATCAAGAAAAGCCCAGCCCTACCAGTAGTGTTTCGTCCTGGTTTGCAGACTTGTAAGCAGTTGGCCAGTTGCTGCCTAAACATGGTTTGGTCCGTCTCACCTGGTATGAGCAGTTTAGTGGTACCTTCGCTTGCTAGAGGGAGCAACACACACCCCTATCTTTCGCATTCATATCAATAGCCGCAGCTAGAAAGTGTCAGTATAACTAGGTCTGCTACTGGCAAGACGCACGTAGTACAGGACGGCTTCGCGTTGCTTGGTTTTACCCCCGGTAATAAAAGCTGCCATCGTACGTACTTCAGGTTCCAGTGAGTTTGATCATATTTCCACCGGTGCCGATGGGCAGAGCGTCAGGCACAATCAGAATCTTCATTAACGGGACGGGCTTTGGTGGATATTGCTCTACGGTTCCGTGGGGTTATGCCGCGCTGTCCTGCATGCGCCCGAAGGAGCCCCAAGTGGACGTGGCCTCAGGGCAACAAGTAAAACGAATCAGGGGCTGATAATGGAATTAAGCATCAAGAAATAGGGTAGAAGGTGGGGGGAGGAGTATTCAGTACAGAAACACTGTTCTTGCCTCTCCAGCCAAGCACCCGCCTTGAGCCGTAGGGCCTCCACAGGCCTACAGACCGCATGCACGCGCCAACTTGCTAAAACTCTAATTCACGAAAGCCTCAGCTGAAAATAACTCTGCAGCTGAGGGTCTACAGCAGCAAACGACGCCTCCTCGCCGCCTCGGCACCGGGGGAGCAGCAAAGTAAGCACGAGAAATGTCAGATTCAGGGACAGCAGGAGCAGCTTCTGCTGCTCCTGCACGTACGGAAGCAACGGTACTCACGACAGAAAGGGCAGAAGCCCCGGGTATGCCTGTCGGCTTAAAGAGGAGCAACCCAGGGGATAGCGAAATTGCCGCACGTGAGGCTCCTGCTGGAGGTACCAGCACTGCAGGGGGTTCGACGGCCACCGCGAAGCGCGTGAGGAGGACTTGCCCATATTTAGGAACAATTAACAAGCATATGCTGGACTTCGACTTCGAGAAGGTCTGCAGTATTTGCCTTTCCAATCAACATGTCTACGCCTGCCTTGTGTGTGGCAGGTACTTCCAGGGTAAGTGCTATTCGCTTCTAGACTTTGCAAGGCAGTCATTCTTTCTGCTATGGCCTTTCGATCTAATACACAAATGTCAAAGTCGCCTCTTCCCGTCCCGAGTGCAAGCGTGTGTGTGCTGCATCTTATCTCTGCACTGCCTTCTATGAACCGCGTTGAATCTATGTACAAACTACACAGACGGACCCACGGAACATACTAGGCAGACAGACAGTCTTCGGGAAATTGGGGTAAAGATCACGCCTGTAGTGCTGTGAACAGCGCAGTGGGCCAAAGGTGTGCTGTGCCTCACTTTTTGGCTGCAGGACGAGGGAAGTCAACCTTCGCCTTCATGCATGCGCTGGAACAGAGGCACTTTGTGTATGTAAATCTCACGACCTACAAGGTTTACTGCTTGCCGGATAACTACGAAGTTCAGGATTACTCTTTGCAGGACATAATTGTGCGTTCTCCCCCCTTCCCCCCCAAGAGGAGGCCCATGCTGATCTGCCCAAGATCTTGTTTCCTTCAGAACAGCATTGTTTGGGGCACTTTCGTGCGAACATTTTGCAGATAGAACTTCGCTCAGTCGTTGCGATTTCATGTGCGCCTTTGTTCTGATTTTCTCTTGGGTATCTTCAGTACAACTTGAATCCCACGTACACCCCTGAAGACGTAGCACGCCTGTCAACTGAAGTCTTTTACGGCAAGTCGCTTGATGGAGCCGATTATCTGCCGGGGTGTGTAGGCCTCAACAACTTGAGCAAGACGGACTTCTTTGCCGTCGTTATCCAGGTGTGTCCTACTCAAAAACTTGGAACCCCAGCCCTAGATACCTATGACACCAGAAACGTAAAGCACCGCACACGCCTAAACGTGAGCCTCCAGGGTAAGGCAGGTGGAAGTTAGCTCCGGACTCTGTGTGGAAACAGCTTCTAAGGTGGATGCCTAATTCACTTGTGCGGTGAGAAAGTGCAAGCGTGCTGCCGCAGAGTCTTTGCACTGTCATTCCCCTGCGGAACTTCCTGCTCCTGCTGGACTTATCGCACAAACAAAAGTTCAACGCTGTCGTCAAAACGCTCTCAGAGCTCATGCGAAAGATTTTCAACAGGCGAAATTTTAAGGGCATTGTCTCGCCACACGAGTTCCTGCAGGTTCGTCATCTTCGGTGCTGTCTCCCCCCCTCGAACCACCCATTCCAAGTACCTCAGCGTTGCTAACTGTGGCCTTCAAATTCCAGCACAGCGGCTACTGTTGTGGCCGGTGACTTGCATACGGGTTTTGCTTCCTGAATATGTGGCGTCTAGAATCGCGGGCATGTTTCGCATTGGAAAGCCCGCGGAGGGGTGAGAAAACGTGTCGATCTCTGATCCGACGACCCCGTGTGTCAAGCAAAGGATGTAGGGTCTGGGGTGTACGGCACCTTGTTGCCTTTCAGGCTGTCGGCGTGGAAAGTCAGAAAAAATTTCGTATCGGGGAGCAGGCGGACCCTTTGGCTCTCTTCACATGGCTTCTCAACGTGCTGCACCGCGATCAACGCGACAGAAAGACGGGAGGTGCGCGAGATTGAGGAGGAAAAGAAGCCGTGCAGCTGGTTAAGCAAGACGCCTTTAGGCTTTTACGGTCTCGGGTTTGGTATACCATTGAACATCATGAGCGAATCTGCACATACAGTAGCAAAAGAGTACCACAAATATCGATTCCTTGTTGGCTGAATGTGGCACCTTTTTTTCAGGCTCCGTCATCCATGACTGCTTTCAAGGGCAGGTCCTGGTGACGAATGCGCAGAGTGGCGAAGCCAAGCAAACACCGTTTTTGTACGCCTTTTCTCTCTATCTTTGCTTCAAAGGCTATATCAGACCTATTCGCACTCAGATTTTACTCTCGCCATAGCAGACTGCATGACAGGACGATGTGCATGCTAATTGATGACAACATTTTCTCATTTCTCTGTGCTGCGCGCTTTCAGATACTTGACCCTGGACTTGCCGTCAGCTCCAATATTCAAGGATTCTCTTGAGCGGAACATGATCCCTACTGTAGGACAATCGACTGAGCATTTGCATTTGCATCTTTCTTCTCATTTTCAGAAACATGCAATATCTGGTCTAGGCTACAGCAGGGGTGAAAAATAGGCACATGAGATTTTTTTTGTACTGGAGAACTGATAGAAGCCACAAGCGCCTCTGCGCTTCATGTATACTGTTTTCTGCGTAGTCGGTTTCGCGTCCAGCATGAGAATATCCGGAGACGGTAGAAATGGTGTTGTGTTGCGCATATATTTATGTCTCAGGTACCTATTTTTGACTTGCTGCAGAAATTCGATGGTGAAACGGACAGCGTAAGCTTGTAGCGATCGTCAGCGTGTTACTGCACTAGCGTTGCTGGCCCTCCGGGCAGAGTTCCTTATCCTTTTAGTCACAACTTGTAGCTCATGCATTCTCTAGTGTATCTTAATTTCTGGCCTTTGTTACAGGGGCCCTCACCTGTCCAGCGAGTGAAATGTACGCTGTGGAAACTGCCCCGGTATTTGGTGCTCGCGGTGAAGAGGTTTTCAAAGAACAATTTCTTCATTGAGAAAAACCCCACAATCGTCACTTTCCCTGTGAAGAACCTGGACCTTCGAGAATGTGAGCCAGCGAGAACCCTTATGGTGCTCAAGCTATTTTTATCCTGTTTCTGTTGTCGGTTTGCGTCGCGTAATCTCCCGATAACTGTCTCCTCTAAGGGGCTTGTAGTTTCTCTCCCACTACCGTCTTCGCAATTCGGCACTTTTCTTGTGGCCCTTCTCAGATGTACATCCGGATGCACTTGAAGACAACTCCGTGACACGTTACAATCTCGTTGCAAACATATGCCATCATGGGAAGCCTCACGACGGGTTCTACAAGGCTCAAGTGTTGCATGCGGTGCGTCCTACTTGAAAATTAATGTTTTAGAGGTCTGGTCTCCATCCCTTAAGTGTCAGTGCTTACTGCAAACTGCTACAGGGTGTGCACTCGTGAACCCGATGTAGAACGCGCATCGGGCTGACTTTGAAGCTGGCTCTTAGTAGAGCCCTTCGTGTGTAAATTATAAAAAGAAAGAGTATGCTGAAAATCTTTTTAGTTAAGAATATCCGCCATATTCCGACGTCAAGGCGGCTTGCGATTTTGTGTGACACAATTTGCAGCCGACGAACGAATGGCATGAGATGGAAGATCTGCGTGTCACGCCTGTCCTCCCCCAGTTCGTCGCCCTCTCAGGTGAGTGCAAACCTATTTTTCTTTGTGATATTACTCCTTGGGGTCCCCACTGCGGATTCAAGCAGTTACTTGTCTGTTATCCCTACTGTCAGTGCCTTGTAATTAGCTGTTAAAGCTGTTGTCTCTTGAATACATCAGCTCATCATGTATCTTTCCCACCGAATACCATACAGCCATTTTGGTTGTTGCCACGGCTTCATGCTTGGAGGTCATCGTATACCAGCATGTAGAACATTGAAATGAAGTCTATCTTGTGAAGCTTAAAGAAACAAAGAGCAATTCTGGATTGTATGAGTGGTAGTGCTTGCGTGCATGGGTGAGTGCAGAGTCGTATATCCAGTTTTACCAGAGACAGGACGTGTTGCCTGACGGCACGCTTGACGAGGCACTGCGTCAGAAGTGTCTCCAGGACTTGACCAAGGTCAAAATACAACCCGAGGCTGCGGATGACATCGACGATATTTTTGCCGCATAAGACCAAAGTGGCCGAACCGTATACTCTGGACCTTTTCCTTGTCGCTGCAAATTGAGCCATGCTGCCAGTGGCGGTGGACGAGCGCACTGCATGCTATGCACTGCCTATGCGGCAAACGCTTGCTCTGTTGATCTTTGGGATTTGTTTTTTTAAATCCAACATGATGGATAGTCCTGGGAGGGCAAATAGTCTTTTGTGGATCCACGCGATCCGTGTTATAGGGTTTCAGGGGCTGTTAGAACACGAGCAGCACAAGCGCAGGAAAGCAATGGCATAGAAGGGCTCACGAATAGTGTTTCAGAGAAAGAGGACCCGTGAGTGGGCAATTCCGCTGCTTCCCGAAGTACAACGCACCCAACGAAGATCAGCGTTTTCTTGGGGGGCCTTGTTCTGGTTCCAGCACGCGTGGATATTTGAGTCGCTATGTAATCCGCCACGGTGCGGCGAAAAGCGTAACAGAGGGTGGTTTGGCGTGCAAATGCATCGATTCCTCAGTACCAACGAGGCACGTAAAGCTAAGTCACATGTTTCGAACCAAAATTTAATGGGTTCTAGAAGTGCCACCCAATGTATCTGACCCTCCTTGCGAGTTGCAGCGGCGACAGTCTGCCTGTTGCTACATGAGGCACTACGGACCAACATCGCGGTTCTGCATGAGTTTGGCTTTGGCTGCATCTTGAACACCCTCGTGCATTTTCCAGGACAGAGAAAGCGTGGCTAGCTACCGGAGTGAGTGCGCATATTGTCGAATGAAAGTGCCAGTGTCGGCTACCCCAGCTGCCTGAAGGCGAGCCACAACTTACAGCCCAGCGAATGCCCCAGCCAGCAGCACCCACACCAGTGTCATCCAAGCGGCCTCGTAAGCCGAGTTACTGCCTGAGTGGGCTGCTCGGGCAGCAGCGCTGCTAAGTTCGACGGTTGTGGTAACCCCTGCGGTCGAGAGCTGGGGGAAAGCCGAGCGCAGCTGTCTTCTAAGATAGCTGGTCTCTTGTACCATCTGTCTGGAGATCTCTTCTGCCAGTTCCTTTGCAGTCGGCTCAGTTGCCAGCAGCCGTTCATCCGGCAGCAAAGAAACCGTGACGACAACATTCATAGGCTCTTCGTCACCGCTCCCTGGGGTCGTCGTAACGCTTTTGAGGACCACTCGATCACTGGAAACCCCCAGCGCGCGCACTATTGCGTCTTGAACGTATGCCCCGAAGACTTGAGCACCCCGCAGGTTGCTTAGCAGCTCAGATTCTGCCACACCAGGAAACACGAGCTCTACAGTTGCCTGGCTCTCCAGGGGTTCCCGGGTACTCTCCGTTTCGGTGGAGGCCGCTGCTGTCTGTGCGAGCCGTGTGGCTTGTGTTTCAATGTCTGCGCGCGCGCTGCCACTCTCCTCATCGAGAGAAGCAGGCTTGGCAACTGACGGAGTCACAGTATCGGGTTCGGAAGCGTCGGTGGTAGAGGCCTCTGCCTTGCCAGATTCCACAGGCCGTCGCATCAGGCTGTTAGACACCGCATTTCCTACCATGCTTCCCACGGCTGCACCGACTGCTGTCGTGAGCGCAGTCCTCGCCAAAGAAGGACCTCCTCCGTTCCCCGCGAGCTCGTGGCGTGTGGCTTGAGTCTGAGGAGTCGTAGGGGAAGGTTTGGTTGTCAGAGGGGCCGCTGCTTGGTTTAAACCGTACGACTGCCCGTGGGCGGCAGCGCCAGCCGAGTCGCGGGCATGCGCATTCTGGTAAGGATATGCTGGGGGAGGGGGCTGGGGAGAGAGCGAGGCTTGGGGAGCACCAGGGGCAGATCCAGCATGCAATGCAGGTTGCTGCGGCTGGTGCATGCTTTTTTGGGGAATTGCGCGGCTCGCAGGGCTCTGGGCTGTCGAGTTGAGCTGAGATGCAACATGGGGGGGTTGTTGAACTGTTCGCGTAGGGGGGAGAGAAGTGACAGGACGGGATGGATTCGCACTGCGGCTTTGATATCGCAAACTTGAGACTGTAGAGGGCCGCGTTCCTGGGGATCTTGCAAGCACTCTTGCCTGCTTCCTTACCTACGAGCACAGTTGAACTACAGACAACAGAGGAACTCTTAGCGTACTTGTCGCATCCCCGAACCCTGGAGCGGCGCGTCTAGTGAGTGGAGCCTCGTAGGAACACAACAGGGGTGGCTCTCTGAGACGCGTTAATACCGGGCTAGCATGCTATGCGTATCTCACCATGGCACCTAGCAACGCGGCCATCAATTCTTGCACCTAGCAGTGTTCGACAAGACAGTGCTCCCATGCAAGACGCACATGCAAGCGAAAGGAATGAGAAATACAGACACTGGAGGCGGCTTACTGGCACGGTGGGCTTAGCATCGGCCTTCACACTGCTCAGGGAAAGAGCAACGAGGCTGCCTATGCACAGCACGGCTGTGGCGGCCACTAAGAGCTCATGCCAGCGGGCAAGAAAGCGCATTCTGGCTGCGATTCTCCTGGTTGTTTGCCAAAACACGAGGGGGCCCTCTCCCTCTGCCTCTCCCCTTCTGGCAGAGGGAGAGGCTCTGGGCGGGTTTCTACGATTTGGTTGGAAACTCTGCAGCTCCACTGCAGGGCAGATAAAGACGAACTGACTGTTCCGAGTATCTGCCCCGCTCTGATATGAAAAATAAGGGGAAAATGGAGGAGTCAGGGGGGTGGCCAGGGGCCCCTGTGGGACAGGTGACCGACGACCGGGGCGGTTTGGACCTTCTGATGTACATACAACAGCTAACCCCACTTCAGTTTGCCTCCTCAGACGCCCTATATCCGCACTCAGACAAAGAGATTTGATGTTCTCGCGGAGTTGATCCCCGTTGACTGGCCTCTACTGCCCACATTGTCGGCAGTCCCGCCGGGGCAACACGGTGGTAGCGCGGGCTAGTAGGACATGCGAAAAGAAGCTCCAAAGAAACATACTCTCCAGAGAATCATGGTTGTTTATTGCATTTCCCAAGCTCACGTCCAATCATAAGGATTGCAGGGCACCTCGGTTCTACCATCTGGGGTGACCCGTGGTGGCATGGCTGGGCGCGCTGCGCTCTCCTGCTTGCAGGGAAAACACAGATAAAGAAAGTGCCTAAGGGTTGAAAGGGGGGATTCATCGGCCTTAATACTAGTCAAATTGTGCACGTCAAAACGCACTTGTGCGAAACGGCAGATCTGCCCACAATGGGCTACAGTTGTTTCATGTGTTTTGTATATTCGGTGGAAGTTTGGGATTCATCCGATACTCCTCCCTCTGAACGCCCCGGTGTCTTTCATCGTGGCACGAGGCTTCTATTAGTAGGTGATGCCGTAGTTTTGTTACAAGGACCAGCCGTCTGGCAGGAGTTTCTCTGAGGGACTCTAAGTGTTCCTCTTAGCTGGGCAAACGATTTAACTGGTGCTTTCGCCTTCCGCATTCTAGCTCCTATTCCTGTTGCTCACTGACTGAATAGATTGATAGGCTTTCCTCCATTAGTGCCGATACTTCCGCTACCACAGTCCAATGGTCAATGTGCTCCGCAAAAACGCGCGGCGGCTCATATTTTTGCACTTTGTTTAGTGCCCCCTGGAACTTATAGATGAGTCCTTCCTTGCGTCGCCAAGTGAGAACATCACACAAAATCTATGGTATAACGAAGTATTGTAACTTTGCACTTTGTCCGACACGGGTGAGTACGGGCAATAGGGTCAAACGGCCCCAAAATCTGTTTGTTAAACCAAACAACGGAGTACAGACGCTTGAGGCCCTGAATAGGATGAATTTCCTTGGTGCACATTTGTTTATTTTCCTCACCAGCGCAAGGGCTGCGAGGCCCCTCTGATGAAAGCCAAAGGAGTTGGAGGAGTTGTCGTAAGTCATAGTTGAAAGGAACACACGCTCCTTTATAACTGCTGAGCCACTCGCAGTGGTTCCAGGCAAATAATCTTTATGTACGCCAAGAATTTTGTCTCGAGAAGCATCGTCTTTTGAGCAGACTGGAGAACAGATGCTTAAATAACACTGTAGTGTGGAGAGAATGCATCCTGCTGAATCTTGTCTATGGAAGACCAGCCACCCTCCTTCCTCCTCAGATAATACGTCAGTTCAGATGAGCCACAGGCAACCAAAGGCGCTTGAGCTGGCTATGCAAAGTATATTGATTTTATTGTTTTTGCATGGAGCTTTCTGCATGTCAGTGTTCGTTACACTGTTAAGCTTCCCAGTGTGATCAAACAAAACACATCCTACCATGATTTTCCATCTTTTCCTGAGCAGGAAGCATCAGGAGACGCATCTGTAGCTAAGAATATGTACCTGTAAGCCTTACGCTCTGACGGGCGGAGGTATGCCGCGCTGAATTTTTAAACAAGTTTTTTCAAGGTGTAATCAGCAGTCTCAATGTCTAGAGATTTGGTGCTGTTATCATTGGTTCCTAGAATCTCTCTACTGCACTGCGCGCTTGGAAAATCGCGTTGTACGGTTCGTTTTCTCACGTTGCCGATATCCGTACACTGTGCGGAGTAGAGCTTACTGGGCACCAGTTACCTGGAATGGTCTCCTAAGGCTTCTGGAGGGCGGCGCGCCTCTCTCTTGCATTACGTTCGGGCGGCATGGCCACTCCTTAAGCTTGGTGGAGTGATGTGCAGTGCGTTTACTGATAAGGACTCTCCTCTCTAGCTCATAACTGTCCTCAGGGTCCCCCAGTAGGGAGTTCGACGCCCTGTGTGGACAGCCAAGAATGATCTTCGGAGTTTCTGTGCATGTTAAATCATGATGCGACAGAATCCGGGAAAGGTTGTAGAAGTCAAGACTTCAAGAAAATGACTGGCTTCTACCCCGTACAGCTGTTTCTGCCAAGTTGATATATCACCTTGGCTCCGAAAACATATTGCGAACATACATATAGCATTCCGTAGAACTCTTGTCTTGCAGACTGGCTCCCTGTTCAAACACAGGCAGAGATGCTGGTCTGCTCATGCTACTGCCCAAAAGCCCCTCGCGGCACTATGATTAAATTAGTTCCTTGACGTGTGAATTTGCGTACTTCTTGCCATGGATGATGCCTTTTGATCGCACTTATCCCGCAAGGCAGTGCAGTGTCAACGGTTTGCAGCCGTATCATGGCATCCACCCAAATGTCAACATCGTGTATCTCCGCCCTTCTTCAACAGAGCAGGCTGTAGCAGGCGTACCCCTTGGCAATGTCTGGCCCATTCCCTTTTAATTCTTTCGTGCCGGGGTCTGTAATAACCTAGGTACCTTGTCTTGTATGTAGAACCCCCCGCAACTTTTGACGAGAACCTCATGGACCTCTATGCTGGTCATAAAGGACCAGCGTAATAAACAGGGCGACGCAGATTAGTGTTTGTCCTTGAAATTAGCGTCCAGCAAAGCTTTTACTGTACCCCGGACTTCCATGTGTGTGATTAGTTGGAACACTCGGGGTCGTGCCCTCGAGATATTGGTTTCATCATGGATCTCGCAAAAGATGAGGTGCCTACAGATTGCCACTAGATGAACCCATGCAGGGCCACCGGTAGGATCAGCTGAGGGTTGCCTACCAGTTTGATCATAGAACTTTGCAGAGACCTGCAGACGGTTCTGTTCCCGTGAATAACAGATGTGCCATTCCTTTTACTCTCTGCTGATTAACGTGCTACAATCCACAAAGTCTATAACACTTTATTTACGTCTCCGTTAAGAGCAGTGTCCTATCCGAAACACTGCACTGGGCTTCACTGACGACAGGCTGAGCTGGTTCAGACATTTTCGCTTTACGTACTTTGCCTTGAATCAACGCGAGACAGACAAGACTCCACGGCCCGGGTTGTGGCACTTGAGCCCTCAAGGGATTTGTGTAGCTCGTCATTTGGTGGGTCTGTGGTCTGTGGCTTTCTGCAGAAAAGCCTTTTCTGTGTATTGTTCGGACTTCCAGGAAATCGAACAACTGCCGCCTCACTTGCATATTGTAACGTATAGACCTGTGACTTTGCCGCAACAGAAGGGAGCTGATCCCTCCCCCAAAACCGATGGGAACTCCTGTAACGTGGTTGACTAATTTTTCGTTTGGTGCGCTTCTCGACGCTACTGAGAGTTTATCGTTGTTTGCATCTGCAGCGTGAGACAGACTTCAAATATCACAAAGGCTTCAGCAACTTTCGCAAACATCTTCCACCTTGCCTGACCTGGGCCAGGGTGCAGGATGCCTCTGGAACTGTCTTCTGAAAGATCGTGATATCTGCGAGTGTTGAGCACATCGCTGGCACACGTGCATGTATAATGTTAACCCGCTAACCTGCACGCAAAGCGTGGATTAGGGTGCAATTACATAGCCCAGGGGAGTTCGGGCTTTTACCTATTGAAAATTGTCAAGGACGATTAGGCTTAATGGATCGCGGCCTCCGGAAGTATTTAATTTAGAGATCCGACGCATCAACTTATGTGGTGTATGGCTTTAAATGGAAACAGAACCCCACCAGACAGAGGAAGTTGGAGCATCTGAGGTGAAGAACTCCCTTTTATAGCGAATGCAGGATTGCTTAATTAAGAAGAACGTGGTCTGGTATCCGCTACTGAGTTGCGAGCTCCTCATTTACTATAGAATAGCGCTATGCAGCGGTACCAGTAAAGTGCATGAGTACCTGTCTTGTGTGTTAGCCGAAAGCCATTCGACATCTTAAGATGTGCAGCAGACGAGATGCACTAAAGGCAAGCCAACGGAGGTTCGCAAAGTTTTATGAAAATGCAGAACATTCATAAGTAGCGTTTGCTGGACGTTGTGTCCTACCACTCGGGGAACTTGGCGCCGCAGGAAGCGCCTGCAAGAGCATAGCGACTAGAGGTACTAACTGGCGACCATTCAGCAGGAAAACCTCGAATTGTGAGGCTCACATGGCTCTGCACAGGGAGATTCCTTTGGCCCCAAATTGTATCTAAGTTCTAAGATTCTGTGTGCTCCTTGATACAGGAGTCCTTTTCCCACAGCCCTCACTCCAGAGTGTTCCGCCAGGAGTGGAGGAAGGAGAGCCGGCGTGCAAGTAGCAGCATTTCTTGAGAACTCTCGGCAGTCCGCCACAGAAACTCGAAGGCAAACGCATGGTGCGCACTGCCGAAGGCACATGTATCTACCCCTGCTTCGGAAAGCCTAAAATACAGCAATGGCCAGGCCACACATCCAGCTTTGTAGGGCGTCGTAAGGAATTACAGAGGCTATAGGAGTGGCTACCTATGCGTAGTGAATTGCCTCGCCACATGAATGCAGTCCAGTTGTGACTGCCCTCGATTACCGTCTAGTCCTACCATCATATCCCAACACCCAATCCCCTAAAGCCACCCCTCTTGTCTTTCAGCCTTCCTAGGGCAGTAATGCGAGAGCGACACACTGCCGCGCCTCGCCTCTTGCACGAGAAAACTGTACTGCCCAGCGTCCATAGCCAGGGGGCCGAAGAAGTCTGGCGGGGAATATCGACACTCATGCCCTCTCCCTATCCAACTATGGAAGGCGTTAGCGACACTACTCGAAAATAATGCATTAATCCATCCACTTTTGGGAAGGTGAGCGGCGGATGTCAAGCAGGGTGCTTCCACGGTGCCCTGTCAATGGAAATTATGGGGAAGCGCCAAGCAGTTTTGGGGCCGGAGGCACGCGGCCACAGGTTTACGGGCTGAAGATCGAGCCATTCTCCGATGCAGCGCTATATTAGAGCTGCTTTATAGTTATTTTTAGCGATTGTCATATTAGTTGATTCTTTGGTGGCCTTCGAGGGGCCCAGCAGAACACAGAGGTGGGGATGCTGAATGAGCGTCTGGCAGTATAAAGTCTGCTGGTGCGGCAGGTGTAGGGTCTGTGTCGAATCTTCTGCCCCTCTTTTGGTTTTTGTATTTTCTTTTTCTGGCTGTCTCTCTGCGCTGTGGGGGTTCTCTCTACCGGGTTAACGCTTGTGTCTCCCTCGTGCCGTGCGCTCCCTTCGAGTGCCTTCAAATCACTGCCACCAAGACAGAGATCTGCTCCGTGCCTTCATTTTAGGGCGCTCCTAGGGCCCTTTTTAAGTGGTGGTCTTTGCGGCTGTGCGGGGGGCCCCTTCTGGGAGGGTCTGCGGCAAGGGAGCGGCGTCTGACTGTTGCTGAGCTCTCATGCACGAAGGCGAGAGGACTTGCCTGGATCCTCCGTCTTCGCTGCAGGGGTCTGTGGGGTGGCTTCAGAGGCGGCGTCGACGGCGCACTTTTAAGGCCGGCCCTCGCAACCTCGGGCAGGGCTCTGTTTCCTCCTCTCTCAGCCTTTGGTGCTGTTGCTGGTGTGCGACTGCAGCGACAGCACTGAGCAGTGCTTCAGCCACTTTCGCGCAAGCTTCCTTCCGTCTGTGCGAGGTGTGCTTCAACCTGGCAAATGACGGGTCAAGGGCGGGACGAGGGGCCTGACAGGGCTGAAGACCAACGGTCCCCTTCCCGCGAAAGAGCGAGGGAGATGTCTCAAGACGGTGCTCCGCAACGAGGGCACTCTCGAGATAGAAGCCTCCCTGGCCGTCGCTCTCTCTCCGGCAGCAGACGCAGCCGTAGCCCTCAACGAATCGATCGCAGAAGCCGATCCTCGTAAAACCCACACGACCTCGGGCTTCTTTTCTCCTTCTTTCTCTGTATCTCTGTATCTGTATCTCTCTGTGTCTCTGTATCTCTCTGTCTCTCTGTATCTCTCTGTCTCCGTGGCAGTCTGCTGTCTGCCGGCACCTGCGTCTTTTTTTAGCCGTTCTCTCTGCACATGCGCTTGGTAGCCTCCCTTTTTTTCGCCGCAACGCGCTTGCAGGGTCGTGCCTGTTGACTGCGCGTCTACAGCCAGTTCCGAGCAGGCACGTGGGCAGGCAGCCAAAGGCGCACGCGAATGGTGGATGACCGTCACAGACTGTACGCAGCAGTGTGATGTTGACTCTTTTGCGTGTCGTTCTGTCTTCCCGGATGCAGACGCGGCAGCAGGAGCAGAAGCCGCAGTGGTGGTAGAAGTGCCGTGAAATACAATGGACGCGCATACTACGGCGATGAGAGGGTGACGCACGTGATGGAGATCGAGGATGATGACGCATCCTTTATTCTAGGGGCTGGTGAGGAGCTGCTAGGACAGCATTTTATCTAGGCCCTTGCATGTGTGGTGTGCATGCGGCTTCCGGGAGGGGCGGGGGAAGACGAGAGAGAAAGGACGTGTCTGCTTGCCACTCCCTGGTGTATGGTGTTTGCGAGTTGCCTGTTGCGCGTGTATCGCGCAAAATATGGCTGGTGCGAAATCTCTCCAATCGTGCCACCTGTCTGAAGACGTCTCCGCTCCGCTTCTTTTAGTGCGGAGTCGCGTTCTGCCCGCTCTAACCTGCTTTCTGTGACGTTTTTGCATGCATGTATGCATGCATGCAAAAACGAGGCCTCTTGCGGCAGATGCTGTGTCTTCAACAGTGCTCGTCAGGGAGTCTCTTTTTGAGTTCTTCGCGCGCGCTCAGGTGGTCGTACGAAGCGAAAGCTGAGTCACGTGTGCGGGGCCGAGCTAAATATTGAGGAGAGGAACGGGCGAACTGTTTTGGAGATGCGCGGCACGAAAGACACCATCGAAAGGGCGAAGTTGTATGTCGGCTTCGTCATGCAGCAGCGTGTTGGACCTGTCCAGTTGCCACCAGATGCAGAGACGCGAGACGATCTGACCATCATTGAGGTCAGCGGCAGTCTTGCTGGCTCATGAAGAGAATCGTGGTGTTTGATTGTAGTCGCTGGTGCATCGTGGCACAACCCGCTTCACCTACCTCGTTCGTTCTCTCTCTCTCTGCTTGAGGCTTCTTTTCCCTCGGTTCCTTGTTGCTGCCCTCCCGTGTTGTGTGCTGCTTCCCATGTCGGTCACTGGCATCTTCTGGCTAGATGCTTGGAAGGAGAGGGAGGGGGGAGAGGCCTTTTTACCTCGTGTTGCGTCTAGCGGCGTGGCTGGAGCTTTTGGTGTAGCACTCCGAAAGCCCTGTGTGTGGTGTGTCTATTGCGTCGACTGATGAGCGTGGAGGGAGATAGATAGATGCACATCCTCGCGAGATGAGAGCAGAGTTTGTTGCTGCTGCTGCACACTTTGCTGTGCTTCGCTTGCACAGGTTCCCCACGAATGCGTTGGCTACGTCACTGGACGAAAGGGAGCAGGCTTGAGGAGCGTCGAGGAAGAGTGGAATACATTGATGTTTTTTACAGATCTCAGGTCGGAGAAGGCCGGTCAAACAGAGCGACTCGCCATTTTTGGCAGCCAGTGCGTCTTTTTCTCCCCTTCTCTTCTTTTCCTCTTCTTGATGTTGTTTGAGTTGCTGCCATCTCCTCTTCTGTGCAGTCGTTTTATGGCGTTTCTTGTGGCGGAATTTTAGTCTCAGCTGCCTACAAGCGCGCCAGTGATGCGCTGTAGTGGTCTTCACGCAGTTTTCCTTCTAGAGGCGATTTTCTTTCTTTGGGCCGTCTGCGTCCACTCCCGTCTCGACCCCCCTTCTTCACACCCCCTCTTCTCCCCTTTCCCCATAGCTGGCTAGAGCACTTATCGAGTCGCCATCGCTGCTGCTGTCTCTCCGCGTTTTGTCTGTCTCTCGAGGCTTCCTTCAGGTGTCGAGAAGTGCTGCGTGTAGGCTTGGCTCTTGTTGCCGCTGCTGCTGTGTGTGTGGCTGGTGCAGACGTGCCCGCCGAGGCAGCGAGTTGAAGGTGATGTCTGCCGTCGAACAGAAGATGCCTGGCTATTTCACAGACAACATAACGGAGGGCTCTAGCAACAACGACGGCTTCGACACAGACTACGTCACCATTTCTGAAAAAGACTACTCATATGCCCTCGGTAAGGATGAGAGGGGCATGCAGACCAACAGAACGCGCACGGATGGTGGTCGGGTGGTTAGGTGGTTGCTTAGTCAGAGGCAAGGGGGATCGTGGATAATTCAGGGAGCCGGAGCACAGTTTTTATGCATCAGGGGAGGAGGGCAGCTAATAGCCGACGCCGTGTGTTTGTGGATATTAGAAGTGGAAGGCCGCCTTGAAGGGGCATTATGCGCACAAGGGGAATGTATATATATATATATATATATATATATATATATATATATATATATATAATATATAGCCTTGCTGTGTGTTTGGTGTTGGACTGTGTTTTTGGCTGCTGCGCATGCTTTTTCTACATTTTTTCTCTTTTTTTCCTCCCTCCTTTTCTTTTCTCTCTCTCTGTTTCGGTTTGCCCCTCATTCTCCTTGTGTATGCATATTTTCTTCCCTGCGGTAGAAACGCCATCGGATGTGTCTATCCCCTGTGGTGTGCTTTGTTGTTGTAGGCCAGCGTGGCAGCACGCGCAAGAAACTGGCGAGGGCATCTGGCGCTATCTTGGAATATGTGGGACGCATTGCGTTTGTTGCGGGTACTCTGCCTGAGCGGATGCGGGCAAAGCAGTATCTTCAGTGGTTATGCATGCAGAGGACGTCTTTTGTTCATGTGGATACTGTGGGCAGGTGAGACGCGATGGCAGAAGAGGCTCCGTGTTTTGGTGTGTGCCTCTGGAGGTTGTGCAAGCGACCTCATGGAGTATAGCGGGGTAGTGTGTCATGGACAAACGACGGCGAATGACGGATAAGGCTGCGGGTTGGGGGTGAAGGAAGGGCTCTTGGCAGGAGGTTTGTGGTGCTCTACCGCCGCTTGCATGCGACAAACAGAGAGCTGCTTTTTCCTAGCAGCGCTCTCCGTCGAGATGCGATGCATTTGCTGTCTGGAAGACAGCCTTTTTGAAGCGCCTCGCCTGGAGGAGCTGCGCAGTGTGTGTGTTTGTGGGGTTGGGGTTGGGGGGGTTGGTATACCGCTTTGTGTGTGTGTGTCTGTCTGTGTGTTTGTGTGTGTCTGTCTGTGTGTGTTTGTGTGTGTGTGTCTGTCTGTCTGTCCCTCTGTTTGTATTATCATGATGTCTTGGCCTTTTCATGGATGTGGTTGCGGGTTGGGCTGTGCGGCATGTTTCTGGGAGTTCTTTTGGATGGTGCCCCTGTGCGCAGAGATGACTGTGAAGTCGTGAATCTCCCGCTTGACGCTGTTGCATACGTCACGGGCTCTAAGGGCAGCAACTTGCGGCGCGTTGAAGAGGAGACGGGCACGTTTATATTCCTGGATGGCGCGCGTGGTGGCGGCGAAGAGAGACTTCTTATTTTCTGCTATGATGTAGATGCTAGACGGCGTGCCCGTGTAAGGATTGAGGAGCGGATCGACGAGAAGCTTTCTGGGAGAGCGAGGTCAGACAGGCGGTGTTTCTGCTGGAATGTGGTTGTTTCTGCATGGTGCTGCGTGTTTGTGTTGTTGCGTGTGGCTTCGTCCCGAGTGCTTCCGTTGTGGACGTGCTCCATAAGATAGGCAGCGTGCGTGTGAATAGGGAGGGGCCAGGGTGTAGTAAGGCGAGCATTATCGGGGGGAAATGCTTGCTGTGAGTGTGTCTGATCACGACTCGTAGACGCCAGAGCACATTCTGCATCGAGGGCGTTGGCATGTGTGCGATGTTTGTGAGTGCGCGTGCGTGCAATGTTTGTGAGTGCGCGTGCGTGCAATGTTACATGCTTTGATGCCTTGTCGCGTTGGTGTTGGCGGACAGCGGCGCACATGAGGCGTTGATGGGTTACTGCCGATGGTGGGGTTGCTGCAAACTGTCGCGTGTTGCAGACCCTTGTACCACGGAGGCGGTGGAGGCCGATATCGCTCTCCCTCTCCGCGACGCGGAGATTATGGGAGCTACGGACGTTACGATGATCGAGGCAGCTATGGTGGTGGCAGTGGGTATTACGGTGGAGGGGGCAGCTACGGAGGCAGTCACGGGGGTGGATACAGGGGCAGCAGAGGTGGGGGCGGGGGGGGGTATCGCAGTCGCTCCTCTAGTAGGCCTCGAGGAGGGTACTACCGTTCTCGCAGCCGCTCCGCTGAGTACTGGCGCGGGGGTGGAGGAGGAAGAAGTCGCTCGAGAAGCCCTGCACGCCGCGAGCGTTCTTACACTAGGTAGGCGTTCATGCCCTGCTTTGGGGGGAGGAGGGGCAAGAGGGTGTGGGAAGCAGCTGTGTGTATGTGTAGAAAGAGAGATAAAGAGAGAAATAGAGAGAAAGGGAAAAAGATGGGGAGAAAAAGGGGGAAAGATAGAGAGAAAAAGGGAAAAAGATAGGGAGAAAAAGGGGAAAAGATAGGGAGAAAAAGAGAGAAAGAAAGAAAAAAGAGAGCGAAAAGGGGTGGTGCCGTCACTGATGGAGTACTTGAGGGGAGGAAGGGAGAGGGGCGATTAGTTTAGAGTATGCTTTGCGAGAGAGGGTATTAATGAGGGCAGCCAGTGGTGTCTTCTCGAGTTTTGACGGTTTGGAGGGTCATGTGTTGAGGTCTTTTGCGTCTTGTGCTTGTTGTTGCTGCTTGATGTTTTTGGTGCTCCCTGTTGCGTTCGTGTCTGTACGGGAGGGAGTGCGTGCGTTGGTGTGTGTCGAGCGATTTACGTGGACAAAGTGGTGGTGGCTGTAAAACGCATGGATGGGAGGCGTGTGTTGCGGGTGCGATAGTGGGGAGGAGAGGGGGGATACGTAAGAGGCGGGTAACAGCAAGGGCGTCTCGCGCTGCGTGTTTCTTGTTGCTGCATCATCTGGCTGCTGAAATGCGGCTGGCATGGTATACAGTGAACGCGCACACTGAGGCCACCCAATGCTGAGCTAGCACCGACTTCCCGCACGCTTCCCCATACCCCAGCAGCAGCTTCTTGACCAGGAGATATCCTGCCTGCTTGACTAGCACGCCTCCTAGCTGCACGCTGCCTCCTCCTGCACCTTGTTCTACTTGTAGTGTTGCTCTTGGCGCTGAAGCAGGGCATTTCCACCCGACCCCCGTTTCCCCCCATTCCTCCCCATTCTCCCCCCTCTTACCTCTGCCAGAGATACACAGCACACAAGTCGTTGCTCTAAGGTGCTCCGCATGGCCGTGAGATCCTTGAGAGAGAGAGAGAAAGAAAGCGCACGCGGATCTTAAGTGCAGCTGATGACGCCCACATCCTTGCGATTGGCGCCTTTGCCGTGCTTCCGGTCGTAACACTGTCGATACACTTCGCGAGACCACACCGGAGGGATGCGGATCCTAACGATGCAGATGGTCGCTTTGTGCGAGGCTAACGCGGGGTGTGCTCAGCTCAAATCTCGGGGTGCACATAGGTATACAATCGGTTTCAAACGCGAGAAGTGTGGCCGCGTCTTCCTTCCTCGTGTCGGTGCAGAGGTCTTGATGGCTGCGCTGCGTTCATTGCCTGGCGTCTCGGCATGTTTGTGCCTGTGTGTGTGTGTGTTTATGTGTGCATGTGCATGTGTGTCGTTTTTTGAGCGGAAATATCTGCTGACGGTACTGGTAGCCTCTTTTTGTCTACTGTGCTGCTTTTATCTCTGCTGCCGCTGCTTTGGCCAACACTACCATAACTACTACTACTACTACTACTACCGCAAGGCCCCTGCTGTTGCGTGGGGTGCTGCCGTCGGTCCGGCTTGTTACACTCCGACTCCTCACATGAGCCTTCATCGCGTCGCTTCACCACTGCACGTATCGAGGCTGCATGGCATCTGCATTTCTTCTTCCTCCTGGCTCTAGGCAAAGGAGCGGCGGCCTACTGGGTTGCTGAAAATACTGCGTGGTTGTCTGTCTCCGATAGGGACGGGAGGGATATGTGTTTCTCCCGAGGCACCTCGTATTGCTTCGCTCGTGTCACAGGGCCAGTACAGCTATTATTCTACTCAAATGGAAACTGCGCAAATCTGCACTCTGGGTGTCACACGAAGCGCCTCCCGACACATGCGAGCCACCAAAGGGCCTCCCTTCCCCCTTTCTTGCTGTATTTTGGTGCTGCGCGCCCGTATATGGTGGAGCTGTCCTGCCGCGGCAGATGCATCATCCGAGAAGGAGGCCACCAGCAAATCTTCTTCCCTGTTGTTGTCGCTTGCTGCCGTGATACACCGCATCCACTATTACACAGCCTTGAGGGTCAACACCGGCGGCGTCAGGAGACACCCATACATACTTCCACACACACATACACATCCGTATACATATGTACTTACACATCTGCACACGTGCATTTACTGCATATGTGTGTGTGCCTTGTCGAGGAGGAAGGATTTAGGCAGCCTTTTTTTATGTTCTTCGCACGTGGATGCCCCCTTTTGTGTGGTGTGATGTGTTTTTTGCACCGATGCATCCGGATAGTGTGTAGGACTCCCTCTTTGCGCACATGCTGCGCTGCCCGGCCCTCTCCTGCATTGGATATTCTGTCCCTTGTTTGTTTTGCAGGAGCATGCGAGGCGATTATGATGAGAGGCGAAGGTATGAAGATGATCGCTACCGTTGAGCGCCTAATCCTGTGATCTGCGGCCGTCGCGCTGCTGGCGGGAGAAGGGGGCAGCTGCACGAGGGGCAGGAGCTCCCTTGCGGCTGGCTGCGTACTAGGCACATCCCCGTATGCACCGTGCCGTGCCGCAGACATACACATGCACACACATACGTCCGACGGAGACGCTTGCGTATTGTTAAAATCACGTGATTGGATTAATGACTGCTGGTTGCTATAGAGCGCGCCTTATCATGGCACTTCCTCTCTAGATGCCCGGGGGAAGACAAAAGGAATGCGGGTAGTGATGACCCCTTTAGTGGCCCCATAAGTGGCGGCGCCTGCCGCCGCCGTGCAGTCTGCGGGGTTTTAGCCTTGTAATCGGGGCTGTACCGGAAAGGATGAGGCGTGGGAGACGGGATATTTATATGTATATATCTATGTATATATATGTATCCACACGGGGTGGGGGTTAATGTTTTCACACAGCAACTGGTATGCGGGGAGCAGTTTGCCTTTGATTAAGCGGAAGGGGAAGGGGCAGTCCAGTGCGGCTGTCTGCCCCCCCATTGGGTCTTCCACGAAACTCTGCCTTTTAGCCGGATTAATAATGATCCTGAGAGTAGGTAGCCTAAATCCCAAAGGGGGCTGTGCCGTGCCCTGTTCGGGCGGTCGGTGTTGGCAGACACGTCAAGCGAGGAGTTGTGCGCTGTTTAGGGTTGTCTTTTAGGGGAGGTGTGTGTGTGTGCGTGCCCTCTGCGTCTAAACCCGAGCCTCCCGAGTGTGCAGAGTGCCGTAGTATTATACCTCGCAAAGTGTGGGTGTGTCTGTTTTGTTCACCGAGGGAGACGCTGTGCGTGGCAAAACAGCCCGCGCTGGCGGGTCTCAAATAAGTCCTATGTGTTGGGGCAAGCCTACAGTGCATCATGCCGACTAGGCATCTTTGCAGGCTCTGGCGAGGCCGTGCATTCAGAGCATTGTAGAGAGGGGTGGTTGGGGTGGGGAGGTCCTTCTAGTGCGCTCTAGGAGTGTACCGTGGCGGCTTGCTTGCGGCTGCTACCAGCATACACCGCAAGGGCGCACGATCACAGTTAGTCTCCCCACAGACCGACGGGATTCAGGCAGGCAATCGCCTAGCCGCTTTTTCTAGTGTGAAAGGAGGCCTACTGCTTGCTTCCATGCGGCCTCCACTGTCTCACTGAGCGTGGGGTGCGTGTGCGTGATCTGAGCTAGCCGGTCGACAGGCGTCTGCGTAGCCATTGCATTGGCGCATTGCTGCATGAGGTCTCCTGCGTGAGGCCCAATCATGTGGCAGCCCAACACCTGCCCCGAATCCTTACGCCACAAAACCTTCATGAGGCCTTCGGCCTCTCCTTCAGCTACTGCCTTAGAGTTCGCCCTAAAGTTGGCTGTGCTCACTCCAACCTCAAAGCCCTGCTTCTCCCCGAGAGCGCGTGCCTCTGGCTCAGTGTAGCCTGCAGAGGCGAATACACACAAATAAACATACATATATACATACCCACATGCACACACATCCACAGATACACACACAAGCATACATATACCCACACAAACGTACATGTGTAGAGACACACATACAGCCACAGACACACGTACGTCCACAAACATGCACCTGCATAAATACTCAAGGCGTCCAAGAGAGGGAGAGGCAACTCTGCAGCATTCATGCCTAAACCCGAGCGAGCCAAGCCCCTTGAAACCCTCCCTTTGTTGTTCTGCTTGCCCATGAAAAAAGGTAGTGTTTGTACAGGCTTGGGAGGTGTGCAAGTGAGCAGTGACGACGTTCGAAAAGGAAGGCGGGCGGGTTTGTAAGGCTCTCGAAGCAAATAATGGATTACTACTAGCTTCTCTTCGTGTATATATATGCATGTGTACTTGTGTGTGTACATGTATTGATATATATATATATATATATATATATATATATTTGTGGCTGCTCGTACCGACAAAGGCGATCTCGGGGTTGGTAAAACAGGCAGCCGGAATGAGGCGGGAGTTGAAGGGCCGATTTCTTCCGGCGATCGCTTCAACTGCGGTGACGGCCTGAGCAGAGGCGGCATGCGCGAGTTGCAAAAGTCCGTTGGCATCTCCAATACAGTAGAGTCCATCTATCGCCTCCGCGTCGTCTCCAAGAGCACTGCCTCCTGCTTCTGCGCTCGGCTGAGAGGATGCGCCAGCTGCCCCCCCGGCAGGAGACCCCTTCAACACCCGCATGCACGCGTCTACGGGCACGAAGCCTCCGCGCTTCAAAGTAACACCAAGCGCCTCAAGGCCAAGATTCTGAGACAAAAAAGACCGCAAGAAGCTCCTTCCCATGTCTTCAGTTTCCTGGGGGCCTTACAGCACCATTTGGAGCGCTTCGGCTTGTCTCCCCTCAAGCAAACACGCGCCGTCCGACACAACTCCTAGAACCGGCGAGAAGGCAGCAGCGACAGAGGTATGGTCAGTGCATTAACAGCGCTTCGGCAGAGGGGTTCGTACACATATATATACATACATACATATACATACACATACATATACATACATACACATACATATATATATATATATATATATATATTGATGTACATACGTTGGTATGCATATGTATACCTATATGCATGTCTGTATGTATGCATGCATATGTGTGTATCCACGTATGTGGGTGCCTCTGCTGTCAAGGCGCTTTGGAGAAAAAGTGGCCTATGCCGGCTGGCTCGAAAGGGTCACATGTGTGTGCATCGTACCTGTGTGGCTGGTCTGCGTCCTGTAGCCACTAGACAGGCATCTGGGAAGAGGATGCCTTTGGGTTCTCCGGATTTAGCGTCAGTGAGTTTGACCTGCAGCGGCGATGCAGGAGTGGCGCCGCTGGTGGAGAGGGGCTGAGTGCGCGTGACAGAGGCAGCGAGAGTGTTGGTGAGCAGCTTGATCGGCATCTCGGGGTTTTTCTGCAGCAGGAGGCGTTCCGCTGCCTGCGCGATTGTTGGATCAACTCCCGGAAGGAGCCGATCCCCCGCCTCTATGAGGGTGACCTCTGCCCCCATGGCTGAGAAGACTTCTGCGAACTCCAGTCCGATATACCCAGCTCCAATGATGGTGATGTACGACGGCATCAAGGGCAAGCCGACGGCCGTATCGCTGGTCATGATCTGGTGCCGCTGCTCTCCCTCCTCCGAAGCCTCCGCAGCGCCTCCCTGAGAGGGCTGGCTTTGAGCTAGATCGATTCCGGGAGGCACAAACGGCACGGAACCTGGAGCGAGAATTATATTTTTTGCCCTCAGCATCGTTGGAGTGCTCGGTGGAGAGGTCGGTGTTGGATGCAATCGCAGTACACCAGGCCCATCAACGTATGCCATCGCATCCAATACTGGAATCTTGTGCGCGGCTAAAGAGCCTACCAGACCGCTTCGCACCTGTGCAAACACACCGCGTCAGGCGGCAGCCGCAGGTGTGTCTTACTTTTACGGGTGCTCGATCGACAAAGACGCATCCTCCTGACACAGGAGGGAGAGGGGAGAAGGAAAGGGCAAGGAAGCGTGTATTTGTTTGAGGCTGCAAAACGCTCAAGCGAAAAAGCCTCCCCGCCGCGCTGCAACACTAATCCCGCGCAAAAGCCGGCTGCTACCTAGGCTGCGGAGCAAGATAGTATATATATATATATGTGTGTGTGTGTGTGTGTCTGTGTGTGTGTCTGTGTGTGTTTAGAGTCCTCCAGAAAACTAACAAACACCAAGCCTCAAAGAGAGAAAGAAGGCGAACTCGCAAACTGTCTTTGAGTGTGGCCCTCCCAACCCTTTTGCGTAAAAGTGCTGCTTATTTTGTATGACTGAATGCTACTGGCATCCCTCGACCCCCTTCCTTTCCCCCTTAAATCGAAAATAATCCCCGCAGTGAAAAAAGCCTTACCTTCGAGGCAATTCCGAGCGCATACTTCCCGGCCGTTCTCGGGTTGAGCCGCACGCTTCCCTCAGGCACTTCAATGCCCATCTCTTGCAGCAGCTTTTTGTGCTGCAGCATGCGCACACGACGAGCCGCCGCGAGGAGGGCTTTGCTGGGGATGCAGCCACGATTTACACAGGTGCCTCCTGCATCGCCTCCGCTTACTGCAGCCACTCGCAAGCCGAGAGCCTTCGCATGCAGACACGCCGCGTGACCTCCGACCCCCAACCCCACCACTGCGACATCGTACGGCTCATCTGAAGACGCAGAAGAAGGCGGTATTGCTGCCGCCGCAAGGGAAGCCGCTCCTGCCCGCTTCCTCTGGTAGGCGGCCACATGAGGCTTGTGCCGCGTCTCTGCTTGAGCCCGTTCCAGGGGAACGGCGGCGAGGAGCGAGGAGCCTCCAGAGACGTGCGAAACGCTTGAAGGCTGCCGTATGAAGGCTGCGGCTGGGGTAGCAAGGAGCTGCAAGCCAAGCCAGATGGCACACAGGAGACGCGGCATTTGCCGGCGACACGGTGCACTCGCTGGACGCTCGTGGAAGCCCTTTGTATCCATTGGCTAAAACCAAGCGATAGACGCGGGAGGGGTGTAGAAAGCCTTTTTCGCAGAAACAAGGAGGGGTTCCGATTTCCCCGGAGCAGCACACAACGGAGGCGCTCCTATTCAAGGAAGCTGTGTGGCACTCTGAAGAATTTGCCTTGTAAGGAAGGAGGTCTCGCTGCTCGTGTCTTTAGGCCGCTCAACACCTGTGGAGGCGACTCCGTTGCCGCTACCTCCTTCTCCTCCTGAGGGAGCTCCCCCCGCGCAGACAACTTCCTGCTCCGGCGAAACTGTGTTTGCCTCTAGAGACATCAAGAAAAAGCATCAGAATAAAGGAGGCGCACGCAAACGCGGCCGAGCGGATGTGCGCTGCGTTTCTAGAGGAGTCTCTCTTCCAGCGACAGCACGAGAGGGAGGCGCTGCCGCTGCGTGCAGCAGACGTGTAAGCTGGGAAAAAGGCCAACAACACTCGCCGATTTCAAGCTCTTAAACACGGATGACTGCCAACACACACACCTAGCAAGGCAGATGCTGAAGGAAAGGCGAAAAAAGAACCGGCAACGCTCCTCTCCGAGACACGTAGCAGCAGCAGCTCGAGCAGAGAAGCCTTAGGTCTTGTCGCTATCTTGAAGCGCATGCACAACAGCCCTGCTAGCAGACTCGGTGGCTTCGCTGCAAATCGTTTCGCTGGAGCCTTAAAGACTGTGGTGTGTTTCTCTCCGTTAAGACACAAGAAAACACGGAGCATCATCGCCACATATCTATCCTTGTGGTACAGTGCATCCCGTCCCTCCAATCGGGGCCTGAACAAACCCGCATGCAAACAACGGAATTTCCCCAAGGCGTTCTTTGCCGCTTCTCCGTCATTAGAAAGAGCTTTTGCTGCTCTCGCACTCAGGAAGACTCTTAGAAAACCTCCCTCTGCATAGCCTGCCGGGCTGTCCAGAGAGACACCTCCGCGAGGCAGACTGCTCTCAACTCCTGAAAGGCAGAGTGCCGCAGCGAGCGAGCAAGCCAGAGCTTGAATTAGACACTTATATTTTCTCCAACGAAATAGGATGCGCAAAAGCTTGCTCCCCTGAAGCAGCTGCGGGTCTGTCCGAGCAATTGCCGGGAAGGGAGAAAAAAGAGAGCGGCGAAGGCGAGGAGATGATACAATCTATCAACGGTGGAAGGGGGTCCTTATCCTTCTTTCTTAGACTTGCAAACACCTCTTGAGCTGCCGCTGTATTCGCTGTCTACTCGGTATCTTCTCCCTGCGTGCCTTCTTGCCCCTTGGTCCCGAAGCCAGACGAAATGCCGAAGCACAAGCATCACCGCGATCGGCTGTATCTGCTGCAAAGCGAGTATAGTGCAGAGTGGGGTGGCTTTAAGAAGAAGAATCTTCATCTTCCATTCAAGTCGCTCCCCTTTGATTGTTGGTCCGTCATGCGTCTTTCCCCCTTCCCGGTTCCTGTGTTTGCCGTGCTGCCTACAGATAGGTATTTACGTTTATCACTATATATTTATATATGTACATCTATGTATATATATTCACGTATCCTATGTCTTTCAGTCTGTCCGTCTCGTTCTATCTCTCTCTTTGTCTCTTCCACATCCATCTGTTCTGTATGCTGCTTGTCCACTTTGGATTTGGGGGGGAGGAGAAGGGAAAAGAGGAGACAGCATTTCTGCTCGTTCCTCCTCACACGCCTGGCTGCCCTGTTGCGTTTGGTTCGGCTGCTTCCTGCAGCGGACTTTCTCTTCGCCCTTTTGAAGACGCAGTATGCACGGATTCAGGGATAGTCTTTGACGCTTCCGTGATTCTGCCTTACATTAAGAAGTATCGGCGGTGCCCTGTGACGGGGGCACCTCTCTCTGCCTCGGATCTCTACCCGCTTGTCTTCCACAAAAACGCACGAGGCGCATTTCACTGCCCTGTTACCTTTAAGGAGTTTGGACCGAACACCCATATCGTCGCTAACAAGAAGAGCGGCCACGTATATGCCGCAGACGCGATTGAAAACTTGTGCAGGCAACCTAAGCTATGGAACGACCTTATCACCGGTAAGACAGACTGAGCGGCTGCCTTTGTCGAGATTTGTTTGCAACTGGCCCCGGCAACGCAGCGGTGCTTTTCCTCCGGGGAGTGAACATTTTTTTGCGGGAAGTGGGGAGGGGGGTGGAGGGGAACACTTTCTGCCTTCAAGCAATCTCATCTCTCTCTCTCTCTGCACCTAACAGATTTGCGTTGAGAAGGAGGGGGGCACTGGAGTGCAGCCGCATGAGAAGTGTATATCTGGAAAGCCGGCGGTTCCCCTGTCTCGTTGTGCGTCTTCCTTCGTACAGCGTCCTTTTTTGCGCATGTAAAATTGTGTAGAACATGTGGCCTGTGCGTGTGCAGGGGAGCCTTTCACCAGCGCGGATTTGGTTCACATCCAAAACCCAACAGACGCAAAGCAACGCTGCATTGAGCACTTCCACCATATTCGAGAAGGTATTACATTGTCGGATGGCCACAAAAAATGCTCTGTAACGCGAGGCGATTCACTCGATGTGCCTAAATATATATGAATATGTATATGTAGATGTATATATGTGATGTACATAATATATATATATATATATGTATATATAGCTACATACACATAGGTATATGTGTATGTAGATATTTATGTATATAATATGCATATATCTGTGTAAATGCATGTCTTTCTAGGCGTGTTTATGAAAGGAATTCACAGCGATTTGGGGATTGCGTAGGAGGGACACCTTTTTTAAAAAAACAATTGTGTGGTCTATCGTTGGTGCGGATCTGCGTTGTGATGTGGGGTTAAATTAGGGCAAGATGTTTCGCGTTTGGCAGCGGCGGGGGGTGTCGCAGCCGAGGCTGGGAGCTTAAAGCCAACGGTCAAAACGTGTGAGACAATGGAAAAGGTGCTTGCGGAGGCGCATGCTCGCAAGGCGGAGGTAGAGGCTGCGCACAACCAGCTGGTTCCGAATTTGCATGCGGTGAAGGACGCGGGTGGTTTGAAAGGATCAACACCGTCGGCTACGGATGCGCAAGCAGCGGAGGGTTCTGCTACCCCCTCGTCTCAGCAAGCGCAGCCAAGCAAAGAAGCCTCGAATGAGGAGGAAGCCTCGCGGAGCGATGATGCAACTAGCGAAACTGGGAAGCACCATCTGTATACGGACCATCGCATGGCTGCGGGGTTCACGTCTACGGTTGTGGTAGGGAGGACAACGCAGGCGTATAGGCAGCTCTCTGAGCGGGAACAAATGCTGCCGATATACGCGCTCTGCAAGCAGCAAAAGATGAAGAGCTACATTCGGATGGAAACCTCTGCAGGAGCTCTCAACTTAGAGCTGTACACGCACCTCACGCCTCGCACAACTGACAGCTTCCTGCGACACTGCATCAGTGGTTACTATGAGGGCACTATCTTTCACCGCCTCATTCCCAACTTCATGATCCAGGGAGGCCGTGCAGAGCTGCGGCAGCAGCAGCGACAGCAGCAGCAGCAGCAGCAGCAGCCCTTCGTGAGCCGCAGCGGGTTCTCCAACGGACAGCCCTTCGAGGACGAAATCTTAGGACAATTAAGTCACCAGGGTATTGGCGTTCTGGCTATGGCAAATGACGGGCGCCGTAACAAGAATGTTTCCGAATTCTATATCACCTTCAAGTCTTGCACCCACCTGGATGGCAAACACACAATCTTTGGCAGGGGTAAGCAGATGGTGCGAGGCTTGGCTACCAAGCCAAGCCTCCTGCACAGACCTGGATGCCTGCCTTCGTAGCCGCCAGACGGCTAAGAGGGCAGCCGGCTTGTAGGATCGATGTGCACTTTTTGTTAGCCAGGGAGCAAAGGGCAGGCAGCTGGAGAGAGGTAGAATCATAGAGAAAAAGGCCTCTCGGTTGCTGTACACTGGGCAAGCGAGCACCCGGACTTGCTGGCCTCCAAAAAAGGCGAATATGTATCGTGCCATTGGTAGCATCTTCATGAACTCGTTATCCACAGCTCCTTATTCCCACATGTCCCTTGGGCCTCTTGACAGTCGCACGGGGTGCCTCGTTGCGACTGTCATAGTTACCTTTAACATCTAGGAATCTTGGCCTTTCTTTGTCTCTCGAACTCTAAGAACCGGCCGTGGTCGTGGGGTGCAGCTCCTAGTTGAGGGCTGCTTTTTTTCGATAGAAGCGCTTCTCATTGCTGTGTGCGTCTGTCAGTTCTTCCTGCTGCTGTTGCGCCTTCAGTTGTTGGAGGTTTGGACGTGCTGCGGGCGTGGGAAGGGCTGCCGGTAGACTCTCGAGATCGACCCCAACGGCCTCTGGTGATTGAAAAAATGCACATCTTCAAGAATGCCTTCGACGATGCGAAGAAGCAGATACAGCAGAAGAAGGAAAAAGAGGCTAATAAAGAAGCAGAGGCCGAAAAGGTAGGCAAATAAGCCCTCGCTGCATGCATAATAAGATATTGGTAGCCATGTGGAGAGATCGACTCTGCGCCGCTTCGCTTCTATGCACGTGTGCAACACCGGTTGTCACCGTACATCCCGCGCACATCACGTCAGGTCTCTCATCCCTGTCCACTTATTTGCTTGTCCTTCTTCAGTAGTGCTTCAGTGGGAGCATCGACTTCCGTTTATTCTTGGCTTTTTTCCCCTTCCCCTGTGTGTTTGTGATTTTACAGGAGGCGGCGCGCCCATGGTTCAATAACAAGCATGCCCTTGATGAGACTGCGTCTCACCCAGAACGGCACTCTGAAAAAGTGGGTAAGTACATGAGGCCTCCGCATGCAGGAGCTTCAGTTGCAGCTGCTGCTGGGGGAAAGCATGCCCTCGCTGCGGAGCTTATGGGCAGCGAGACAGCGCAATACGTTACGGTGCCTAAGAAGCCAAAGGTGGCACGTAAAGGTCTCGATCTTTCATCTTGGGCATAACATGCAGATGCCTGGCCCGCGCATGTGTTTGCGGGAAAGTGCGCCTCGGACTGCCCTCGCCGCGTAGTGGGGCGAGGAGTGCCAAGGGGAGAAAAGGCTAAAGCACACTTTGCCAGTAGCAAGTAATATTGGGCTTTGCCGTTGTGCATTTTTAAGCGCATTCGCCGATTGCGTTTGTGTAGTCTTCAAGGCTCTGCCCGGCATGTCTAGTGAGAGGACCGTAGCTGTACATCCCCTTGGGAATAGCGCTACTCCGGGGCTGAAAAGAGGCCTCAAGCTGATTGGTTACGGAAGGGGGCACAACTACACCAATGATAGATAGATATAACAGCCGCACGCCCTTGGTGGCGATAGCGGGTACAAATTTTTTCTGTTAGTATCCTGCTGCATGGATAGGCGTGGGTTGGAGGGGTGTAGGGGATGCAGGGGAGCGAGGGTGGGGAAGTCGTTGCTAGTGCAGTTAGAACTACATATAGAAAACAGGACCCACAGTTTCTTTTTTGCACAAGACGGTTTGCCTGTGCATGGTGATTCGGTGTCGAGAGGCGACTTGCCGACTTGTGTCGTAGGCCAGGTGTTCCTCCTTCCTTACTCCCCCTCTCCGCTTAACCAGCTGCTGCCCTGTGTAGAGCCTGCACTTGCCTCTAAGGGCAAAAGGCCCCCGGTGGAATCCGCCGAGCTTCTTCTCGGTCGGCCTACCCATTTTTCGAGCTACCGCCTCCAGCAGGGTTTTTGGCACGAACCGAAGGGTTTCCCTGGTGGTACGGGAACAGCCACCCGCGAAGGGCCACTTGAGGGTCACTACCGCTTGTGAAATGCAATTCTAAGCGCCCAATGGGGGCAAAGGAGGCAGAAAAGGGCATTACTACATTCTTTCTTGTGCTTTCCATACCAGGCCTAGGCCTTCCTATCGATTGTCTCCTCGCCTAGGGCATCCTGTTGCAGCATTTCACCGATGCCCCAAACAGTGAAGTTCCAGAGATTCTTATTACTTGCATGCTGCCATTTTAACTTGGCTTTCTGCAAAACGCCCTTCCTAACATCTCCTCAGTCTGCGCCACCCCTCTCGTTATCAGCGTCGCTCATGTCCGCCCCTCTTGCTTGATCTGCTTCGATCATTGGCTGCCGCCAACTTGGCACCTTCCGGCTCCACAAGACCTTGATTTCTCCCATTAAGGCACTTTCAAATGCATTAAACGCCGCAGAGATGCCCGATGCATCCCTTCTTTCGGTCCCATAACGCCCAAACGACGACCGCGCCTGGTGCCGCTGGCCTACACCGCCCATTGGCACTGATGACCGGGGCGGTAGCGCTGTCGCCCCAGAGTCAATGTTGGTGTAAACGATGTTTACCGGTATTATTTGATGTATTTAGAAACTGTTTATGACCATCGCTGCTAATTCCTGTTGTTATTCTCCATTTGCCTTGACAAGAAGCCACGCTTGCCGTCCGTTATTCTCCCACGACGACGTGCGGCGCCAACACAATCGACCGGTCCACCCCGCGCACGCATCCAAGCTGTTGCACTCTCTAAATGCGTTTAACTCCCTTTGCAAGCACCTGGAAGCACTTATCCGCGGCATCTCGGGCGCGCCAAGCCCCCAGAGAGGCAGAATGTATGCCCCGTTGATTGAATACTCGAACAGACGCTACACTCCTGGTAAAGCCGAGCTTGTCGGCTTCCTGCTGCTCTCTTCCATGTGAAATTTCCCTCTATCCGAATTTCTGTTTCTCCTTTCCTCTTTCTATCGCCCTTTAAGGATCGTCTGGCCGCCCCTTCCCGCCTCGCCACCTAGGGCTGTGTACTTCCCTTTACCCTAAAGGGCCACTTCGCTGCAACACTTGGGGGGAGCTACATATACTCAAGCCGTTGGTACCGCTTCATCAGGCCATTCAATACGTCTACATTATATTTATGCATATATCCCAGCAGTAGGCAACACCAAATAAGAAAGCATCTACGGGGGGGAACCACTCCCCCTCAGGCTCTCGTCATGGCAAAGGCCAGCGGCGATGACACCCCAGAGGCTGACGGATCGCTGGCAGGCCCCTTTAGTAGAACGTGCTGTCTACTGCCTGTAGCCGGACCGCCCTTGTGTACTTCCAGCTGCAACAGCCCTACAGAGGGACCCTGTCGCGCTTGCGCTGCTACAGATTCTGCGAGAACTCAAACCAGCTGTACACACCGCACGTGCGACGCTCTCCCTGTACGACTCAGCGATCTACCTGCCTCCCAGTGCTCTTGTTCTTGCAACGCAGAGAAGAGGAGGTGCATTCGTGGGGCCCTGCCATCCTGCAGTCCGGCTGCGAGCGCTGTCGATTCGCCTGCACCATCACCCCTTTTACCAGCGGCATCTTCGCCAAGTCCCCTGGAAGAAGTCGCCCCCTCCAGCAGGCTCCTTCAGCTCCCCAAGCCTATTCTGCTGCAGCTATTTCGCTTCTTCAGCGTCGAGGAGCTTCCGTGCATTGCTGCGGCAGCGCCTTCGCTATGGCGGCTGCTGCTGCAAGGAGATCTGCTGCAATGCGGCAGCCGTGCGCGATTGCATTCTGCGAGGCGTTGGCTGCAGTCAGGATGTGTGAAAGCAGCAGAGGGGGATGGCAGCAGCAGTTCATGTTGCGGCAACGCCAAAAGACGGCTATCCTTAGTACCTTGGCTCTTGTCTGTACATCGCGGGAGGGTCGCGTCTCTTTCTTTAAGTTCCAAAGTGCTGGATCCATTTCCCTCCATCTCTTTGCTAGTAGCGCTGCGGCAGCAGAGTAGCAGTCTGAAGCAGCTGCAGATCTCTTCTTCCGATTTTTGTTCCCAGGTGGTTGGCGGCAGAATCTCTCGGTCTGTTTCGACGCCCCCGCTATGCTTAGCGCAGGGTGCTGCTTCTGCATGCTACCATGGAGCTGCAGAGGCGCGTCAGTCTTCTGGTGCTTCGTGCATGCAGAAAGCTGAAGACGCGCCTGGAGAACAGGTGGAGACAGAAGATGCTCCGGCGGTCCCCCCGCCTCTGGCGGAAGCGGAATTAGCCTCTGCGAAACGTGTCCTCGAAGGTACTGCATTCCAGAAACTCGAAGTCATTCGTCTGCAGGGTTGCCAAGTGTTTTTCTGGCTGCGACTGCTTAGCCACTGCAGCTTCCCTCAGTGCAAGGAGCTCATCGTTGCGTGTGCTTGTATCCGGCAACATACCGTGCCGCCTCCACATGGGGCCGCAGCCAGCGCAGCAGACCTCTTAAAGCTAATTGACAGCATGACAGCATTGCAGCGGCTGCACCTAGAGCTCGCACTGCCCCCAACGCGCTGTTTCTGGCGCTCACTCCTCTTCAGCTCACCGCAACAGCAAGAAAAAAACAAGCCGCAGTACCGCCGGAGCCTGTGCGTCAGTGAAGGAGCATTCCTCAATCTGGCGGAGGTCCTTGGCGAAGCACGCCTTCGGGGACCACCCGCACTTGTTGCTGCTGGGGTGCATCCACAGTTGCCCTGGGGTGTTCGTGATATAATGGTTGTGGCTTCCCAACGGCGGCTGCATGCGGCGGCAATGAGCCGCAGCCTCGCGGCCGCCGGGTGTACGGACACCTCAGCGCCGCTGTACTCTGTCCATTGCCAATTTGTGGAAATAGACGCCGCACAGGCCCCAAAGGAAGACGAGGTTCCGCTGCTGCAGTTGCTGCGGCACGCTAAGCACGTGAAGCTGCTCCTTGGCAATTGTGAGGCCGTATCGCTTGCGCAACAGCAGCAAGAGCAACAGCAAGAGCAAGAGCAACAGCAGTCGCCGCCGACTGTGCCTGTTGCCTTGCAACACGGTACAGCTAGGACGGATGCGACAGGGCTGCGTGACGGCTTCCCAGCACCTCCGCCGCTGCTGCGGACGAGAGGTCAACAGCAGCAATATGCCCAACAGCAGCTCCATGAGCAACAGCAGCCGCTGCAGGAAGATGATGGCTTCCTCGCTGCCGTAGCAGCGGCTGCAGGTGCAGCAGCTGATGATGTAGCCGCCCTATGCCGCGCGGTTGATGCTCCACGCAGTATAGCTCTGGACTTGGGCAAAGACGCTGCAAAGTCTCTTCCAGGACAGCCTCACTCCCCTCAGGAGCCAGGCCGTTTGCAGTGGCTGCAACAGTGCCACGGCCTCCTGTCTGAGCTCCTTGAGCAGCAGCAGCAGCAGGCAGCGGTGACATGCCCGGCTGCCGCCTCTGCAGCACCCCTGAGCGAGGTCGCAGTGCCCAGCTTGAGAGTGGTGGGGTTTCCTGCCGGTGCAAGAAGGTGCATGTTGTCGGGAGACTCCTACCGGGAGGATCTGCAGGGAACTACAAGGGCCTCTGGAATACGCTGCCCCTTCTGCGGCTGCACTGGTAGCAGCGGTGCCAACCGGCAGGGCCGAAGACTGGCAGATGCTCTGTGGCAGGGTGTAGAGGTCAACAGCAGCAGCAGCAGCAGCGGAGCTACCCCTCCCAGTGTTCGCAACAGCAAGAAGGGATGTAGTGGGCTCTGTGTGTGCTCTCTCTTGCAGCTGCGTGTCTTGCCGCTGCTGCATCGGCTGCCGCTCTTCCTATTAGGGCACTCCGGGGGGGGGGCGGGGCCTTGGGGTGACCCTACAGCCGCGTTGCTCCTGCAATGCGATCTGCTGCTGCTGCAGCAGGTGTGCAAAAGCTCGCTGCTGCGCCCGCGCTGTATCGGACTGGAGCTGCATGCCGCCAGCCAAACACCGCAGCAGAGACGAAGTTTCTCGCGGTTTGTCGGAGCTGCGCTCGCTCTCCCCGAGGAGCACCGGCCCCCTCTACGCCTGCTGCGCCTGTCTCTGGTTGCGGAACCGGAGGGCACGTGTTGCCTGCTTGGCGAGAGACGGCTCAACACACGCACGCTGCAAGTGCTGCAGCAGCTCCTCGCGCAGCATCCCTTCCTTCACCGCGTCGACGTCACCTCGCCCTTGTACCTTCGAGATCCCGCAGAAGAGCCAGCGGCCGCTAAAGAGCCGCTTGCACTAATCCAGCTGCAGCAACTCCTGCAGCAGCAGGGCTTTGAACGCACCAGCTGCTGCAGCACCAGTGTCTTTCGCCACTCCTTTACATTTTCTAGACCTTCAGCGTAGTGCCCTGCCTGTGTGCTAGCTACATTGCGATCCTCTCGTGCCTATTCTGTGCCTCGCCCCCCCCTCCGTCCCTCCTACGACCTTTCCTCCCGCATGCAACTGCAACAGCCACAACTGCCACTTTTATCACTATCACTACGAGCACGCCCGCGAGTGGGCATGGGCAAGGCCCTCCTGCCAAGCTCCGCAGAGGGCATGTTGTCTACCTGCTCTGCCGCCTTCGGGTTGCAGGGCATGCTTCTGGGGGGCCGAGGAGTGATTTTCTGCTACAGATTATAGCAAAGCGCTCTGCTTCCTCGAGGTGGAGGGTAGCAGTAGACTATGGATCAAACGAAGGCAAAGCAAGCACAGGCAGACTGCACCGTTAGAGAAGATACTAGAGGTGAAACAGCAAGGCGACGGGCTGCGAAGGCTCCTGTCTACCACTCCGCTTTAGTCCACCCGGGTATTTCCATGTTGTCAATCATTTCCTTGATTTTGTGCCTACAGAGACCGAAGTGTCTGTACACCCCCCGCGCTCTTCCAGTGCTGTTGCAGCGGCGCCTATACCTAGTGGGAGAGCTATCTTTGGGGAGCTGCTGCAGCATCAGGTGCCAGTGCATGCGCTCATCTAACGTCTTGCTGTCTTTCCTTCTCTGAAGGTAGAGCCTCCTCAACGGCGCGTAGTCTGCCACAAGTTGACGCTTTTTGTTGTTACGCCTTACAATTGCTGAGGCTGCAGTTACTGTCGTTAGCGGCCAGGGGCCCTGCTGCGCTATTCACGCACACAAGGGAAAGCAGGAGACGGATAGACATGGAAAGAGGTGCCCCTAACTCAACTTTCGAGAGGCTTGTAGAGCCTTAAGGGCCTTGAGGGGACAGCCAAGGGGAGCGTCGGGTCGCCTTCTTACTGCGGTAGCGGCGGACTGAAACCATCTGCATCCCTGAAAGTCTTTGAGGGTGTCTGTGCTGCTGTTGGTCTCGCTGTTGCGGAAGGCCGCGTACTGTAAGCGGCAGTAGGGGGGAGCCGCTGCACTCTGCCCCCCTGCACACGCTTCCAGGGGAGTGCACTAGCTCGCCATGCTGCAAGGAGGCGCCCTGCAAGTACCAACAAGGGCCCCCTTCGAGAAAGCAGTGGTTTTCCGGGGGCCCCCTACTGGGGGTTCTCCAGTCGCAGGGTCCAAGTGGACCCCTCGAAGGGGTTCCAGAGAGCTGTTGGGGGGAAAGAAGGGGCGGCTGTTGCTGCCGAAGTGGGGGTGGCGCGGAAACTCGGAGAAATGCATAAACCCCCGCTGCTACCCCCGACACGCCACACTTGAGTAGCAGCAACGCCAAGAGCCACAGGGGCGGTAAAGTCATTTCATGCGAGCTTCTCCGCGCGTTTTGGCCTTGAAACACCTTCCCCAGATATGCAGCGCTCGGTTCCTGTTGCGGAGGGCCCCTATGCGTTCTCCTCCTGCCTGCACGCCGTCATGGGGGGCCTCTCAGAGCGCCACTGCAGCGGCAACGGTGTGCCCTCTGACAGAGATCCCCATCAGGATTTATGAAGTGCGTTCTCAAAAATAAAATGAAGGACAGTTCGACGAAGTGGAATATGGAGTAAAAAGAGAGAGGGACGGGCAGACAGACACACACACCGGGGGTCGGGGCCCCCTTTTTGGTTGAGGGGCCCCCAGCGATCCTGGGTTTGCCGCCGACGTGTTGAAGGCCACGGCCATAGATTGGTGCTGCTAGATGGCCTCTTTTTATTCATTCATCGATTTGCGCACTCCATGTGAATTTGTGTGAGTGAAGCTCGCGTGCAAGAGACGCAGCCAAGGAGCTGCATGGAGAGAGAGACTGGAGGTATCGACTGCGACTGCCGCTGTGGGCAGGAACCCCCCACAGCCTGCAGGTGCGAACACTCATCACTGGAGCCTTAGGTGACTGCTGCCTTCGTTTTCGTCCCTCGTGTGACTTCCACATGCGAGAGAGCTCTTCGCTCGAGTGTCTCCTAGTGGCAGCCACATAGCACACATGCGCCTTGCGCGGCACGCAAAAGCCTGCCTTCCCTGACCGTACCTGGAGAGCAGCACATGCAAAGGGCCTTTCGACAGCTGCGGCAGGCCCAGGTGTCTTTTCCAAGTGTCAAGCACGCGCCCTCTTTGCCACCACCCGACGCAGATGTAACCCTGCAGCAGCAACACCTTCATGCACACCTCTGCCTGCAGATCTTCGCACTGGCTGCACCGAGCAAGGAGCGCACCATGGGGAGGGCCTCTCCTGAGAGCATCTCCCCTGCGAGGGTGCAAACGGCCGCAGCAACCCCGCGATTCTTTTTTCTGCTGTTCCTGATGCAAGGCGCCTTCTCTTGTTGCACGGTGCATGCAGATGTATTCTCTGGCCAGCACTCTGACTCCAGGCTCTCCTTCTTCCCGGCTGCCGTCCCCCGCCGTCCAACGCAATTCAGCTTCCTGCCAGTCAGAATATGCCTCGCCAATTCGTCTCGATGGGTAGCGCAGCAGCGGCGGTTCGACCCCCTCCAGGCTTCCGGAGGTCTTCAAAGAGCCCCCCCTTCAGAGCCTCCCCCGCGTGGTCGAAGGCAGCCGTTTCAGCAGCAGCCTGCGGGCATGCAGCTGCAGGAGGGTCTATGGCCTCTCTACACGGCGGTGCTGCAGCATCAGCAGCAGCAGCAGCAGCCCCCCGAGGACGACGGCTTGCTGCAGCAGTTTCTTGCACCCTCTGGCAAAGAGCATTACCTGGAGGCTCTGAGGCAGGCGCCTCGCAGCGCCTATCTGTCGCACCTGCAGCGGCCCGTCATGCCGCTGGATCTAAAACCCTGGCTGCAGGAGGAGTTGCTGAACGAGGAGAAGAAGCTTGCCGCGCTTTCGCAGCAGTTGCAGAGTCTGCAGCAACAGCAGCGAGAGAGGGCCTCCTCCGTCTCCGGCAGGGGCAGTAGCAGCGGCGGGAGCAGAGGCGCCTACGCGGAGCCCTCGCTGGATGACCAAATGCAGCATCTGCGGGACGCTATGGTGGCTAGGGTTCACCAGGTGCAGTATTTGCGGGAAAGGCTGCATGCCTTGAACGTGGTACTCAGGGAGAGGGAGCCGCCACCACTGCTGTTGGAGCTGCTAAAGAGAGCCGCAGCAGGCGCGTCGCGTCCTCCACACGAAGGATCCCGTCCTGCTGCTGCAGCCTTAGCAGCCTTGGCAGCTGCTGAGGGCAGCGCGGCAGCGGCAGCAGCAGATCCCATTGCAGCAACCCTCGCAGCGACGGCCTCCGCGGATTTCCCTGTGACTGTCCCCCCAGCTGCAGTGTCTGCACAGCAGCACCACGAGCTGCAACGCTTCGGCCTCATTCCCAAGTGGCTGCTTGGCAAGAGTTTGGGGTCTCTTGTAAGGCCTGTTGGTCTTACGCGGGCGCGAAGTGAGGTGGAGGCGTTTGCAGCCGCGGGTTGGTCCGAGGAGTTTCCCCAGTTGCAGCAGCTGCCTGGCGAGTCTGCCAGAGATGCGGCAGCTCGCAGACTCGAGGCTGCTACCGTGCGGCTTCTGGGAAGCTACGACGCGCAAGAATCTCCCCTAGAGTACAAACAGCGCATGCAGCGGCTGCTTCTCCGGGAGCAGCGCGGCGCGCAGAAGAGAGAGCCTCGTGAGCCTCTCCCGCCTCTTTCTGGTGCTGCAGCGACGGCTGCAGCAGCCTTGCAGCTGCAGCAAGAAGCTCGCAAAGCGCAGCTGCCGGCTTCTGCCGTCCAGTTGCTTACTCGTTACGGGCATCAAAAACCCAGCGAAATGCGCCTCAGGGGGTCTCCTGGGGAAAACATGGAGGTACGTGAGCGGAGTGCGAAGTTGGTTTGCACACGCGGCGTTGCGACCGCGTTGGCTTTGCCGTGCGCAGCACAGCCCTCAACAAGGGTTCTGCACGCGTAAAGGCTCAACCTTTAGTCCGTTGAGCAGAGGGAAGGCGGGTGCCGTGGTACCCTGTCCTGCTCTTGCCCCTTCCCGCATGAGCAGGAAGGCCCTCGCGTGTAGGGGCTGTATGCGAAAGAGCAAGGGAGAGGTTCAAGTTGGCATCGCTAGATTGAATGCCATGCGCTTTCTTGAGGGGAAGGGTTCTGGAGGGGGCCCTTCGCAGCGGCACTGCAGCGTGAGGCCTCAGGGTTGTGTAAAGAGAGACAGAGAGAGAGTGTGTGTGTTTCCTAAGTGTAGGTAGGCGTGCGACTGCCGGCAGACAGGAGGCACTGCCAATTTGTCTTGTATTAAGGGGAGTGTGCCACCTTAGAGCCTTGCGGCTGCTTTTTCAGAGAGTCGTCTCTCTCTCTCTCCGCAGGCAGTGCGCTGGAGTGTGGCGAGTGCTGCGTGTTGCTGTGCTGCGGTGGGTGTGCAGTTGGTGCAAAGGGCCGCGAACGACCTCCAGCACTTCTTTGGGAGGTTGGCGTCCTCCGCTGCAGAGCGCATCGCTGCCGCGGAGGCTGAGGCACAAGCCCCTGAAGACAGGCCCCCTGTCTCGCGGCAAATAGGCGGTGCAGAGGTGGACCCTGTGCAGCAGTGGATAGATCAGTTCCACGAGCAGTTGCGGACGCGCAAGGCGCAGCAGGAGCAGGAAACGCTCGAGACGGCTGTTAGCATTGCTCGTCGCAAGCTCGCTAAGCTTTCCAGTTGCACCGCCAGCAGCAGCAAAACGCAGCCGAACAACCGCTCATTCATGCGGAATAGGCGGCAACAAAGGGAAGCCATCAAGCAGGCCATTGATGAGGCGCATATTCTGCACACTACGGAGAGGTACTTGGATTTGCTGCATCAGATAGAAGGAGAAGCGACAGAGGACGGCACCGCCGTAGGGGAGTCTCCTGCTCCTGCTGCAAGTGTGGCTGCCTCTAGAACAAACGAATCTTTCTCAGGGAGGGAGGAAGGGAAGGGCCATCCCATCTCAGGCTCTTTGGAGTCTCGTGAGGCGCGCGTAGAGAACTTCTTGCAGAAGGCACGTGCGGCTTTATTCCAAAGAGCTGCCGAATGTCTAGGGAGCCGTGCAGTCGCTACAGGAGGGCGCATCTTCCCTGGAATGCTGGTGAAGGGCCGCGTGGTTCGGGTGCTTCAAAACGCGGCGATCCTGGACGTCGGTGTAGGAGCAGATGCCTGGCTGCTCGCCGAAGACGTGCTCCTTCCTGTAGAGGAGCAGCCCCGAGGAGGCCTAAGAAGCCTCCTGAAAGAGGGCGACAGCATCCACTGCGTCGTTTCCGTGGCAAGCCGAAAGGAGCTAAGAGTGTCTTTGCTCCCCCTGAGACAACTGGCGGCCTGGGAAGTCCTTATGCGGGCAGTCCGCACGCAGGAAACACTCGTCGCCACAAAGAAGCAGGCGATACCGGGTAAGAAATAGGCTTTGTGGGTCTTGCATAGCTTTTCGTTCTTCGTCTCTCGGCGTGTTTCCTACACAGTAGTCGCAGCACAAAAAGCACACAGGCCAGCGCGCGCGGCAGAACCACTCTCAAGTGCTGCCCCCCCGCTCTCTTCTGAATTCAGTAGGGCAACGGCTGTTGCAGGCGCAAAGGGTGCGGTGCGGCGGCCAGGATGCATGGTGTCTTGTTAGTGTTTTTGCTTGTGGGGTTGCTTTCTGCTGCGCTCAGGGGGGCTCGTTGTACGGGTAATGGGCATCCAGGGCTTCCTGCCCGCGTCGCACGTCTGTGATACCTCGCTGCTTCAGCCTGTCCCTCCCCATCAGCAGCAGCTGCAGCACCCGCTTATTGTGCAGGTGCTGCATGCCGATGTGGCGCGCCGCCGGCTGCTGGTGAGTCAGAGGCTGCCAGTGAGCCGCAGCGAGATGCTGATGCGCAAAGTCGCGCCCGGAGACCTCGTCACAGGGACCATCGTGGATGTGCATCCCTTTGGATGCATTGTGCAAGTAAGGCACACAGGCCGCACTTGCAGAAGGCCATTGCTAACCTTTCCAAAGTCTCTCTCTCTTTTACTCTATTGCTACGTGCCTTTGGCACCTGTACGGCGGGCAGGCGAAGGAGAATTCGAAAGATGTTGACACGCCGGCGTGGCCCGTGGAGGCTCTGTGAGGTCTCTCTTGGATCGCAAAGGCTCTGAAAAAGCGCCCTTTCGTATATGCGTGTTTTGCTGCATGCTACAGTTCGGCTCCAGTCGCGCCCTGCTGCACGTCTCTGAGATATCCAACATTTCCGTTGATCCCACGTTATTCTTCCATGTTGGGGAGACTGTCCGGGCTCTCGTAAAGAGTTACGACCCGGTAAGCGCAGACAGGTGGCTGCAGTCTGTTGTTTGAGCGCCAGGCTGGGGAGGGGGGCGCCTATCGGCGGAGGGGAAAGATTCTGAGGTCAGTCGGTGCTTTTAGAGGCTGCGAGTTTCACTACGCGCACGTGTGGGGCCTTCAGTCCGTCGCCGCAGCCCGTCTGAGGCGCAGACATTGAATTCGCCCCTGCATTTGTTGCAGACAAGCCGAAAAGAGCTGCCCTCAGCTTAGTTCCCTGTCTCAGTGACATCTCCTGAAGAGGCCGCAGCAGTTGCTTACATGGACGCAGTAAGATGTTGCTGTCTTGCCTTTGTGCCTCCTGAAGATCACGGGGAAAATCTTGCTGAGCACCAAGGCGCTCGAGAGCTACCCAGGCCAGATCCTGAAGGAGCGTGAAAAGCTGTTTGCGGAGGCAGAAGTCGCGTCCGTCCGGTACAAGGAGAAGGAGAAAGAGTTTCAGCAGCTTCAGGAGGCTGCGGCCCAGCAGCTGATGCGCTCCCTCGGCATGGATGCTGAGCAGACGCAAGGCTCCCAACAGCCCTACACAGGCTCGGATGGCCAAGATCAATCTTCCCCTTCGACTTTGTGGTGGGGACTGAACAAAGACAGCAAGCTTTTGGCGTTCCTCGAGGAAAGACTGAAGCAGACACGAAGGGATGCGGAATCCGAGAAAGAGAGGCCGGCGACTGTAGACGGGGGTGACGCACCAGACGAATCTCTCCTGAACACGCGGACAAACGGAGAAGCAGCTGCTGCAGAAGGGCGAGAGGCAGGAACTGTCTTCGAACTCCCAGGAGGTGGTGCAATACGCGTTCGGACGCTGCGAAACGAAGCGCAAGAAGAGAATGCCGAGGCTCTCGAGGCTGCAGCCGCGGAGGCCATGGAGATACGCAATGCGCTGCAGCAAGCTAAAGTCATTATGCAAGGCAACTGGCAGCTGCCAAAGGTCACAGAGGGCCCTCTAGAAAATGAAGAGTGGGAATTCGTTTAGCTGTTCTCTCTCTCTCTCGCTTTCTTTCGCACGTTGCAGTCGCCCTGTCATCCTTCATCTCATGCACCCCTTTCTGCATCTAGTTCTGCTTTGCCCCATTTCCCAGTGTAGCGATATTCATATGTCATGTTTACATTTGCTTCCCTCGCGTCCGCGAGCTGCCCAGCGGCTTACCAAGGGCCGAAGGTCCAAGGGGTATTGCGTGAAGCTGAGGCGCTGCAAACGTTGGTCACTGCAATCCTAGTGCGTCTCTTATTCCTCATGTAGATCAGCGTCCTTGTTTCTTTCGCAAGGTCGATCGTGCACTCCAGCTGTAGGGCATATGTGTTTCGTGGTAACTTCGCTTGGAAAGTACGGATAGCCCGCTCTACGCAGACTAACGATGTCCCTTGGGAGACATGAATAGTGCTCGATTTAGGCTACTTATGTGGCATCATTGCGCCATGTGCTGAATGCCGGACAGCTCTGCGTCTTGGCGGTGGTGGCACCCCTCGTAGCTTTGTCATGACGGATGGCCGCTTACAACCTCTGGGTTGTTACGCCACTCGGCAGTATATTAAGTGGCCTTACATCGAACAGCAATACGGAAAGGCCTACCGAATGCATTTATGTCGTGGCCCTTGTTTTTGGACGTTAAATGAAGTTGTGCCCATGTGGTTCTCCTGTAGCGCCTCCTGTCCATACTCTGTTCCTATCTCCACGCTGAGCAGCTCCCAGGGAAAATCAACCGAAGATCTAGATGTAAAACGAGTAAACGCCAAATGAAACGACAGCATGCAACGGCAGCACCCGGAATTCCATGAAATGGCAAAAAGCATTTTGGCACACGGTGTTCCTGACAAAGCAACTAGCATACGAGCAGGCTAGGCCAGAAACACGGCTAACTCCAGTGTATTTCAAAGTGTGAGCTTTTTGTTTTAGAATCAGAATGTCCTATACAGTCCCACCTGCGAAATCCTGTTCCTTACCGGCAAGCGGAGCTAAGTTGCAACAAATAGGCTTCTGGGGCACCAGCTTGTAGGTGATTATTGGCTAGGAAACGGCAATCGCGCAGATCGTACGTGATCCCTTGCCAAGGCCAGAGTATGGGAATCACTGAGACGCACTTAAGCCAGTACGAATACAGAATCATGAAGACGCCATTTAGGTTGCACATGGAGAGCGGGGTACAGATACATTAAGAAACAGGCTTCAGATGCAAGCCATGACATCCCAACACTCCACCAGGGTACAAACGCAGTGATGTTGTCGGGGGGGCTGTGAAGCTGTATCGTCTGCCAAACCGAGTACACAGGCCTAACCACCACCTCAAGCACAAGAGCAGCCAAAAGCACAAAGTAATTCATCTTTTCCTGTCTAACATGCAGAAGAGCATGCTACATGGCGAGATTTCATTCACACTCGGTGTACGGAGTTGATGCTTGGATTAGTATTCATCATAGGGCTTTGCCGTTCTTATAATAGAGTTTTTCCAGAGAAAAGCTGGATGCGCACTACAACGGTAAACGCCGTCTGTTTTTGCGGTACGTGTTCGTGTGCCACTCTGCGGAGATCTCAAGATTTGTAGCTTGTTGCGCAACCATTGGCCTTCCACTTCTTATGGCCCAGGGGTCTCGAGTGATGAGAATGCAACAAGGGAGCTCTTTTAGAGAAGCCTAGAGATTTTGTCCGGAAGCTCGGTCCTATTTGGTCCTGGAGTTTCTTGTGTGGAGCCTCTCGAAGCAACTCAATTCAATAAAGCTTGAATTGCCGAATAAATCTTAAGCTAGACTGAAGGCGGGTGAGGTCATGCGCAGTGTATGCCGGGTAACGCACGTCAAAATATTTCTGGAGTCCAATGATGTCAAGAATAAGCAACAACTCAGATGTGCGTTTGCAGCTGAAGCAATTCGGCTGCTTAAGATACTGCAGTGTCATGTGACTGACAACAAACCGTGTGGCTGAGGAGAAACCGCACAGACTTAGGGCTTAATGCTTCTGAAGACCGTGAATCCCGGTGCTTTTGATGTATACTGCGAGGAATATGGGAGAAGCTTAGCTGAAGTACGTTCACAGCGAAATTTGTAGCGAGCTAAGCTGCTCTCGAGCACTTTGTACCATACTATTTATCTCCAATCAAGGATTGATAAACAAGCAATTGTTTGGCCGATCTATTCGCACATCTTGCTTATTGCAGAGTAGCGTTTGTTGACCCCGGCAAGAATCAATGTTGCGTGCGTGTATGGTACATGCTATGTGCAGCTATCTGTGAATGTTCGGATAGGCGTCCCTTAGCTGTTCCTCGTTCCTTATATCGAGAACTATGAACGAGGATGGAGCTCTTTTAAAAGCCTTTTAGTAGCCTTCAATGAAGCTTATTGATTTTGGAGTGAAGTGCCTCACTACGGAGACCTTGAAAGCATCGCCATAGATTCTAAGCCAGTATAACTTGCATGGGCTGCTGAGATTGCCTGAATATGAGAAACAGTAAAAGATCCTCTCTCCTGTGGATCAGTGTAAGCCCTACTGTATAAAATTGAGGTTCTTGGACACACCGTAAAGTAACAAATGGACATAAGTTGCACAGGTTGCGCCCGCTTTTGCGCAGCAATATGACGCACAGTACAATGGCATTACAGAAGGCACATCAAATTTAAAGTGCTCCATTGATGGAGAAGACTGTGGAATCTTTAAAAGTGTGTCTCACGCGCGGCGCCTTTTGTTCCGAGCAGCTTTACGCACTGCTTTTTGGGACCAGCTCACTAGACACCTGGAAAAGTAGAGCTGGCATCAACTAGTACAAGGCCTACTACTAATTGATCATTTGCGTGGAAAAGGGTCCCCTTACTCAAGGAGGCTTCACACAGCCCCGTCGCCGACCGCTGCAGCGAGCGTACAACGTCCAGCCACCATTAAGCATGCATGCAGCGAAAAGAGACACCAAATTTTGGTATTTGAACGGGGTTATGGGTGATTATGGGACTGAAGCATTAAAACTGGGGTCCGCGCTGCCGATTCCGCTGCAAATCCCGCACACTGTTCAATTTGCATCATTAGCTGTAAGCAGTTGCATGTCAGGAGTGCGGCGCTTCTTTCCAGCTATCTCACGAGGAAATTCATATCGATTTAGCATTGTACGCGATATGCTGGACTTTATTTGTGTGCAAAACCTCTGATTCCCATGTTATTGGAGCTAGGAGCCCTGCTGAAGACAGCCACCTGAGTGTAGTGCAACTGTGACTCCTGGGCGTTTCCATTGCTCTTCAGCGTCTTCTGATCCGTGGCCTGCACGCAGCGGCGATCTCTGAGCTTCATGGCGTTCGGGCGCCCTTGCTGAGCGGTGGGGCGATGGGGTCGCAGACCAGCACCACTCGCCAACATGCCTTGAACGACACATACCGCAGCGGCATTCCGGGTTAGCCTAATACGCCAAACCCTGCGTTTTTCAATAGCCATTGAACATCCCCTCTGGTGTGTCCTCTGGCTCTCTGGTGTTGCTCCAATGCCCTTGTCGCTTTCTTGGAAGCGCTTCGCGTTGACCCGCTAAATTCCTGTGTAGGATGACGATGAAGCCTATGTAGACACAGAAGTAAACATAACAAGTTGACGCTGAAATTCAGCGGTAGACGTGGACGAAAGATCGAATTGTTGTGCCTCAGGCATAGGCCCTCTCCAGACAGGAAATGTGAGGCAGGACGATCTCAGGCTCAGCTACTCACACGGCTCCAACGATGGAGGCATCGGAGACTCCTTCCTGAGTTCTCCCAGGGGAGACCTTCATGTTTATGGCAGAGGCGCAGGAGAGGCGCGGCAATTGAACGAGGACAACGATCTCATTCCCTGCGTGTTTACGTGCGTCTGACACTTTAAAGCAGACAGACAAAGGGACAGACAGACACACATATAAATACATGCAAGCACATATACGTACACATTCATACATTGAGCTAGTTCTCTCTTTAAGGAAGGCGTAGCGTTTTTTTGCAGGCTAAATTTAATACGTAGGGCCGCTGTGGCCTCCCAGCAGACCCGCTGTGTATCCAAAACCGAATTCCTTAATCTTTTGCCAAACTCTAGCATGCTGTCGCTCGTTATGTGAAGAGTTGTTGATTTTACATGAGCCACTTGTATGTAGTGCCATGCATTTTGTGCAGCTGGACACATGGGGGCCACGTGGTGTACCTGACGGGGTCGTTTAACAACTGGAGCGTTGAGAACAAATTCCGTCTGAACCGCAGCGGCCATGAGTTTTCTTACATTCAGAACCTCCGCCGAGGCGTGCATTACTACAAGTTTATTGGTATGCTGCGGGGGGATGCAGCCGCGTTCATGGGCCTTTCTGTGTGACTTGTTTAACGTCGCCAGGAGCGCTTTAGAAGGTGCCTTTATTACCACGATTTGCGCTTGTTCTGCGCGTACAAGTATTTCAAGCACTTGAAATATATGATGCCGCTCTCCATAGCATCTGGCGGACTTGTGGAGTGTTTTCTGTGCCTGCTATGGACTCTCGGCGTTTGCCCGAATGTGCTGTACTTCTTGGTGCTTGCGCATGCATGCTGCCTCTTGAGAGCGTTGACCACCATGTCGGCGTACGCGTCTCGCTCACTGCATTCGCTTTTCCTTTCTGCCCTTTACCCAGTCATCGAGTTTGATGATGTCGTTTACAGTGGACGACCAGTGGCGGTATGCGCCGGACCAGCAGACGCAGACAGACGAGCATGGCAACATTAACAACGTCCTCGATATATCGGGCTTCCGCCATCTCCAGTTCAAGACCGTTTCCGAGGCTGAACAGGTTGGCTGGCTTAGTAGGAGAAGGTAGCAGGGCAGAAACAGCCATGCGCATATGGCCCTTAGAGATCGGGATGATGCGCTTTCAACCCTACCCCACCTCCCTTTTCCTCTTTCCTTCCCCCACTAGACTGTATTTAGGTGTTTCCTCTTGTGTTTGGCGTTTATGAAATTCGGCTTCAGGCCAGGAACGCACCCTATCATCAGTGCGTCCCTGAGCCGTCGGAATACGCGTCTGACGCGCCTCCCATTCCAACGCTGCTAACGAAGTGGTGCGCATACACCTGGCCCTTTAGTGAAACTCCCCCTAACCGTGCCTCTGCAGGGCAGTCGTTTTTGCTTTTTTCGCGCGGCTTGATCAGCTTGGACAGAGGACCGAGCTGACGCAAATCGGACCAAGAAAATAGCTGTGTATGACGCCCTGCCTGTCATTCATTTATTTTTCGTGCAGCGCTGTCGCGACAGTTGAACCTCCGCCGCGCTCGTGCTTTCCGGTGCACTGCCTGTCGAACCATCTCTTTCATGACTCCCATGCGCCACACATCTTTGGGTCGGTTCTGCATTTCCTTCCGCTGTGAAGTGCAGCTGTTGCTGCAGCACCGTCCGACATGCAGCTTCGTACTCACTGCCCCTGTACTTGCCCCTAGTCCATTCGCTTGCCTGGGGCAGCAGCTGCTGAATTACGCGAAGGCGGGATGCTCTTCCATTTGACGTGCAGTGCGCCGTGCAACTCCCTTTCAGCTAAGGGGAATGCACACGCATGCGTCACTCAGCGTCCACTCCACTGCCGCGCGTTGCTGTCCTTTGCTGTGCTGTGTGCCCTCATGCAGACCGCAGATCTCCTGCGTTGCGAGCACGCAGCGCTGGCGAATAGACAACAACAAGCCCACAACCGGGCAGAGGTGAGGCCAGCGCTGCTGTCTGTGTGGCTTGTGCGTGGACATGTTTTCGTGTAGCACAAAAAACGGTGGTTTCCTCTAAATCTTGGGGTCCTGAGCGCCACCCTCCAGAGGGTCAGGTCGCTTTCACTGAATTCACTAGTTTTTTGTTGCAGCATATATATTTATATATATACTCCTATATTGACTAGATTACGGTAGTACATCGTGCATCGTAATAGTACAGCAGCAGGCTATATCTGGCGAAACCGCTGCTCGGCGTTCCCGTTGTTCTGCTAGGAAAAGGAGGCCCTCAGGGCGGGTAGCCTGTAGAGTGCTGTGCGCTGCGTTTCGCTGTCTTGGAATTCGGTGCACAGATATGCGACGTACATCTACTTGACGGTGAATCCGCTATATCCATTTCCAACTTCGGGGGAGAACGGCGAGACGGAGGAGGATGTCAACATGTCTCCTGGATCCACCACGTCGCTGAACCCCCTAAGGGATTTTCTAGTACTCCCCGAGGCAACCACTCCGCGATCACGAGCCGATACGCAAGCCACCGAGTGCCCAGCACCCTCGGTCGGCTCGCAGTGCTTTGACGGAAGCCCCAAGAGGCCTGAAGAGTCGCTTTCCCCAGCGACGCCGGAAGAAACCGAACCAGGAGCAACCACAGAAGTTCCCCAGAAAGTTTCAGACAAAGAAGTATCCCCTGGCACCTCGCCTGCATGCCCCAATGATCTGCACATACGCTCATCAAAAGCCACCGGCCTGGGTGGGGAGGACTAAAGACACGCAGCGCAGGCAGCCCACCTGCTGCAGTTGCCACGACGAACGCGGCCGCTGAAGACTCTCACAATGCTGTGTACTTTGGCATCCCTTGTAGATCAGGCACGGCAGGAGGTGCTCTCGCTGAAATGCATGTGTTCGCTCAAGCACTATACTACTGCCCGTACGTGACAGAGCGAGACTTTTTTCCTTCCACCCACAGAGACATCACGGGGGCTACAGGCTACCCCATCTGCAAACCGAGTAGCTTTCAGCGTAGGTGGGAGGCAGCAAGCGTAGTTTCAGGCTGCATCCGGACGGCAGTACACACCATTTTTGCCCCTCCCTTTGGAACACCGACAGAAGCAAGCGTCTGGTGCGTGCAGAGGCCAGTTAGATTTTAATGTAAAGGCCCCATCGAGAAGGAGTGCGTGCCCCTTAAGCGTGCAGCAGCAGTACAGGCGTCGTTAATGAGCAGTTGCTTCGTGGCATTCGGCCACAGCAACTCTTAGATTGAAGGCTCTGCTGCAATGCTTGCGGCAAGGCAGTATAGGTTTGCCCTAGGGCACCACTTGGTTGCTCCGAAGATGTTTTAGGGCGGGCATTGATTTATCTGACGCAGATGCCTTCTGTATAAAACACGTGGAACTAGCGACCTCTACTTGAAAGCAAGCTGCAGTGATGCCTAGGCACGCAAAAGAGCGCTCTAAAATTCATCGAACACGAGAGAAGAGAAGGTACGACCTTAAGGCATGTGCCCGCGGCAGCGGAAAAGAGTCGAGGGGCCGCTGCTTGCGGAAGCTTTACAAAATGGGAGACACGCAACCGTACATGATGGCCAAGCGAAGCGCCCGCCAGCGGTAGCAGCCGCTACAGCAGCGTGCTTTTGCGCTAGACACGGCAGCCAAGCGCCCCTGGCCCTAAAAAGAGAGCTGTGTGCTTTGGAAGACTCGCAATCGTCTCACTTCCGTTGGAGCATAGTACGTACCTGCCGCCTGGAAAGACGAACAAATTTTCAAAATGCATCACGGTGCCGCCTAGAGCAAGAAGCGCCTCTCGCCTCGATGTGCATGGATGGATACCACTGCTGTGGTGCTGCTTCGGCCTTAAAGTCATATATATAAATATATGCATAGATATATATATATATATATCAGCACCACGGCGGGCGACAGAGTGCCCGGCGGGCTAGCCAAACTAGCAAAGAAGCTAGCCAAGTGAGAAGTTTCTCATCCGGAGCGACAAGCAGCTGGCGACTCTACCCAGCTCTGGCCTTCGGAGGTGAATGCCATGCCTCCAGACGTAGATACACACAAGAAAAGCCTGCGGTGACTGCTGCATATTCTAGCAGCAAGTACAAACAACAGTCATCATCCGCACCCCTGCAGCGAGGAATTCCATAAAATTACACCGTGCGGAGGGAGTTCCCTCGCATTGGAGAAGAACGCTAGACAGGCATTTGTAAAGACGTTCCTCGCAACAGACTAACTGCGTGCAGGGCTATGACCCGCCCGGAGGTCCGGCAGGTAAAAGTACTGCCGATTGCGCTGATACTCCAGAGGGGAAACGAATCGCTGGCGTCGCGCTGTCCCGCCTGCAAAAGGCCAGAAACAGAATCAAGCGCTTGTTAGCTGTCTGTCTCTCTGTCTTTACTTTGGGTGGGATGTGCGTGTGCTGTGCCGTTAGTGTCTGTTAGGTTTGAGCCTGTAAAATCATTAAGTGCATTTGCTGCTGGCGCGAAGGCCGTGGATCTTTTTGTAGGTCCCATAAGGCTACATACATAGGCCTCGCCCTCTGCTATGGCTGACTCCAGGAACAAAGGCCTTACACCAGAGTAGCCATTTGCATCCTTAATGTGAGACTCGAAAGGGAGAATATAGAAACCACCTATCTCACCTTGGGTGGAAACAAATTTATGGATGGCCTTTTGCAGCTGTCGGTCATCTTGTATTCCATGTTCCCTGAGTACACGCATAAACATGAAATCCACATACAGAAGCGCTGACACACACTCTCCTCGAACGCCAGCCGTAGAAACATTGCAAAAGGATGGCTGCTGGGGAACTCGCGGCCAGGCTACAGCGTCAGACGAGGCGGCATGTTGGTATGCAGACGGTAGGGGTCATTTTCTTGATCCCGTGCTTCAGGCCAAGCCGATCAGATGCTCAGTCACCTACCGGCACATGTCGTGAAGCATAACGAGCTCTTCTGCCGTCGGTCGTTTTTGAGATCTGCAGGGGAACGTATTAGCCAGGCGCAGAAAACCCAGCTGAACGGACTAAAGGGTAGGCAACTGCAAATACTAGGGAGGAAAGACACCAGCATAATAAGTTCAGACACGATGCTGTAAAGCCGAACTGTGCCGTTTGCAGGCATTGGTGAGGCTGCGTATCAACATCGCTTTCGCGTGAGTGCGGTGCGTTGATTCTGCAGTCGCAGCCATCGGCTCATACTACATCGATTCAAAGGTAGCCTCCGCAATGCAAGCGTGGGAACTGAACGCAGAAAAGTAAACTAACTGCTCGAGGCTCCAGTAGATGCACAAACGGTTGAAGAAAACAAAGCGACGCCCCAAGAGATACAAACACAGGACGTACCTCGTGGCCGGACGATAAACTGCTGCTGCACACCACCGAATCAGTGCCTTAAGAAATTCCTGGAAAGCGCACAGATGACACGCAAAAAGTGGGTAGGTATCATTGTTGTGCTGCACACTCAGCAGTTAAGCAGCAGCCCTTTAGGATGTGGAGGCGATGGCGGGCGAGTTACAAATACTACATAGGCACTGCCCAGCATTGCGCGCGCGGCAACACACGGAGGACACATGAGATCTTTCCTCCCCGTACAGCTATCATAAATACAAACAGGGAAAGATATGTATACATATATACGTAGAATGAGAGATAGAAAGAGCATCCAAACGCTGCAGGGGCTTACTTGCTGGACGGTCCCCTGGTTCCTAAGAAATTGCAAAGTCGCAAAAGGGTCGGCGAGCTGGTCAACGTCTTCTGCGCTCTCTAAGGACGCCAAACGCTGAACACCGCACATGCACAGTGTAAAGCCTCAAGAGTTTAAAAAGGATACAGACTGGCTGCAGTCGTCAAGCACGGTGATCGGACGGTACATAGAAGAAGCTAGAAACTCAATGAAGAAACGTCTTGAGAGGGTTTAGCACTCTTGTGGACCTCTCCTGGAGCTGCACCCTTTAATCAGCAAGAAGGCGACAAAGAAAAAAGTTCCCAGCTAAGCTTAACAGCAGCAGTTGCACTAAAGAGCAGCGTTTCTGGAGGTAAAAGTTGCAATAGGCCGAACGGTGCACAGCGAGCGCACAGTACACTGCCAAGAGCGCTCTCTGCTACTTCAAAGGAGAAAGAGAAAGACAGAAAAAGAAAGTGATGGGAAGAAGGAGGAAAGCGTGCGGAGATGCAGGGAGGGCAAACATACAAGCCCTTACTTTCTGCAGCTCTACGTCGGCTAGCGTCTCATATGGACGCCAAGAGAACTCGAGTCTTGGCATCTGCAACAGGCATACAGCACATAACACCACAAAAAGACTCTTAACGGCCAGCTTGAAAAGGTGTATATGCATTCTTGACAGACGATTAACGCTGCAGAGTTTATGGCAGGCTCCTCTAGTGGAAATACTGGCATCGCATATCCCGCCAGATCCTGGTGAAACCGCGCTGTCCCCTCTCTTCTTTTCTCTCGTTTCATAAGGTCGCTTCAGGACCGATACAGGGGCACACGCGCGTAAGAAGGTGGCGAATACTTTACCAACGGCACGCAAGGAGGGAAGACTGCGCGTGAGTTGTTTAGAGCTTTACGCGCGCAAAATAAAAGGTCAGAGGCTAACCGTCTGGACTTCATCCAGCAGCAGCTGTAGAGGCAAGCCGACTATGAGGAATGCAACCCGCCGCTCGATCAGCGCCAGCACAGTCCAAGCGGCTTCTTCCATTGCTCCCTGCTTGCTGCTGCTTGCCATCCGTTGCTGGAACGCTGCTGCAGAGACAGCGCTATCACATGTTTCCTGAGGCGGCTTTCCAGCAGCGTCTGCGACTGCAGAAGCTGCCTTGTCCACTTTTTCATGCTCGGGAGCTAACCGCAGCGCATGCAACGCTCCACAGAGGCGGCTGCAGTCCGTGAGAGACGCATTCGGCACTTGCGCAGCTGCAGCCTTGAGGAGGCTCAGACAGCAGCGCGAGCTGCCGACCTGGTACGTTGCGAAGCAGCAGAAAACATCTGCTATCTCCTGGAAAAGAAGAGAAGGTGCTAGTGCACCCAAGGTTCGCAACAGCGGCAGGTAGAGGCTTCGCGCGCGGTATGCGTGTTGCTCGCATATGTGTAACAACAACAGCAGATGGCGGCAGTCGAACGCGTGAAGCTGCCGCAGGAATATTTGTTCGAAAGACCGCAGCAAGTCTGTGTCCTTAAATCCGGCGGCGAGAAAGGAATTTAAGAATTGCAGTGCCTCGAAGTGACGAAACATCTGTGCCGCTGGCGCGAGAGCGGCAGAGGAAGACGCCTGTGTGCTGTTTCCCCCCTGCTGCGTGAGGCTGCCGTCTGTTGCTTCAGAGGCAGGAGCAGATGCATCCGCTGCTCCTGCAGGTTCGAGAGCAGACGCAGTCTTGGTTCGAGACGCGTGAGCGTCCTTCCCAGCTTCTGTGTCTGCATGCAGACGGCCTAGCGACGCGCAGTTGAGTTCTATGGCTTGAGCTGAGAGAGACGCCCACACACGGGGGTCTCGAATGCCTTGCGCAGCTGCTGCTGTCGCTAGCCGCTGCAACCGTCGGCCGGAGAGAGGCGCATTCTTGATTTCCCCCCTCTCGTCTAACTCGGCGAAAAACGCCGCATGCACTGAGCCTTCTGGAGGCACTTTTTCAGGCGGCACCACACGGGGCTGTATGGAGCTGCCATCTCCTGCTTCCACGGCCGCTTTCTCGGGAAAGTCGACGGAGTCCAATTCTTCTCGCGCAACGCTGGAGTCGAGGCCGTTGGCGGGGAACTGCGCATCGCGGCCGGAGGTGTACGTACACCACATGGGGGAGCCGTCTCTCCGGGGGAAGGCACGGAGAAGAGGGGAGTTGCGCGTCTCCGGGATGCGCCGAGACAAGGACGGGCACAATAAAGCCGTGAACTCTGGCTGCGGCGGAAAGGTGTACGCATGCGCAGAGTGCCTCGCGAGCCTAGCAGTGCCACCTGATGGGGGGGGGCAGCTCCTAGCGGAGTCTGCGGACGCTGCAGCAGACGTTCGGAGGCGCATGCGTCCAGTGAGAAGCCCCTCCAAGGGCCCTAAGAGGGAGTCGGAAGGAATTCGCATCGCCTCCCGGGCAGTAGACAGACACCTGCGGCGAAGAAGAAGGGTGCTGCTGCCTCGCTTCGAGCGAATTACTGCTTGGATGCGCACCGCAGGGCACCAGCGCGTGGCCGACTCCCCATTGCATGCAGTTATTCAATGGAGGCCTTGTGTTTTTGCTGGAGGGAGCCAGAGACGCAGAGGCAGCGAAGCTCTTTGTGCTGCCGGAGCGCTGAGTTTCAGCGGCTAGAGAGAGACATAAAGAGGGGGACAGGGAGAGAAAGTGAGGCGCAAGGCGAACCGAAGATGCCGCTCCTTAACAGTCCTAGTGACCCCCCTCCCCTAGTAAAAAAGCACGACAATTAATGTGTAGGAGCTCTGAGGCTTGGCATGTGGCCGCGCTGCTCGCTACGCATGACAGCCATGCCTTGGAGTGAGCGAAGCTGTGAGTGAGACTCTCTGGACTCTGTGGGGCTTTCGGCTGCGCTGCTCTTTGAGGGATTTTGCGCCTCCATGCCGTCGTCTTCTGCGAGAAAAAGGGAGAAGAGGAGTCTTGTTAGCGGCCGGCTCATGCTGCTGCATCGGCAGGAGCGCTGGGGATCGTTTTTCCTCCGCAGTCCTGCGGCACGGGATCGACTGTAGAGCGAGGCGGCGCATGCATGCATTGCCTGCCCGTACTTTTCGTGGCCTCTGAAACTTTTCTGCTTGTTTAAGCTTCTTCTTATCGGCAATGGCTGTGGAGGCGTCGGAGGAGAGTGCCACAGGGCACGCAGCCGGCTGCGCTGTGCAAGACCTTCCGTCCTTGGCCAAGATAGCCGCGGATCTCAGTGACAAGAACGTCTCGATTGTTGTGAAAATGAGTCATCTGTTCTCTCTTAGGGAACACGGAGGGCGAGAGGCTGCGGAGCTGCTCGTGCGAGCGCTCAAAGATAGAGCCACTGTTGACTCGGTGCTTTTCAGGCAAGGGCATAAGGCCGCGGTTGCGTGCGACACTCTTGTGGCTTGGTGGGGGAGATGGGGGGTGGAGAACAGTGCCTTCTAGGCTTACTGCATGTTGTTGTTATGCCTGCTGCATGCTTCAGTGGAAAAGGCAGAGATGAATCCCCCCTGGGGACGTGGGGGTGCCAGCGGCATTTCTGTGCGGGTTGGGGGGGGGGGGGGAGAGGAAGCATGGATTCTTTTCAGAAAACCAAGACTGCGCAAAGTAGCTCGTATTGCGGCCTTTCAAACTGCAGCAGGCTGCATGCGCTCGCTCCGCCTTGCTTTCGCTCTTTGGCGAACTCGCCCTCTGGCTTTGCCGCTGTTCTTCCATGCCCGTTTCTCCGAAAGGCTTTCTTTTGCTGCTGCTGCTTTGTGGCTAGCTGGCGGATTTCGCGAGAACGCTTGCGCGCAGGCACGAAGCGGCCTATGTGTTGGGGCAGCTCGGCAGCCCTGAGTCGATTTCTTTTCTAGAGGACACCTTGGCAGACATGACGGAAGACGAGTTGGTTCGCCATGAGGTGCGTGCACTGCGCAGGAGCTAAACAGCGCGGTCGCCAGCTAGCGTCCGAGCTACAGCATACAGAGGAGGAGGTGCACGTAGCTAGCCGCCACCGCTTACACCACGTGCTGCTGCAACACATGCTAGCGAGAGCCGAATGCCGCATTACGCTCCAGGCTCCGCCTTGTACATATCGATACATATAGATATAGATCTATATGTCTCGCTTTGAGAGTGTCATGCAGGCCGCAGAAGCGCTAGCAGCAATTGGATCTGATACCTCCCTCACGACAGTATGCTTTCTCACCATGTTTAGACAGTTTTTTCGTTCCAAAGAGATTCCAAAACCACACGCCTGCTCGCCCTTTCCGCTGAGTCCACAAGAGCGCAGTACCTGCTTGCTGCCACTGCCTCAACGCTTTGTGCGAAGGGTGCACGTCTCTAGGGTGTGGATGCCGTTCCTTTCCATGCTGCGAAAAGGATATCCCCATGCACTACTTTGTGTGGGAAACTGCCGGCTTACGGCTTTCTTGTTGCTCAATCTTTTCGCAGCTCTCCGCCTACCTGGAGGATGCCAGCCACCCAGTCAAGCAGACGTGCGAACTCGCAGTGAGGAGTCTCAAGTACAAACAGCAGCAGAGGCAACAACGAAGCACACAAAACAACGAAACAGAGGACGGGGTGGTGGCCACATCGCCAGAAAAACTCACGTCTAGCTTCAATACGGTTGACCCTTCGGCACCCTTCGAGGGCTGCACTGCAGCAGATGTTTCCCGGCTCTTTGCGATGCTCATGGACAGCCAAGAGCCTCTGTGGACGCGGTAGGCTATGTGGAGCCATCTATATATATATATATATATATCCATGTGCACGCAGCTTTTTATGTATGCATGTATTTGTATATATACGTGAACGTATCTTTCTATATGCATGTATCTACATATATATATATATGTACATATGTATTTGTACAGCTGCTGGCACTGTTGGGATCACCTGGGGAACTGTGCTTGGTAGTCCTGTGACAAGCGTGTTTCGCGAATCTAAAGGGTCCTTAGCTAGGTATGTTTCTCGCGTGTAGTGTGTCCAACGCGTGTTGCGTAACTCTGGTGCACGCACGCGTCACAGGCGAGATTGCATTAGAAGTGGGGGCCTCCTCCTCATTTGCGCTGCTCTCCTGCTGTCCGTGCTGTTGCCACCAAAACATCGGTTCATCCGACTCCAAATTGCATGCGCCCTCTCTAAGTCCCCCTTCAAACTAAGCGTTACCCTGCATGGGTCTATAAGAATACTTGTGGCATGCCACTTGGACTTCCAACGCAGATGAACGTGTCGTGTGCGTTGGCAGGCGTATTTGTCCGTTTGTTTGTCTAAATGTGTGTTGATATGTGTGTGTGTGTGTGTATAGGTATGTTAATGTGTGTATATGTATGTCGATATATTTAGGTAGATATATATGTGTATAGGTATGTTAATGTGTGTAGATGTATGTCGATATATTTAGGTCGATATGTGTGTGTATAGGTATGTTGATATGCGTGGTGTGTATGTGTTCGTTGATCGGTGTGTATATCTATGTGAACATGTGTGTATATGTATGTTGATATATGCGCATGTAGGTATGTTGATATGTGTGTGTATATAGGTATGTTCATGTGTCTGTATGCGTTATCCTGCCTTTCACGTTTCGCAGCTACCGTGCACTGCTGACTTTGAGGGACCTTCGCGTGCCGGCGGCTGCCGCAGCCATTGCCAGGTGTCTGTTGCGCGATCGAAGCTCCGCCCTGTTGCGTCACGAGGTTGCCTTTGTACTGGGGCAAATTCAGTTTCCTTCTTCGGTGTCCTGCCCTTCGAAGACTGCATGCGCAGCTGGTCAGCTCGAAAACCGTCTTCCGCATGCAGGAACGCGCAGCACTGGCGGGGCTGCGGCCTGCTCCGTGCCTTCCCCGCCAGAAACAATGTCAGCAGAAGCCGCCGCGTGCGAAGCTGCAGATGCCCTTCTCACCTGCCTAGCAGATCCTGCAGAGCACTGCATGGCCAGACATGAAGCGGCGCTGGCCCTTGGCAGCCTCGGGGTTGACCCCCGTTCGGCGACCTGCGAGCTCGAAGGCGAACGAATTATGCGCGAAGCCATCGTGACCGCACTGTAAGAAGCGCACCGGGAGTCTGTTTCCTGACTCGGTTCGCAACTTGGAAGCTCTGGATGCCACCCCTTTTAGGAGGCTTCGTAGAACTGTCATCCCTCATAAGCTGGGCCTGTGCAGTGTGGCGACCCCTGCGGCTGACCTACAGGCGTGCCTTTTTACAAAGTGTGTCTCCAGGAAAAAGGCGATACAATGTTTATCCTAGTGGACTGCATATGGGTATCTGAAACTGTTGGGGCACAAAATTGAATGTCGGTCTCTTGTATGCCTGGGCTGCGCTGTTTGTCTGCGATTATTTTTTTGCCTGCATTAGGCTAAGATATCGCACCTGCAGCGACCAAGTAGTGGCGGAGAGCTGCGTCGTGGCCCTCTCCAACATGCAGGAGGAGTTGGGTATCAGCTATGGGGTTTAGGTTTGTGCAAAAGCACCAACCACCGCTGCTTCACACTATTCGCAAACGAGACTGGTGGGACGGTTGGCACCGCCTCAGAAAGCTCCGATTTTGAGTTTTGAAATGCTGCAATAGACGGCAGCCGAACAAGGCCTTGGACAGATTTTTTGGCTTTTAGGCGTTCTCGGCAGCCGATTGTTGTGGTATTAGACCGTAACGCACAAATATGGACCCCCCCTAATTCCAGGAGGTTCCTCTCTGGGCACCAACTGTAGAAGATAAGGCCTCGCAGACTGAGGTGTTCATGCAATTTATTGGGAGTACAGAGCTGCGGCGCACCGGCTCGGTGTGTGCGCAAATCCAGTAGATTTGTCGAGAGCATGACTGCACCGCTTCGAGCACAGGCACTTATCCCTTTTCAATTAGAGAGGCCTTAAGCAGCAGCACGGAGCAGACAATGGCCATAGTGGGCCAAGCTACGCCCGTCGGCACTCTCTACTGCAGTGCCGCTACTTAGTGAGAGTTTTGTTTCGAAAAATGTTCCGAGTGGGCTGCATGGGTGTTTAAAATCTGTTGCACTGGTTGGAGCTTGGCACCGGTGGCACGCAGTATGTACTTGAATGCAAAGGTGCCCATCAAAATAGGGTGCTAATGTTGGGGGAGTGCTCAGAGAGTACAGCAAAGTGCGAAACCCGTCGATTCTTTCTAGCGTGCTGGAATTAGGTGCGATGAGGGCAAAGAGAACGAGGGATGGACATCCGTTTGAGGAGGCACTTTCTACGTGTCTCTTGAGTTTTGGTAGTTTTGTGGGTCTCAGGGCCTCCTTCTTGAGACGCTAGGGGAGGGTTATATACGAAATACGCTGTCTTTTTTTCACCGAGAATTCGAAAAAAAGATCTGTTTGCCGATGTACACATCTTTGCTATTGCAAAGGCTGCTATCTGGACAAACAAAGACGTAGTGCTGTGTGCCTATGCGTTGGGTGCTCTGTGTAACTGGCTATGAAGGGTCGGAGTGCTCAGAGGGTGGCGACACGCGCACCATAGTGGCTCCTGCTCTAGAAGGCGCCGGCAGGGGAAGACAGTGGTCCTTTGAGAAAGCCCTCCAATAACTTTATATCAAGTTTGGATAGAGTCCAGAGTGAAGTGAGGCGAGCGAGACGATGAAAACAGCAACGTTGCTGCGAAGAATACAAGGAGGGTCCTCCGTGTAAGAGGACTGCTGAAGTGCCAGAGGCAGCAGCTTGGAAATAGCAGCACTGACGAATTTGAAGTACTCCCTTTAGAGTGTAGCTGCAGTCAAAGATGTCCCTATATGCCTGGTTCGCACTCCTATGGACCATTTTTAGCCTGATGCCTGCGGATCTGTCTCCTTAGTACGTTGTCTGGACAGTGGCTGGTTTCCCTTTACCCTGCCGGGGGTAAGCAGTTTTCACACAAGTAAGCAGTAGGGAGCCAGCCCCTCCTGGAGCCAACAAAGCCCAGCAGCGAACGCCGCCACGAGTCACTTCATCCTTGATACTCAAGTGCTGCCCCCTGCGGGTGACTTCGTGTGCAGCCGTTCTACTGACTCGCCAGAGGAGCTGAAAGTTCATGGGGGAAGCGATAAAACCATATGCCTCTTCAGGAGCTTCCTTAGGTGAGAGCGACGAGGCTAGGCGTAAGGGATGGCTTGTGTATAACCCAACCGCGCACACTACGCGTGGACCCCGAATAAATTGGTCACTGCTTTCAGCAAAGCAAGCAAAGCCCTCGCCCGCGACTTACCGCCCAACTAGCAGGGAACGGACGCCTGTATCAAGTAGGAAGCTGTAGAAATTAAGTCTACACGAATTGAGGTGCAGTAGAGACACGCAGTTCTGCCCAAAACAAGGGCTCCGAAGGTCAAAAGACTGCAGGCACACCGTGTAATACGGATATGTGCATCTAATTTGCACACGGCAAAATGCCAGTGGCGACGTGGCCCTCAATTGTGGCAAAGTAAAGTGGGAAGTCGATATTCCTTCCCCCTTCATGCGGGCTGTAGCAGCTGGTGCCACGAGGGAATTTTGGCCAAATGATTACAACTAAGCTCGACTCCATGGGAGGCATCCCAATTTCTTACAATCTCTATCGGGGAGTGCTAGAACCCCTGTCTCTTGTGCCAAGAAAAAAGTGCTGCAGACCGAGCGACCCTCGACACCGTCAACATAGGCTTGACCGCTCGGCAGTGCAAGCACCACAATTCTCATTGCCATATGCACATACAGTGGCTAGGGAAGAACCGCCTGCCCGAGAACAAAGCAGCAGCCGTCTTCATTGCCCATTCGAATCTGCAGAACCACTCGCAGCCACCCCTATGCCAGAAGGAAAGAAACCAGAGAGGCAGTGAGGCGCCCATGGCATGCCACCGGTAGCTAATAACTGCGCTGCGGGATGGGGCGTCGAGGAGAAGGAGTAAGGGGTTAGATGGCCACACTGGGTCTGTCTGTCTGCTGTGCCTCGTATGTCTGCGCTGCTCCTGAATAGTCGAACTTTCCCAGGTTTCCAAGCTGTGAATCCTCTCCAAATGCTTAGTCCTTGCTCGCTGCTTCAGGAGTACCAGCGGACAGCGTGGGAGACGGTACACTGTCCACAATGGGGCCTTCGTGCAAGCCGCTGGCACGGGAGCCGGTGGTTGCCCTGCTGTCCATGGATCTGCTGGGGGAACTCCTCAGCTTGAGGCTTGAGGCTGAACGGGAAGCTGCAATGCCGGGAGTCATTTTTTGGGCTCTTGGGCCAGCCAAGGTCTCAGAAGGCTTCGCCGCGTCTTGCAGGGATGCCCTTGAGGAAGCACTAGAGCCATCAGGACTGCAACAACAAGTACACGCAAGGGTAGCAGTTTGCAAAGTTCTCTCAGTCCTCACCAAAGGATGCCCGACAGACAGGACCTTCCTGCAGAGAGTCCAGGCAGCACCCAGGGCTTGTGGCAAGCAAGAGACAGAAGAGCCTTCCCAACAGGTCACAGCCAGCAAGCATGCGGGAGAGCGCTTGCATCGAGACCAACGGCCGCCGAAATTTCGGGTTCGGCAATGACACGAAGCGGCTCTCAGACGTACTTTTGGAGGCCGTGTCGTATGTAGCGGCTGTTCATCTTGAGGTCACGGAAGATTGGGGCGAAGCCGATCACAATACCGAGGAGCAAGCCCATCACGCACCCCACTGCAGCGAACACGGCACATAACAGCGACACCGAAATCTGCAAGACGCAGCTCGCACTAGGCTGTTCGAAACCTACAGAAGCGGTGCAACGAAGCAAAACATCCAACTCGCAGCGGTATGGAGGCCAAGACCCATACGCTCTGCAAGCACATCAAGTGTCGCCCCTGGGGCAGGCGCCCTAAAGGCCTTAGATGGTTTAGGCCACGTTCTATGCAGTAAACGCGAACGCTTCCAACAGTCGCTCGGGGGAAATGCGAGCAGACGTGCGTCTAGAGGCTTCCACCCTAGGACCAGCTCTGCGCGGCACACTCTAGAAGCGAGAACTTGGGCGTTCGAGAGCCGCAAACGAGGGACCTTTGAGAGAGACTCACAGCTAATCGGGAAGGCACTGGGATTTACAAGGCCTGCAATAGAGCCCCCCGTAGTGACGCCTCCAATGGCTCCCAGCCAGGCACCCCGTCTCCCCAGGAGAACAATTCCACATGCAAACGCAAGCGTTCCTCCCCCGAAGCTCAGAGCTGCCGGCCAGCAACGTGCAACAGCTCCGCCGCAGGTGGACCCTACGGCGAGACCTGCACAAAACAGGAGGGAATCAGTCATCACAGACACAAAAAGCGCAATCGAAGTGCCAGGGTCCAAAAAGAGCAGACTAAAGCTGATACTGGCGTTCAAAACACCAGCCCTGTCTGCATACTGTGGCATGAAAGGGCCCTGTCGGTCGATACTGCGCCTCATTTGCTCGCCCTTGCTCTACAGAGTAACGCCTAGATCCACCTACTAAAACAACTAATCAACAAGCAAATCCTCAGCGAAATTCCGCGGCCAGGTGTGCTTTCAGCAGTGAAATGCGGGTATGTATGTGCACATGTATATATATACATATACCCCTTAGAATGCCCCAAGGCCCCCCTCCGCCCGGCGTGAAGGGTGAAACTAAAGAACGTACCAAAGAGCGAAGCCGCGAGCAGCGCGTAGCCCCCACCATAGAAGAACGCCGATGAGACAAACCCCTGAAGATTGGCCATACAGGAGGAGCACACAAGTTGAATGCGCAATGGCTGCTACTCTGTGTACCAGGGAACTCGACAGGAAGTGGCCGGCAGCAGATGAGAGCCCCCCCGCGGCAAATGGAAGGGCAAGAAGAGCATTGGATTGTAAGTAGAAGCTCTTCCCTTTCCAAGTGTGCTGAGAACAAGATGCCCCTCTATGCCTCTTCCTTGCGCCTTTTACCCGCCTGCTTGCTCGCTAGGCAACCAGGTCACCAAGAGATGAAGGACGGAAAGCAGAGGAATATGCGCTATGTGAATGTAAACTCTGGCACGTCTCAACACCACCGTACGGTGTAGTGCACTACACTACTTCCGGCTGCGCGGCATGATAGGGAGGGGAAAAAAATCGCCGAACCCAAACAGGCTCACCTTCGAAAAGAGATTTCCCATGAGGATAGCAGTGACCACGACGCTAAAGCAGCAAACGGCGAAGAGGAGAGAGGAAACAACGATCACCGGAGTGCACGAGCAGTGATTGAAGCACGACCGGGTATCCTGAGCAGCAACACACCATGCCTCTCGTACAGTGGCATGCAAGTCTGCAACTCACGGTCTTGTGAAACCTTACGCAGCTTGAGAAACTACCCCCTTTCCCCCTTTCCCACCATGACCCCCTTCAAACAACATTCCGAAGACAGCCACATGTCAGGCTGCCTCCCAACAAAAAGCAGCTGCTGTATGTACAGGAGGACGAGGGCGCGTGTGCGCGACAGCAACTGCACCGAGGAAAGAGGAGACACTGCTTCTACAGCACCTTATTCGGTACTACACTAAAGAACGAGGATGGCAGCAATAACGCTCCAGGATAATTTGAGAGACTCAAGAAATGAAGTGGCGGCGGAACCTCATTAGGCGTTGTGCATCCTCTCGCCAACCAGCTCTTCCCTGCAGACGCACCAGCGTGCCTACTGGCGTGCTAGCAGCCGCAGCAAGAGGCGCTCCCAGATCCTGCGCTAATTCTTCGTCAAGAGGAATAGACACACTATCCGCCAAACCTTCGCCAGTGGACGCCGTAGCAGGCAAAGACCCCTCCGCTGCGGGAGATGCAGCACCGCGGCTTTCTGCTCCGTCCATAGGCGTGTGCGCCAGCAGCTGAGACAGTTTCGCTCGCGAACCACTCCCCACCTCCTCAGATGAGGTTCCACTCGACGCTACCCCGCCAGACGATGCAACAGCATCTCCTTGTGTCGCTGCAGTCGATGGTGCTGCTGATGCTGTTGTTGGTGCTGCTGCTGTTGGTACTGCTGCTGTTGTTGGTGCTGCTGCTGTTGGTACTGTTGCTGATGATGGTGCTGCTGCCGTTGGTACTGCGGCTGCTGTTGGTGCTGCTGCTGTTGGTGCTGCTGCTGATGATGATACTGTTGCTGTTGGTACTGTTGCTGCTGATGGTACTGTTGCTGCTGTAGTTGGTGGTGATGCTGTTGTTGCAGTACCACCAACTACTGCTCCAGCTGGTGCTACTGCTGTTGAAGCTGGAGTTGTTGGAATGGGTGCTGCTGCAACGCCTGGTGGTACAGCTGGAGGTGTAGCTACCGTTGGTACTGCTGCTGGTGGGGTTCCTGCTGGAGTCGGTGCAGGTGCAACTGCTGCAGTTGTTGCTGGAGTGGGGGCTGCTGATACAGCGGGTGATGACGTATTCGCAGAAGCAGGTGCTGGAGCTACAGATGCCGTTCCTGCTGGCGCTGCAAATGTTGCAGGCATATCAGGGCTTATAGGAGCCGCAAGAGACGCTGCAGGCAATTGAGCACTTGCAGCTGGAAACCCAGCCCCGGCTACTGCCGTAGTAGAAGCACCGGGCGCATGTGCGGCTGGTTCAGTCGTTGGATAGACACCCTGAGTTAACTGGGCAGCAGTCTGCTGTGGCGGGTCTGACGCATGAAGTGCGGCGCTTTCTTGAAGCTGCAAGTGGCGCAAAATGTTGGCATCCTTAGAGGAGACATGAAGAAAGCCAGGGCTTCCTGGAACCCCCGCATGAGGTACAGTTTCATTTGGGAGGAGGATCGAGATTTCTCCGGCTGTCAAAGCAGCATCCCTCCCGTTCAAGACGGATTTGTCTGTTGCTGCTGCAGGAATCGCAGCAGGAAGCGCTGATGAGAGGCTGATGCAGTGCCCCGAAATGGCATGGTGCAAAAAAGCGGCACTGCATACCAGAAGGAAAACATGCAAGCGTAGCGGGTTGTTGCCACCGTGTGGCATCCTGCGTGTCATGGCAAACAACCAGTGCATATCCTTGAGGCTGCTAGGCGAAACGAAGTGGGAGGAAAAGAGAAGAACTGCAATTTAATAAGCGGCCTGAACAAAGACAGCGCTAAAAGGGCCTCAATAATAATACAAAAAGCAACGAGTGGAAGACTCTGCGCGTAGAGCCCTCATTGCTGTTACTGCTGGCTTGTGCTCATCACCGCGTGGCCAATGGGCGTCTCAAGGAAGAGGAGTTGAGCCTAGTAAGGGCCGAAATGAAGGGAGGTAAGAGATGAGAAACAGAATCAGGATAGAAGATGAGCCAAAGAGAGAAGGCAAGCGCAGAGGAAGATATGCTGCCGCACGCAAGGGCCCGTCCTCAGGTAGCCGGAAGCCAGTGGCCTGGTTTTGTGGCTTGTCTACGCGGGTGACGTGAGCATTCGCATGGCCCCCGTGGTTTCAGGGGACAGTACCATGCAGATCCGTGGAAAATAACAGAGTAGTGAGGCAAAGGGGTCAGAGGAGGTAGAAATTGCAAGCGGAATAGAGGCGGAGGAGGTTACTTCTCTCCCCACAGGCTCCTTTAGTACGGTGAGGAATTGGGCAGAAAGCGCCAATTAGAAAGCTAAATAACATTTACTTAGATTTTATTTACGCACAGGAGGCAGTTGTGGCTCTCAGAAAATCTCGCCGGGAGTTGCCATTTTTATAGACTCTAGGCATGACATCCGTCCACGTAGGAAGATTGGAACCGGGTTACTGTCCGGGAAACTGAAAGCAGCTGCTTACAAAGGGAGAGTTTCTATCGGTGATAAATACCTTCAAGGTTCTGAAGTGCTATTGTGCATAGAAGGTTCATGAAGAATTACTATTTGTGGAAATAGGGGCGAGGCAGCTGGTGTGCTGCAGTGGGTCATCTAGGGGCAATCGATGGCTAGCCGGAACACCATTTGCAAGGAGACTCGAATTGAACAAACATTTGTGTATGATTAAATTTCTCGTCGTTTGTGTGCATTATGCACATAAAAATAACATATATCATGGGGGATCACGAGCAGAGCCTCAAGCTGGACCGACAATTATTCCCAGCGCTCGCGCAGTTAGTACCGGAGACCACTCGTGATCTCCGGATGAAAAGCAAGAATTAAAGTATTTTAACCTTATTTTTAAGAAGGTACACGTAAAATATCAGAGATGATGAGAAGCTTTCTGCATGATGTCTTTTCCTAATCCATATTCTGGGGACTTAATTTCCGTGAGTCGTGGCAGAGCACCTGTGCATTGTTCTCCCGCAAGACCCCCAGGTATGGAATGGAAAGCTTTTGCTGTTATATGGTAATTATTGTGCCCATCGAGCCCACGTGGATGCACGTTTTTTGCACGGTCCCTCTGTGCTTGTGGCGTTGAGTAACCCATTGCGCATCTTTTCCGTAGTCCACGCGTGCTCATGGTTCAAGCGCGAAAAATACAGGACACCAAATTATGCCCCTCAATGTGCGAAGAAATTCTTTTCACTGTCGCCTTCTGCGAAGTCAACTTTATGATTTTTCGGAGGCACTTAACACTACTCAGTACACAAGAAAGTGGTGGTCATCGAGTGTTCCTCAAGAGAGCTTCCTACTTCCCTTGCCCGCTTCCATCAGAGCTCACGACATGAGGGGATAAGTACAGTATCGACGTAGCTTCACGCTCTGGGCATTCCGAGCACTTTTAGGTAATTGAGCAGAGCATCTGGTACACACAAACACACTCAACACTACGTGTGCGTGCATCGCTCTAGTAGAACTTTGCAGTACATAAGATAGACCAACAGCCACGCCAGTCTATGATTTCCTTAATGCATGACTAACTACAGCTAGGAGAGTGGAATGCGCATAGGCGTAGCTTAGCCCACTACAGCCTTCGCACCACTGCACAATCGCCCAATCCAGTCGGTGGTGAGCAGCCAATTTACGCCTCCATGCTCTTTGTACGGCACATTTGGTCTATTGAGAACTATTTAAGTGTTCCTACGCCTGACACCCCTTATATTGCCTCAAGATCGCTCTGAGTACACAGGCATTAACCGCTGTGTCGCAGCTCTCCGCTTTGCGTGCTTTTGGGCCGTGCTCTTAACAAGCTCTAAGGTGGATCGCTTAAAAACCGAATCAAAAGGATTCAGAAGACGCCTGTACTAAAACTGCTACGAGTATGTCCCGCGCTGGGGCAATCTGCTTGTTTGCCAGTAGACGGATGTTGCAGCGGCAGTTGTCTGAAGCTTTACAGTTCTCCGAAGTAGGCCTCGCTTTGCTGCACTCCGGCGACTGTGCAACTATTGAGAGCGCCACAGCATACCCCGTACAGGCCTTGAAATAGAGTAGGAGGTGCCGCACAGCCGCAGGAACACCCTCAGCAAGACGGCTTCCCGTCTCTGAGGGGAGGCTGGGCAGAAGAAGCGCTGACAGGTTTAACGCCGAGAATACAGTCCATATAGGCCCGCGAGTGCCGCTTCGCGGAGCATAAGCTTCCCTATGGCCATGAACGCCTGTATCCGCGAGCATGCGCGTCTGCCGATGCTCTCGGTAGCCCCTATTTGAGTTGGCTTGCCTATGTTCAGTCCTTCCAGATGAGGATTTTGGGATCTCTGCGACAGAAAGCCTTAACAGCCAGAGCCAGGTTGTCGCTATCTTCGAACATACGGCCCCGACAACCAGCAAGCAGCTGCGAGGGGTCATGGTACTCGGGGTTTTTGAGATCCGTATTCTTTGCCGCCTCCGCTGCCTCCTCTAATTCTTTCTGCTTCATCTCAAGCGGCTTCTGCTCAGAGTAAACCAGCTCCTTTAGATCCTTCACTGTTGCGTGATCTGGCAGGTAGTACTTTCGCCCGTTTTCCCAGGTCTTGCCGACCCACTTGTGCGAAAGATCTGGATACAAAGATGGCTCTGCGATGAAAACATGGTAGCTGAAGATAACACAAACGGAGAGCAGCACTCAACAGTCATGCAGGGCACCGGAAGCAGCCGCAGCTAGCGCATCCGAAAGTGCAAATCGCGAGCGACCTCCACGCCTGCAGCTCACGAGGCAATAGCTCAAGAGCCCTAGATCGTACATTATTTCGGAGCACAGCAAAGCACCGGGGTATGGCAGCATCGGCGGAAATCGTGTTTGCCTTACGCCAGTTTCGTGTCAGTTCGATAGCGAACAGAGAATATTGCAGCGGGAAAGGCAAAGCACATCACAAACTTGGTGCTGCTCTGGGAGTTATAGAAGGAGTCATACAGGCGTCCCAAGCGATGCGAGAGGTATCGCGCTGTGCTACGCACAAAGCCGCAGGAACCGCATGATGAAGAACCCGACATCTTCAGTGCCCTTGACTAGTTCGTGGCTTTCACAATAGTTGTCTGCCGCTTGGCAGGGGAGTTGCTGGACAGTTGAGCACGTTGGAAGCCTTAGAAAGCGATCAAATGAAAGTTCGATCGATCATGCAGCAATCCTCGAGACAGCGTTATTCTGGAGTGCCTGCCGGGACAGGTGAGAGGTGGAAGAACGGGCTGCTGGGTGTGTCCGATCTACCACAGCCTCCCGCTGAACGCCCCCTGTTTTTGCGTTTAGATGCAGTCAGTTATTGCCTCTTAGGACCGTAACAATCGGGCGCGAAGAGGCAAATTCCTGCGACATACCCCCCGTGGGGCTTTGCGGGAGAAGCGGGAGAAGAAACCGTCTTGAAAAGATTAGGGTCTTCATAAGACACTAAAACAGCTTGTGGAGCAGAATTAAAAAATGCTTCACAAGCAGCTGCAGCGGGTGTACGTCAAGAATGCTGCTGCTTCCCTCATCCCTCGTGGCGACAATCACCTTTTTGGGGCTGTATGTCCAAATGGGTGGTTACGGGCTGTTGAACAGCGCTAAGCACCAAATGTGCACGGATATGCTTTCATACAGAATGGCCTAATGCGATCCTTCCCATTCTAATTCTGATTATCTTCTGGCCAGCCGCCGCACTCTGCTTACCTTCCCTCTCTTTTCACGCACCGGTCCGTCGACTGCCAATCGACTCGAGCAATTCCAACGGCAATCATCACGGCCCTGACTATAGCTGTCTCTCATTAAAGGAAAGCTAGCCCTGTAGCTTCAAACTAGTGGGGTGTGTGTGTTCCGGGAAATGGAGACTTTTTGAAATTGCAGCCGTTCAGCTAGTCGTGGAGGGGTCGGCCGCGCGGCATTTTGCATTCCATCTTCGAGCCACCAGGCAGTCAACAGCAGTCTGAACCTTGTGCCATCACCGTTACCCCTCTGCTGTTTTCTGCCCTGCAGCGGGCAGATCTACACAGGCGCAGGCTGGTTGCAACCAGCCAAGAACGAAGACTCCTTCATCTGAAGCTGCGCCCTCGTCTGCTTCTATCAAGCGCCCTTCTACCCTCAGGGCACTTGATACACAGAACGGAGCCCGTTTAGCTGTCTCTTTCTCCCTGCTTTCTGACCGCATCACCGCCCCTCCTCAAGGCGGCGTGCTGCGCCTGTGGCCTTCATGTCGATGCCCGGCAGTTTTTTCTGTGGATCAGGCGCCTTTGTCTCTTAGTTTCGCCATAGGTCCATCCTACAGGTCATTTCATTGCTTCTTTTTAGAGTCAGAGTTCTGCATAAAGCCCGGTACACTCCGTGGTGATCACCAATGGCTGCCGCTGGGGCAGCTGGGGTGTACGACCACCTGCTGAAGCTCCTCCTGATAGGAGACAGCGGCGTAGGGAAGAGCTCTCTTTTGTTGCGCTTCGCTGAGGATAAGTATGATGAGCAACAGCTCTCCACCATCGGTGAGGGACTGGACACCGCAAACGAGGGCGTAGACAAGCAGAACCATGCCGGGTCCAGGAGCTCTCGCTTGCAGCTGCACGAAAAAAGCCTGCTTATATGGAGTGCACATGCCTTCTCCAGCTGCATAACTGACTGGCGCCAGCCCGTCTGCTTGCTAGAGGACGGTCGTGACGTTGGCTGTGCTGAGCTGACTCCTATCCTTCCCTTACCATAGGTCGCAACGTTTGCTTGCTGTCTTCCACCTGCTATGGTTGACAACGCCCCATGGCGCTCGCTGTGATCGTGTGCTGATTTAGGGGTGGACTTCAGAGTGAGATTCCTGGTGGTGGATGGTGTGCGACTCAAGCTGGCGATTTGGGATACGGCAGGACAGGAACGCTTCAGAACCCTTACCTCATCTTACTATAGGGGGGCTCAGGGCATCATTCTTGTCTAGTAAGGGCATTTCGCTCTCCTCTATTTCGCTACCTCCTTTGCTTCCCATCTGTGGCTGGTGGACGTGTATTAGAATTCGAATGCCCGGCCCTCTTTCTCCTCCTCGCGCAACCCCACAACCAGCCCGCATCTTACCGTCCAAAGCAGTACATCGAAGGCCTTTAGCTAAGTGCAGCTCACATGCATGCTTGTGGTATGGGCTGGATCGCAGCGACGTGGGGTGTAGGGAGACCTTCGAAAACTGCTCGCACTGGCTGCAAGAGGCGGAACGACACGGGACGGTCCCGGGCAGCATCAAGATGATCGTTGCGAATAAGGTTGACACGGTAAGCCTCGCTTTCAGAAAAATCCTCATTCTTTGAGATTGGGCGCTCAGCGCTCATGGGCTTCCTGTCGGCTGCAGCGGTTCTCTTTTTCCTTGCATGTTGGTTTAAAGCTTGAGCAGGACCGCAGTTGGCATGCAAGGATCCGTTTAAAATCACCCCGAGCCGCACGCACCTATTCAGAGAATACATATATTAAATGGTCTGTGTATATGTCTTTTCTGTGCATAATATATATGTAGACTCGGGTGGTTTCGACGGAAGAGGGCCGGCAGCTGGCAGCGCAGCTCGGCACGCTCTTCGTAGAGACCTCCGCCAAGACCTCCGCAAATGTGCAGAAGGCATTCGAGGAGCTTGTCACGCAGGTGTGTACTTACGGTAGCCTGTTGCCTTGCTAATGAGCGGCCAGTGTTTAGCGTTTGAACTTGAAGCTGAAAAGTGTAGGGCTGCTTAGTGCAGCAAGTGTAGGCAGGGAAGGGCGATTGTGTAGGCAGCAGCCTCCGGCGAATGGACTGTCTCCAGAGCATGTTCCTGTTATTTGCATCCGTTGTTATTGTCGGCTCTCGAAGCGCCTTATGCAGAGAATATACCATATGCTGGAGAAGAGTAGATAAGCATCTCAGGAGTGGTGGCGTGTCACATGTGCGATTGTGGACAGACGGGGGGGGATGAGGTGTTTTTGTATGCTTCTCAGATTCTCGCGACGCCCTCGCTGCTAACAAACACGCAGCCAATCAGCAGCAGCACCATTGCAGTGACTGCGGAGGACGCGATCGATGACGTGCCGGGTGGTGCCTCATCATGCTCCTGTTGAAAAATCTTGCCGTAGAGGGCCTTTATTGGAGGGGAAATGGGGGTAGGCGGTCGTCAGCACTTGCGAAAGAGGCGGAAAACTTGGTTTGCTGGCAGGCTACTACGGGATATCCTATAAGGCTGGCATTGCATGCATGCATCACCGGCCCGCCAGCGGAAAACCGAGCGCAAGGCAGGCGCAAAATAAGGTTTTGGCGGGGCATTGTTTGAGGCGCTTTTGTGCAATATGCCTCCTGCACCACCCGCTCAGCACTCAAGAGACGGACTTTCTCCTGGAGTTTGCGTTAGGTCTCGCCAAAGTGCGATGTTTGCTTCTTGGTGCAAGCAAGTTGCGCGGCAGCATTTAGCCGCAAGACGAGGGGGCACCCGTTTGAGCGAGCCCGTCGGCGAACGTTTGTTAGTTTGGGGTAGAGGACCTTTTCTCCTGAGCTCCACAAACCGGAGCACTTGCTGCGTGAACGACACTAGGAGGAAGGGAGTGGGGCGGCGCACACGGAACAAGGGAGGATGAGGAGGGTACTAAGGTGCAAAGGACGGAAGAGGCATAGCGGCGCCTCCAAAGTAGCTTTAGATATACAAAACGTTTTCATTGAGTTAAGAGTCCGTCACCTATTGTGAGGGCAGCACCGATTCGAGCTTCTGCTTCAGTTAGAAGGACTGTCCATGCCAAAAACACGTGGAAGTACTCGAAATACTTGTTTGCTGACAGGGCCTAGGGGATTGACCCTACAGCTTGTCTTCCCCCTGTTATTGAAGCTTCTGCGTAGTGCTTACTCATGGGTGCCCCACACCTTTTGTTCATTCTCTTTTGTTGTGCCCCAGTGGATACGCATTGTGGCGATGCCAATAACTGAACTTCGGTTTTCCCCTCCTGCGGCACGTTGTGCACCCGTTACCTGCTGGTCTGCCCTTCGCTGAAAAGATGCAAAACTACACAGGAGAAAAAAGGTGTCGAATTTTTTTAGCCTTCAAGTTTGGCCCTAACGGACGGCCCGAGCCCCTCGAAGGCTGGGTAGGGGCTTTGCCCGCTTTTGAGTGAAAGGCTGCGAAGGGGTGAGTCTTACATTGACACAGATCCTATCGTCAAAAGGTCTAGTCGAGTGGAAAATGAGGCACTTAAAATCGCCTTAAGTGGCAGAGTCACTTAGGAAGGGCAGGCAGTTTTTTTTACGGAAGGATTGAATTAGTAGACAATGCTTACTCATCTTGAAGGCTGGAAGAAGCAGCATAGAAGGGGGTGGCAGGACTGACACCTAAAACCATAGATGCTCCTAGAAATACATAAAATTGCGCCAGTATACTAGTTTCTAAGCCTTTACATCCCTGGTGACGAAGCTATGTCATACAGCCTTTGCAAGGACATGTGCGCTCCTTATTGTACCCTGTATACCTGAAACGCAGATGGACTGACAGCTGCCAGCTTGGTCGCATCAAGAGGCTATATCCCACGCATGCCCAGCAAAGGGAGAAACTATTTCCCATTAGCACTATTTTAATTCCGAGCTAGAGCACAAAGGGAAACTTTTGAACATGGCAACAGCATATGGGTTGGTTCCTCCAGTGTGACCCCCTGCGTTTCGTGCCGAGGCATGACGGGTTCCCAAGTTAGGCAGAATAGCGTTTGAAAAGAAGCTGTAAAGTGCGGACTTAGCGATTTGAAGGGCGTTTAGTTTTTCTTCCACAGACACCATGAGGGGCCTCCAAGGTGGCCAGTACAAGCAAAACTTTGTGAAAATTGCCAACATTACTTTTGCCTCCAATAGCTTCCCCTAACGTATACCTATAACCCTACACAATTTCATTTTGAATAAATAATGAAATGGATCTTGGGATACAGGCAACTGCAGCCTTGGGACACGCCGAGCATTTGCACACGCGCCCGCAATTCGGGGACTGTTGCGGATCGGCACACAGTCGACCAAGTTACGGAATGGCACCAATGCTGCTCCGAGACAACAAAAACAGAAAAGCAGCCCAACCATACATTAAGAACGTAGTAGCTTGCGATTTCCCGGGTTGGAGCCATGGAAGCTACCACCACCTAGGCCTAGCGATAGCCATTCCCCAGGCCGCGTGGTTGATCGAGCAGTTCTTGGGCAAAGGCCACTTTTGGGGTAGGAGAGACTAAGTGTCCCTACACGTATACAAAAAAGAATATTCTGGCTTATTGAAGTCACTGCCCTCCCGAATGTGCAGCAGGAGAGAGGCTGGAGCCCTCTCCTGCTGACCCCAGGGGAAAAAGCACGAGGCAGCTGCGTAGCGGGATTCTTGAATAGCCACAACTAGCTGGCTCGGCGTGTCCCTTTCCGTGGCCGCAAAGAGTTTTCGCAGACGAACCTACAGTGCGCATGCGTTGGTAGTCCCTTAATAGGCCGTTAGCATTGTCTAACGGATCGCCCTTGAACCCAACCGCACACCGGGAGACAGCTAACGCAATATTGGCGGCTCAACGTGGTCCCTAGCGACAGTTTGGAGCTAGCTAGAAATGTGTAAGCGAAAGGTTAGGAGTGCCGCGAGGGTCTACGCAGACAGGAGAACCTGCCAGTCTGTAACCACCGCGTCGCAGAGAGGGTAACCGGTGGCGGGACCGACGAGACAAATTTTCGAGCCGCCTGCTTGGGATGCGGTGTAAGCGACGTGTTAAGGCTCCCAAAGTTGTACAAGGTGTTCTTTTAACGAAATAAAGCAAGAGGAAGTCAACAGAGACGGACTAAACGCGCACTCACCTGCCCCCCTTATAAGGACGGTGGGGGGCCCTCCCGCCTCTCTATAGGGTCGTCACCCCATGCTTCTTCGGGCAAGAGGGCGACTACAGCCATTCAGCGCCCAGCCTTCTGAAATTAGCCGCAAAAACCCGCAAGAGCAGACCAGGGATATGTGCATTAAGTACCACTCCGAGAGCACACGCCACTCCACACGGGCTAAGGCAGTGGTGGGGCCAGCAGCGGGCCCTAGGAGGCGCCGCCTATGACCTATCGCAGAAAGAGAGACCGACATCTCCGCTGCCTGAGCTTGCTCCCTTCTTTGTTACTCTTATTCTCTTTTTCTTCCTTTTCGAGGAGACTCTTTGCCGTGGGCTGCGTTTCCATCGCCCTCTGCTTCCCGTAGGCCACGCCAGGCTGAGAGGGAGGGCAGGCATCACGGGCTGCTTACCGCTTTCAACTGCTGTGGAGGGACGGCCGCTGCAGAGCGGAGCGAGACATTGATTCTCTTCAAGACTGAAGAAAACCTCTAATTTGTGCTGCTTTTCACCTATTCTCGACCCTCCGAAACGCAGCAACCCTCCACTGTATGTATATATGCCACCCAAATCCACTGCCTTCTGCGCCTTCTTCTGGTGTGTCTTCCTCGCCTCACAAGTCCTTGCCGCCCTCCTTGCAGCTTCTTTTCCAGTGAAGACACATCTGTGCAAGCACCTCGTTCCTGCGCCTTGAGGCAGAGGGCCTTCAACTAGCCGCGCTGTAGACACCAACCTTTTCAGAGAGAGAGAAAGAGAGAGAAAGAGAGAGAGAGAAAGAGAGAGAGAGAAAAAGAGAGCGTCCGAGTAGCCACCGGCACACTGCCTTTCCCGCTATACTTGGAGGGCAGGAGGCTGCAACAGTGGGGGCTAACAAACAGTTTCCTTCGGGCCCCTCTCCCTTCCCCTGGACGTGTATGCTCCTTCTCATTTGCTCTCTCTCTGTCTACCTCTCTGTACGTCATTGTGTGCCAGTGACTAGAGGAACAAGATCCTACATCCTCTTTCTCACCATCTTGCTTCCCCATTTCCCCCCCCCCCCCTCATTCCCTTATATCCCGCTTTGTGCGTGCATATATTTATATACGTGGGTTTCTGTATGTGCGCCTCTGGGATACCGCCACAAGCGTTGCTGATCAGCCAAAGACTGTAGCTAGCCACACACATATACGGACATACATACACACACACACATACATTCACAGCTACGCGTTCTTCAGCGACTGCGCGTGTTTCTGTTTATTCTTCTTCTTGCCGGCAAACCGCCTGCCTCGTCGGACTGGACGTGCAACCACGGGAGCAAGAGAGAGAAAGAGATATCCCTATAGAAGGCGAGGGAGAGAGGCGAGACTGAGAGCGCCTTTTCCGCCCGTTTTTGCTGTTTTCCCCGCAGTCTGCGGCGAATCAAGGTCTTGTTTTTTTCAGGGTGCCCTCATGACAGCGGCTTCACGACATTTAGGGGTCTAGGCACGTCCTCTACGTCAACTCATGGCAGACTGTCGGGCGGCTCTAAGGCACAGCTGCGGCAGTAGGCCACATGCACATTCTTCTCGAGCCATGTTGAAGCCTTCCGCCGCTGCACCCTGTGTTTTCGCACGGAACGTCGCCGACTGTGCGGCTGCAGCGGCTGCTCCTGCGCTGTCTCTCCGTAAGCAGCAACAACAGCAGCAACAGCAGCAGCAGCAGCAACAACAGCAGCAGCAGCATCAGCTACTGCTTCCCCTGGCCGAGGAACAACGCATGTTGCGGCTACCTCTCGCCATTCCTGAGTCGCATCCTCCTCCGCATGCCTGTGCAGCGTACAGCACCATGATGGAAATGCCTCTGGAGGCTCCTGTTGCTGCGGGGGGAGCTCACGGATGCAAGCCACCACTGGCGATCGGCGGAAGTTGCGCTGCACGCGCTCCTAGCCGCGATGTCGACAGCTTCCCGAGCGAAGCCCTTTGTGCCTCCCCCACCTGCCCCTCGCTGAAGGCAAACGCGACTCCGTCTACGCTTCCTCCTCCTTCTGCAGCAGCAGCTTTCGTCCACGTAGCCGCGGCAGGCTGTCACGACACTGCGGAAGCCTCCACGACGACTGCACCTGCAAGGGCGGCGAGAACTGCACATTGCAGGGAAAAGATTCCTGGAGGGGAGGAAGACTCGTACTGCCTCCGCGCCTTGCAGCTGCTGCTCTCCGATATCTTGGGGGTTGTTGCGATGTTGCGACCAGCAGGAAGCTCCGCACTGCCTCGGGGAGTCGCTGCAGCGGTGGCTCGCGCACGAAAGGCTGCGCAAGTTGCCTTGCTTTCCAGGGAAAGGACTAGCAGAGCTAACAGCATTAGCAACAGTGCAACCATAGCCGCTGCGCTGGCTGCTGCCGCGAATACTGCGGCAATCGTGATCGAGCAGAGGAACCCTCAGTTTGCCTTCCATCAGTTTACAGTGCTCGCTGCGTCTTCTTTCCAGCAGGTTGCACCCTACGTCACGAACTACTTGCAGGAGCTCCTCAAAGTGCTGGAGCAGCGGCGTCCTCTTCTCCGACTGCTGCGCGCACGCGAGGCGAAAGGGCACTGTGAAAGCGAGGGAAAGGCGACCACGGCTACAGCCTCCTCGCCCCCCCCAGAAGTCGAGACAGACAACCTCAAGCTGCTCTTGCAAGTCTTCTTGGCGTACTGCCCAGCTTCCATGCTGGATTCGGTGTGCGACAAGCTGGCTGCTGCATATGCGGAGGCGCTGCTTGGCGAGACTTCCCTGCTCCTGCTGCTGCAGGGAAGTCTCGCCAGTGCTTCTGCTTCTGCAGAAGAACAAGCAGCAGCAGCAGGTGAAGGAGAAGGAGGTGGGCGAGGCGTCTCAGGAGACTTGTTCGGGGGGAAGGGCACGCAAGGCGCAGAAATCTCCGCCGCTGAGCAAGGAGGGAGCGCTCTGGTAGCGCCTTCGGAGACGGCAGCAAGCGTGGTATCACCGACCCCCCCAACCAGCTTGGAAGGCAGCGCAAAGCTTTCGCAGTCTCTCGCACGGCCTCTGAATGACGCAGTTGCAGTCTCCGTCGCTGCGCTGTTAGATCAGCGCTGTTTTCTAAGGCGTCTGGCATCCTCCATAGATTGGAGTTTTTTGGCGTCCGAATCCGCAGCGGCAGCCGCAGCAAGCGCAAGAGCAAGAGCGATTCCGCGCACGGCGGATGCTGCTGGTACAGAGGCTATGCCCGACGCTGTTGCCGCTGACAGCAGCAGTTCGTCGCATGCGATCAAGACAGCCCGCAGGAGGAGCCATCAAGCTTTGGAAGACTCGGCGTTGACTGTTGCTCTAAGGGATGCATACACCAGCGCCAGCTGCCTTTATGATACGGAGATGATGCCGCCTGCCCCTCCCGACGATGCACCTCGTGAACGAGCTTGCAAAACATCTGCTGCAGCAGTGCCATGTGCGCAACCTGCAGATACAGGCGAAGGTGTGTTGCAACAGGAGCAACGCATGCTGCTTAGCGTCCCGCTGCCCTGCCCGCGTCTTAAGGAATCTGAGGATGCTGTCAGAGCAGTCTCCAGTAGTAGAAGTCAGCCTCAGCAGCAGCATCAGAAGCCTCAGCAGAGCGGTCATAAGGCACAAGAATTGGTGCCTCCAGGGAAGAAAGGTGTGGACATGCTGGAAGACGTGTTTGTATCACCTGGGGAGGCCGTCGTGGAGCTTACGGATGCTAGCAGCAGCAGCAGCAGCAGCAGCAGCAGCAGCAGTCAGCTGTTGCGTGCCTTGGGTTCCCTCGAGTTGCCTCCTTTTTTGTTGCAGTCTTCTTCTTCCTTTTCCCGCAGCGCGTCTCCGTCTGCGGGAATTCTCTGTAGCAGCAGCGAGGAGGCGTCGACAGACATTGCGCACGCTCCAGCGGCTGGCGACACGGCGGAGTGCACGCAGAACGGCGTTTCTGAGGGGAGCCTTGTCGAGGGAGGAGGGGCTGCAGGCTTAGCGACTGTCGCGAAGACACCAGGCAGCAGCACATCCTTCTCGCGTCCTTCATGGCCGCTGCGGCAGAAGGAAAGCCTCGGGGGGGGGGGCAGTTTGCCGACGCTGTTGCAAGCCTTGTCGGAGACTCCCGAGGGCTTTGGTGTGCTGCCCGGCTGCCGCAGAGTGGGGGGGGGCGGCGTTTCTTCGCCATGTGAGCGGAAGGATCTGGCAGCGAGTGTTGGAGGGAGTGCCGCTGCTGGGTGTTGTTCGGATCGTCGCGCTTCGACGGAGGACAGAGCGCCTAGGGGGGCTCTGCGAGAAGAATCGAGCAGTGCCGCTGCGGAGGAGGATATTGCAACGCGAAAGGCCACTCTGGTGTCTTTCCTCATGTCTCTCCTGCCGGAAAGTGGCAGCTACACGCCAGCGGGAGGCTTGGGGGGTCGCGAGGCATCGACAGCTGCCGCGGCTTCCGCAGCGTCTTTGCACGAGACAGGACGGCTGGCGGAAGAGTGCGAGGGCAGCAGCAGCGGCAAGGGTGTGGGGACGCAAGCCTTGCTGTGCAGCTTGCAAGATCACTTGATGCGATACGGGCCGGAGGAGAGTGGGGGGGGGGTGCCGCCAGCCAAGCAGCTCCACGACGCAGTCATGGCGACGACTGCGGGGGGAAGGCGCAGCAGAAATGGGGTCGCACAGCACGTCAGTCGGGGGGGAGGGGGAGGCGCTCCGTGGAAATCGGAGGGTACTCTCCCGCATAGTTCAGTAGGGGGTCCATCCGTTAGCAGGGACCGCCTGTTAACAGCCTCTCTGAAACGCGAGTTGCTGCCTTCCTTACCCTCCCCCCCCCCCGAAGAGGGAGCAGCTCCAGGTGCACTGGGCTGTCGGCTGTCGGACGCCGACTCGGCAACAAGCCTCAAGGGGCTACGCGGACAGCAGCAGCATGCGCATGCAGGGGTTCTGCTGCGGCAGTCTGCAGCTGCTGCACTGCCTGAAGGAGCGACGGGATCCGGAGAGCACTTGGGAACTGAAGCAGAGGCTGCCGGTACAGGCTCGGGGGGTGGGGGCAGTTACTCCTCCGTTGGGGAGTCTGTTAATACTCCCGAAGAGGATCTCTTCGGGGGTTCCGCAGCGGTGGTCTCTGCGCCTGCCAATGCTCAACTGCTGTACCGCAGCACTATTAGCGGCGTTGTTTATGACAAATCCGGGCAGAAGTGGACGGCCAGGTGGAGTGAGTATGGGAGGCAACACAAAAAGACGTTTGCGACTGCTAAATACGGTTTTTTGCATGCGAAGAAAAGGGCAGAGGCGTGCCGCTTGGAAGCGAGCCGCCTTATGCGGGAAGGGCAAGGGAGGGCTCTCGCAGCGGCCGCTCGACTTGCACAGGTTGGTGGGAATCTTCAACCGGAGACTGGGACTGGAGGATCTCGTGCTGCTTTCTCTGGACTTGCCCTCTCAGCAGCCGCGACGCAGCATGCAGTGCAGGGAAGAGAGGCCTCCGCCGTCGAGGCGGAGCAACAACAGCAGCAGCAGCTCGTGCAACAAGAAGCGCAGCAGCCGCTGCAGCAACAGCAAGGACAGCAGCAGTTGCAGCAATTGCGCGAGAAGGAGGGAGTTAAAAAAGCGGTCGTGGCAGACCTGACGCCTCAGGCGGTGTTAGCGGAGGCTCAGCTGCACGGCCCATGTGCAGCAGCTCCCCCTTTGAAGCGCAGGAGACATAAAGCTTTACCGGGGGATGTGTGAAGACGACCTGTAGGGGACGTGTGGCAGCCTTCTTCTAAAGGCCTGTTGTGCGTAAGCTCCCTTGGTCTCAGGCTCTCATGGGCAAAAGCAGCGAAGCAGAAGGAAGGAAGCCCGTGGTGTTTTGTGGAATCATGCCACCTGCACGTACATACATAAATACATCCATAGATGCATACATATACATACACATACATTACATATATACATATATATACATACATATGCATATATACATACATATACATATACATTTATAGATACATACACTGGCTTGTGAGCCGAATGAGAGGGCTGCGCTTCTGCCTCGGCAACACGTGTTACAGGGGCGTGTTGTTGTTGCGGGATGAGTGGATTTAGCGTAAGCGACTGGTTACGAACTACGGATTTTAAAGCACTGTGCTTGGAGGGCTGCTGCTTTTGCCAGGTAGAACCGAGGTCAGCATGCACACAGCAATGCGGTCGCACCCGGTTATTTTTACCGAAAATATCAATCACCATGAGCGCGTCTACACTGAGGCGTGGCCGCAGCTGCACTCAACAGCAGTGCTCGCTGGTCATGGCGAAGGGTGGTTCTCATTCTTAACACCATGTTTATGGGTGGAAGACTCCTGCCCTTCGAGTCTTCAGAGAGGCAACGGACTCGAATTTTCCTTTCCCGCTTGACGCTCAACGCTTTATGGTTATCTTCGCGTTCCCCCGGCCATGTGGTGCAGCTGGCTGCAAAAACTCCGACGCATGCCCCGCTCGTGAGTCCTCGTGTGCCGGCTTGGGGCGTCCATATGCACTAAGGGAGGCGTTTCCTTCTCAGTGGTCGCTGTCGAGGAAGCGCAGAGATGCTGCGTTCTTGTGGGAGAGCGCTTTTATCTTCTGCTGGATTGAAGAGGCCTTCACTGTCCGCGGATGCCTCTTCGTGTCAGCGATGCAACAAGCTATCTGGCGCGGTGGTAGGGCCCCCTCCCCTCCTCTTTGGGGGGGCCCTTGAGGGTCCCACAGATGAACGCCCCATAAATAGATATATATATATATTTATATACATATTTATATGCATATTTATAGCTGGAGGTGCATGTGCTTTGCTTGTTCTGGCAGTTGGCATTGGATGGGGGGATGTGCTGCTGCTCGTGGATGGCAGCGAGGGAAGGTGCTCGTGATTAAATGCGCCTATTATTACCCACTTTCGTATACTGGTGGTGATGCAGCAGCGGTAAGCAGGCAGCTTCTTTGGATCTTTGTCTGCCACGCGCCGCCGAAAGTCTTTTTTGTTTTGTGGCCTCTTTGGTATAGCACCAGAGGGTTTAGTCCGAATATAAGGAATACGCGTTTTTCAGTGTGTGCTGCTCAACACTTTCCGCCCGCGTCCACCGTGAGTCTGCACTAAACCAAACCGTGCCTGGTTTCTTAATAACGCACTTGGCGTTGCCACATATTGCATGTAAAGTGAGCATCATGCCCGTCACACTTTTAGGTTCTTGAGATAACAGGCCTAGTCCGGCTTTCCACGGCACGTTTTCCTAGACGCTTTTGCGTAGCTGTGCAATGAGGCTCCAGCATGACGTAGTGGTAGAGAAAGTATGGGAAGCGCAAAGCTATCTACCTCTTGTGATGATGACCAAAAGCGCATTGCGCCATGCCGTACAGCAAATGCTTCATGCCAAAGCGTACCGGTAGACGCATTCGATCTTGCACCATCAAGTAAACTCATCCCACAAGCTAATATATTGTAGAAACAGCGACTAGTAGTCCTCGCGTTTCGCCTGCCTGTTTGCTCATTATTAGAGGCGGTACTGGGCGGGTGTCAGTCTGTGTAGTACTCCTCGAAGCACATGCAAGTGCTAGCGCAGACACCCCACATAGGAAACGGCTTCTACGTAGTTTTCATGCTTCTTCGCAACATAGAGAGCTCCAGAGCGCAGTAAACTGCAGCAGGATACGCGGTACACCTGGATAAAGCGTTTTCTGTGCATGCCTACAAGCAGTGTCTCTATACCTTAGCCAAGAAGTCATTAAATGTGCAGGCGTCTCTCTACGCCTTCAAGAGGCAGCCGTTAAAACGTGTCCAGTATGTGCATGAAGGAGCGGGGGAAACCTTCGGGTTGCCAGCTTGCCTAAGAAAAGTGAAAGCAGAAAGCAGGAGTTACCTCTTTGCATGATTTGCTTCTTCGATTAACCTACTGATGAATTTCGTGCAAACTAGGTATTTTTGATAAAAGAGCTTGTGTGCCAGTTCCTGTACACGTTTTTGTCTGATATGTCATGAGCTGTTCCGATTATACAATACTACTGAACTTAATCATGTAGGGTAACCACTTAGGCAGGTCAACGTTAGACGGCTTTAAAAAGGATATTGGTAGGATGGAGGCAAAAAATGCTTCTCATGATGTATACCGAAAGACCCCAGGTTTCTCTCGCACCGGTGAATATAGCTCTTATTGAACTCTAGGATCCATGCTTTAACTGAGTAGAAGAAACAAATTAGTGAAGGCCAGGTTGCCCAGCAGTCTCACATGCATCAAAGTCTGACTGCTTCTTCCTTGATTCAGTAGTTTATTACCAATTGATCGCGTGGGACAAAACAAGTGTTTTTATCTTGCACGTGGAACCAGAGTACAAGTAGAAAATTTTGGCTTACAGGTTCACGTGGTTCGTCTCCAGCGGCTCCCCTACCCTTGGACAAGCACGCAGGACCTTAATTGTCGTGATTGGATTCTTGAGTGGAAGGTTTGGGCGTGTATCCATGCTTTATGCAAGGAGCTGCCTCTTGAACGCAAGCCAACAAGGAAAACCGGCACACCGTGGCGCTTCTGCATTATACTTATTTTGCGCTGGATAGCGGTAGGTTATCCTCTTTTTTTGCACTATCTGCTTTCGTGGCGTGTTAACCGCGTAGAGGCACACTACCAGTGAAATCAAAAGCTTCAGGAGAATTGCGCTTTCAGTGTACGCGCACAAGCACACGCATAAAAGGCTACTCGCACGCATAACAAACTACGTGTCTCATCCTTATCGTATGTAGTGCAGCGTCCTTTTCAGTGCTTACTAGGGGGTTGTGACGAGAAAATCGGTCTGTGCACACCGTTCAGGTTCTGGCCCGCTAATCACCCTCCTTGGGTTGTTAGATGGAGGAGCGACTTCAGCGCCTGCGCTCTATATCACCCAGTGTGCTTCTTATGCGCTAGTAGAATACAGCTCTCTAACATGGCACTCTGTAGCATCTCTACATGCACCTCTTTGTAGACGCGTTTGTGAGCGCGACAAGGACCACCTTTTTATTAGCCCGTTGTGTGAGCGTGCGCGTGTGTGTATGCTTTTATGAGCGTTCATGTCTGCCTCTGGCTCTCTCTGTGTCTGCTGGTGGGCTGTGTAGGTATAAACTTGTGGTATGTCAACACACCGGACAATGGTTGTTTTCCCCCGCGGGATTCTGAATCAGTAATTTTCACAGAAGAGCCAGAAACGCGAACTTTGAAAAAGTGATAGTATTTAACAACTTCCTGGGGTTTCAAATGTATGCTGACCTATCGCAGACAAAGTACATTGCGGTTGCTTGGAGTCGCCGCTAGACCAGACGGATTCCCGAGCATCGAATGTGTCCCACTTTGTCCAGAAGCGCTTCCACTAACCGCAGAGCTTTGTGGCAATTCAAAATGGATATTCTGATACAAAATGCCGCGCATGCGAAGGTAGTGTGTTGTGGTCACACGGCTTGTCTGCTACAGGGCTCTGCACGTTGCCGCTACTTCGGCAGCTTTCTGCGCTGCTCTGGCTGCTGGTGCAGCTCCGTTCGGCGCGTTCCCACACGCCTGCTTTTTCTGGCCGTATCAAGGGTTCGGGCAATTTTCTCGGAAACTGACGTTTCTCCCGATACTCCTGGTGGAGGGGAGATTTCTCGGGATGCCACGGGGTGCAGGATTGCGGTGCCCCTTGCTCTGATGCTTCACTGTAAGCTGGCTCCTCAGAGCAGCTGTCGTGATGAGTGACTAAAGACCACGGCTGATACTGAGAGCTGCCGCTACAGGTGATGGTAGTGCAAGAACTCGGATAATTCGGGAGACTGCTTGGAAATCCATCTTGCCATGGAGAGACGCATGGAAGGTCTTGGGAGGACCTAGGGGCAGCGTGATGCAGCGAATCTAAGCCCCTGGATTTTCGTTCCTGCTCCTGATGTGCTGCATGCTCCTTCGCTGAAGGCAGCTTGATCGCCCCACAGCGACGCATGTGCAGCTCGATGTGCATGGACACCTCCTCCGCGGCTGCAAGGAAAGGGAATGGGCCTCCATTTCGCATAGTTGCGAGTTTGGCACATGGATATCTGCAGGGCAAACCACGCAAACGCGAAAAAATTCGTGGTTCCAAAAAGAACGCTGCACCAGCCCCGCCGCCACTGTTCAAAACCTCCCGCTGTGTTGCATGCAGCAAGCCCTTGACGGCGTCTACGCTGTGAAGGTGACCGAGGGGCCTAAAAGGCGAGCTAGGCTGCCTAAATCATGAAGGCAGTGCTGATCGAAATACGCCCTCTATGGCTGCAACACTCCCCGTCCCCGTTCCTGGTGCATCTGCAGCAGCACCGGCACAGGCAAAGCAGCATGGTGTGCTGTTTCTCCGCTGCCTCTTAGCACGCGTCTGGCCAGGACTCACAAAGCAACAATGCCCTCCTCCGTCTGAGGGGGTAAGCCGGAGTCGAGAGTATGGAGTATGAGTAAGCGATTATCGCCTGCATTGAGCTGCGGGACGAAGGGGGCAGGCTCTATGGAGCTGTGTAGGCTAGAGGCATCACAAAAGGAAACCATGCGCAAAGGCACAGCCTGTACCTAAAAGCAGCCAACACTGGAATGTTAGTGAAAAAAAGAGAGCTTCGGCACACAGAGCCTCAACATGCATGCATGCATGCTTAGGCTCGGTCTCCTTGCGCTCCTACAGACTGGGGGCTTCTCATAAGGAAAAGCCTCCTTGCAAACACCCTTTTGCATGCGAACCGGTGCCTCTGTGCGTGCTGCCTTCGCCCTAACTCCAGACAGTGCACCTCCAACAGGAAACTTACGAAAGCCGAGCGGCGAGATCTGCCGTGGATACGGCGTCGAGGTGAGCGATGAGGAACTCTTTGCTGTTTCGCACTTCAAGAGATTCTTGGGGACGCAAGATGACACCCGAGTCCACACTGCCCCCTGTAGCTGCCATAGCGTCAGCCCTATCCGCGTCAGATCTCGATAGACCACGTGACAGATCGCGGCTGCGCGAGCGAGGTGGCTGACAGCTGCGAAAGGCTGCCTGGAGGTCGTCATCAGAGTCGTCTCCGCTGCTAGCACTCTCTGCTGAGGCTGCAACGGTGCATCGGAGGGGTTTCAGGGGCCGCAAGAACTGCGAAATCACAATCTTCCGCAGCGCTGTATGGGGAAGCATGCCGAAGAAAACACTCATCATGGTCCTGAGGGAAGCACCTGCTTCCCACAGGGGGTCGGTGCTGCAGGCGCACAGCAAACGCACCAAGGATATCGGTAGGGAACGCTACCCTCGATTGGCCCTTCTTCTGACAGGCGGAAAAAGAAACATTCGTAACACCTCAAGAATTTTCTCTCAGATGGCACTGGCTGCCACATCACGCCTTCACAGCCTAAAAAGTGAGTTGAGTCCCTCCTGTGTAGCGTTAAGGCAGGCAGGGGCAGGCGAAGAGAAGAGTCAGCTTTACGTGCTTGCTAAGCGGCTACCGCTCCTCCATTCGAACCAAAGGGTTCACACTGCTAGCAGAACACAGCCGGGGTAGCGTCACGAAACGAATGCTGTATGCATGCACCTGGGAAGCGTGTATTAACAGCGATCAGGCTCTTGCGTGACGCACCTGATGAAGGCGTTGCACAGTATGACGCTTTTCACCAGATGCGGCCTCATCGCAGCGTAGTGTAATGCCAGAAGACCACCAAGCTCCGCTCCCATCAAATGGATCTCGCGGGTGTTGGAAGTCTTCTTCCTGCTGGAAGCCGCCTTGGTGTGCTGCTGAGCATGCAGCTGCGACAAAAACGCGTCGAAGCCTGTAAGAAAGCTGCTGAGAGAAGAGAATGCTGGCCACTGCAGGGAAACCACGTGCAGCCCCTGCGTCGTAAAAGCAAGGAGAGAGAGCGAGCATGTTCATTGCGTTTGCAGCACCTATTCGCGAGGGGCCGCCAGAATAGGCTGCGCAGCAGGCAAAAAGGTGTCTGCTGAAAGCGGTGGAAGCGCGGGGGGTAGACGGGAGGGGAGGAGAAGAGAACCTTCACCAGGCTTAGATGCGTGCAGATATCCCCAAACAAAAGAAACATGCAGGCAAACGGGCACGCAGCTACCCGTTATTCTCTCCGAATGACGAGGGTCACCGTCCCCCCCCCCCGCCGATTTAGAGACCCCCTGGCGTTTCCACATTGCAGCTCTCTGTTGTGCTTGAGACTAGCGGTGCGCATGCAAGGTGACGCGAAATAAAACACAAAGCAGGAGCTACAAAAGTGGAGGCAGGCGGGGAGGGGAGAGGAGGACAGGGTACGACGCACTTTATTCTGCAATGCCGAGAGCTGTTGGAAGAAATTGACGGCAGAGCCACAAACGCCATGCAGCAGGACCAGCAGAGGATCTGATGGATGCCCGACTTCGAACCAGCGCCACATCAAATGCTCGCTAAGTCGCAAAGGCCACGCTCACAAACGCAAACACGGGTGATGGCTTGCAATTCCCGTTAAAACTGAGGAGGGACCTAGACGGTAGAGCCGTGCATGAGCGACAACTACAGCCATAGAGACAGAGAGAGAGTGAGAGAGAGACAGAGAGAGACAGAGAAAGAGAGAGAAAGAGTGAGAGAGAGAGAGAGAGAGAGAGAGAGAGAGAGAGAGAGAGAGAGAGAGAGAGAGAGAGACAGAGGAAGAAAGCTTCATCTCAGGGTGGAAGATACATATATACATATATATATTTATATACCTACACACACCTCACCTTCACCTACACATACACAAATGGATTCTGTAGTGGCGAGACTGGCACAATGTACATTGCTTACGGGCTGGAGGTGTGAAGAGCATCGCCGGCTGCGGTTGCCACCAAAGCGCCTTAGCTCGCTGCAAAGGGGCAACAAACACACATATACACACGCAAGCAACATGAATCACGGCTCCTTAAAAAAGGCACAGTGCATTTGGACGGAGGGGCACGCGTAAGAGGCCCTTCCCTTCCCTTCCCTCCCCCCGCTCCTCCCTTTACCCCCTTCACTGCAGTCTGTGCATCACGTTTAGTGCCCCTAACTGGCGTACGGGGGTTTCATTGGATTCGTGACGCTTGCGCCTAAGCGCGAAACTGTCTGCAACGTCTCGTCCTCCTCCACTCCCTTCTGCTGCCGTTGCTGCCGCGCGGAGACGGTCCAGGGCATCTCCATTGCACCGCTGACATTCCTGCAGCGCTCACCCACCCGCATACTCGAGAAACCGCCAGCCTTAATCTAGCCCGCAATCCTCCTGCTCGACGAGGCATTGATAACTGGCATTTTTGCTTGTACGAAATATAGGGTGACAAAGCGCCGTTTACTTTGATCGCAACAGGGGGCTCGGTGGGGTCATAGAGGACGCCAACCACGCAGTGGGAGTCTTCCGCAAACCGCACGTGTTTGGAAGCTGCAGACACACGAGGAAGACCGTTTATCCACCCCCCTTGGAAAAGCCCAAGATTTTTTCCCCGCTCAAAAAATACTCCCTGCATAAAAAGCAAGGCGTCTCGAAGAAACGCGAGCGTGAGAGAGCCGAAGAAACGCTCAGGGCTGCCCTCACAAATGTTCGCCTGTGGAGACTGCCACGGATCATCGGGGTCAACTTCCGGTTTGGCGACTGCTGTGCTGCAGTCTGCAGCTCCTGGAAGCACTGCTGCGGCAAGAGGAGGAGGAGGAGGAGCTGCAGCAGTTGCAGCAGCAGTTGCAGCTGCGGCAGCAGGTTGTTCAGCGCCAGTAGGCTCCGTGTCTGCTGTTGGTGAGTATTCCCCAGCCAGCTGGGCAACCTGCTGCTCTCTTGTCATCTCCATGGCTCGCCCCAGTTGCAACAGCGAATCCAGACTACTGTGTAGTGCCTGAGTCTCTTCGCTGCTGCTGCTGCTGCTGCTGTTGCTGTTGCTGCTGTCCTTATGAGCCGCGCGCGATGAGTCGGTGCTGGCTGCTGCTGCCATGGGCACCTCAGCGGCAGTTCCGGCGAAAGAAAGACTCTCGCTCCCAGCGCCGCTGCCCATTACATCCCGCTGCTGTGACTGCTGTTGCTGCTGCTGCTGTTGCTGCTGTTGCTGCTGTTGCTGCCGCCGGCGAGATTCGGGGTCTGCACCCCCCAAGAGTAATCCATCTAACAGCGAATCCGCTGCCGATCCTCCCGAGGGAGCTTGTTTTTGCGGCGTTGCTGCCGCTGCCCCAGCCGCAATATCGCTTCCACCATCTGGAGTGCTCTGCTGTTGCAAACCCTGCACGCAGGAAGGAGCCCTTCCACAGTGCAATGCGGCATCTCAGCGCAGCAAGGTACGACTGAACGGGCAGAAATAGGGCAGCCAGGATAACCGCTAGTCTGCAAAAGCACAAGAGAGAACAGCCCTAAGAGCTCTATGAAAAGCCTCACGCGTTCCTTTTGCCAGAGCCTGAGAATCTGCGCCGCGAGATTCCGCAAGAAGCTGGAGACTCCCCCGAACCATACTGGAGCTCTCTCGCGTCCAGTGGCAACAGCCGAGACTAGAGATACCAGCTGCAAACACACAGTCGAAGCGCAACGTCCCACACCCCCCGCCAGTGAGAGAGAGAGAGTTTTTACACCGTTTTCGACTCATTTGCCATCACGCGCAAAGCCTCTTCTTGACTGCTCGTGAGGCTTCTTGCGTGCCGATGCGTAATTGCTGGACGGGGAAATGCCGGAGGCGGCGCCCTCCATCCAATGCAGCAAGCCACACGCCTTGGAGCCTTCCGAAGGCATCGCTTGAATTCTCTAAATTACCTGCGCTGCCCCTGGTTCCTCTGCAGGGATGCTGAAGGATTTCAGCAGCAGCAGCAGCTGGCGAAGTCGTGCGCTGCGCGCCACCGTCCCCGTGGAGGCTCCACTGCTGTCAGCTGTAGCAACAGCTGCAGCAGAGAGTGCACGCGATGCTCCAATAGCTGCTAGCCACCTAGCCAGAACCCCAAAGCCACCAGAACTTGCAAATGCTCTCAACGCAGCGGGAGCAGCGCGTTGCAACAGATCTGCGAAACAGACAAGCCACCGTCGCAGACAGTCCTAAAAACACCTGCAATCAAGCCCTCTCGCCTGCGCCTAAGATGCACGCACATGTGGACGCCGTTCAACTCGCACCCTCGCAGCGAACGAACGGAGCAGCATGTACACCTAAAAGGGAGGGGGGGAGTAGGGAAGAGGGGGGCTGCAGCGCTTCTAAGGGTAAAAAGCATCGTTTAGCTGACTAATACACTGCAGATGAAACCCTTCAGGCGCTTGCAACAGTATGGCCACCAACTCCTTCGCTTGGGCCTGAACAAAAAGCGCAAACCCGTCCATGCCCCCCCAATAACATGATATTAAAATACATAAACATACATATATCTATATATATCTACATTCATATATATATCTACACACATATATATATCTATATCTACATACGTATATATGTCTACATACATATGCAGAAAAACCTAAGATCGACCATGCCGGAAAAAAGCGCGTTTTGCAAGCTAGAGGCGTGGAAAGGCGAAACCTATGAAACTGAAGAAAATTTGAAGAGTACCTCCGTTTTAAAGCTGAGACTCTCCCAGGCTGCCGACGAATCCGCAGACAAAGCCGCTGACAGCATCTGCTGAAACTTTCCAACTGCACATGCAATCGTCCACGCACGCAGACGTCCACGCTGCAAGGCTTGAGCCCCCAAAAGCTTAGCCAAGCAGTACTCCCCAAAGCCAACGGCAAGCGCACACCAGCTCTGATCGCTAGGATATGCAGGAGGCTTATCAGGATGCTTACCAGGAGCTTTTTTGGTGAGCTGCCTACTGCCTGTATTGCCAGTGGCTGGGAGAGGAGTTCCCTGCTGCTGCAGCTTGCTGCTGCTACCGCCGACAAGTTTAGTGCCGCTGGAATGGGAAGAAGCAGACGCGGCCTGCTGCCGAGGCAGCAGCAGCTGCTGCTGCTGCTGCTGCAGCGGCAGACGAGGTGCCCATGGCTTGGGGCGCTTGCCTCCACCAAAGAAGCCGCCAGAAGAAGCAGCAGCAGCAGTTGTAGTGGACTTGCTGCTGCTTGTCGTGCTGGCGCTGCTGAGAGGCCGCTGCTGCATCGCAGAGTGCTGCTGTCGAGGCAGCATACCACCCATACGCTTGCTGCTGCCGCTGTCGTCATCTGTGTGGGAATAGTGTGGCGCAAAAAGGAAGCTCCCAAAGCTCTTCTCGCTGCTGTGCTGCCGCCTCTTGCTGCTGCTACTGCTACTGCTGCTGCTACTGCTGCTGCTGCTATCGGACTCCCCTGCGACAGGGGTGAAGGAGTAACAGCAACAGCAAACCATCCCTGGAGGCTTATCATCGCTGTTGTTGCTGCTGCTGCTGCGTTGCAGCACGCAGCGCACGCAGCAGTGCGTGCAGCAGCGCTGGCCGCTCAGATGAAGCAGCTTGTGCCTGGTGGGAGGGGGTTGTTGCTGCAGCTTGCTGCCGTCTGCTGCTGCTTCCGCAGCGGCAGCTGCAGTTTCTGCAGCTGCCGCTGCATCCGCTGCCTCCAACTGCTCCAGCGCAGCGGTAACAGTCTCCTCCGTGAAGGAGGGCAGCAGCAACTCCTCCCCAGCAGCTGCTGCTGCCACACGCTTCATCAGCAGCTGATTTCTCTGTCGCCGGACTGCAAAAAGGCAGGGAAGCAGCAGCACACAAGGCGTGTGTGTGGGCCGTGCACGCGCCTGCTGTCTTTCGACGTGTGTCAAGACTGAAAAAACGCTGCATTCGAGGCTCAAAACGCTGCACTCAAGGGTTATAACTCTGAATTGTGGGGTTGATGAGAGAGCCGGTGAGTTTTAGAATTTTTCGAATGGCCAAGACTCTTAAGAATTTGACGTACAGAATTTGTGACATTTAAGAAGTTTGCTGTAAGGAATATGGGGAGGCGGTGGACGCAACAAAAGCGAGTTCGGCGTGCCCTGCAGCAAACAAATGCCTCATGCCTTCAGCCCTTTTCCTGCCGTTTTTTTTCTGTAGGAAAAGGATTTTTAGGGAGGATGCGTGAGCGATCGTGCTGTGTGTTTCTGCTTCTCTCCCTTGGATTTCGTATAGAGAGAGAACCTCGCGTTGTCGCGGCGGGCTTTAGCATGCCGCCCTCTCCCTGCCTTAAAAAGGATGCAATTTCCCCCTTCCCCCCTCCCTCCAATCCAACTTTAGACGCTGGCGTTGCATGTTTTACTAAAAGGCAGTGAAGTTTTGAGGAGCCTTGAGTTTTCGTACTTGGTTGGTTATAGGACAGATGCCTGTTAGCTCGATCTGCTTTGCACGCAGAGCTGCCGCCTGCTGCACTTGATGTTTGAAGGCGGCCCTCAGCTGCTGCAACACTTGCTGCACAAGCGGCACCAGATGCTGCTGCTCCTGCCGCTGCAAACGAGTAGCCTCCTGCAGTCAAAGCACACCTCCGCATGCCTGCAAACAATCATACACCCTGCCTCGTCTGAACCTCTGGCCTGCGCAGATCCTACGGCGTCGGCTAATTGGCTTTCTAGCATCTACATATACATACACACACATATCGACATACACATGCACGAACCTCATCCTCCGAGCTGCTCCCGCTGCTGCTTTCACTGCTGCTTGCGCTGCTGCTTTCGCTGCTGCTGCTACCTCCGTCGCTGCTGCTGCTGCTGCCAGAACCAGCCGCTGCTGCAGCAAGAGACCCCGCGGCATCTTCCCTCCGTCGCTTCCCCCTACAGCCGCCGCTGCTGCCGCCATCAGCTGCCTTGCGCTTGGCAGGCGAGTCAACGGATTTTCTGCCGCTGTTGCTGCTCTGATTGCTGCTGGCAGAAGCCTTCGTTGCAGCAATACTCGAAGCAGGTTCAGCCACACAGGCAGCGGCATCCGACACAGCCCTGTGGGAAGATGCGCCTCCTTCCATGCTGCATGCGTTCTCTGCTGCTGCTGCTGCTACTGCTGCGGATGCTCGTCGAGGAGCATCCGTTGACGCCGCTAAGGCCTCTAACGATACACGTGGCACTGACACATTCGTCGCGGAGGCTGCTCCGTCTCCTGCTGCTTCTGCATGCTGTGGTGTTGCGGCTTGCGCTGCTTCCTGGGCAGCTTCACCTGTCGAAGGAGAGGCGGCAGCTCCCTCAGGAGCCACCGCTGCTGACTGTTCTACAGGCGCAGCAGCGGCAGCAACAGGTGCTCCTGTCGCTCCAGCTGTATCTGCATCTGCCTGCGTGACTCCAACTGCCACAGGGCCTGCTGCTGCCGCAGTGTTTGCTGCTGCGACGCCACACACTGCTGGATTGGAGGGGGCTGCAGCGACCACAGCTTCCATAGTTCAGACGGAGTCGCTGCTTCCGCTGCTCCTACAGCGCCTGCTACAGCCGCCTGTGGTGCTCCCCCGTCAGAACGCTTCTTCTTCCCGTGGTGATGGTGATGGTTGAGGGGATGCTGCGGCAGCTGCAGCTGCCGCTGCTGCTGCTGCTGTCCACTCCGCTTCCTAAGAAACGAACTTGAGCCACCTCTCTTTGCTGCTGCACCTGGAGGCACCGCAGCAGCACTCACCCCCTGATTACTCCGCATGCAAATGCAGTCGGAGCAGTCTCGGGTCGCTTGGCAGCGGCAGCAGCGGAGGTGGTGGTGGGAGCAGTAGTGTTGCTGCTGCTGATGCCGCCGTAAACTCTGATTCTAGCAACAGCAGGATGCGCAGCGCAGCCTCTTAGGGGCGTTGTGACGCTGCTGATTGCGTGGGGTTCGCAGCGGTGTACTCTGAAGATTGGGAAGTGGGCGAAGAAGTCGATTTCGCGGAGGCGCTGTAACGGATGCTATCAATTATTACGGGTGCATGCATTCTGCAGCAGCAGCGGCTGCCGCTGCAACAGCGCCGGCAGCACCCGCTGCTGCTCTCACACTTGTAGCAGCCCCAAGAGGGTTCCCAAGCCGCCGAAAGTCGATACAAATAAACCGCGTAAAGTTGAAACCGTTAAATTTCCATGCAGGATCCTTTGCGTGCTTACAAAATTGGCCCCCCCATGGAGGCACGGGGGGTGCCTGCCCGCTGCTGCAGCCGTTTTTCTGCAACGCCTGCTTGCTACACACACGGCTGGGGCTTGTGAGAGAGTGAGAGAATAAAGAAACTCGAGAACTGCGGCGTAACTTGCTAAATCTGACGCATGCCATAAAGCAGCACAGCCAAGCACAGCACACAGGGAGGCCTCGCAGCCCTCCTCCCAAGGCTCCACCATGAGGATGCCTGGTGTGGAATAGTTACGCAACGCCCTTCCGGCTTCTCGAGTTTAAGACAGGGGGCCGCATGCAGAGTCAGCTTGGAGAAAATAAAATGCCACTCCGCCGCATAAGCGCTCTAAGTGCTCTCTTTCGCCTCCCTAGTCCTGCACTCGAACGTGTGGCCATCGAGAGCCGACAACAACAACAAAAACAAAAGGGAATCTTCCTAGTGTTGCATACCTTTGGGCTGCACCCGTACGAGCTCGCAGTTCTAGATGAGGCCTTCTATAGAGCTTTGCCGCAGTGCGACCAGCAGCCGATCGCTGCGCTGTTGCTGCATCACCCTCCCTTCCTGATTGACCCCTCAAAGGCAACCTGCAGCTGCAGCGCGACTCCTAACAAATGCAAGAGGCGTTTTGGCAGCTGCTTTCTTTTTGGAATCAGCGGTATGCCCCAGAAGCACGTCAATCCCCTTGCGCTGACTGCGCTGCGCCGATTTTCTCTGGAGCAGCAGGACCAGCTACAGTGGAAGTTGCAGCACAGGCAGACTGAGCAGCAGCAGCAACAACAACAACAACAATTGAAGCACAAGCAGACTGAGCAGCAGCAGCAACAACAATTTAAGCACAAGCAGACTGAGCAGCAGCAGGAGCTTCAGCAGCGAGAGCAGACTGAGCAGCAGCAGGAGCTTGAGCATTACAAGCAGCAGCGACGGCTCAACGATGCGGGAGGTGAGACCTCGTCTGCAGGCTCCAGCGCAGTCTTGCCAGGAGGAGAGGCTTCAGCAGCATCAGATGCAGTCATTCATCCTCTAGTCCGCCGCTTTAGCGGGGGTGGAACTGTGTTGATAGGCAGAGAGACGGCTGCATGCACTGCGCTGTTGCTTCCCCCGTCCTTTATGGATGGGCCCCCTTTTCCAAGGAGCCTTATGGAGTATGCGTTCAAGTTTTATGCGGGTATTACTTCTAGCCTGCGATCATCAAGAGCAGACTCTCTCCCTGATTCATCCCCAACAGCTGCAGTTACACCCCCAGCAACGAGGCCTAAGGCAGGCAACCGCCTTACTTTGCAGGCTGGCGACAGCGTATGTGAGCGGCTGTCTCCCTCACCATTCAGCGGACTGTTTGGAATGCAAGAAGATGATTTTGTGCTGTGCAAGACAGCCAATGGCTCCAGCACCAGCACCAGCATGAAGATCGCCGGAAACGCGCAGTCCATCTCCCGTGGATGCTTGATGCAGCACACGTCTTTTCTGCTGCAGCTGGAGGAGGAAATGCAGCAGCTGCTGTTGCTGCCGCAGAAACAGCCGGCATATAGACAGGAGCGACAGCATGCGGCCTTCCTCTCGGATATTCAGCAGGTGCTTCAGCAGCACGTTGTTGCTTCATGCGGCAGCAAGCTCCCCCTCCAGAAACCACACCACTTCCTTCTCGCATTGCAGCTGCTCGCCGAGCAGACGTGTATCGCCAAGAATCAGCGGCAGGTGCAGCCGGAGGGCACTGAAGCGGGTGCTGGTATTGAGTGGCATGTGCAGCCTGCAGTCTTTGTTGCAGCTGCGGGCAGGCCTCCCCTGGATTTCTTCAGATGCATTCGCAAGATCAATAGGCAGCGGCTGCGTTCAGCATCAGAAAGCTCTGGAACGCCCATCGCTGCCAGCAGCGAGTACAGAAGCAGCAAGCCACTAGAGCCGTTTGATGTATTTGCTTTTTCTCAGAGTGCTGTTAAAAGGCTCATCGAGCGCTTGCCACTGACGCGCAGCAGCGACAGCAACTGCCGTACGCCTGCGCGCAACACGCGTCTGATGGGGGCAGATGGCGAGCTGCTCTCGGATTTAGTTTTTAGGGACCTCTTACAGGTCAACGATCTACTGCCTCTGCAGCAGGAGGAGCCGCCGGAGTAACAGCACCAGCTGCAGAAGCTGCGCTGAAGGCAGAGCATATTCTCGCCATTCATTGTACTGTCCAGTCCGCACGGAGAGAGCAGCGAACAGTGGCAGCAGCAGCAGTTGCCGCTGAGGCTCTTGAAGATCTTTGTTTTTCTGTCTGTCCTCACGCCACTGACCACAACCACCGGCTATATGCAGAGCCGGCACCAGCTGGCAGGACCGCTGGCAATGCCGATACCAAACTGGCCTAAGGTGCGATATTCTGCATCTTGCTGCCTCGCTGTTGGCATACCAAAAGGTGTGTATCGAAATAGCTCGAAGGAAAGATTGCTTCTCTGGGCATCGAGTAGGGTGGTATACGCTTACTACACATGCAAGCGTTACAGCTACATTGCGCACAGACATGTGCGTATTAAAGGGCCTGGAGAGCCAAACCTGCAAAAATGCGGGTCTGTAGAGACAGTACATTCGCCTCACTAGCCTACGGGGGCAGCGTTTATCGAGAATTTCGTTCTCATGAGCACCTGTGACACCTGATACTGAGCTTCTACCGGAGAATGGCATCTGTTGCTGCCACGTTGCAAAAGGCAAGACACTTGATGCATCTCCGTTTTGGGAGAGGCTCGTGGCGGGGACAGAGCTGTAGCGGAGTGCGCTACACTGCAATGTTGTCTAGTACAACAGTCATATTTTGTCAATGATTAGCCAGGATTGGACGCACCGGCTGGTGTGATGTGCATCTTTGGTATCGTGGATTAGCTGGTGCCCAACAGAACAAGACGCACTTGCGCCATAGGTTATCTTGTGCAGCTAGCTGCGAGTGCTCGGAGGGCATTGAGTGTGCAGCAACTCACATTTCACCGCTTCACCCCTCTCCTCTCAGGTTTACACTTTGGGGGGCACGGGCGGGCACAGGAAGGAAGGAGCTCTTTCGAAACACACTCGAAAACGTCCTAGGTAGCTTGTGTTCAGTGGGGAGTTGAAGTTTCAATGTGGAAACCTTGGAAAGAGGGCTACAAAAGAAGTGCTACCAACGGTGATATGCATTAGCACGAGCTTCCAGTCGAGAACTCAAATGTTTTCAAGTCGGCGGAGCCCTCACCTGCACATAAAGTAGCATGCGCTTTCCAGTTTTCTGCCTGTACTACAACGGGCATGCGTAACTATCACACCCCCTCCTCGATAATCATTTTGTCTGTACACAGATGTTGATAGGTATGGAACCATGTACCTCTGCGGATGCAGAATTACAGCTTTTAGATACAAAGAATTCGGTATGCATCCCTGTAGCAACTGGTATGCTCTTTGAGAATGACGGCCTCTATCACAGCTTCCCAAATTTTTCTGCCGTTTCGGGGTAGCTGCTCTGTTAGAACCTACTGCTCAGGTTGAAGGTAACAAGCCCAAGCATCCGTAGCCTCAGAGTTTCGTTTTCTCTGAAGCGAACGTAAGCATCTCCATTGCACTCTTTTCTGCATTCAAAGAAACGAAATGCCCTTTCCATGCGGTTTCTGGCAGGCAAAGGGATTTCACAAGGCATGGTGTTAAAGGCGCTTGTTCTGCCAAAGCGGCTGGATGCAGCCCTAGATCGCACGAAGTGGCACACAGAGGGCCCTAAAAGATAGCGCTTCAGATGTTGTTGGCGGAGAGCCTCTTTAGAACTCGCTATATCCGATGTTCTCAGCCCCAACAGCTTGTCGCACCAACCGTGTGCCTTCCTTATCGACCCTTTATTCTCGGCGTGGCTCCGCAAAAGTAGGCGCTTGCGCTCTCAGAAGCTGAGATATCATAAGAATACAGATATGGCAGCTTCCTGACATCTTGGTGCGCCGCTGCAACGCACACAGTTGTACCAAACACCCGTATGACCACGCTACACCGACGTTCCCCCTCCACACGCCCACGGATGACACCACGATAGCGGCTTCTACCCCCCTCTTCGCCTCCCTTCCTCGTTAAATGGGTCTTAGGAAATCGCAGATAGAAATATAGGAGGCTGAAGAGGTCTCAGTTTCAGCGAGTGGATGCCGCAGAGGCGGTCAGGGGGGGAGGGGGGCCCCCAGAGGAGGTACCGCCGAAGGCCACACGACGCGCAGACAACAGGGGCCCCCCTATAGAGCACAGTACAACCACTGCCCGATTCTCCTGCTGCACGCCTTACACAAAAAGACGTAATTCGCGTATTTCTTTAGGGATTAATAGGGAGCTTGCAGTGCCAGAAC